TATTTGCGAGATGCTTCCATACCCACATCCGCCTCAGGCTCACGCCGTATATATGGGCGGCGGTGCTGGCGGCGATGCTGGCGGTATGGGTGGCGGTGCTGGCGGTATGGGTGGCGGTGCAGCCGGCAGCAAGCCTGCCGCACCAGCTGCCACCACCGGCGGAATGGTCAAGGGCTACACCGGTGCCGCTGGCAAGGTTCAGGGCAGCGCTGCTGTGCTGATCGTTGCGCTTGCTGCTGCCATTGCTCTGTAAAGGGTCATCTGATCATGCAGGAAGGCCTGGCTGATCAAGCTGAAGGAACCATAGGGAGCCCGCCAATGGTTAGATGGTGGGCGCGAGAGCATACGGGATTTTTTAATTCGGGGGCTATATATAATTTTACTCTATCAGTATACACGAGATAGACAAGATTTTGGAAGCAAGATCTTCCTCTATATCTGATGGCCTCTTCCGTGATATGGTGCGTGCCCTTCATGAATACTTGTGCTTGACTTGATTGTCGCCTGGTTTCATGGGTGGATAAGGCCTGCGAAGTCCGGCATTTGCTTGCGCGGATCGCACACTAGAGCCGCGGTCGTGTGTGTCTCGTAAGTAGAAGCTCGTGCATGTGGGCTGGTGTCACTGTGACCGAGAGGGTATGGGTATGGGTATCGGTATCAGATGAGGTTGAAAGAGATGTGGATATCATCCGGTCTGATGAAGGGCCCCTCGAATATATTTGTTGGCCGACTTAAGTGCGAGCACCCGCGCTACTTTCGTTCCTGCCTCAATTACATTTCCAGTCATCCGGTCCAAATCTATTGTTCGACCGAGACGTATATCAGAGACGTGAGCCCGTTGTTGTGCCTTCAAGGTCCGGCTTGTTTATGCGCTTCTCCATTAGTGCTGGCTTCTTACCCTGTGCAGCCAACGGAGTGCATGAGAATGGACTCGTTGTGGTGCTTGGATTTATTTGCGCCTATCGTGGATCTGCGATTCGGGTTGATGACCTTTTGTCGCCTACCCAAGACAGCCGTGCCTGCCCATATCTGGCCATTCCTACACGTTGATGTTCAACATGACCTTTTGTGGTTCTCGTTGAGGGGCTCTCCCCAATTGCCTTTCTACTTCTTTGCTCGAGTACTGGCTGACTATCAGTACAGCATTCTCATTGTGCAATCGCAGCCACTAGCAATAGGCCTCGATCCTGTGCAGATTCCCTGCATTCGGGACTATGCAGTCCCAGTGACGCGGTCGAACGCGCCGACTTCTGTCAATCCGAGAATCCCACCGGCGCCTTTGTCGTCGATTGGCTTCGAACGCTGATGTCCGACTTGGTGGATACATGATGCGACTGCATCATACCAGATGTACGTGACGGTGTGAGACAACATCCGGTGACTGCCTCTAACGTCCTCCGTATACGTGGGCGGCGAGCAACAACTTCGTGCTCAGATTCGTAGGATACACTGACACCTCTGCGCTCATATAATCTTCCGATCTGGATCGACCACATCAAATAGCTCCATGGTCTTCTCATACATTGTGAAGACAATCCCTCCACTGAGAGACAGTCGTCCTAGACGAGGCAGTGCCCCGGACCAGAAAACGAGAACGCCTTCGTTCTTGTAAATTGATGCCGCGCAATTGAAGCTGTTTTTGTAGAGTGATTTTGCCTCGATACTCTGCATCCTTGTCTTGACGGTGTCCAGCGGCATCGTAGAGTATACAGTAACCAATCCGGCCGCAGCACCTATTGCGAACGTACTTATCGCTCCCAGCTTCTCACCAGGAGCAACATAGCCTTCAGCGAATTGTTTTAGACTGGTATACGTGCTGAATCGCACAGCACTATTAGCGGCCTGCCTGGCCGTTGTGGGCACAAAGCCCTGGAAGAAGCCTCTTATGCCCTTCTCTTGTGCAATAATCCGGCTACCGTGCAGGAAGCCTCGCATTCGAGGTTGTGCTCTTTTGCGGTCGTCTATCAGCTGTGTCTTTATGCTCTCGAACGGTGTGACTGCGAGTAACGACTCTGTGACGCCGGCGCCAAATCCAGCAGCGACAGTGAAGGGACCTGACACCTTGCCGTCGGCATCGGCGAGCAGGTTTTTGTAGAAGTCAAAGGCGACAAATCGTACGCCTGCTTTCAGGGAGTTGCCAATGATCAGAGTGGTACATCCGGCATACCATTCTTTAGAAGGAAACCGTGGCCACGGCAGCTTCTTGGAATCTGGGAGTCGTCTGTTCAGCTGTGACCGAGTTTTCATGAACTCAAAAGGGTATGTAATGGCAATCTCGACTGCGCCGGCTGTCATGCCTGCCATAATCGAGCGGACAGCGCTTGGCTTGCGCAGTAACGTTGGGCTGGCATTGCTGCTGGGGTCAGCCGGAACGGCTGCCATGGTGACGTCGTGTGACTGTAGGCGACTCCAGATGCGACTGCCTCTCATATATGTGTGGCAGGCGCAGCTCGTGGTAGGTGTGGCTGCCGGTGTCAAGTGAAGTTGTGACGAACAATTCCCGCCGAGCTCGGGGAAAGAGCGAAGTTGGAGGCAGCGAGGCAGTCAATGCGGAGATAAGATTCAATGTCCGTGTTCAACGCGTATCGCGTCTGCTCCATCATACAGTCCCCATCTCCGTCTGCATCATTGTTGTCTCGTTCGAGACTGCGACACAGCAGAGGCCCCGGTCGGTCGACCCGAGACATCAACAATGTCGCGACGGAAGCGACCCGATCCATTTGAGACCGATACAGACAGCGACGGCGGCCTGTCCTCATCACAGACATCATCTATTGTAAGTAGAACAACCCTACCGCGGGCCGTCAATTGAATCTGACTATTTCCAGCACAAGCGGAGAAGAGCCAACGATGGGTCCTCAATTCTGTCTACTCCAGCGCCCGAAGATGAGCCTCAATCACCCGCGACCACGCCTCAGTCAGACGACGACGATGTTGACGATTCTGACGAGGAAATCGAGAGTCAGACGCAGGCTCCTGCTCAGCTCATCGCTGCCGAAGACAACGTGGCAGTCGAGGCCGGTATCCTTGAGTCTGTCCACGCAGTCAATTTCATGTGTCACGAGAATGAGAAGTGGGATCTTGGGCCACTGATCAACTTCATTTGCGGCAAGAACGGCAGTGGCAAGAGCGCAATCTTGACTGCCATCCAGCTGTGTTTCGGAGGCAAGGCTGCAGCCACGGGTCGAGGCCGAAAGCTGGAAGACTACATTCGCACCGGACAGACTGGCGCGAGCGTCACCTGCAGCATCAAAAATCAAGGCTCGAATGCCTTCAAGCATGATGACTATGGCGACTCCATCAAGATTGAGCGTCACTGGCACATCACCGCCTCAGGCAATTGCACCGCTGGCTTTCGGATCAGAAACGCCAATGACAAAGTCATGGCCTCGAAAAAGGGAGACCTGGACGAGATTGTTGAATTCTTCACGCTGCAATTTGATAATCCCCTGGCCACCTTGACTCAGGATGATGCTCGCAGCTGGATTGCTGATGCCAAGCCGACTGAAAAGTACCGTCTCTTCCTCAGAGGTGTACTCCTCGAGCAGCTAGATGCCGACTACAAACTCATCGAGGAAAACTGCGACAACATCTCGCCCAAGCTGCGCCAGAACAAGGAGGACCTCGACGAGAAGAAGCGTAGAAAGGACACCGCTGCTCAGAAACTCAAGGAATCAGAAGCCCACGCCACTGCACGCCAGCGCTTGCACGAGCTAAAGCACCAGTGCATTTGGGTCCAAGTCGTCGAGTTCGAAGCGGCTCGTGATGCCCTGAAAGCCGAGATTGAAAAGTATGGTGAGTCTCTCACAGCAGAACAAGCAGTGCAAGAAGCACACACACTTGAGACGGAACGACTTCGTCAAATATTCGATGATAAGCGAGGAGAAGCAGACACCGCAGAAGGACGTGTAAGAGAAGCCCAATCTACTCAACGTGATCTAGAAGCCACCGTCAAAGAGAAGCAGGCGGCCGCGACCGAAAGAAAGCAAGAGCTTCAACACGCTAAACAGGCAGTCAAGGATGCTCAAAAGGACATCGAGACGAAGACCAGAGAAATCAAGACCGAGGAAGACCGTCTCGCGGAAGTCGACGGTGGCGGTGCGGCACAACGTCGACAAGACTTGGACGACCTGAAGGACGCCGCAAAGGAAGCAGGAGCCGCCCTTGAGACTCACAGAAATCGTAGGCTTCAACTGGACACCGACGCACGGGAAGCCAAGGAACAGTTGGACGAGGCCAAGCAGAAGCGCAATGCTCAGTTCGACGAGGTCAAGTCTTGCAAGAGTGAATTGGACAAAGTCCGGAATGCAGGCTCGCTCCCGGACACCAGGTTCCACCCTAAGATGCCACAAGTCATCAGAGCCATCGCTCAGGAGACTCGCTTCCGCCAGAAACCAATCGGCCCTATTGGCAAGCATGTAACCTTGCTCAAGCCCAAGTTCACCAACATGATCGAGAAGATTTTCGGTCAAACTCTCAACGGCTTCATCGTCACCAATAAGGCCGACCAGGAACTTCTGACCAGCCTGGCCAGAAAGTGCGGCATGCCAGAGCTCAGAGTCAACATTGTGACCCATGGTGCCATCAATTTATCCGGCAAAGAGCCTGCAGAAGAGTTCCTCACAGTGCTACGGGCGCTGCGAGTCGAAGACGAACTCATCACGAAGTTGATGATCATTGCTCACCACGTTGAATCGGCTATCCTTGTGGAAGATTACGGGCAAGCACAGAAGATCATGAATGAGCCAGATCCAAGAAATCGCCCTGCAAATGTTGAGACCTGTTATGCGCTCGCCACCGGCTCCAGGCAGAAGGGTTTCAGGTTGTTCTATCGTGGCGGCAATCCAGCACAGGATCCAGTCGACCAATACAACGGTCCGCTGCGTATGAACGCGAACGTCGAAGACCAATTTCGCTTACAAGAAACCCGCGTTCAAGAAGCGCAAGACCTATTGGATCAGTACGAAGACGAGCTGCGGACTTGCCAATCCAAGCTGGACGAAGCCAGGAATGCTTTGTCACGGCATTCCAAAGATCAAGTACGGCTGAAAACAGCTAAACAGACAGCTGACCAGCTACGGGAGGAGAAGCAGAGTGAGTGCGACCAGGACAATATTGCTGGTGGTGTGCTCGATACCCTGAAGGCTGCTCTGGAAGAATGCAAGTCATCACTGGACACGCAGGGAACGCTTTATCAAGATTGTGTAACCGGCAATGACAGCGCGAAGAACGAGTTGCGCATCGCTCAGCAGGAAGCCGCTGACGCCAAACATCAAACGGCGATCCTGCAAGCTTCCGTAGATGCTCTTCGAAAAGAGGCCCAAAACGCAGACCAGGCGCGAATGGCAGCTATAGCTGCAGCGAACGTGTGCCAAAATAAGATCACGGGACTACAGAACGACAAACGGCTCTTCGAGGGTAACCTGGCCACGCAGGAAGAGGACCTTACCAGCCTAGTCGAGCAAGCCGAAGCTCAAGGTAGCGCACGCGTACCGATTCCAGAAGGAGAGACTAGTGTCAGTCTAGACCAGAAATTCGAGCGATTGCATGCACAGTTGACGCGGGCTGAACGCAACTTGGGCGGCAGCCACATCCAGCTCGCAACAGCTGCCACCGAAGCCCTTGACGAATACAAACGGTCCAGCGATCACTACATGGGCTTGAAGAATTTATACGAGACGCTGAAAGGTTCACTGAAGACACGGAAGGAGCGATGGGAGCTCTTCAGAAAATACATCGGCCGAAGTGCTCGTAGCGGCTTCATCGTTCAGCTTAGCCAGCGTGGCTTCCGCGGAAAACTTACCATCGACCACACACAGCACAAACTCGACGTCAAAATTGAGCCGGACCTCACCTTAAAGGACGCCGCAGGCCGGGCCGTGAAGACGCTATCTGGCGGCGAAAAGACGTATACCCAGATCTGCTTGCTGCTTGCGCTGTGGGAGGCAATGGGCTCACCCATTCGTTGCTTGGATGAATTCGATGTCTATATGGATGCCCTTAACCGTGGGAAAACGATTGCAATGATTCAAGAAATCGCAAGGCAGAGTCAGGGAAAGCAGTACATTATGATCAGCCCGGGGAGTCGAGCGGATATCACACGAGCGCCCGATGTTAAGGCTTTTGAGTACGTTTCGGACAACTTTCTTACGATTTGCCTTCGGTCAATGCTAACACTTGTACAGAGTTGCACCACCAGAGCGTGGACAGCAGCGCCTTGGGTTCCAGCGTGTGAGCGCGGCGGCCTAATGTTTCGACTGCCGCGGGTTTCCTGCTTCCTCGACACATGAGATGCTGGGCTGACTTGTGATGGAATGACCTTGAGGAATTATGCGACCAAGCTGTACAAGTACCACATGATACCCCGGAGACGATGTATATTCCTTGTACAAACAGCATGCGTCAATGCAATGCCAGTCTTGAGCTATGGCCACCTCATCACAATTTCGCACCACCTACATCACCACCCACAAACCTCAAACCTGCCCCATCAATCACAACCCTCTGCCTCATTCCCCCTTTCTCATCTTCCTCATCCACCACCATCCTATACACCACCAAGCCGTCTTCTACTCGCCACATCTCCACCCTCACACGATCCCCCGCAAACACCGGTCGACTCAACCTGCACTTGACACTCTCAAAATTCTTCCCCTGCCCCATCACCTCCATCACAAGTCTCACCCCAACCCCAATAGTGCACGTCCCCGTCATGATCGGCGCTCTGAACCCAGCTCTGCTCGCCGTCTCTGGATCGATGTGCAGTGGGTTCAGGTCACCGGAGGCGGCGCGGTAGAGGGCTCCCTGCTCCGCCGTCGCTACATACTCCCTTGTTGCGTCGGGCTGTCTGTCGCTGGGGATGGTATGCCGTTGAGTACGCGGGCCTCGTTCTTTGAGGGCGGTGTTCGCACCGACCCCAGGGACTTGCAGCACAAACGAAGTCCATTCTTGCGTGCATATCTTCTCCCCTTCCGCCCCATCAGCACCAGCTAACCGCGTTACGACCTCCACAGCCACCAACACACCACGCTTCTGCGCAACAACATCCAGCACCCTCGCCGTCGTCACCACCTTCCCACTCGTCGGATAACTTCGATGTAGTTCCAACCAATGCTCCCCATGAACATGGTTGTGCGCTTTGAAATTCGGCAGGAACGTATGCATGGCATTGTGCACCTGTCCCATGGCCTGAATGCAGAAGACGGCCGCGTAGGTGGGCAGGGGCTGGAATTGGGGGTGGCCCTCGTAGACGTGAGGGAGGTGGGTTGCTGGGGCGGAGAGGGCGAGGTTGTAAGTTATTATGCTGGTTGGGGTGATGGTGTGGGTTGTGGTCCAGCGGAGGGGGAGGATGGAGGGGAGGGAGATGGTTTTGGGGGGTTCGGTGGGTTGAGGTTGTTTTTCGGCCATATTGCTGGAGGAGATATGATGGTGGAAGGATATTGGAACGGCGTCGTGGTGTTGACCAGATGTTGAAATGAGATGCTAGTGGCGTGTCGGGAGTCCTCCTGGGTGATCCAGATGTCTGCTGCTTGGATTGCGAAACGATGGTTGTCGAGGTCTGGCAGTCTCACTACTCCTTTTCTTTCGGGACAAACTTTTGTTCTCAGCGTAGTGCGGTCTATCACGGAATGCTGACTCTTGTGGTGCACATATACTCTAGGTACTATTAAGACCTGCTCTGGTCCTCGATCGATCATTGGTCGGCTAATTGCCTCTTTGAGGCGGGGAAGGCCTGCGGCAGTACTCCACTGGTGACAACTCGATGCCGATATTCGCCTCGGCGTTAGAACATTCGCTGAACATGGAACTTGGGTACCTATGTCTCCACGTAGGTAGGTGACAGTAGGATCTCGGCTGGCTGCGAGAGACATCGCGTGGTAAGCGTCGTAAGCATTACGCGGAAAGCAGCGTACAGTGCCTCAGAGAAGGAATCCGGTGTTTTGAATTGCATTCTCATGTAGTTTGAGCATCGTGTTGCTATCCACGTTTAGCTCAACACAGCACCGTAGCTGCTGCCAGACTATCGCTAGACTGTTGCTGATCCATTTACACGGCTGGAAGATCGTTGAACGAACAAGATGCCATGGCTACACACAGAGACCTACCCCCTCCCGGAACAAGACATCGTCTCCTTCGCCTTCGGAGACCCAAGCTACGATCTCGACAAACCTGTTCGTGCACTCCATCGTAGCACTTATTGTGAGAGGAACATCTACTGACCCATTTCTCACAGATCTACCATGACCTGGACTCAGACCGGACCTTGTCCTACAACGAGGGCAAGGCACTCGTGCGAAAGCTGGTCGCTGGCTTCCGCGCTGCCGGATTGAAGAAGGGGGATTGCTTTGCTCTCGCGTCCTTCAACGATGTATATTCCTCCAGAAGCCCAGAAGTTCCCGAATAACGTCCTTTTTAGATCATGTACTCGATGCTCCTCCTCGCAGGCGTCGGAGCTGGCGGCATCTTCAGCGGATGCAACCCAGCATACCGGCCTTTTGAGCTACGGCACCACATTCGTACTGCACAAGCAAAGTTCTTCATCGTTGAGCCTGAGTTGCTCGAGACTGTTGTAGAAGCCACTGACGCTGAAGGTATACCGCGAGACAATATCTTCATCTTCAACCTGAAACCCACTCAGACCGTTGCCAAGGGCTTCCGTTCATGGACGTGGCTGCTAGAGCAAGGAGAAAGCGACTGGGATGTGATCACTGACAGGCACACGCTCGAGAACACGGCCGTGGCGCGACTGACCACTTCTGGCACCACCGGTCCGCCGAAGATGGCGGTGCAGAGCCATTTCAACGCGACGTCGTACCATGCTCTGACCTCCAGCATCGTACGCGATCGAACACCGTGGGAACCGAGGAACTTGTTTCCCTTGCCGATGTTTCACGTCTCGACCGTGCCGGCAGTACATGTGTCCCCATTCCGGAGTGGGAACCAGTGCTGGATCATGCGACGCTTCGAGCTGGAGACGTTCCTCGCTGCGATCGACAAGCTCAAGACCACAGATCTTGGTATGGTGCCGCCATTGGTCATTGCCATCATAATGTCGCCCTTGTCCAAGAAGTATTCGCTAAAGAGCGTTCGACGTGTTGCAGCCGGAGCGGCGCCGCTCGATGCTGTGTCGCAGCGAAAGTTTCAGAGTCTTTGTGCGGACGGTGCAACGTTCACGCAGGTATGGGGCATGACGGAAACAACGTCCGCAATCTCATTGTTTTATTGGCCGGATGAGGACGAAACAGGAAGTGTGGGAAATCGATTCTTACCGCATACCGATGTGAAGTTGATAGATGATGAGGGCAACGACATAACAGCGGACGATGTTCGAGGAGAGTGCTGCGTCCGAGGTCCGACGGTCATCAAGGGATACTTTGGCAACGAGAAGGCAAACAAGGAGACCTTTGACGGCGAGGGATATTTGAAGTCAGGAGACATTCTGTACCGCGATGGCAAGACGAAACTGTGGTATATCGTCGATCGGAAGAAGGTGAGGCCCTTATTTTGGCACTGCGAAGTGTCACTCTTCGTTCCTGCCTCTGAAGATGGGACTGACATACCTTCCACAGGAACTCATCAAGGTCCGCGGTTTCCAAGTCGCACCTCCAGAACTGGAAGGCGTACTCCTGGACCACCCAGACATCGTCGATTGTGCCGTCATAGGCCTCAAGCCTCCAACCAACTCAGACACGGAGCTCGTGCGTGCATATGTGGTTCGGCGGCAAGGAAGCAAAATGAGCGAAGACCAGGTGAAAGACGTGATCAAGGACAAATTGGCGAGCTATAAGCAGCTGACTGGTGGCGTCGTGTTTCTGGACGAGGTTCCAAAGAGTCCGAGTGGGAAGATATTGAAGAGAGTCTTGAGAGAGGAGGCAGAGAGAGAAGGAAAGGCGAAGTTGTGAAGAGGTTCGAAAGTTGGCAGGTTCATAGACTGAAGGTACCACATAGAACTTTCCAGTCATCCGGTCCGAGTTAGGCCTGCTTCAACTGTGCAGGAGCTCACAATTTCGGGGTATCGGTCAAGTTCTCCCACCCACCGTCTGACTTCTCCTTGATCAACACATCGTCCTCAATACGCACGCCACCTACATCCCAATACCTGTCCAATACCTCCTTGTCGATATACTTCGCCTTCTCCGGATCTTCCAACACTGGGTCAATGATGAACCGACAGAAGTAAATGCCTGGCTCAACCGTGATCACCGCTCCAGCAGGTACCGTCCCCCTCACTCGCAGATACTTAAACATCGGATCCGGATCGTCGTAATTCGCATGCCCGCCTGTGTCATGCGTGTCCATGCCCAGATAGTGGCCTAGACCATGCGGCATGAAGGTGACTGTGACGCGCTTCTCGAAGAGCTCTTCTTCTGAATAGTCTTTCTTGAGGATACCGGCTTTGAGGAGGCCTTTCACGGCGACTTTGTGTGCGTTCTCGTGGACGTCTTCCCATCGCATGCCGGCGTGGAGCATATCGAAGCAAGACTCCTGCATTTCTTTAACGATGTCGTAGATCGTCTGTGATTCTGGCGTAAATGTTCCCGAGAGCGGGAATGTGCGGGTAATATCTGAGGCATATAGATCGTACTCTGCGCCCGCGTCAAGAAGGACGTTCAGCCGGTTCTGCAGCGGCCGATCGTTGCGAATATAATGTAGAGTCGCGCAGGAATGGCCTGTCGCGGTTATGGCATGGTACGCCTGCTCGTGTGCGCCATTCGATATACATGCGCCAGTGAACGCTCCGTATATCTGCTCCTCATTGGTTGCAGTGCGTGCCGCTTTCTGAGCAGCAATATGGGCGATTGTTGAAATCTCGTTGGCTCTGCGGATCAAAGCAACCTCGTATGAGTCCTTGACGACTCTGCACTCGTCGATGGCCTCTCTCAGGATTCCGAGTTCTTTTGTATCGAATTCCAGGAAGGTGATGTGCTCGGAGACTTGCTCAGGGATCGCGTACACGGTCCTGCTGGCGGTTTTGGAGCCGAAGTGCGCTAGGGTCGCGTTCACCTCGTTGGTGTACAGCACTTCATCGACGTCGTACCTCTCTAACGCCTCCTCTTTGGACTCAGGCAAGCCTGCCCAGATGACAGACTCCGGGTCTACGGGGGGTATGTAGAGGATCAACTTGTCCTCAGGAATGTTGTACGACAGATATGCCTCAGGCAGCTTGCAGCCGGAGAGGTAGAAGAAGTATCGTCGTTGTCGGAAGTGCTTCTCTTGGTCACAGTCCTCCTCCATATACGTCTTCTGGGCCTCCAGATAAATGATTCCATCGCGGGCATGACCTCGGTCGGTCAGATATTTGGCGACGCGTTGGCAGTGAGCTTTGGCGGGGTACTTTCCCTTGAGCGTACTGTCGGTGACCGACATCGTTGGCGTATCAGTACGAGTGCTTGCAAGAATCTGGTGGTCTATCGCAATGTTATCGAGAGTACCTGTTAGCCAGACGCGCGGGGCTTCTTGGAGAACGAGCCGACTTCGACGTAGCCGCGGATAACCGCACTAGTCAACCGGTGTCGTGTCTGACGAGGAGCGAGATATTACTGTAGGCACTGCATGTATTGCTTCAACACTATCTATTGTTGTCGTAACTTCGGTGATCTGGGACGCTGATTGCTCTCTAGCAGACATTGTGCGTCTTGCCATGCTTCGCCTGCGAATAGTCAGCACACAAAGTCTCTTGCCAAAGAGTCGAGGGGACTCACCTGCAGCGAATGATCCTCGTTCACGCTGAACGTCTGCGCACGCTTGCCTTGCCGAGTGTGCTTCTTGAGATGACTGCAATCGCATTAGCATGCCGCTCCAAGACACAAGCAGCATAGACACTCACTCCTTGTAATTGTCCATCGTCTTCTTGTCCATTTCCGTAAGAGTCTTGTACGCGAGTCGTATATCGGTAACAAGCGCATCACACCGCGACTTGCTGAAGTCCTCACGAATGACCACTCTCATCATCTTCAACTTCTCGGAGTGAGGGGCCATCGTGTACGCAGGCACAACCCAACCTCTCTCTCGCAGCTGGTGAGCCAAAGCAAATTCATCAAACCCATCCTCATTGTCAGGATCGAGGCGGAAGGCTACCAGCGGCAATCCTCGCCCACCACCCTGAGACATGATGATGAACCCCAGCTCCTGCAGCTGAGCTGCGAGGTAGTCTGCTGTCCGTGTGAGGTTAAGCATGATGCTTCGATAGCCTCGCTTTCCCAGACGGATCAGTTGATAGTACTGTGCGATGATTTGCGAAGCACCTTTGCTGAAGTTGAGGGTGAATGAAGCTTGGTCCGCGCCGAGGTAGTTGATGTTAAAGATCAGCTCCTGGGGGAGGTACTCCTGTGATCGCCACACCACCCAGCCTACACCAGGATACACGAGGCCGTACTTGTGGCCTGAGACGTTGATGGACACCACTTTTTCAAGCTCAAAGTCCCATTTCAGGTTCGGGTTCACGAAAGGAGCCACGAAGCCACCTGATGCAGCATCGACATGGATCGGGCAGTCGATCTTGTTTGCCACCAGGAGGTCGTTGATGGCCTTGGTATCCTCGTACTCTCCAGTGTAGGTCAAGCCGAGGATCGAGCAGATGCCAATAGTGTTCTCATCGACCAGTTTGACGGCCTCTTCAGGATCGATCACGTACCGATCTTCTGTGCAGTAAACCCACTTCTCCTCGATATCGAAGTATCGCGCTGCCTTCTCCCAGCACACCTGCACCGCGCTGTTCATGATGATGTTCGGGTGGTAATAGTCCTTGCCTTCGGCCTTTCGTTTATTGACCCACCTCTTCTTCAGGGCCAGGACAGCCAGCATGATAGCCTCGCTGGAGCCGACAGTGGCTGTGCCGACCGCGTTTTTGCCATCTTCTTCCTCTGGAGCGTGATAGAGCTTGGCAATCATATTGACACAGCGGTTCTGCAGTTCTGCGCTCTGTGGGTACTCCTCGTAGTCGATGAAGTTCTTGGGGAAGGCTTCGACCATGAGCTTTTCGGCTTCGTCTTCCTGTGGTCTTCTTTAGTGCGTACAATGGTCTTGCGGAACTCTGCCATACCATGAATGTCGTTACGAAACTTGCAAGACTATAATCGAGTCAGCTCTGCCACGCGCCCATACGTTCTGGCAAGCCTACTTCAGCATAGGGTTCCCGTCAAGACTCAGCTCGTCCTTGATCATTCTGTAGGCTACCTCCTTGGGCATCTCTTTCTCTGGCATCTCGTGCGACGGAAGATCCTCTGCCGCAAACCGAGAGCCGTAGACGGAGGTAGAGAATTCATCCTCGCCCGGTGCCTCAAGCGAGATGTGCTCAAGGCCCAGCACCGTTGAAGAGCGCCGTGGTGGGCCTTTCGAGTCGCTGCTCTTGCCCTTCTTTTGGGCGACGCTGGTAAGGTGGACCATTTTGAGGAATAGAATATGTCAAGACGATGCGGTAACAATCAGAACGACTCTCAATCGAAATATGTGGAAGTTGTCTGGGCTGTTATAGGTCCACCGGTTGAGCGTACAGCGCGGAAAGACAGCCAACACAAGGAAGAGTGAGCTTCACGTCACATCCAACAACAGAGTCGGTGTAGAAGATGAAAGCAGGATCAGTCACTGTCTTGAATGAAACTGGATCAACCAAGCAGCTTTACAGCTTTGCTGCAGACGCGCATGCGTTTCGGCTCCCATCCTAGTCATCATAGGCCGCAAATGCCCTAAGCAGACATGGCAAATCCAAGAAAGCTTGCGGCAAGGTGCATATGGGCAGGGAAGACGACGTGTCAGCTTCCTTTATGATGTAGTAAGAGCGAATGAGTGGTCAGTGAGGGCCCGTAAAGTCGTCATTCGAGCTCTTTGGGCGCCGCCGCTAAGGGAGTACACGCGAGGCTTGGTTATTGCTTAGCCCAAAGTCTGCGAGCTGTTGGAGCACGTTCCTCAGTGGTTCGTGCTGTCAGAACCATGAAATGAGCCACACCCTCAACGACGAGCTTTCTTCTGTTTCTTGCATCAAGATCTCTCTCGTGCCTAAGCTGGTCAAGAGGCTCATGCATATATCCAAGGATATGAGTTGAACATGCTGGATGCGCAAAGACACCAGTGAAATGGATTCCTAGAAATTTCTCAAATAGCAAATGAGTGCCCCGCTATCCTTTCGATACCCCGCAGTCGGCCTACAATGCCAGTAGCAGCGGTGGTCGAACGTCGGAACAGGCGGGATTACTGTAGAACCTGCGGTACAGTCACGATCCAGGAACAGAACAACAAGATCTTAGGACGGACCAAACGGATTAAGCAATTCCACTGGTCGGGGAAAGTAAGATTGAGATATTCTGCTATCTGAACTGTCACCAGCTTCGCAAATAAGTTTCAATATTTTGTTCCCGTCTTAATTTTGTCCCTACACCTCTGGGTCTGGCATCTTGAGGACGTAGCGACCCGTGATCTTGCCTGCGTGCATGAGCTCGTACACCTTCGGCAACTCCTTGAGCTCGATCGTCTTGAAGGGTGCGTGGATGAGACCACGTGCGAAGAATGCGAGAGCCTCCTCTGAATCCTGTCGATTGCCAACGTATGAGGCTTGGATGCGGACCATCTTGAGCACAGACTCAAAGACTGGTGCTCTAATATGTGCACCAGCTGGCAGGCCAATGACGATGACCGTGCCTCTTGGGCGGACATATTCGGCGGCTTGCTGGAAGGGCTTCTCGTTTACGGCGACGAGGATGACGGCATGGGGGCCGAGACCATCCTTTGTTGCAGCTCTCACATCTTTGGTGATGTCGCTCGACTTGGCGAAGTCCACGAATGCTACATATGCGGTCAGTGACACGCCTCGACAGGCAAAGGTAAGTTCTTACCGAAGCACCCATCTTCTCTGACATAGCCTTCTTCTCATCTCCCGAATCGATGGCAATGACCTCAAGACCCATTGCCTTTGCGTACTGTTGTGCCAAAGAGCCCAACCCGCCTCCAGCACCAACAATAGCGACGGTCTGACCTGGACGAGCACCCGACTCCTTCAAACCTTTGTACACAGTGATACCGGCGCAGAGGATGGGAGATACCTCATCAAGCGGGACACCCTCGGGGATATGTGCGACATGCTTGGCTGATGCAATGCAGTATTGTTGGAAGGATCCATCGACTGTGTACCCAGAGAGCTTTGGTGTCAGGCACAGAGGCTCATCCGCCTGCTGACAGAAAGTGCAAGACAGGCAGGAGTCGTTAAGCCATTTCACGCCGACGGCCTCGCCGATCTTGCAATCTTCGTCAGTGACACCGGGTCCGCGGGCCACGCAGATACCGGCACCCTCGTGGCCACCAACAAGGGGCAGCTTGGTTGGGATGGGCCAGTCTCCGTTCACGGCGTGCAGATCTGTGTGGCAGACACCAGAATATTTGATGTTGACGAGGACCTCGCCTGGACCTGGCTCTTGCACGGGAATCTTCTTGTACTCGACAGGGCCGCCGACCTTCTCAATGACCTGAGCCCACTGCTCCTTTGGGATCTTGTGCTGGGAGGACATTTTGGCGCTATGGTTCTTTGCTGTGAATTGGAGTGATGATTTGCAGACGAACGATGATTGATCTGTGAGCCAACATCACTCGACTTCCGGACACGGACAGCATCTTAAGTATTTGATAATGAGCCTGCCTGTCACCCCTCTGCGACTGCAAGGATGAACGGCGCACCCCTCATCCAAGAATGAGATCTGGGACTTTTCTCAAATTCGGAACCTACCCTCTCGCCCGTCCCCAGGCCACGACCAATGAAGCCGTGAAGAAAAAGCATCCAGGGTGGTATGCAGGTGAAGCGGGTGTAAGGGACGCTCGTCCTCTCGGCCAGATTCTTTGCTGCATGCTTTCGATGGCCAGACATCGAGCAAATCACGGGTGTAGAGAGACACGGTGGCGTGAACGTACAGTCAATCCCTGTTGACGGTGGAGATGCCATTGCACGGCCTGAGGGGTACGCGTGCCTCTTGCCAGCTTCGACGCGCCAGAAGCAGAAGTCAAGAAGCTCTCCCAAGTCAAAACATCGGATGTCCCTGCCGCTTCGCCGTAGGTCCACTACTAACGGGCGAATGATTGCGCAACAATCACTCGTAAACATGGCGGAAAGGACGCACCTCAGGGAAGTTTCTTGTAGAAGTGGAGGATGACGGGGACAGGCTTCCCTTGATGCGGGGTTTGACTCTGATGTTGGTGCTCAAACCGACGTACTTCGCGGGCCCTGAACATCAAAAGTGCAGCTGTCAGGTGGTATGATGCCAATGAGCACAGGATCTGGAGCCAACAATTCTGGTGTGGCTGGCTGCTAATTGGCGTAGGCACGCGACATCCAAGTGACCGACTCTTTTGGTACCATCAACCGCATGTCCGGTGGAATGAGATACGTATGTACTGCCAGCTTTTGAGCAAGCTTCGTCCTTGCCCACATAGGCATTGTGTCAACGCAATGCTGCGTCGCTAGAGTAGCATTGCGGACCACAAGTTGGGATCAGCTAGAGCTTGTCGCATCGAACAAGCGCTTCCCTTGAGCCTAGGCCTCCAAGCGAATTTGCCAAATATACCTACCATTATGGCATGAGTTGCCGTTTCGTCTTATTGAGCGTAGATGCCAACGGGACAACTGGCCTAGCAATAGTTTGAAGACGTTTGCAGATAGCTAGGTGAAGATGCTGGTTTAGCTCATCGTCGCCGATTGAAGATGGGCATCGGACCCGGATCTCTCAACGGGTCACCTTCCGTCCGAAACAGAACCCCCACCAAACCTTCCCCCACAACACATGTGCCCAGGCTGTTCGGGCATGTACTGGGCTTTCTCGGTTGATGGGTTTCCTGGGAAGGCGCTGAAGGCTAGAATTGTCTTGCTGCTTACACTGAAGATTCTGAGACGAGTCTCACTCGAGCATCAGTCATTAGGAGAGATCATTGTGATTCTCCTGTCTGGGGATGACAAGGGCGCTGTAAGAGATCGACACCAACAGGCTGTGGGCATCGGAGAACGCTCAGTGCTTAGCTCAACAGCTTGGCACCGTCCACACCGCTGTCGTTACGTGACACTAGCAGACTCATCTGTTGCCTCCATACAGAGCTATGACAATTTGGACACTATATCAATGGCGTGTTTTCGTTCGGATTTCCCGTTTATGCCATTCCCATCCCTCTGCTGTTCCTCACCCCATGCACCTCCACCAGGCGTCATGACCACAATGCGATCCCCTCTGTTCATCTTGACAGTGTTCTTCCCACCCAAGTTGACCCTCCTCTCCTGCCCCGTCTCCTCATCCTTGGTCAACCACAGATTCAATCCTTCCTTTCCCATCCCACCTCCCCACATTCCATGTGGCTTGTGCACTCTCCTCTCACTCAGGATTGAGCATTGCACCGGCTCAAGGAATTCAATTTCCCGCACCACACCATCTCCTCCAGGTCGAGCACCCGCGCCGCCCGATCCCTCACGGAGGCTAAATTGACGGAGGACACAGGGGTAGCGCTTCTCTAGGATTTCCGGGTCCGTGATACATGTGTTAGTCATGTGCGTGTGCACGCCGCTCTCGCCATCCCAGATTGGTCCTGCACCGGCACCACCAGCGATAGTTTCGTAGTAGCCGAAGCCATCTACATGCTTGGCTGTTGTCTCGTTGCCGTTGGTCATGTGCTCGCCACTGGAAGCTTCGGTTTTGCCGCCCGTGCCAAACGTCAAGTTGTTCGTGCAGCCTTGAGAGGCAGCACAGACGCCGAAAGCTTTCAAAATGACATCTGTGATGCGTTGCGAGGTCAAGACATTGCCGCCGACCACGGCTGCGTTGCGGGAAGGCGAGAGGAGAGAGCGTTCTGGAATCTTGATGTCAATTGGAGCAAGACAGCCCTGGTTGAGCGGGATGTCGGATTGGATCATGCAGCGGAGACAATAGATGATGGCCGAATGCGTGATGGCGACTGGGGCATTCGTGTTTCCGTATACTTCTGAGCCCGTGCCCGTGAAGTCAAACGTTGCAGATCCGCTGGCTTCGTCGATCTGGATCCTCAATTGAATTGGACTGCCATCGTCCATATAGTCCACAGACTCTAGTGGTTGGCCTCCGAAACGGGCGTGAAGCTCTCGCAAAAGGTTCCGGACGGCAGTTTCTGCCGTATCCTGGATGGCGAACATGTAGGCTTGAACACAACTCAGACCGTATTCGGTGATCAGCCTTGGATGAGCTGAATGCCTCGCGTATTGGCAGCTATTTGAGCCTTCAGGTCAGACAAATTGTCTGCCAGACATCGTGTACCGGAGCAGCATCATATTTACTTGGCTCATGCAATAAAAGCTCGATCATCCGGGTCTCGTTGAACTTGCCGCCCTCGACAATCTTCTCAGCTCGTATGGCCGCCCCTTCCTGCCACAGTTCAGTGGACTTGGGTGGCATGGAGCCAGGCAATACGCCGCCGATATCAGCATGGTGACCCCTCGACGCAACGTAGAAGACAATTTCTGGGCTGCTTGGCGGAAAACCGGTGTAACAACGGTAATGTCGGGCAAATGTGTGCCGCCACAGCTCGGATGATTAGAGACTAATACGTCTCCGTCCTTGAGTCTGCCCAGCCAGTGCTGATGCTGATACCTAACCGCAAATTGCATAGAGCCCAAATGTACTGGTACATGCGGAGCGTTAGCTACCAGCCCTCCGTCAGGGGAGAATAATGCACAAGAAAAATCCAGTCGCTCCTTGATATTGGTCGAGACAGAGGTCTTCTGTAAAGTGTTTCCCATCTGCTCTGCGATCGACATGAACCGGTGGCCAAAGATTGAAAGTCGAACTGGATCGATAGTAACAGCGCTAGTGCCTGTACCGTCGACAGTGACCTCCTTGGGCTGCTCTGCGTCGACGAGATCAATGACAAGACAGCTATCCAATACGTTGGCAATGGCGCCAGGTGTGACAACGATAGTCTGCGTTTCGTCAATAATGATTGCCGGACCACAAATACGAGTATTTGAAGGTACTTCCTTCAGCAGGTATACGGGCGTTCTGAGACGTCCGACGTCCTTGAAGCAGACTTCGGTGATTGTCGTAGAGAGTTGTGCTGCGGCCGGCGCTCCAGCACTCCTTAGCTGCGCAGCTGGGCTCTTCGTCCTCTGTCCTTCTGATGATGCGATTGAGCGTACTCTAACGTCATCAACCAACAGTGGCTTCTCAAACGTGAAGCCAAACTCCCTTCGATGTCGATCTTTGAAGGCTGTAGCAAAGTCCCACGTTTGTGCTGGTTTCAGAATCATAAGACTCGTGTCAGATCCCTCGTATCGCATATTGAGGTAGATCTCATGGCGAATGTGGTCCTCGTCAAAGCCTTGTAAAGTCAAATCATGCGTTGATTTTGCGATGAGCGTGTCAATTCTGGCACTGACATCTTGCTGCGACGAGCGGTACTGTATAGACACTGGTTCCTGAGCTTCTTTGACCACATCAGCGAGTGCGAGACCGTAAGCCGATAGTACCGACGAGTACTTGTGAATGATAATACGAGAGACACCAAGACATGCAGCTACCGAACAGGCATGTTGACCCCCAGCCCCTCCGAAAGCAGCAAGGTTATGGCAGATGTCTCGAACCCGCGGGCTTCAGTCAAGTTGCGTATCGGTCTTGCCATAGACTCATCTGCGACATTGAGGAAGCCAAGGGCCACCTCATCTGCTGTCAACAGTGGCCGATTATTGGCCGATTGCTCCTTGTTAATAGTAGTCGTCAGTTCGGAAAACATCTGCACTGTGATGTCTTTGTCAAGAGGCATGTCTTCTTTGGGTCCAAAGATTTTGGGGAAGTATTCGGGCAACAATCGTCCCAGGAACAAGTTCGCATCTGTGACGGTTAAGGGGCCTCCCTTCCGATAGCAAGCCGGACCAGGATGAGCAGATGCAGACTCAGGGCCTACCATAAAGAGGCCATTTCTCCATGAAAGTATCGAGCCTCCGCCTGCTGCGACAGTGTTGATGTTGAGTTGTGGCGACTGAATGGAAACACCCGCAATGCTAGCGCCGAAAACATGTTCGAAAGTCCCATCGAAACGACACACGTCGGTGGAGGTCCCGCCCATATCGAAGCCAATCACCGGTACCTGGTCGTCCTGATCCCAGCTTGTGGCGGCGAAGCCCACTACACCTGCGCAGGGCCTGACAGTATCGCCTTAAGTCCGCTGAAGCTGCGGAAGTCGACTAGTCCTCCATCTGACTGCATGAATTCGAACCGGCAATCGTGTGCACTATCCAAGCCACCATCGAAATTTGAATCGATGGAATCGATGTAGGTCTTGATAACAGGCGTCAAGTATGCGTCCGCAGAAGCGGACATGCCTCGAGGCACCACCTTGATCATCGGCTGGAGGCTGGAGGATAGAGCAACGGAAAATCCCATCGATACGGCCAACTTGCCAACCTCAAGCTCGTGTTCTGGGTATGCATATGAATGTAACAGAGCTACCGCGACCGACCTATAGCCATCCTCCCATAGCTGCGTGAGACGTCTCGACACTTCTTGAATGTCGAGTTCCCTCAGAACCCGAAACTTCTCTCCCGTTGTACCTTCAACCAGCCTGCATTCCGGATACAGACAATCCTGCGATGCGGCCGGACAAGGTATAATCCTTTCGTCTAGCTCAATGACGTTCTCGTAAAGCACGCCGATCTTGGCAGCGGATAAGTCAAAGATCTTTGGTCTCGATTGGTTGCCAATCTTCAGCAAATCCCGGAAGCCTTTGGTAGTGATCAGGCAGAGCGAGATCCTTTCCTTTCGAGCAGAGCGTTCGTGGCCACCGTTGTCCCCATGCGGAGCCTTCCCACACGACCCAGATCAAGCAGTCTGCTCCTAGGCAAGGTCTCTCCTGTGACGAATTCAAGAACTCTGCGAACACCTTCCGTTGGTGCATCTTGGTAATTTGCTGGATCAACCGATAGCAATTTCAGTATAATGTCAGGTTTTCCCGGTACAGAGGCATGAATGTCTGTGAATGTGCCCCCTCTATCAATGCTAATATTGATTTTCGGCGTTGTAGACATGGCAGACGAAGACCGAGGATTTGCAGGTATGGTCCAGTGGATTTGGTAAGCATGTACTGAACACCAGCTCCGTATGCAGTGGCTGAGATGCGCATACGATATCAGCAGGTGTCTTAGAATCGCGTTTCCTGGTCGAGAGCCGACTGCAGCATGAGGATACTTGTTTCTCTGCTTGTCTCGCCTCGACTCGCCTTGACTTGGACCTGTCGTCGGGAGTCGCAGAAGGCCTGATGGCATCGGCTTCATGAAGCGCGTCGCTCTCACAGATATACTGCCTTCCATACATGTTCGCGGCGGCCATCTTGCCGGAGCCCTATGTGTGTTCGTAAGCAGATGACACCGGCTCGTCTCTCCCTGGAAGCGTACAAGTCACAGATTTCAGGTCACCGTGACCGATTGACGTTCAAGTTTACCTAGGCACTGGCGAGGTGACCAACGCGAGGTCGTGGTCGGTAGTGGAGTCCCGGTAGGATTCTCCACAGTGGAGTACTGATCGGGAGGGCGAGCCTAGCGCGACAAGACCCATGTCAGCCGGTCTCGCTGGATGTGACCCCCGATCTTGAGATCTGTGTTCACGTGGGCAGAGAAGGACAGCACGACTACATGTATGTCGGCATCAGGGACCTGAACATTGCTCGTGTACGTTGCTCACCCTCCGGACGCCCGCGGAGCCTCAGAAGGCCTAGGAAAATATGGCATCAATAGCAACGTACCATGTGGAAGACCCGATGGCACCGCTCGCAATGAAAGAGCTGTCAGCGCCGCAGCACGGTAGTCCAGCGACCGGTGAAGCGATACGCCTCGCAGCAAGATCAGGGGCGTATACAACGCCGACGTCGGGGATCGCAGCCACCTATGTCCAGGCCAATCTAATAGTGTTGCCGAACCGATATGCGTCGGATTTTCGCTTGTTGTGCAAGAGGAATCCAGTTCCCTGTCCACTACTGGCGGAATCACGGACAGTGGGGAGTTGGGAGCAGCTGACGTCCAACATTCCGGGTGTCGGTGGCGAGCGACTAGCTAATGACCTTGATCTTCGCAGAGACATCCCTCGGTACATGGTCTACCAGGACGGCACGCAGGTGAGATCACATTGCGCGGATGTATGCAAGGACTGGTCTGAGGATCACTCGGCGTTCCTTATCGGTTGCTCCTTCAGCTTTGAAGCCGCTCTTGCAGATGCAGGACTGGTACCAGCTCACATGGCATATAATCGCAATGTTCCAATGTACGCGACCACGATACCGCTTTGCTCGGCTGGCGTGTTCAAACAGTCAACCTATGTGGTATCAATGCGTTTCTATCGACGCAAGGATGTCGAGCGCGTGCGGGACATAACGCGACCTTACGTTGCTACGCATGGCGAGCCGCTCGACTGGGACTGGTGTGCCTTAGAGCGACTCGGCATACAAGATCTCGACAAACCGGAATATGGAGATTCCCCAGTCGGATCGGATGGATTGCCTGTTAGACGGTCGGCGCAAAGTTTTTCGAATGATGGAGATGATCTAGTGCCTGTCTTCTGGGGCTGTGGTGTCACGCCTCAACAGGCTGTGATGCAAAGTGGTCTAAAAGGCACAGTCATTGGTCATGCTCCTGGCCATATGCTCGTTCTCGATCTAAGAGATTGGGACATCTTAGCTTCCTGATCACAAATGAAAAGGCCGTAGTGCCAGCGACCTAGTGCACCGAGGACAGTGGCAAGCTGTGGGAGCAACAGCCGGGCATTTTCTCCAGCTTGCGGCATGAGGATTTCTACAGCGTCCTTCCCGGCCAGGACTTCTCAAAACATCCCTCCCAGGATTTTGACGCTCAAAGACGCTCACCTCAAGCTATCGACTTGATCAGCGAAAGCACGCAAGGCCTTCAGCGCCCTCCCGGGCCTGTAATTTCATAATGAGTAGCATACGCGCATGGTGATACAGAACTCCCAGTACTTGTGTCTATAGTCCGAGTGGTTCCTGGCCGCGGATAGATGCCCAGAGCATTGCCCATCTTCAGGAGGGGTTTGAGGATGGAGACTTGTGCTTGAGGGAGGAGCGCTAGCAATTGCCTCAAGTACCATGTACAGGGCTTGGACAAAAGTTAAATGTCATTGACTGCGAGTGCTTGACTATCCTGGAAAGTCACCATGGTGATGTGCTTCTCCCCGCAACGCAGTCTCCATCCACCCTGTTGCCATGTCTATGTCTATGTTTCCCGACAGCTCCTCCCAAAATGTTGGGTCGTCATCAAGATTCAAGTCCAACGAGACATCTTGGAAAGGTTGGAAGTTTCGTTCTGCATGCAGTTGACTTTGGCCCGCAGAGCTGTCTAAATGTGTGCTTGTACCGAAGGACTGATTTGGCATAGCTGGAGCTGTTGTATCATTCACACTTGCGTACGGCTGACGTCCTATTGTGGCCAAAACCTCGAGAAGCAGGGAAAGACGGGCTTGTATGTACTCATTGCCCTTTTGAGCCATACCTCGAAGAATGCTGAGTGACGTTTCCAGCGCACTTGCGTCTCTATCATTGTATGGGAAAGCGACGTTCACCATCACGAGTGTTAGCGACGCAGAGAAAGCATGCTCTCCGTCCATGAAGCCGTACGTAGCTAGACCATGTCAGCTTCATATCTCGATACAGCCTGCCAGACTCACCCCATAGGCTCTGCCTTGCAGCAGCATCCATGATCATGGTGCTTGCACATGCGGCTGTTATTGAGTACTCAAGGACAGAGACAACATTGGCGCCGAGCCCGTCTCTCCAATCCATGGACGCAATACCCGACGCCATTTGACTGAGCCTCTGTTGACACACGTGTAGCAAGAGTGGCCTGGCAGTCATATTCAAACACTGGAAGTAGTGAAGGAAGGTCGAGATACCTTCTCGCGATAGAGGTCTGTCCAACGCAGAGAAGTCAAGCCTTAGTTCTGCTGGCACGTCCTTGAGCCATATTGCCAGATCATTCATGATCAGCTGAACAGATGAAAGCAGACTCGTTCCAGATTTGTGCTTTTTGCGGTACACGTAGGCGCCGATGTTTCCCAGTATCCTGGAAAGCTGCGTGTAGTGAGCCAGTACTCGCGGCGGCGAGAGATCCGGGTCGATACCTGGCAGTGGACTTGGCATGGCTAGATCAATGTCCTCGTCATGAATCGAGATTGGATTCCCAGACTTGACAGAAATAATCCTGTCCATACTGTACACAGACCAGAAAAGCCTTCTTCGATGCTCCCGTTCCACTAAGCTCATTCCAGGGTCATCCACTTCCCTGTGTAGGCCCAGCGATATCGCCATTCGCAAGGCCAAGCCGACGTAGAGAAAGGCGGCGTCTTTACGATTTAAGTTCTGCATGTACGGTGCAATGAGCCCAAGCACTTCAACAAACATGATTGAGCCCTCTTGATGTATATCAGGAAGCCGCCAGAGTGCATGTTTGAAGAAGGTAAATCCTGGCGGGCCGTCGTTGCCCGACCATTGATTGACTGAATACATCTGTCCGTACGCAAGGATGAGCAAGATCTGACAGTAGATCAAGCACTCTTCTCTGTTCTGGGGATCCGGCGGTCGCTTGTATATCTGCGATAGCCGTTGCTCGAAAACGTGTGGCTGCAGGAATGAAAAGATCGTACCAATGTAGACGTATTGAGCTGCAAAGAGCCTCTTAGCAAATTCGTATGGCGGAAGTTGTGGCAGTGTAAGTACTGGAGGACGACTCAAAGAGGAGGGATCTTTGTACATAGGATCAGAGTCCCATGCAAGATTATCATCTGTGACAGATCCAAACTTCTGGGCCAGAGTCAGTGAGGCCGCAGTTCCAACATAATGTCGTTCACCAGAACGCGTCAGCATCAAGCCCTCCATTCCCTTATACCACCAGTCATCATCGCGAATGTCCTGACTCGACGTTTCCTCGACCGAAGCAGGAGGTTGCTCGCTACTATACCTCGATGCTGTTGCTTCATGAGCTAATCAGTACTTTCCAAGAGAATTGAGGCGTCAAACGACCTACATAACTCTGCAGCACCAGCTCGCGCCTGTAGTTCAAGCAGATAGCTACCCTACTCAGCCCACGGGAATACATGAGTAGTATCGCGCTTGTCTTACCTCTCCGGCACCTGTATCCTTCGCTCGCTTTCAGTGTACACACATTTGGCCTGAGCTTCCTGACATGTTCTGCAGGGATGGGGAGGTGTTCCAGAACATTTCGTTTTCCGACTATCTTCCTGTCAATATGTGCTGCTGATCACCTCTTCGGGGCCGACCTACCCACGGCATCGGTTGCAAGCAAGTGAGGACCGCTTCAGTGAGCTGCTGTCGGAGGGGCGTTGGATGCTAGCATTAGGACTAGATACTGGCTCCATCTCCCAGGCTGTGGCGCGTTCATCTCAATCTGTCGTTTGAAAGACATGCAGAGTCACTCTTGCGCTTTCGTCAAAGCGTCCACGCTGCACTGCACTGACCTTGACTACTGACTTCTGTGCTTCTTACCCCTTTTCAGAGTACAGCGCAATGACAAGGCACGAGTTTGCGATGCCCTGTCGCGTCCGACCGGGTCGAGGTGGCCGAGCGGCGTTCCTGCCGAGCGACCAGAAAGCACGCAACTAGTGTGCGGCCTTGGTATATCTTGCGGCTCGTAAGATAGAGCGCGAAGCGGCCTTCGACTCCAAGGATCGAGGAACAGAGATCAATGCAGGCCGGGGATGATCTTCCGATTCAAATTGATGTCCCCGGGCTTTCGGCCAGAAACCAAGGACTACTATAGGGCACTGGCCAAGATAGGAGATAAGAGATAGCTCCTCCGACGGCACGTTACAGTGGAGCACTTGTCTACCCAACTGGAGTTGTGCTTCCCGTGCTGATCAGCGTTGCTGTCGGCGCCACTGAGCCTAGGGCTCGGTTCTCACCAGATCACCCTGGTGGTGTTCGGAATGAGAGGGACAACTGTGGAAGGGCAAATGCACATATGAGAAGCCCGACAACACAGTCAAAATGACTCGTTCACATTTTCATTCTCGAGTTCCTATTTCGGGTCACCTTGAGCTGCACCACACCATACCCAGCTGGAACAACGATGGCACAACCTTCTGTGAACGAGAAGCGTACTGACCCTGGCAATGAGGAAGCTATGATCACCAAAGAGATCACCGGAGATGGCATGACTGAGCTATACATTGATCCTGTGAAGGAGAAGATTCTGCTTGCGAAGCTGGACCTGTTCTTTACGCCCGTCATTATGCTGGTCTATCTGTCATGCTTCCTCGACAGGACAAACATTGTACGTCGCAACGCACTCAGGTCGATGCTTGTACAGGCACGGCTAATCTCCAAGTTGACAGGGAAATGTCAAGGTCGCCGGCATGCCAGAGGACATAGGCGCCTCCGCCCAGCAATTCTCGACCGCGGTGTCTATCTTCTACGCAACTTACGTCACTTTTGAAACGCCTTTCGCGATTCTGCTGAAGAAATTGACACCTCGTGTTCTCTTGACAAGTCTTTGCATAGTCTGGTCACTGACCACAATCTTCTCTGGATTCATCCACAACGTCGCAGGACTGTATGCAAGTCGGTTGGTCCTGGGAGCATGTGAGGCCGGGCTCTTCCCGTCTCTGACACTCTACCTCACCATGGTCTACCGGAGAGAAGAGCAAGCCAAACGCGTGGCCTATCTTTTCAGCTGCACCGCGTTGTCAGGGGCCTTTGGCGGGTACGTTTTCTGATCATGAACCAGGCGAGATATCACTCACCGGCTCTGGTTCATTCCCGATACATGTCCGTTCTAACAGCTCCAACAGCCTGCTGGCTTACGCGCTATTGATGATGGATGGTGTTGCTGGTTACGCCGGTTGGCGGTAAGCTTAACAATGTCCACCACTAGAAGTCTGACTGAGAGTGACGTTAGATGGGTCTACATCATCGAAGGGGTATTCTCGACGGTGATCGCTGTAGCGGTCTGGTTCGGCTTGCCCACCAATCCAGCCGAGGCATGGTTCCTTACACCGGAGCAGAAAGCAATAATGGTGATCCGCCAGAAGCAAACTGCCGAATATCTGGGTGGCGACGAATCCAAACGCTATGAGTTCTGGGTGGCTCTAAAAGATCCAAAACTTTACCTGAGCGCAGCCATCCAGTGGTGTCAGGACATTCTCCTCTATGGCTTCAGCACATTCCTGCCCGCTATTCTTAAGGCTGCCGGTCACAATAGTCTGCAGAGCAACTACCTGACCGTGCCCGTCTACATCTTCGGAGCAATCGCCTTCATCATAGCTGCGGTATTTTCAGACCGACTGAGATTGAGATCTCCTGTGAGTACATCAGCTGCTCAGGCGCACCAGCGAGAAAGCTAATCAGTAGACAAAAGTTCATCCTTTTCGCCAATATTTTCGGCATTGCAGGCTACATTATCCTCCTCACGGTCTCGTCCAACGGCGTCAAGTACTTCGCAACATTCCTCTGCGCCGTCGCCGTGTACAACGGCCCAGGCCTCAATGTTACCTGGATCAACGTCAACGTCGCTCCCCACTATCGCCGTGCAACGACTATAGGAGTCCAGCAGACGATTGCCAATACTGCTGGTATCGTCGCGTGAGTGCTATCCATCCCTGTTATCCCAAGAAAAAGCAGGGCTGACACTTTCATTGGCGACAGTGGTCAGATCTACCGCACCTCGCCGTACAGGCTAGGCCACAGCTTTTCGCTTGGCGCGCTTGCTCTCAGCCAGGTGCTCATCGTGATTAAGATTCTGTATGTACGAAATTGGAATCTCAGGAAGGAAAAGATTGCGAGTGGGCAGACGGAGGATAATAGAAAGGTCAAGACGGGTGACCGCGCACTGGACTTCAAATATCACCTGTAGGCTATCTGGCTGATCATGAAGGCCTGGACGTGACAGCCGCTGTCGAAAGCCGACATTCGTACTTCCTCGAGGCAAGGTGGGCTTGGTGTGTTCAGAGAACGACAACAATGGCGACTTGGGCTTGAGGGGAATTGGTCTGGCGGTTTGCCTAGGCCCCCTCTGCACCGGAATTTCCGAAGGCATCACCGAGAAGCCAAGACAAGACCCATGGAAAAAGCTCGGCTTTCGCGTTCGCAAATTGAACACGCTCATTGTTCATAGCACCTAGGTAGGTAGTAAGCTCGTGTAGTCATCTTGCCACAATTAGACCACGTCGCCACGAGCAGCACGCCCTCACGGTTCCATGGCCACCAGTCTAGTCTCAGTCGGAATCACTGGGACGTCCCTGTGCCACGTCGCGTGGATGACTGCTTACTTGCACCCGTTTATTCTCGCAACACGCGAGCTTGCATTGCTGCCGACACTTGGCTGAAGGCGGTCTGCTGAAAAATGCGCAAGGCAAGTAAGTACCTGATGGGGCCGTTCAGAGAAGTATTTATGTTCAATGTGAGCCTCATTTGCAACTCGTGCTTGCGGTGTTGCCCGCGGATCAGATTTCCGCAGTCAAATGCCGGGGTAAGTTGCCCCTCAACGTCGACTTGCTGGTGCATCTTCCGGCCTGAAACTATACATAAGCACTTGGACTTCTCTCATTCCTTGGTTGAAGCCTCGGCGTTCGTAGCATAGAATCAACCACCAGGAATTGACTCGCGATCCCAACACAGCCATGTTCGAACAATCAGCAACGGTACCTCTGTGGGTTAATGGGGAGGAGAAGAGCTCTTCGTCCACCTTTGAGGTTATCTCGCCCATCGACCAGAAAAAGCTTTACTCATGTTCCGGTGCTGGGGAAGAGGAAGTCGAAGCCACGATCAGTGCTGCCGAACAGGCACTAGAGTCATGGTCGCAGACTAAGCCTGAGGAGCGGCGTGACATCCTCCTAAAGGCCTCCGATATTCTGGCAAAGCGAAAGGACGAAATCGCGGAATACTCGAACAAGGAGACTGGGGCCCAGCCTCAATGTTTGCTTTCGAGGTTGGCCTTGCCATCGCAATGTTGAGGGATGTCGCTGGCAAGATCTCTGCTGCTTCAACCGGACTCCTGCCTGTCGTCTCCCAGCCGGGTCAGAGCGCGATGCTGGTGAAAGAGCCTTACGGCGTGGTTCTTGGAATTGCTCCTTGGAACGCCCCTTGTATCCTCGGAATGCGAGCTTTCGTCCAGCCGCTCGCCATGGGAAATACGGTCATCATTAAAGGTCCCGAAGCAGCTCCAGGCGTTTACTGGGCATTGTCGTCGGTCATGCACGAAGCCGGTCTTCCCAAAGGAGTTCTAAACACCATCTACCATCGTCCAGCTGACGCATCGAAGATCACTACTGCTCTCATCGCGCATCCAGCTGTCAAGAAGATCAATTTTACAGGTTCTACCAATGTTGGCGCCATCATTGCTTCTCTTGCTGGGAAGTATTTGAAACCCACAGTTATGGAACTCGGCGGTAAAGCGCCGAGTATTGTCTGCGAAGACGCAGACGTGCAGACTGCAGCGCTACAGGTATCTCTAGGGTCTTTCCTGCACGCCGGGCAGATTTGTATGGCCACCGAGCGGATCCTGGTTCACAAGAACATTGTCGATAAGTTCCGACCTGCTCTGAAGGCTACAATGGACAAGCTTCAGCCCGAACTAGGCGTGCCGCAACTTGTGACTGCTGCTCCCGTCGAGAAAAACAAGAAGTTGATTTCAGATGCTGTTTCGAAAGGAGCAGGAGTGCTCTATGGCGATGCAAAAGCGAATGAGGAGTCAAAGACAAAGATGCGACCAGTCATCGTCGAGAATGTGACGGAGAAGATGGACATCTATCATACTGAATCATTTGGACCAACCGTGTCCTTATTTGTGGTTGAGTCGGACGAGGAGGCTATCAAGATCGCGAATGATACAGACTACGGGCTTAGCTCTGCTGTCTTCACAGGAGACCTTCGACGTGGCCTCAAGATTGCGAAGCAGATCGAGACTGGGGCAGTCCATATCAACAGCATGACTGTACACGATGAGGCCAATCTGCCTCATGGCGGAGTGAAGAAATCAGGATTCGGTCGTTTCAATTCAGCGGCTGGGTTGGAGGAATGGACTCGCTCTAAGGTGATTACATGGAATGACTAAGTCGATTGATTGGTCTGATCAAAGTGCGCAACGTGATCAATGAAGATACTTAGGTAGATGCTAATAGCAGTCAACAATTTCGCGGATTGATCGTCATTTCATTCGTGGTCTTTACTGGTCTCCGTAAAAATCCATGGTCTTGGCGTGCGCCCGTGCCAAGGCCGAGCGAAAATCGCACCCTCCAATTTGAACCGCCTGCGACATCTTAACAGCGAACTTCGACAGTCGTTTCTACTACCAGTCAAACACGAAGAGACCGCCCACCATGTGTACGTCTACGGCCCCATCATCTGAGCACATACTCTGCGAACGAGCGTCCGATATGCGAACGACGTCGCCAGAGCATGAAACGATGAATGTGCGAACAATTGACTAATGATTTTCTAGCTCTCGTCAGTGGTGAGAAGTCGAACTTCCAGTTCATTCTGCGTCTCCTCAACACGAACGTCGATGGCAAGGAGAAGATCATGTACGCTCTGACCCGCATCAAGGGTGTCGGACGTCGTTATTCCAACTTGGTCTGCAAGAAGGCCGATGTCGATCTCAGCAAGCGGTATGTCTAGTGAAGAGTCCAGAGCGGCAGGGAAATCGGAGCAAAGAGAACGATGGAACACAAATACTGACATGGCTGTCATAGTGCCGGCGAAATCACATCCGAAGAACTCGAGCGCATCGTTACAATCATCCAAAACCCTACCCAATACAAGATTCCATCATGGTTCTTGAACAGACAACGAGATATTGTTGACGGCAAGGACTCTCAGGTACTGGCCAACGGCATGGAGAGCAAGCTGCGTGAGGATTTGGAGCGTCTCAAGAAGATCCGGGCTCACCGTGGTCTGCGTCATTACTGGGGTCTCAGAGTTCGTGGTCAACACTCGAAGACTACCGGCCGGAGAGGACGAACCGTTGGTGTCAGCAAGAAGAAGGGTTAGTGGTGTTGCAAGTTCTTCTTGCGGTTGGTCATATCTCGGATGGGTGAGAAGGAGCATATGAGGAACAATTCGATGTTCGAATCACATCTGACCCGCGTCATTATGGCATCACTGAAGCCGCCGGCCACTGTCTGCTGGCGTAGGAAATTCCGGTCTTTGAATGGCTGCGGCGTGTCTTCGAGACGAAGGCACAATTTCAGCTCCAGATAGAACAGATCAGACCAACAATCAGCAAGGCATTTTACGCGAAACCAATGTTAAGAGAAATTACCGATGGCCGTGCTCTCACTCTGTACCATTGCGAGGCGCCGGCAAGGCAGCCAATTTGAACTATTGATCTGGGTCCTCCGTTGCGAAGATGGGAAGGAGATCATGCTGACGTCCGTCTCGTGACACCTGTCTGTACTTGATGACCTTGCCTGGACCGCATCCTCTTTTGATCATTGCCCCGAGACTTGACAGGCTTACCGTACTATATGAGGGCACGCCACTCCCGTTTGGATCTTATGACATCTTGCAAGCCTGCCGATGTGCTCTAGCAATACACCACTCGAATTCCCACCAGTTGGAACAGAGATATGGCGCGAACTTATGCGACTTCGGTGAAGCAACACAAGCCTGCAGTGCCAACCACCAGACCGCCCTTCCTCGTTGCACCACTTGATGATCTCAGTGGAGGGGTTGGAGCAGGAACAGCAACAACACATGCATGCTTGAAAAACAGCCCAGGCATCATAGCACAAAGGCGCTTTCTCTTGCTTGCAAGCCATTCTGTGCTTGAACAGGCACATAAGACAGAGTGACGAGCTATACATGAGCAAAGTCCTCAGGACTTCCCTGCTGTGTCTCCCTTCATGAGTTGGCATTTGACCTACCCTACCTCTGAAAAGCAAACGACAGCAACGATGAAGAAGTCGTTCATCAATACCATACCGCTGCTGCTTAGTCCAGTCTGCCTAGCAGTCCTTGTCTTCGCACCTGTCTCCAGAGCATTTTCCGGCGACTTCCTGGTCACCAACATCTTCGTCGACGCGACCACCTCCCAGGATGGGGACGGGCCTCTGAACGGCTCCAATTACATCTACTGTAAGCACCTCCATGATGTTCATGGCCACAACGAGAACGTTCGCTGACATATTTTCCCACGTTCCAGTCGACTTCAACGACCAGGACACACCACAGCTCCCTACCGTCACCTGCCTGATCTACTGGCCGTCGTCTCAAAACCCTGCAATAGACAACATCGCCCTATGTGCAAATGATTCGGTCAGGGTCGCCATCTCTGCTAACACGCCCTCCTCCACCTCCTTATCAGCCTTCAGCCCGGAGAATTTTGGGATTGATCTGCAACATACCTACCTTGACAACTCAGTCGGCCAGGCACCATACAATGTGCTCACCAAATTTGGGGGGCTGAACTTGAGCTGGCCTGGGACTGAAGGTTATGACTGTGAGAACAATGACGGCGAAGGTGGGCTGTGTTGGTCCAGGACTGGGACGGCATATCTCGCTGTTGTCACGAGAGCCATTTCATAGATCTGTTGCTGCAGTACAGAGAGTGGGGTTTTGGTATGGGATGCTTGAATACAGCCGGGGAATAGAAGAGGATGGGATACTTAGGTTCGATCACTGCTGCCTACTAATAACGAATACCACGCTCGAAGCTCTCGATGAATCGACGGCACCATGAACGCATATAGTACTACGCTGAGCACTGGCATGTGCTGAATGCCGTCGTCGTCGCATCCATGGATGTCGATGATGGGTCTCGTGCGGAGTTTGAAGGAGCGTGCCTGCTCGGGGCCAAGCCTCAAACCCCACGGCAAGCGCCACCTCGTTGTCCAGGCACCAACATTTATCGTGGCTGGTAGTTGGTCATGCTGGCAAGTCGTAGGCATCATCACTCGTATCTTTCTATCTTCTTGTTCCTTTAACTGGAAGACTGTCATACAGTATCCATTCTTACACTGCCTTCACTTCTGAGCAATCTTTACGGTAGAGGGATCAGAAGGTGTTTTATCCGAAAGCCCCAACATCTCAAGAGTCCGCGACAGTCGTTAGACGTCATCGGGGCTTTTCTCGGCTCCGGCTAGTCAGGTACAGATAGCAACCGTTTCGCTTCTGCGACGGCGCGATTCACTCTATCTTCCTTCAGTCTCCTACCCATCGACTTGATCATTCGAGATGAAGGCCGTCAACCCCGTACTCTTCGCGAGCGCAGCGCTGGCAGCTATACCCGCACAGCAACCGCTTTCATTGCCCAAGAGCTTCCCAGCCGAAGCGAAGGACCTCTTTTCCAATCAACTCTCCCACCTCAAGGACGCCCTGCGCGGTCTCACTCATGAAGCCGCAGCCGTCTGGGACGAAGTCGCCGCCTTGTATCCCGAGGATATGAGCGCCGCCAGCTTCTTCTCGTCGCCCAAGAAGCACACTCGACGACCAGATTCGCACTGGGACCACATCGTGCGCGGACAGGATGTGCAAAACGTGTGGGTTGAGGGCGCCAACGGCGAGCAAGAGCGAGAGGTACACGGCAAGCTCGACACATACGATCTGAGGGTCAAGGCGGTCGACCCGAGTGCCCTGGAGGTTGACCCGGGCGTGAAGCAGTACTCCGGTTATCTCGATGATAACGATAACGACAAGCATTTGTTCTACTGGTTCTTCGAATCGAGAAACGACCCCAAGAATGATCCGGTTGTCCTGTGGTGAGTACTCTGCAGCTTCGGGAGGGCATTGGGCGCAATCGCTGACAAACCGTAGGCTCAACGGCGGACCTGGTTGCTCTTCCCTTACAGGCCTCTTCCTTGAGCTAGGCCCTGCTAGGATCAATGAGAACATCGAACTCGTCTTCAATCCATACTCGTGGAACAACAATGCGAGCGTGATCTTCCTCGACCAACCTGTCAACGTTGGATACTCCTACAGTGGCGGAAGTGTTTCGGACACTGTCGCAGCAGGCAAGGACATTTACGCCTTGCTCACGTTGTTCTTCAAGCAGTTCCCAGAATATGCTGAGCAGGACTTCCACATTGCTGGCGAGTCATATGCCGGTCACTACATCCCAGTCTTCGCTTCAGAGATCTTGTCTCACAAGAAGCGCAATATCAACCTCAAGTCGGTTCTCATCGGAAACGGCCTGACTGACGGTCTGACTCAGTACGAGTACTATCGGCCCATGGCTTGCGGAAAGGGCGGCTGGCCTGCTGTCCTGGACGAGCAATCGTGCCAGGCCATGGACAATGCTTTACCGCGCTGCCAGAATCTGATCCAGGGTTGTTACGATAGCGAGAGTGTCTGGTCTTGCGTCCCAGCGTCAATCTACTGCAACAATGCGCTCCTGGCACCGTACCAACGCACCGGCCAAAACGTATACGACGTCCGCGGCAAGTGCAAGGATAGCAGCAACCTCTGCTATCCCGAGCTCGGCTATATTAGCAAGTGGTTGAATAAGCCATCGGTCATGAAGGCGCTTGGAGCTGAAGTCGATGGCTACGACTCATGCAACTTCGACATCAATCGAAACTTCCTGTTTGCAGGCGATTGGATGAAGCCATACCATCGCTTAGTGCCGGGTCTGATTGAGGAGTTGCCAGTCCTCATCTACGCTGGAGACGCTGACTTCATTTGCAATTGGCTCGGTAATGAGGGTTGGACCAACGCTCTGGAATACCCTGAACACGAGAAGTTCAAGGCTGCGAAGACAAACGACTTGCACATCGATGGCAGCAAGGATCAGCGCAAGATCGGTTCGGTAAAGAGTCATGGCAACTTCACGTTCATGCGTATTCACGCTGCTGGACACATGGTTCCGCTAGACCAGCCAGAGGCGAGTCTGGAGTTCTACAACCGCTGGCTTGCGAAGGAGTGGTTTTGAGTGAGCAGCTAGGGCCTGGGTTCCTGTATGGGCACCGGGGTATAGACTGACTATGGCAGACGACCATGTGCATGCTCTGGGCTTTTCCATTCCTTACTTCCGGCGAGGTTGCCTTTGTTGAACAGGTTGTCAGGTGGACTCGCGGGCGCAGAAACGCTGTGCTACTGTGGTATCAATTAGTAAATTCAGGCAATCGCTCGATCCCCGAAACCACGTCTGCTATTACTCGTGCTGTAACCGCTCACTCTGGGAAGCGTGTGTGTGCCCCACGAAAGATGTACAGTCACTGCACGCTCTAGTATGCATATACCGTGGGCACAACCCATCAACTACGGGCCGGGCCTTTCTAAAAGTCCAAAGATCTTAGCGACAAAAGTCATCGATGTCTTCCGTCCGAATTCCGAATACCTCGTCGAGGATGCCCAGCTTGATGACCTGCAGAGTCCCTGGGATCGCCCGGGCGCCTATTGATAGAAAGAATGCTGCATCGCTAATGATTGGCAGATGGCGGGTGGAGGTCTTTTTTCTATCACACCAATCCAGAGGCCTTTAGCAACGTCTGTTCTCCACTTCCCATATTCTACGCGCCCAATGCTCAACCATCTTCGTCCTTTCCCCGACCACTTGACCTCTCACGAAAGAGCACCTTTTCGCAGCGAGCTGTCAATGGCTGGAAAGCTCATCATGCAAGCTTGCACAACACGCCTACGGCTGCATCTGCAATGCGGACGGTCGCCACCTGGTCGACCCTCCCACCCTCAATCCTGTGTGGCCATCCTCTGTTCGTGATCCACCCGTCGCCTTCTCACAGAGACTAAATATGGCTTTGCCTGCCTCATCTGAACGTTCTGCGACCTTCAAGCAAGCAAGTCTTGTTAATTTTACCCTTTGCATAGGTTTGGAAGAGCTATCTTACGTTGTCGCTTGTACCGTCTAATCTTACCGCTGTACACTGAGTGCCTGGAGCATTCAACAATTAATTCATCAGAATCAACTCAATCATCGACGAGAATAGCAGCACTGGTTTGCTGCGTCATCATCGCGCTTTGCTCAAGGCGACCGCATTATCGACCGCCTCCTCAACGCACCTGAGCCGGCCTCTTGTGCTGCTATTCATACGACGATACTGGTTCTGATCGCCGTCACTGCCCTTCAGTGTACAGCAAGGCAGACACCGCTCGACAGGTTCGACGGGTCGACGACTTCTTCAATTTACTCTTGGGCAGATTCCATTGTCGCTGGTCGACAGTGTCCATTGCTCTCATAGCTAATTTCGCCTTGCAACCAAACCGACTTCGCTCAACGCTTCAGCGTCGCCAACCTCGTGGTCTATTTTTCTTTCACGGCTTGAGGACCACTTGGCCTTTCTATTCTTTGTCTAATACTTAATTTATCCCATTTCTCGGATCGACCCTTGACGCATCCGTGGAAGACACTGCTCCTGGCGAGCACTGAATCGGCATATCAACCCATCCCCTAGCTCGACCTCGCTCTAGGCACTGCAGGCTTTGCCGCACCTCTACAGCTGCACTAACGCAGTGCCGTCATCTAATCCACACACGCGCGTCTGTCAACCAGTAAGCGCAGCCGCGACCTGCACCTCCCAGTGCCACCGAGCTATCTAAGGGCTCTCGCTTCAGTGATCTCCCTCCCAGATCTTGTCGTTCCTCTCTGGACAGGCACTATTCTGGTCCACTGCTCTTCCGACAACTCGTCTCCAGCGTTCCATCCGGATCTACACCATTTGCTACACGTACAGCTGCCGGCCAGCCGTGCATGATTCCGTGCCTTGCTTAGCACCACCGACTTGCCTGGGCTTTCTATACAGGCTATCAATCTAATCCAAGGCTCTCAGCAACCTTGTGCGTATCCTGAAAATCCAAGGGAAACGATCCATCTTTGGACATAATTCTAGTTTTGGACATCTTGCATATCTCGTACTACCACGACTAAATCTGCATCTAATTTAATTTTACGAAGCATTCTGTTTACGATCTACGACAGTCTCAACGACAACAGCATTTTCATTTATCACGATCCTGGTTTCGCGATTACCTGGAATCATTCCACCATTTCAGCAATTTCGAAGCCCACAGTCAAGTTGCTCTTTGCCCGGTGATTGAACAAAATGTCTACACCGACTGTTCAGCTTACATTCACCCTACGCACGTCGCCTAACGTGCGAACGGTACACTTGCTCGGTTCCTGGGACAAATACCAGAAACAGCTACCCCTTTCGGCCATCAAAGATCCTTCAGCCAAGCCCGGATCTTGGAAAGGCACCTTCCGCTTCCAAGGCGCACATGCTTTACAGCTAGGATCAAGGTACTGGTACTACTACATTGTAGATGGTCACCACGTATCACATGATCCTGCTAAGGAGTATATCACCGAGAAGACCACTGGGCGCAAGCTCAACATTCTCGATGTACCTGGCGGAAAGTCTGGCAGCGACAGCAAACAACGTCCGAGCGTTCAAACACAAAATCTGAGCGGTAGCAACCGCCACTCACGCGACATACCTCAGGGCCGAGGCATAAGCCCGAGTAAGATCGCACATCCGAAGCCTTCCAAACCATACGAATCTCGGCATCTACGCGAGGCAGACTATGACAGGTCGCCCGTAGATGATCTGGAAGACCGCTTTGCTGCGACTCGACTCTCTGACCGAGACCGTCACGGCAAATACTCATCGAGCCCTTCGGATTTGTCGGATGACAGCTCCTCGAGCGGTCCGATGTTCTCGAGTTCAAGTCCAAGCAGCATGAGTAGCTCGAGTGATCGATCATGTCGATGTGAGAGATATGGCGTTACAAGAGCAGGGCAAAGAGTGAAACTTGACTGTGGGGGAGCAAAATGTGGTTATGGGAGTGGGAACAGCTCAAGTGAGTGTTCGAGTGAGAGCAGTGACTCGGAGGACGAGAGAAGGTACAGAGCGCAGAAGGAGGCGGCGAGGAGGAAGGCGGACGCTGGGAGACATGACTCGGGGAGGCACGATTCTGGAAGGCATGATGATCATCGGAGATCAGCACATGTTGTTGATAGCGGCCGAGAGATGATCATGCCGTCGCATTCGAGGCGAATGGAGTTTCGATGCTCGCTGTTGGCTTTGGTCACAGCGTTGGACATTCTCTCGCGGCGATCATTACACCGTCATGCAGCAATGAGCTGCACACCAGTACGGATCCTGATCAGCTAGACAAGTCAGCAAGAGGGTTGAGGACGTGGTTGCGGTTGCCTCTGCATCTGATGCGAGCAACTGCTTCACCGGCATGGGGGATGTGAAAGGAGGAAGAAGTGGCAATGCACATCGTTCTTGCCATCAGACTGTCCCAAAAAGTCTGTTGCAGGTTGTCATTGCCGGCGAAGAAAAGGCAGGGGAGTCTATTGGCAAGAGCAAGCGCTCATGGACGCGCCTTCTGGGTTTTCTAGGGTTGGAGTAGCTAGAGCCACCAAGACATCCATGCCTGCGCGACAAACCTCTTTCTTCTCTCCATCTCTACTAAATGTGTCTAGCCCCAACCTGCCCAACAGCAGGAAGTCCGCTTCCCTTGACGCCTTCTCTGTTCACAAGTCACCTGGGTCAGGCACGTACTGAGATTGTTCCTCGCAGCGAATGCGCACTGACATCAGCCCCACCATCCTCGCCCCAGCGATGCAATGCATACGAGAGCAGGAAAATATCTCCAGCATCCACATGACCATTCCGCGTCCTTTCATCATCACGCTACACACGAGAGCCCATACGAGTTCCAGAAGCGGGGTCATGCCAGTGGCATGATGTCTTTACTGTGTTTTCACCGTATCTCCCATGTACAGGGGTGCCCACATCCACTCACCACCGTAGCTACAAAGTCGACCAGACTCGGCAGATGATCCATCCTGCCAATCCCGACTTATGACACGCCTCCCCGCGATCTCAACTGCCAGTGTATCCCCGCGCCCCAGACAACGCTAATCTGCGCTGAGTTAAGCACTATGGCCAAGCGACCAAATCGTGAACATACCCCGTATTTCAAATCGCGTTGGTGGTCGCTAACATCACTCATCACTCATCTCCGCTATATCACGTCCAATGACGGTCTGTCGTCCTTGCATGAGGACCGTGTTAGCGTCTACTGCCCATGTGTCCACTAGATTTCTCAAGTCACCACAATGGGGCTCGGCATGCGAGGCTGCTTGGATATCCTTCCTGCAGGACACGACAGCTGTGTTTGAGCTCATGGCTCTGGCCCCACAAGTCATAAAGGCACCGCTTGGAAGCCATGGAGCAGCTGATACGGAGCTGTTGGTGAAGGTGAGTGGTCTGGATACGCCATTAGTGCCTTCGGACGCAAAAGTCGTTCGGACGTGATAAGAAGGGAGAGCGCCCTTCCGATGCATTTTCTTTGCGCCTGCTCACCATTATTTGCGATACCTCTTATTGACCTCTCGCCGCTCGACGCCAGCATCCGACAGAAGAAGACAGAGGTCGTGCCCGATCACGAACGCAGTCATGGCTACCACCAATGGCAACCATCACACCTCTCGGACGACTACATCGAGCCGACGGGATCTAAGAACACACTCACCCCAACGGTGACGAATCTCACGATCACGCCGGAGATGTTCGAGAAGGTATGGGCTTCCAGATTTATTAGATCGAGCTTGTAAGAGCTTCATAGCGTCCGGACCACGACTAAGAACATCTCCTACAGCTCTACCTGACACCTAAAACTCCACGTGTTGGAGACCTCTCGAAGCGATTCGCCAACCCTACGCCGCTGGGCTTCATTGGGTATGTCTGCTCAGACATGGCTATTGCCTGATCATTGTCACGGCTGCCAAAGCTGACAAACATGCCAGATTCGTGATTTCGACGCTCAGCTTCTCGATGGTGCTAATGGGATGGGGTGGTGCGAGTGGCGCCTCTGCACTTGCGTGAGTCCTTACAGGTAGATCTGCCGTTCGATCATGTACTGACGAGGTGGATTAGGGGGATGTTCATGTTTGTCGGACCTCTGCTGCTCCTTTTGACCACAATTGCGGAATGGATAATGGGCAACTTTTTCTCGATGATGGTCTGCGGTCTATTCAGGTAAGCATCGACCGTCGCTCTGCACTTCGACTAAACACCACGCTGAACATGTTACATAGCGTCTTCTGGCTCTCATTCGGCTTCCTTCTCCTTCCAACACTGAACCTGGCGGGAGCTACTCTACTACCGGCTCGGCAGCAGAAGGAGCAGTGAGCAAGGAGTACAATGCTGTGATCGCGCTGTACCTAATCGTTTGGGGCTTTGTGCTACTGATGTTCTTCATCTTCACGCTGAAGACAAACATGGTCTTTGCCGGAATCTTCCTGTTCGTGACACTTGGTGCATGGATCCTTAGCGGTGCATACTGGAAGGTCTCGACGGGTGATTATGATCAGGCTGGAAAATTGCAGAAGGTGAGTTAAGATCATATGTCTCCGCGAAGAAACTGTTTGGCAGGCAAGCGATGCTGACACATACGGGAATAGACAGGAGGAGCTATGCTTTTCATCGTAGGTCTTCTGGGCTTCTATATCACGTTCGTCATCATGGCGGCGGAGATGAGACTCGCTATCAACCTGCCAGTTGGCGATCTGAGCCACTACTGGAAGAAGACGGACGTCGAGCTTGCTGCCGCCGCGAAGGAGGCGTGATTAGCAGCATCGACGGCCTGGAAGGCAACAGACTGTCGGCTGCCTACATCTTAATCAAACATCAGCAGACGGAGAAAGTCTATGGTCACGATGTGCGGAGCGAGCCGGGAAATGAGGGAAAGTGCATCTAGCATTTCGACAAAACAAAATCTCAAGCCTCCCAGGCTACTAATAATGAACCCCCAACCAATTCCAGTCCGCGAACATGCCCGCCGCCTTCTTCACCACCTTCTCCGCTGCTGCCGACGCAGCTGCGGATGCAACACTCCCAGCAGCCGCACCGCTCGTGCTAGCCCGTGTCGCATGCGGCACAACCCCACCCAACGGTGTCGTGCTCGTCGTCTTCGTGGCAACACTCGTGCTCGTCACCACGCTCGTGCTCACTACCGTTGCGGTAGTTTGCGCTGCCTCTTCCGCGCTATTCAGGTTCATGCCCCTGCTCAGCTCCGATAGCATTTCCCGTGGCTTCTTCACGGCGGTCCCCCACACAGTTTTCATGTAGTCCGTGGCAGATGCGACTGGCCCTGTGACCGCACTCTTGAAGGGTTCGCTGATGCGTGTTGCCTTTGGAAGGTTGGCCATGCCCTCACGATCGACCTTCGGAAACGTTTTGACCACCTTCCTGGCGCCGCGTTGGAGGCTGAGTGGGAGGGAGTCGGTCCATTCGAGGGATTTGATCAACTCGACGCTGTGAAAGAACCTGGCGGATACGTCGCCCGGCATGCTCGCGATGATGTCTTTGGCTGTCGCGAGCTGTTGTCGGATATCGGATACGCTAATGCCACGGAGCTGGGAGAGTTTCTCGATCGTCCAGTGGGGGACGTCCCAGCCTTTGTGCCAGCAGATGCAGATGACGATGGCGAGGAGGAGGGTGTAGTTCTCCAGACTTGTGCCGTGGGGAGCGATCAAGCGATTCCATGTCTTGAGGAACTTGTCGTGTGCTGCGAGGCCAAGGCGGCCGACGCTGCCGAAGGGTGATTGTGTGGCCCGATGGATGCGTGCTTGGGAGACGGCGAGGGCTAGGGAGACGCGTTCGGACTCAGGCAAGGGTTTGCCGTAGCGCCAGCCCAGGCGAGCGTCCACGTCGAGGATATTGCGCTGGCGTTGGCGGCGGGTGTAGTCGTACAAGGCACGGGCGTTATCGTCGGAGTGGCCTGGGGTGTAGACGAAACGACGCTTGTGGTTGGAAGACTTTGAGGAAGTTGTTGAAGTCAGCTCTGAGTCCGACTCGGAGCTAGAGCTGGAGTCGTCCATAAGCTCGTCTTCTCCGTTATCGCTGTCGTCGCCTGGAGGACTTGGTGGAGGCGAGCCACTGGCGCCTCGCTTGCCTTGCTGCTTAGTCGGCTTCGCAGGTTCGGTGTGCTTCAAGCGGTATTTTGCGATGAAGTCCTTCTCGCTTTCCTCGACGTAGTTATTCTCCAGGTATACGTCGTGCGTGGAGATGTGTTGGCACATACTGACGTAGCTCATGCGCATGGGTCCATTCTCTTCTTCGTTCCAGGGCCCGTGTTTGCTGTGGTCGTACGTGTACCTCACTTCATCTGGGACCAGAGGATAGATCTCTGTGCCATCGGGCAGTACACCAGGCAGCTCATCAGCAGAGACGCCATTCTTCGTCAGTTCCTCCTGCAGCTTGCCCAACTCTTCCATATCGGGACCGTGCGGAACGTACATCTCCACACGAGGGAAGCAAGTCATCCTGATGCGAGGCCGGTAAGGCTTGGTGTCGTTGTCGCCGTCTGTGTCAGCGACGCCATTCGGGAAGCTGAGAGCATCATCACGAATTTCCTTGCTGGCGGAAAACCCGTGGGCTTGTGTGCGGTAGACCATGTCCTTGTTGATGCAGTTCTGTGGGGCTTGCTGATCGCCGTACCACTTCTCGCCCTTCTGGATATGTTGAGCAAGGTTGAAGACTGTGCCGTTGCGGCCGGTCAGGATCAAGGACCAGCTGAGAGCACTGGCTTTGGTAAGGAGCGCCTCAAGTGCGTTTTGCAGATGTTGACGGGCGTCGTTCGCTTCCATGCTCTTCGATAACTGGAATTGACGGGTCGTGGGGTCGTATGAGAAGACTTCGTTGGGGAGTAAAGGCGTCAAGACATCGAGAAGTTGAGAAGCCAGACCTTCCACAGCGCTGGCACTGGCAGTCTTCCAGTCATGATGGTCGAGAATGTCGCGAAGTAATGAGGCGCGGTGTTTGACGCGAACGAAAGAATCGTACCTTAGATACTCGAAATCGATGTCGTCCATGGACTTGGCATCGTCTTCGGACAGACCAAAGGACGGGACCGAGAAGATATGCTGGCGAATGTATTCGCCGATCACACCATAGACCAGCGCAGATCGAGAGTGCGGCGTGGCGAAGAAGTGCTGCCACCCGTACTGGCTACCATCAGCAATGAACTGCGCAGTCATCATGAGGGGTCGATAGCGCTCAGCGAGTTCATGCAGTGGCCAGTCCTCTGGTGCTTCCAGCTCAAAGCTGAAGTTCTTCAGGGCGAACTCGTGAAGTTGCGCCTTCAACTCGGCGAACAGTGCGCCAACCTCGGCTGCTGCATGTATTGGCTGTGGCTCCTTGACAAGACCTATGTTCAATTGCTCTACAGCGTCGTAGGTGACATGCGTGCGCTTTCGGGGTTGATCGCTTCCTGGTGAAGAGGCTCTGCGACGTTTGTTTGTGGCTTTGGCCCATTTGGGTGAGTCGACAGCTTCGGTAAGTGAACTTCGTGGGGTTTGACCAGCATACCTGGTGGGTTGAGGGATGTTCACCACTTGCGGCTTTGTAGGGACTTCTGTTTCGGAGTCACCGATGACTCGTATTGTACGGTAGGAGCCAGTAGTTCCGCGTCGGGCCTTGGTTGGTTTGAAGTCCTTCAGAGTATGTACTTGCCGGACCGCTGTGCTGGCTTTGGTCACGACAGGCTCTGGCGACGTAGGCGATGTCGAGTTAGGCGATGTTGGGGACTGAGGCAGGTCTGCGAAAGTGTGAAAGTTCTTCCGCAGTCCTACTTTGACATTTGGTGGGCGTCCTGGCGTTCGCTTGGGCTTCGTGTAGTCATTCAGGTCGCGCGATACGCTGCCTTTGACAGAAACCCTCGGAGTCCATTGTACTGCCTTCTTGTTTGGGACCTTCGAGACAGAGGACCGGCGAATGGCTCCCATGTCGCTCCCTCGTTTGGCTGCCGCCGTAGCCTTGTCCTGGGCGGCCTTTTGCTGCGTGCGTGTCTTTGCCATGGCTTCTGTCGGTCCTACGAAGTGAACAGAAAGTGCAATGGGTTCATAATATCAGCAGAGAGAAGCACAAACGATGGACAAAAGTCAAAGGAAGATATGAAAGCGTTACACTACCATGACTTGTTCTGCTTGCTTCAGATGCTGTTTGCGGCGGGAAGAACGACAAAGCCTCCGCAAGCGGATGTCAAAACCAACGACGATACTTACAGGTTCGCCGTCGCTGCAGGAGCAGGGCATCGCTAAGCCGGGCTCCATTGTTCAGCAACATCTGGCGGATCATATTCACTGGTACAATACAGTCTCTTTTTGAGCCGTGCTGGTGGCAAGATCGGCTTCGAGGATGAGAGAAGTGATGAACATGGGCAGTTCACCCTGTCAGCACGGACCACGTTCCAGCCACAGCAAATGTTTGCGAGACGTCATGCTTCTGAGCACGACCGTGCGCACTTGGCGCGCAGTTCGAGGTGACGCAGCGAGCTCCGTGACATCCCATCCGACGAGGAGGACATCTAAAATGTTGCCCGGCTGTTTGTAGCTAGAATTTCGAGACTCATTGCTGGGCGGTAAAGATTCTCATCCTGGGGGAAAAGCCTTCCAAGACGAGCCTCACTCGAGTCATGCTACCAATAAAAAGGCAGGTAGGGCCCCGAAGTCTTAGGTGCTCAGATCAGTGATTTCCAGCATGCTCTTAGCCGCAGGGATCTGTACTGTGTTGGTCCATGCTGTAGCAGGACGTCTGTCTTCATGACATGCATAGCGAGGAAGAGAAGTTGCTCTGCGACTGTCCACGCCTCGAAAAGTACAAAATACTTGAGGAATTGTAAGGGTCGAAGCTCTTGGGCGGTTAGTGTAGTGCGCTGCGCGATCTCTTGAGCTTCGGCGTAGCTGAAGAAGACTTTGCCGTGGTTCGACTCTGGCCATTCTTCAGGAGCTGCAGCTTTGTGATCTTCGACACTTCAAGACGACAAAGATCAACGTGGTGCTTGACTGTGGCACAGACGCAGACAGAACATCAGTCCAGATTCATGCTTGTTATGCGCGAGGCTGCAGTCGCAACTAGTGCAACTGATCGACTGCGGTTGACTTCATGCAGCCGACCAACTACCGGCGTCCAAGCTTGCCTTATGCGGTATTCTCAGGGCCTTGCACTCCTCATGCTTTTGGCCTGCATTCGAGATCTAGAATTGGAGTGGCTGCAAGCGAAACAGCAGAGCCGAACCAACAAGGATCCCCCAGAATCGCTGGAACGTGCCGAAGCCGATGTTCTCCCATTCTGGTCCTCGAGACCAGTCAGGTCGGACGCGATTCTCGCCAGGGTGAAGCTCGGAAGGGCCGCCTGCGAACAACAACCGCAGTGCACAAGGCGAGATCCAGGATGATTGTGATCGTTGTCAGATCAGCTGTGTAGAAAGAATGGTAGTATCCTGCTAAGTAAAGCTCTGGGAGACAATTGTGTTCAGTCTCGAGATATTGACAATGTTCAGCAGTCTTCACGCCGGAGGGCGGCGATGACTCCCCGCATATCATGAGGAAAAGATACCCGTTGAGTCACTCAAACTTGAGTAGCCGCAAGAAGATCACAAGGTACCTAGGTAGCCGGCGGTACCTGCCGCCGAATCCTATCCGGCTGATGATTTGCATTCCGACGTTTGACGTGTAACTGGGTGACGTGACGATATGTGCGTAAAATGAGCTGGTTTCGAGATTAGCCGGTGAGGCCGTGAATGAGCGCCGTACAGGATCGACCACAGCTGATGACTTTTTCCGGGGTGGTGCATCGATGGGCCCGCCCTACAACCAGTGCCCAACATGCCCTGCTCTGTTGATTTGTGCTTGTGACTCGAAAAAGCTCGTGATAGTCCAACTTACAACCTGGCTGAACCCCAGAAAAGAGGCACATGTGATATGCAGGGAGAAACAATCGCGGTCGGTTGTGCGGGGGATTACTCGTGCACTCTGTCGTAGTGCTCATAGTTAGCGCTAGCATCACCCGGCACAGTCAGCTCGAGATCACAGAAGTTCGAAACCTGTTCTTTTCGGATCGTTCCTTCCACCCGTATCATCGTCCTCTGCTATGGGGGCCATGATCGCCTTGCTTGGGGCGATCAGATCGGTCTGCAGAATCTGGGGCATGATGTACCCAGTAGTTTCAGCACGGTAGGCACCCAACAAGAGCTGTCAGAGCTTGGGTGATGGTCCTGAAATCTGCACTCAATCTCATCTCCAGGATCTCGATCCGCCAACAGTATTGCCACAAAGCACTAACGGTATTGCCACGCTGCGAGAGACACCGCAGACGAAGCAAGATGCAGGGGTTTCGTTCGTTACTGAGGGCCGAAAGGAACACCCAGGCTCCCTAAGCCAATGGGCTGTGGATGATGCCTATACCCACTCACCCAGTAGCTCGATGCCACAAGGAGCCCCGCGGAACTCATGCTGGTTGAAATTTACCACCTGGGGCACCCTCGAAAGGCCTGTGGCTCTGCTGAAAGTGCCTTGTTCTGCAGCGTGAACGAGCTCATCCCAAGGCAGACCTACGATATCGTCTTGAATTTGCGAATTACGCAAAGAGCACTTGAGATTTGGGGCACAGAACTCGTGTACAATAATGCCACCGCGGGCTCTTGCTTTTCTGGGACAAGAAGACGGTGAAGAAGCTCGAGCTACAACTGCACGGTAAAGTAGCAGACAATGCTCTGGATGACCGCTAGTCGCAGTGATTGCCACCTCGCACATCCACTTTTCGACCTCTGTTTTGCTCGATCGCCCGGCCATGTCCAAGTCCGTCTAGGCCGTTATAGCCCAAATCCCGGACCCTGGCTACGCTGGGCGTGTGGTGCATGGTGCCTTGGAGAGGTGACCCGCAGCTCCGCTTCGGTCTGGGGGTCCTTGGTTCGATTGGGAAAAACCATGTGAGCAGAGAAAAAAGACAAGACGGACTACCTTACTACTAGAGAGGAGCCCACCGTGCAGTGGTACTGTTCTCTGTCGACGCCGGTCCGTCTTCCATTTCACTGTAACTGTACTCTCCACCTCGCACTCAGCGCTGTTGACAGTCTCTGGCTTGTCTAGAGCTACTATGCTGCATCGGTCTTTCGTTTACACAGCAGCCCAGTTGCACCTCGGCAGTCATGCTGTCACGAATTCCTTCGCACCCGCATAGCGGGTACCCCAACTATGCCGATTACCACCCACATCGAGAACTGCTATCTCAGCCTCACTTGTCCAGCATCCCGCACTCAAATCATGAGTCGAAGTCGCAGATGTACGACGAGATGAATTTGCAAGCAGGGAGGAAGAGGACTGGATCCGAGCTGGACATGAATGATGCTATGGACGCTCATGGTGTCCGGCGCCGCATCTCGCGAGCTTGTGATCAGTGCAATCAGCTAAGGACCAAGTGTGATGGAAAGCATCCTTGTGCGCACTGCACCGAGAATCAATTGCCTTGTGAGTATGCACGGGCTCACAAGAAGCGTGGGCGAGCTCCGAAGAAGGACACAGATCAGAACGAGGACGTCAATGGGCATCAAAATAATACCGGTACACACACAAATGGCACGCAGCGGCCAACGAACCCTCGGAAATACTCGACTACATCATATGCTGGAACGGTTGACAATACACTGCCATCTAACAACACTCCTACAAGCGCAACATTCGATGGACCTCCACAGAACACCTATTACAATGGTTTCGATCACACCACCAACATGGCTTTGAATCCTAACGGCCAAATGTCTGCTAATCAGATCGTTAACGGTCAGATCCCTCCAGCGCAAATTCCCAATATGGATCAGACCATGATGCCTCAGATCGCCCAGCCCACATTTCCAGTGCCGGACCATCGTAGCTTTGCGGCTCAAATGGATAGCATGCACAACTCTGCTGTGACAGGTTTTGGCTTTCCCCTAGGCGACGATTACTCGGTGGCATTTATGGGGAAGGCGCCTATGGTGGAATCGCCTGACTGGCTGGCTCTAACATCACCAATGTACATGACAGAACCGCCTCTGAATCAGCCGCGACCCCCAGATCAGCTAAAGTACCCGGTCTTGCGTCCACTCTTACCGCATATCGAGTCAATCATGCCGCAAGCTATAGCATGCGAACTGCTTGAGCAATACTTTAACAGCTCGACATCAGCATATTTGCGACCTTCGAATCCATACATACTCGGCTATATCTTCAGAAAGAAATCAATCCTGCATCAGACTGAGCCGCGGTCGTGTACACCAGCACTTCTGTCCAGTATGCTCTGGATCGCTGCCCAGACCAGCGACTCGGCATATTTGACAAGCCAACTCGATAGCCGTGCACGAATTTGTCAGAAGCTCTTGGAATTGACAATTAGTATGCTCAAGCCACTGATTCACAGCAACGGCAATAGCATCAATCCAACGCCAAGTTATCAACACCTCTCGGCTTCGGACGCAAGTCTAGCTGGATTGGTCGTGCCGACAGACCGCGTTGGCAATCATGGTGTTGATCGTGTTCAGATTGACAACCTGGCAACCTACATTCACCTCGCGACAGTCGTCTCTGCGAGTGAGCGTAAAGCCACTTCTCTGAGATGGTGGAACGCAGCTTGGTCACTGGCCCGAGAGATACGACTTGGACGAGAGCTGCCACCGAACCCGAGCTCAGACAAAGACGCGGACGAGCATAAACCAAAGTTGGGCGACGTTGACCCCCGCAGAGGATCTATGGACGAGCCACGCCCTAATACGCAGTTTGTATGCGAAGAAGAACGAGAAGAGCGCCGACGGACCTGGTGGCTATTGTACATGCAGGACCGCCATCTTGCACTTTGCTACAATCGACCTATGTTCTTCCTAAATCGAGAATGCGAAAACCTGCTTCAGCCCCTGGACGATGATATATTCCAGTCTGGTCGCTTCGACTCCGCACATGAATATGGGTCACGACGTCGTGGTCTCAACATTGAATGCACATCACATTCAATATTCGGGTATTTCTTGCCCCTAATGGTGTTGCTCGGAGAGATCTTGGACCTGAATCACGCACGCAACCGGCCTAGATTCGGCCCTCGTGCAAGTCGACCTCTTTCCTGGGACGATTCGGTAGAAGAGATTTCACAGGCACTGGAAGCGTTTGGCCAGTCACTACATGATTTCACTGCAGCGGGTGGACGTATGCAAAATTCAGACCAGAATCCAGATGCCGTAACGCCATCCGTTGTGAGCACGAGCACTACCGATTCAAGCGAGATCTCTCTACAGACGCGAACAGCGGTCGCGTACAGCATGCATATTATGCATGTGCTCCACATCTTGCTCACTGGAAAGTGGGATCCCATTGCTCTTCTGGACGATAACGACCTCTGGATCTCTTCGAAGTCCTTCTACGCAGCAATAAATCATGCCGTCGACGCTGCTGATGCTGTGGGAGATATCATTGACTTCGACCCGGACCTGAGCTTCATGCCATTCTTCTTTGGAATCTATTTGCTGCAAGGCAGTTTCCTGCTCCTGTTGTTTGCAGATAAGATGCAGCATGGCATGCCCGCCGAAGTCAATTCTAAGGTGGTTCGAGCATCCGAGACCATTGTCAGAGCTCACGAAGTGTAAGTGGCTCAAATGCCAGCTATGATGACTTTCAAACTAACGTCACTACAGATGCGTTGCTACCCTCGACACTCAGTATCAAAGGAATTTCAGAAAGGTTATGCGTTCAGCATTACAGCAAGTCAAAGGTCGCATATCAGACGACCTAGCGGAACAGCAGCAGTGGCGCCGAGAAGTTTTGGCCTTGTATCGCTGGACTGGAGATGGGACTGGACTGGCTCTATGAAAGGAAAGCCGCACCGGATTGCGGCATGATCGGAACGCGAAAACGAACATTCTTGAGGCTACAGGCCATCTACTCGGCAGTCGCGACAATGATGCTCGAGCGATTGCCTTGTGTACTACTATTCTTGCAGAGGCGTGCCTTCTCGAACCACGAAACGCGGTTCTTGCAGCGTTTATACCCCGTACATACTTAGCTAAAGGAATGGCAGGAACAGTGATGGAGCACTCTCCCTTCCCCTGGAATCTGAGTCCTCATTCTTGCACAAGGTCTACTTTGACTGGAGTTACCCACCAGTCCACGTCAGTATTCTTACATGTCAGAGCACTCATCTACGGACTATTCTTTCGAAAGTGTACATAGGTAGGTCCTCACCTATACTTTCCGACTTCCTCCAAAGACATCAGTCCTCACGAATCCTCCTCGCCCTGAATCCATCATTTGGGCACGCATAGCCCTCAAAACGATTCCCGAGATCTTGACCCGACGAACCCACGATTCCCGACGGACATCCCAGAGTTTCTCGATTTCATCATTGACGAAATATCGCTTGTCCATCCCCACAGTGTACCACCATACGCAAATTGGGCCGCGGTGCCGATCTTCTCAGGGTCTGGCTAAAACTACGCCACATTTGAATTCAGGCTAAATTCCAATGTTCACCTCACACAACCATTACCGCAACATATGCCTTGACCTCAGACCGAAGGAACATGTCATAGAGGATTACTTGATGCTTTGAAAAGCCAATGCTCTGCCAGAAAGCCTCATCAAAAGTATGATCCTCAAGATCGTCGCTTTCTCCATCGCCAACATGGCCCATCATTACAGAAATTCACCAGCCCTGGATGGCCTCTCCATGTAAACCAGACCACTAATACGGTCTAGCCAGCACTGGTGCCTTACATCTTCTGGTCGACATGGATGACTAGCCAAGTCAAGGTCTTTGAGTCCAGACGAGGTTTTGCGCCAGTTGCTAGCGAGCATGATCGTAGACATTGGTGGAGAACCAAGACGAGCTTCAAGGCACGCTTCTGTGTACGAGCGATATCCTGCATTCGATGTTTCACTTTGATGTCGACGATCAGGACTCGGCTCGTCCCATGTGTTGTCTCCATTCTGTGAGATGGCTTCTCGGAGGGTTTGAGCTGGGTCCGCGGCGAGACCGAGCTAGATCCTGTCGCGCCACTCATTTCGCATCACACGGTAGCTTATGGAGTTGTGGGCACGCAACTCCGGCACTTCACTGGATCGGCGACGCCATGGCCCATAGTCTCGATCTCAGACGATACGAACGCGTTCATCGTTGAGTGGACTCGCCTCATTGCCGAGTCAAACAGAAATGCACCTGATCTCTCTGGTGTGCCTGAAAATCGACGCTCAATCGTCCGCGTGATCTCCTCAGATGTTGCCGCTCGGAGGAACGGATGCTGATTCCAGGAGAATGCCACCAGGCGATTGGTGTCCAGCCGTCTAGCGTGAAGACGCCAGTCTTGGCCTCGAGCAAGCTTAGCATCGTCTGAATTCCCTGCACAACCCCTGACCCGGATTACAGGTTGCCGTCTAGCCACCAGCGTTGCCTGCTCTTGTTGTTCGGACTGTCTTCGATCACAACAGCTAGAAACGTAGAGTCACTCGATCTGCGATACATCACACCTGAGCGTCATGGTCAGGCAGGTATTAGACAGCGATGCCGCGGCATCGGTATTGCTTCATAACAGTGTCTCTGGAGCGACATTCAACGGTCGGCCAGCGCAGTGGCGCTTGCATCGGACAGCGGGATCTCGATCTGTACAGGCGCATCTACTAGACTTCGCCTCCGCTACAACACGAGGCGACTACGCACGCTTGATCCTGGGAAATCAAGACTACCCCACAAAGTCAGATCAGATGGACCTGCTCTGGAGTCACCCCAGATGCGGTTGCTGAGTACCTACTGTGGTCCCGGATGCCGTGGTCCCGAGGCGTGTGGTCCCGGGGCGCGTACCAACGGTTTTGACATGTGATTGTATACTGCCTAGCATAATGGTGGTATTGGAGTGACAGTGGCCTAGCGACAGAAGTCTTCATGAATTTATGGGTCGAAGAGCCCAGCTCGTGTGCAGCGATCACCGAAATCTCCTGCACACATCGACAAGGCTTGGCAGATCCGCAGTAGTCCAACGGTGCAGATTGATGAAGCTGAGGATACACTCTTATGTTCTACGCGCATTGCCATTCTGCATACTGTATGGACAGATAGTCGCTGGTTGCTAACAAGAAGTAGCTGTATGCTGCGATGAGGTTGAATCTCAGCAGTACTCGCCCCTACTGATTTGCGGTACATCCATTCTGAATACCCTATGTGTCCCACTACTCCACATCCCAGTCAAGTTCAAATACGTACTTGCCATCAACAGTAGTGTCAAGCGTGAACTTGCCTTGCTCAACAAGTACCTGAAATCCATCGTAACTTTCGTTGCCAAGCGGGGCGACAGTCACATTCCCTCCCATCCCACTCACATCATACTTGACGCTGACCCTACCGCCCAAGTTACTCGTAACATTCACTCCTCTGACCTTGCTCTCCGACCACTGCACGTCCATCACGAACCCACCTCTCGCCACCAATCCTGCCACCCTGCCATCCGTCCACGCCTCCGGAAGCGCCGGCAGCAGCCACACCTCTCGAGCTCCGTCCTCCTCGTCCACGAAATGGCTCTGCATCAACGCCTCCGCCACGCCCGCCGTGAATCCGAAGTTGCCGTCAATCTGAAAAGGCGGATGCGCGTCGAATAGATTCGGGTACGTGCTGCTGTTGAAGAACTGGAAGATGTTCTCTGCGAGTGCGCTACCATTGAGAAGACGAGCATACCAATTGATCGTCCAGGCGCGGGACCAGCCTGTGCCGGCACCGCCGTTGGAGAGGCGGTATTCCAAGGTTTTGGATGCGGCGTCCCACAGAGTGGCGTTGTGCTTGGGCGCGGACGGCGGTGGGATGGATGTGCCTGGGTAGAGGGCGTAGAGGTGGGAGATGTGGCGATGGCCGGGCTCGGCTTCTTTGTAGTCGTGCAGCCATTCTTGTATGACGCCAGGGTAGCGGGCTGAGATTTGATATGGTGGGAATGACGAGAGGGTCGTGTTGATTTGGGTGAGGAAGGCAGGGGAGACGGTACTGCTTGAGGTGGGCAAGGTAGCGACAGCAGAGAGGAAGCCGGTGAAGAGCTCGCGCAGGATCTGGAAGTCGCACGTTGGGCCGACTGTCATGGAGCCGGTATCGTTGGTGACGGGGACGTAGAATGTGTTTTCAGGTGAGGTGGACGGGTTGGTCACTAGGAAGGTGGTGGAGTCGTTCATTGAGTAGGTTTGGAGGGTGTCGAGGTAGAACTGGATAGACCCGATGAGGGTGTCGAGCTTAGAGAGTAAGAAGGCGGTGTCTCCTGTATGTGAGTAGTGCTCGAGGATGTGCGTGCAGAGCCATGCAGAGGACAAGGTCCAGTAGGTGGCAGGCGGGTAGCGATCTTGTGGGGACGTGTCGCCCCAGATGTCGGTGTTGTGGTGCACAACCCAGCCGGAGGCGTTGTACATTTGCCGGGCGGTCTCTGCGCCGTTCTTGCGAACAGTCTCGATCAGATCAAATAGCGGAGTGTGGAGGCTGAAAGGCCGGTTGTTTCGGCAGGCCAGTAGTTCATCTCTGTGTTGATGTTCACGGTGAACTTGGAGCCCCATTCTGACTGGAAGTCTTCATTCCAGATTCCTTGTAAATTCCCAGGTAGGGTTCCCGGCCGCGACGAGGAGATCAGAAGATATCGCCCGTACTGGAATTGCAGTGCGATCAGTCCGAGATCTGTCTCGCCAGCCTGTGTAGCATTGATGCGCTCGTTCGTGGGTAGATCTGTGCCCTTTGATGCAGTACTGTCGAGCTCCAGCGTACAGGTGTTGTACAAGGCCTGGTAGTCATCAATGTGGCGTTGGCGTAGTTGTTCATATGTATACTCATGAACATTGCTGAAAGTCTGCTTGATGGCAGCCACAGGATCAGGAACGCGGTAGGTAGTTGCGGCTGCGAAGTATATGATTGCTTCCGTTGCATTTTCCACGATTAGAAACTCTCCCAACGTGCGAACAGTCCCATCAGTCTGCCCATGCAGGCCGGCAGCAAAGGTGATTGGATCAAACCCGCCAGCAGTACCAGTCATTAATGTCGTATCGCCGCTCTCGCTGTAGCTGTCTCATACGCAACATTGATGAAATCAGTCGGACGCCAGATGCGGAGCTGGAACGACAGCTTCTGATCCCCATTCGCTGTCAGCCGATGAACCATGAGGTCATCCGGTGCTGAGACGAATAGCTCCCTCTCGATAGTCGTGCTATTGATGTCGAATGTGACTCCAGCAATTGCAGTCTCCAGGTCTAGCCATCGTCGATAGCTGCCGTTGGTGTACTCTGAGATGCCATCAAACTCGATCGAGATGTCCCCAAGCGTTTCATAACGTCTCATCGACTGGGGTGTAGACACCATGCCCAGATTCGCAAGCCTCTGGGCCTCGCTGACCTTCTCATCGACTAAGAGCTCTCTTACTTGGGTCACTGTCTCGGCCGCGTTCTGGTTCAGCCGGGACCTGTAGCCGCCGTTCCAAACAGACTCTTCGTTGACCTGTATTCGTTCCGCAGCATGGTCACCAAACACCATACCGCCCAGTCGTCCGTTACCGATAGGCAGCGCTTGAGTCCATTCTTCTGCTGGCTCTGTGTACCACAATCGAGTATTATTGTTGGCGGCAACCATAGTCAGTGCACCTAGAAATGTCACGAGACACCACATGGTGACAGGGCTCTCGATGTTCCAGAGACTGCTAGTGCATTGACAGAGTCAGGCCGCTCCCAGCCACGGAGGATCAGATAGTAGGAGTCCATCTTGACGTCGTCTACTAGATCAGCCATCGGCCAAGGTTGGTGTTTCTGGCTAAATCGAGTGCGATGAATGTCACTGTGTGTCGTTCCGATGTCGTCGTATGGCTGCTCCTCCACCGCAGATCTGCCACGAAGAGACCATAATTGCGGGGAAGTAATCGAGCTTCTCCATAGCACTATAGCACAGCGTGAGACTAGTGCTCTTGCAGCAGGTCATTGTTACTGGGCAGTGACGTTTTGCTAGAATAGGAAGAAGTTTTGCAGTGAAAGATCGACCTTGGAGTAGTATTGAAAGCTCTAATAATTGGAGGAACTTCTAAGTAATGCTAAATCGCCTAATTGGTGCTCGAATAAATCCGACGGGATATCAATAATGGGACTGCTTTTGCGTAGTATATCAAATGCTCCTGCTGTCCTCATTGACGGCTTGCTGTTCACAGAACCATTATCGACATATTACTGTTGTCGTTGAAAAACGATATCAGCATTGCCACTATACTCTCTGGTCGGCATACCACGAATCCAGTGACTGAAAGTTCGGCTCTGAGGGTGCTCGAGCAGCATGTGAAGATCAACAGAGTCTGGAGGTAGCTTAACACCTTGCCCAGGCTTTGGGTAAAGGGCAGCATGGTCGTCGAAGTAGGAATCATATCCTTCGTCCTCCACTTCGCCCGTCCCAGCGGTATGCAAGCCTGGTGTAGATGAGATAGGTGTAACGTAGTTGGATTTGAACTGAGCTTGTGGTAGCTGAGGCGCTGGTGTTTGAAACATGGGCAGAGCCGGAGCTAGGTCACTGCCCTGGAGTATCAAAGAGATGAGCTGCTCTTTGGTTCTCGATTCGAGGAAAGCGATCTTGTGAGCTTGCGTTAGTGCTGCGCCACCGACTAACGGTCCAACGAACTGAGGCATCGGTGGCACAGCACGTGCTGCTGGCGTCTCGCCAGCCTTGACCTTCTTGCCCTTCTTGCCGTGCAGGATCTTCTCACAGTTGGAGCAAAACCATTCTGCTTTGGAGTCGCTGACGATGGATTGTGGCACGTGAGGGTCGTGGCAGCGCTGATGCCAGCACTTGTTGCAGGCATCACAGAAGACGATGGCATTTCCCTGAGGCCCATGTCCCCGTTGGCAGTGCTCGCATAGTGCAAGTTGTTCACGACCTCTGTACAAACGTCGCTTGATCTTCGGGTGTAGCTTCAATGCAGGCGAAGATGCGGACCCAGTATTGCGGCTCTCCAGCTTTGGGCGCTTCGAGGCGGGGCTAGCGCTTTCGGGGACGACCGGCTGGGGCGCTGCAGGTTTTTGGATCTTGCGACCTGATCGAGTTTCCTCGGTCGGATTGTACTCCGGCGTTGATTCGCGCGAAGCACTGAGCTCAGAGTCCGAATCAGCTGTGTCTTTCGTTCTCTGCGCTTTGGTTGAACGTCTCCGCTTGATCGAGCTCTCTTGATCTGCCTTAGCATTGGCGGCGATTTTGGGAGCGGATCCGGGCGTCGACGCTCCTGAAGCAAGCTCATCAGCAAGAGAACTTCTTCGCGGACCACGCTTGACGCCTGGTCTGCCCCGTCCCAGTCCCTTTCCGGAGACTATCGTTCCATCGTCGAGCTGGTAGTTCTTGGCTCTTCGGCCGCCTTGACCCCTGGGCTTCCGACCTGGCACAGCCATTTTGATAGTACTGAAATAGCTATGCGGTACTGATCCATTGGCCTCATCGACTGGACTATCTACAGCCAACGACGAGGAAGCAATATGTGAGTTGCCTTCGCGACTATCTGCAGCATCCGCGGCTGCTGTGCTTCTGGCCAAATTACTGGAGGCGAGCGATGGCGAAGTCGAGTCGGGATTTCTGACAGCTGAAAGATCAAATTCTTCCGGCAGGCGCCCCGATGTAGCCGTAGTCTTTGCTTGGAATATCTCGCTCTTAAGTTCATCCAAGTTGCCAATCGATGAGCTGAGCTGCGAATCTGAGCTCTGGTCCACGTTGACCTGTAGAACATCGGAGCAGTGTGATTGCTCTCGATCACGGGCAAGTACGTCTGCAGACTCAGTTTCCGGGAAGGTGGGAGCACTGCCGCTGCCGAAATCGTTGTCAGACATGCTGGGCTCAATTTTGGTGGGACAACCCGACAACGGTCCGGACGAGGAAAGGACTGATTGGTCGAGCCACGCCTATAGGCATGAGATCTTTCTATGGCACGATCTTCCCGGGTATAAGACTGGCCATGAGCAGTATCACTGTCGGCAATGCGATCTCGGCTAGCTGCTGAGAGCCGCCTCGATGGATAAGATTGGTTGAGATGTCGATGTGATAGCAATCAGGGATACGGAAATGAGGCCCAGGTCCGAAAGAAAGCTTGCACGTGACCATGTCTTGGCACGGGACAAGATATCCGAATGATGAATGAATTGACTTCGTCCCTGTTGACCCTGGGAATAACGCAGAAACCACGCAACCTTGCAGAATCTCAAATCGCCCGGTATGAGCTTTCGTGCTGATTCGATGATGTCTTTACACATCTTCCGTGGTTTAGAAGACGCACAATTGACGCGCCTTCGCAAAGATGCTGCTGCAGTCCGCCCCGACTTCCAGCTCTTTCCTTGATTTCTGCTGTGATACTTAGTTGACCCCTCGTCTGCTCGTCTTGAACGCGCTTGCCTCTCCCAATCTCTGCACGTCTGGTCAGTACCAATAGTCTGGAGTCCTGCCTTCTCTACTTGCCCATAGCCTGGCACGAATCGTCGACAAAGCGCAAACACTCCACGGTGCTCGAGAACCGACCACGGGTTGAAACCTGTATCTGCCAGTATCTTGCAGAATCCAAACCATTGTATAGAGTCGCCGCTGGCCTTGTCTCAGCACAAGTCATCATCTGAAATTCAGATTGAGCGAAGCACTCTGATCTTCCCAACAGCTTTGCATTATGCTTACGGTCACCTTCCTGGTCACCAATCTACACTGTCCGTCATGTGCGTCTCTGGTCCAAGATGTTCTCGGTGCGGAGTTCCCAGGACTACGTGGGCCGGTCGAGGTATCCCTGATACGCCAGACGATTCGATGCTCGTTTGACGAGGCTGTGTCTGGTGTGGCTCAGATCGCTACTGCACTGACCGACTCAGCCTTCGAGGTTCGGCACATCACGGTTGAAGATGCGAATGGTCAACGCATCGCTGAGGAGGATTATGCTCCGCCACCGCACCATCATACAGCAACATGGTCTCGCATGGAGCGCCGAACCCAGCGGGCTCATATCGACAATTGTGATGCTTGCAAGAAAGAGAAGGCTATGTCGTCTACACATTCATCCGGCTTCAAAGGCTGGCCCTTCAAGATCCGTTCACGACTATACAGCTCATCATCACTAGCTCGCCTGTACCCGGCGATGTCGAGAAAGGGCCCATAAACCAGGTCGCGGATGCTGAAGCAGAGGAGGTCAAAGTCGTCGACGATGGCAGCGAAGAACGTGATTGTCTGGTTACGATCGCGATTGAGGGCATGACATGTTCTTCTTGTTTGGCAACTATCACGCGTGGACTTGAGAACTTGCCCATTGTGAGCAAGATCTCCATAGATCTTGTTAGCAATAGCGGTACTTTCACGATCAAAGGCAAGAGCAAAGTTCAAGAGCTGATCGATGGGATTGAAGACCTCGGATATGGAGCTGAAGTTGTGTCTACTGTGGAGGACAAGCCGATGGCCAACGATGTCGGATCTACACCAGAAGCAACGCGAAACCGGGAGCGTCAACCGGAAAGGACTGTCGAGCTAGAGATCGGCGGTATGCATTGCAACAACTGTCCAGATCGGATCGTGGATGCGATGAGCAGACTTGTATCCGAGCCAGGAGGTCGCGAGGATAGCATAAAGATCCTACAACGACCTACAATCCGGAATCCTATCATGCAAGTTGCGTATCTGCCAGATGGCGCTATCAGTATACGAAGCATCATTCGCGCTGTGGCCGATGTCGATCCAGCTTTCACTGTCGCTATCTATTCTCAACCGACCTTGGAGGAGCGCTCGCGACGTCTACAGCAGGCCGAGAAGCGGTCGATCATGTATCGTCTGCTTTTCGCTGGCGTGATCGCCATTCCGACTTTTGTCATCGGCGTGGTCTATATGTCGCTGGTCCCCAAACACAATGGTACCCGGATGTGGTTTGAAGAACCGATATGGGGTGGAAATGTGACACGTATCGAGTGGGCACTGTTCATCATCACGACTCCAGTGATGTTCTTCGGTGCTGATCTCTTCCATCGCCGCGCTGCCAAGGAGATCTGGGTTATCTGGAAGCCCGGCAGCAAATTCCCCTACCTCAAACGGCTGTACAGATTTGGCAGTATGAATCTTTTGATCAGTGCCGCTACCATGGTCGCCTACGTGTCATCGTTCGGAGTCTTGGTCGCCAATGCTGTCCAATCTCCAGCTCATCATGACACGATGTCCAACACATACTTTGACGCTGTTACATTCCTGACTTTCTTCATTCTTATCGGTCGATACCTCGAGGCGTACTCAAAAGCCAAGACAGGCGACGCTGTCACGATGCTGGGTCAGCTCAAGCCTAGAGAAGCCATCCTCGTCGATGTTGAGGGGTCGTCTCAGGATAGAGTACCGGTGGATCAACTCGAACTGGGCGACCTTGTCATGGTGCAGCGTGGACACTCACCACCAGCCGACGGGCTGATATTTGTTGAGGGAACATTCTCATTCGACGAAAGCTCGTTGACAGGCGAATCAAGACCGGTGACGAAGCGCAAACAAGATATTGTGTATGCTGGGACCATGAACATCGGCGACCCTGTAACCATCAAAGTTAGCGAAGTGGGTGGCACATCGATGCTTGATCATATTATCTCCGTCGTACGAAGCGGACAGGCGAAGCGCGCACCTATCGAGCGAGTCGCCGATGTGATTACTGGCTACTTCGTTCCCGTCATCACTCTTCTTGCCATCACAACATGGATCACCTGGCTCTCACTAGGTCTCAGCGGCAGCTTACCAGCTCCGTGGCTGGATGGAAAGCAAGGTGGCTGGGCATTCTGGTCCCTTGAGTTCGCGATTGCTGTCTTTGTCATCGCCTGCCCATGCGGCATTGGCTTAGCAGCGCCGACCGCGTTATTTGTTGGTGGAGGCATGGCTGCGAGAAGCGGTATACTCGTACATGGGGGCGGCCAAGCCTTTCAGGAAGCCGCACATGTCGACGCCTGTGGTCTTCGACAAGACAGGCACCTTGACGCAGGGTGAGATGAATGTCGTTGACTGCGATGACTACTCCGATTGGTCTTCTCTCGTTGATGCTGAAACGGCACTCGCGATTGCTAAGGCATTGGAAGCTACCTCAACGCATCCCATAGCTCAAGCTGTCGTCAAGCATGTTGAGACTCTAACCTCGAAGGTAAGCTTGAGTGAGATCAACGAAGTACCAGGCGAAGGCATGAAGGCAAAGGTCACTATACAAGACGAGAGTGGAACCCGGGTCTTCGATGCAGCCATTGGCAGCGAGGATCTCACCGACAAGTTGAGCGAACATGACGCTGAGTTCGAGAGCAAGTACGCTGGGACGGAGCAGTCTGACCGGGATCACACCCTCATCAACACATCATTATACTTTATGCGCAAATCGATCCAGAACCACCAGCTGCAAGGCCACTCCATTGCTATTTTGTCAATACGTCCACCAGAAACAGTCACCAATCGCTACTACGCAGTCACTCTGTTTGCAATCGCAGATCCCCTACGACCGGAAGCGCCAGCTGTAATTGAAGGATTGCGGTCTCGAGGCATATCGGTGCACATGTGTACAGGCGACAATCCCATCACTGCACTTGCCATAGCTACACAACTATCTCTTCCAATCACGCACGTGCGACCGTCTGCACTTCCGCAGGACAAAGCAGCATATATCCAGGCACTCCAGCAATCAGAATACCAGATGAGCTGGAACGCGGAGCACTACAACACAGAGATTCAAGTAGCCATCGCCGCCGCAATGGCCAAGAATCCATACATAGCACCAGCACCACAAAGTCAAGATGCTGCACCAAAGGTCCCGAAGCGCCGCATCATCGCTTTTGTGGGCGACGGTCTCAACGACGCGCCCGCCCTCTCAGCCGCCGATGTCTCCATCTCCCTCTCGTCGGGCTCCGACATCGCAATCAACGCCTCGTCCTTCATCCTCCTCCGCGCTGACCTCTCCCTAATCCCCACACTGCTCAACCTCTCCCGCCGGGTCTTCCGACGGGGTGAAGCTCAATTTCGCATGGGCACTGGTGTACAACGTCACCCTTATCCCTGTTGCCGCGGGCGTGTTCTTCCCGCTCGGAGCGACGAGCACGCAGGAGGGCTGGAGGCTGAGTCCGGTGTGGGCGAGTCTGGCAATGGCGTGTAGTAGTGTTAGTGTGGTGGGAAGTAGTCTGGCGCTGAGGCTGCCTGAGTTGAAAATGCCGAAGTGGAAGCCATTGCGGAAGGGGAAGGTGGCGGAGTGATGCTTGTGGTCGCTTGATTTCCCTTGGGATCATTGAGATTGGATCATTTCTGGCTACCTATTTGTCGAAGCATTGTATCAGTCTAGCATATCTCTATGTCAAGCTCGCTTGAAGTAATGATTTATGATGAGTCTCATGTGCCATGTAAAACTTGTTCCTGAGGGGAGCTTTGGGGACGCTACCTTGATTTTCGTGGCTGTCAGACCGGATGACTGGATGATGGTTGTCTTGGACCGGTTGACAAGAAATATACTTTTGACAGCCACAACCCGTACATCGTTGCTGCACAGGCTATCGGGCCAAGAGCCTACGACACAGTTGCGACTGCCGTCCATACCTGTCGGTACTCGGCAGTATTCGATCGCACCTTCCCAACGTCTGCCTTCATCTGTTGGATCGCTGCTGCCGTTGGCCCTTTCATGCTTGATCCTTCCCATATGAGTGCAGACTTCCGGAGGGCTACAAGGTACGGAGATGCCAGGTCGACTCTGATGGGGCAAGAGCGATGTTGGATCGAGGTCAAGAGCAAGGAAGAGGTGTGATGAAGAGCAGAGAGCCTTTTTCGGTTCCGAACCTATCTACTTCCGCTCCTATTTCTGAAATTAAACACTTTTGTGCAGCTCACTTCTGTGAGGCTTTCACATGCGCATAACTCCCGCCTGGTTTGCAACAGCTCCACTGCGTTTGAGGACGATCGACCGACCATTTCCAATGTCCCGGCAGGTGGGTCAGCCAGCTGGTGATGAGGACGCTCTAAGTCGGAATTTTGGGTCCGGATGCAGGCGATCGCATCTTCATCATGAACTGCTCAAACTCGCTTTTTAACTCGAGCTCGGCACATGAGGCAGCTTCACCCACTCCTTCTTTGCCAACGATAGATCGCGGCCGGAGACTAGCATTCTCAGAGCTGAAGGCCTCTGCCGTCGACATGGATGATTTCGAGGAATGCTTGGCCTCCACATCCAGACGCTGTTTTGAGTCGCTGTCGGTCTGAGATTCTGCTTTGTCTCTGTCGTGGGCTTTGGTCGATACAAGCGAAACATCGACGAGAATCTCGCCGTCAAGACCGTTGTCCTTCGTTTCCTTAAGTCTTTGGTCGTCCTCGACGTTCTCATCCCCATTGACACGCTTGCTACCGTCACTCCCACCATCTGATGCCGTCTTTGGCTGCATAGCAGCACCATTTGATATAATCTCGCCGGTCAGAGCGCGACGCTTGAGCATTTCTTCAATGAATGCCTGCTCGTCAAGTCCGTCCACCATGGTCTGCTTTGAATTTGAGCTGTGTCCCAACGACGAATCCTCGCTCCCACTGACAACACGACCCTCTCCGTACATGTAGTTGTTGCTGGTTTCACTGCTGTCCCCATCGTCTTTGGCTCTGCAAGCCTCACAAGCTCGACCACGGCCTCGGAGCTTCTCGGCCTCGGCACACAATATCTTGCGAATATGTCCACAAGGAAGCTTCTCATTGCCGGTCACAGCGTTGCAAGTCAGCATACCGCCCGAGCAGACCTTCGCACCAGAGTGTCCGCAAGGTAGGATGACTTGTCGAACGGGCGTCAAGCAGTTGCCGCAGTCTGCGCCGCACGGCAAAGTGCACTTGTGGCCACACTTCAATTCTCTCTCGCATGCATGCTCACAGGGCAAGGCGCCACGCTTGTGAAGCGACTTCGGATGGCACTTGCGATCGCACTTATGGCCGCACTCGAGGATATCCTGACATCTGACTGGACATTCCGGGATTTCAAAAAAGTCGTCTGGATGGCGCACTCTTGAGGAGTGATCCGGATGATTGCCGCACTGGGTGATAATGTTGGGGCCAATTCTGCGTGGACCTAGCAAGCTGATCATCTCCCGCCATAATGGAACTTGACCAAGAGTCTTCGAGTTGCCGATGACGTAGAACCCGTCGCGAGCTCGACTGCATGCAACTGTGATACGGTTCTCGATGGAGAGGAATCCGGCACTACCGCCACTGCGGACCGTACTCAGGATGACAACTTTGGCTTCTTCGCCTTGGAAGTTGTCGACGGTCGTGATTCGAAGCATATCTTCCATTGTGACTGCCTCTTTTTCGCGACTGCGACCAACATCGCCAGTCAATTGCTCATCGTTGAGCAAGTTCTCACGGTCCTGTTCATCAAGCCAAACATGGCACGTGAGACTGAGCGCTTGATGAAGAGCAGCAAGCTGTCCAGTGTACGGCGTGAGAACAGCGATGTCACCTTGACTGTATCCGCTGTTCGTGACAAGATAATGGACGAGAGCCGTGACCATATCCACTTCATGATCATTGATGCGAGACTTATTCTCTTCAGTCGCTTCGCGCTCCGGAACATCATGATCCCACCAAACGATCGTTCGTTGATGCCAAAGGTTGGTTCGTGGTCTTTGGTTGATTCGTGATCGCGTAGAAATGGATAGGTAAGACGAGAAAGTTCTGCAATATCTGGATGCATACGACGCTGGAGACCCAAATGCTCATAGCACAGCCGCGCAGCCGATGGGTCGACTGGCGACACCATGCGTTCGAACAGAGATTCGTCCAGTCTGTGATCGGGGCATTTCTCCAATGTCAGGCACTGATCGGACACCTCTGGGCGTAGCTGCTTGGGATCTCCGATTGAGATGGCATGCTGAAGTGACGGAAGCAGAGCACAAAGAGTGTGTGGCTCCATGACCTCGGCGGCCTCCTCGAATATAACGACCTCCACTCCAACGCGTCGCAGTACGTCCCATCTGTTTGCGCAAGCGGTCGTCGTCATGGCGATGATCGACGCACTGCTCAAAACGCGGACATCGACATTTTCTCTGACCGTCTGGGTGATCTTGCTGGCTTCGTTGTGACTATCAACGTCTTCGGCAAGACTCCTCGCAGCAGCTTCCGGGTCAGCTGGACGAGGCTTACCACCGACTGAACCCAGCATATCGTTGGTGCGGATTTTGTTAATAGGCCCTTCCATGGCTGACCCAACGTCATCTGAAGGTGATAGCGAGGGGACATGGCAGAGTTGTGCCGATACATTGCAACACCAGTCGTTGATATTTGTGTATGCCTGCTTGCGCTTCCGAGCGGCCATCGACTTGGCAGCAGTCTCTCGAGGGCTATTCCGTGCCTTCCTTGCTTTCATTCTAAGATTGAGTGGCGCTGTCCATTCTTCTTTACTGCCGGATTCTACACGAACAATGTCCTTGACGCCAGCACCAATCAGTCCGGACAGAAAGTTGTCGAGCGCATGGTTGGTCAGGCAGACGACAAGGATTGGCTTCGAGGGTCGAGAAGCTAGAAGAACTTGCGCTAATCGGAGGCCCAGGTATGTCTTGCCAGTCCCCGGAGGTCCTTGAACGAACGCGAATTCGTTCGTCAAGCAGTAGCGAAATGCTTTATCTTGCTCGAAGTCAAGTGCTTCCGAGTCCAAAGAGGTCACTTTTGATAAGTCCTGCAAGCTGAAAGAAGTCTTGCGACCTTCAAAAATTGAGCTCAAGTCGAACGAAAATCCGGGGTCTCGTGCGTATCGCGGTGGTCTGACATCTTGTATGGATCGAGTGCCAGCAAGTGCGTGTGTGAGTCTTGCCTGCGATAACTCTTCGGGCGATCGTGACGGTGCGACATAATCGCGAAAGGCGACATCTCCACGTGGGCCCACGACCGACAACTGTTGTAGTCTTTTCAAGCAATGGTAGAAGCCGTGATGCATAAGTCTGGGAAATTCAACCAGACAGAACTCCATGCCAGGCTCCAGATTCTGAGCATATCTGGCGAGCTCGAGAACGTCATCTTTTGTCGATTCTGGGATCAGGGTGCATAGTATCGCCGCTTTTTGACCGTTGCCACCTCGACAGTCCATCGACACAGTACTCTGACGCAAGTGGATGCTGAAGTAGAAGACCTCGAGCTCGTGCTTAATATTGTTGTGACACAGAAGCGCCATCATGAAGCCATTCTGTAAGCGATTACTTTTGAACAGCCGACCACCTCTTAGATATTCGGGGCAGTTGAATGACAAGCGTACATTGATGGCATTTCGTTCATGCGCCTGGAGCTCCTCAACACGAGCACCTTCATAGAGAAAGAAGCGATTACCCATGTATGTCTCTCTTACTGCTGAATCGAAAGCATCTTTTGTCGCTGGATTTCTGACATCTGCGATGAAGGTTTCAGTACGACCTGCAGCAGTGTCCAAGGACATGTTCTCGCCGAGTGGAAGGGTTCCTGCAGGAACCTGCTGCGAAGTCGATGGCTGATGTGATGGAGGGACGAAGGCCATCTGAGCAGCAACGTAGCAGATGTCTTTGATAGGGTGAATGCTCTCCTGGCGCAGCTGACGGAACATGAGGTCGAGATGTCGAAGCATGCCAACTGAGTGTGGGTTTGGTGAGCCATAGTCCTTCTTAGGTTGGTACACACGTTTGTAGGCTGCGAGTATCTCGTCCATCGTCGGAAGTATGGTAATGAGCTCATATTGGACGTGATCGTTATCGTGCTGGGGCTGAGGGCCGTCAAAGCTGTCGTAGAACGCCACCTGGTTGTAGCATTGTGGTTCCAAAGAGAGGATGTTGTCTGAGTCGTACTTCTCTGGACAAACACGCTTAGAGAACTTGGCGCGGATGCTGTCCATGTTGAAAGAGTAAAGTAGGGTGCTTCAATTCCTGCAGAGGATAGTGCTGTGCAGTAGTGCTGTGGTTGTCAGAGCAAATCGATGAATGGTGATCGAAATGCAGAAGAACCAACAGAGTCGCTGAAGCAAGCAAGACAAGAAGAATGAGATGAAGAGTCAGTAGCTGTTGCTGAGAGGAAGTGCTTTGTGGGCAAAGGCAGGCACGTTTGACGACTCGGGTCTTGGCACAGTTTTGAAGAGGCTGGCAGAGGCACCAGTGGCATGACCTACTCGTCAAACATTACTTACCAGCAGCTGATCCTGACTTCTTGCCCTCAGGGGCTCACACATCGTTGAGAGGCTTGTGCCTGATTCCAGGATCCGCACAACCGAGCCATGGCATTAAAGAGGACATCAGAATCTTGGACTGGTTAGACGTCGCCATAAATCTCTGCATGGACGAGTCCGCGAGCATGAGAGAACGCTTGCTGTAGTACGGTCTATCGCTTACTTTTTGATTGTGCCGTAATGCGATCCAGTCCACCCATGTATGGAACCAGCACCTGGGGTATCATAACACATTTCTCTTCTTGTCGCCATCCATGCTCCAATATAGCCGCCAGCACGCGTGGCACAGCCATAGCCGTCCCATTCAAGGTATGTGCAAATCGTTTCCGCGATCCACTCCGATCAAAGATCCTAGTGTCCAGCCGTCGACTTTGGTAATCTGTACACATGGAGACCGACGTTAGCTCGCCCCATCCGTCGTCCCTACTCATGCGCGATGGGAAAACAGCTTCGATGTCGATTTTCCTAAAGGCACTGGCACCCAGATCCGATGCCGGCATCTCCAGTATCCGAAATGGAAGGCCGAGTGATGACAATATCTCCTTCTGGATCTCCACCATTTCTAGGAATAACAGATCCGCTTGGGACGCACTATGACCGCCTGACTCTGCAACTTCGGTCCCATCAGCCCACGCAAACATCTCAACTTTAGTGAACTCATGTACTCGATACAGCCCTTTGGTATCAACCCCTCGTGCCCCGGCTTCAGCTCGATAGCAACGACTGCTTCCAATGACTTTGATCGGTAGCTCATCCTCCGGAATGGCTTTGCTTGCGTAGAGGCCTGCCAATGGAATCTCCGCTGTCGCGGCGAGGCTTCTCTTGGGTTTGGCGGCGTCCTTCTCCGGCTGTGCCACCTGCCATATTTGCTGCTCATCATTCTGATCTCGCGGCTGGAAGCCACATGACTCGGCCATGTGTGAGTACACAAGCGAAGGAGGCGTAATCATCATCCACCCTCGTTTTCGTGCCACTGCAAGAGCATATTGGACCAGAGCCTGCTCGAGCAAAGCGCCTTCATTGAGCAGATAGTAGAAGCCCCATCCCGATGCCTGTCCGGCAGCGGCAAACTCGATCAGGTCCAGAGCCTCGCCAATCTTAGAATGATCGGCTCCCGGATCAAAACTTGGCGGAGAAGCCGGGTCGTAGTTGATGTACTCGAGCACCTGCCTGATCCCTCACGAGGTGTATTCGGGCTTGTCAAGTTGGGCAACGAGCAGGCTAGACCATGTGCAAGCGCACTGTTGGCATCTTGCTCTTGCACGAGACGGTCGATGGTAGGCCTGATCTCTTTGATCGCTGCCAGTATCTCATTTCTGTCCACCGCAGGGTCATGTAGCTGCTTCTCAAGCTTCTTGATCTGCTGACGAGGCGACTTCTGCAACTCGTTGATCTCGTTGATCCTCAGCTGTGCAGCAGCGATCTTTGCTGGAGTTTCCACATGACTCAGGTAATTCCTTATCCTCGCATTCTCGGAGTAGAGCTCGACGTTCTGTCGGATATGAGCAAGGTCTGGGGTTTGTTTTGGCGCTGTGGACGGCCGGAGACTCGAGTATCTACATGATGAACTGGAAAAGGCTCTTCGAGATTGTCGGAAGAACCAGGAGGGCAGCGTCGACCTCGACATCAGGCGAACGAAGATAGCAGCTCAAGGGAGATGTCCCAAACGCGTTCGACGAACTCGAATGGAATTGGAGAACCGGCCTTGGCGTATGTTGTCCCGTCGTGCCCATGATGCTGCAGACGCGGTTCATCGTCTTCAACTTGAGGGTCGTGGATACCATTTTTTGCTTGCGCCAGCCGGAATCCTTCATTAACATGAGTGCCTGCTGTTGCATCGTGCATGCGACTTCATGTCTCGTTGCCCATGGACAGCAGTGGCGCAGTCCTCGAACGGCCCGGGCAGATGCTGGTCGACCGTCATTCGCAGGACCATGCTGAACCCCGGGCACGGGCCAAGTGGGATGCCTCGTTTTGAATCCAACTCGTATCAAGTATCACTCCATTGCTCCTGCTTGAATGTCACTCCTTTCGATGCCTTGTATTGTTGCTGTCGTTCGCTACGAGTCCATGTACATATTAGCTTTCATTGGTCGGCAAAATTGAAGCCTGAGCTTTCTACAGCGCCAATCCAACTTCCAAGGTGCCCAGGGTCTCACCCGCAGAAGCGCGAGGAACTGCTACTCTAGCATCAGGCACCACCGTTTCTTATCAATGATGAACAAGAACCTCTGGTATTCAAGCTAGCGGGACACAATTCCGATACTCGACCCTGCGTGCTCTCGAGCCGCATGTTCTATATTTCTTATCATGTCAACGGCGCCAAAACCTACAACTCTCATTGCACCCCTGACTCGTGTAACCAGCAGCTTCGAGATGGGCCGAACAACCATCATACAACATGATGTCGAGACTACTGCCTCTGAAAACGATGACTTACTGTCGAACGCCAGCGATACTGACTCGCTCTTGCCGACGTCACAGTCCAAGGCCGACCCCTGGCGGAGTACACGCATCCAGCTTTATATATGTGTTTTCATCGCCAACATAAGTTTTCAGATTCTATTGCCAGCGCAAGTCAGAATCTACGAACAGATCTTCTGCCAGCAATACTTCCAGCAACATGACCCATCTCAAATACCATCCACCGGTACCATCCCCGAAGACCAATGCAAGCATGCCGCTATACAAAGCCATGTTGCCAGGCTTCGAAGTCTGTACTCCATGTTCGACGCCGCGCCCGCCCTGATCATGTCTATCCCGTGTGGGATAATTATCGACATCATTGGAAGACGAGCACTTCTGCTTCTAGGACTCATCACCGTCACTGCACAACAGTTCTGGGTCGCCTCATCTGCTCGCTCGGCGGAAGCGTGCCCTTGGAAGCCATATGGCTGGCGCCTTTGCTCAATTTCCTGTCCGGCGGAATGACTGTACTGAACCTGGTGTTCGTCTGCATAATGTGCGACATCACATCGAAAGAGGCTCTAGCCACGAGCCTCTTCCGCATCTCCGCTGTAGGCCAGTTCTGCAAAGTCCTCGGCCCTTTGATCTCCGGTTCCCTGATGCAATTCAACGCTTGGTGGGCGTTCATCACGGGACTTGGCGGACTCGTGCTTCTGATCGCGGCCTCCTGGTCTGTACCAGAAACCCTGTCTAAACCCACGTTGGATGACAGGCCAATATCCGACCTTGACGCCAACCCGACCTCAAGCAAACGCTCTATCCTGCAGCACATAAAAGACGGGTTCGCCTCACTGAGCATAGTCTGGTCCTCGCGCCAGCTAATCATTCTGGTCCTTATCACGCCCTTGACTGCTTTCGGTGCCGTCCTCGGCGACGTCCTCCAACAATATATCTCCCTACGCTACAACTGGACGCTCGCCAACGCCGCCTTCCTATTCTCATTGCAAGGTATCGCCGCGACCATCTCGCTCTTCCTGCTCCTCCCGCTCTTCACCAAATACCTTACCAAGCGCCTCTCTACCCCATCGAACACCACCACCGATACCACTATCGCCACTCAACCACTGCCCTCCGACTATACCACAACACAACCGAACCCCACGCCACCAACGCCACCCACCCCGCCCTCTCCAACCCACCTCAATGCCAGAATCTCCGGCCTCTCCCTTCTCGTCCTCAGCCTGTCCTACACGGCCCAAGCCTCTCACCCACCCCAGTCTTACTCCTACTCGCCCTCGCCTTTGAGACACTGGGAATGGGTTGCGCCGCCAGCCTACAAGCGCTCGCCGCTTCCCTCGTCAACCCGAAGGACAACGGTCGCGTATTCAGCGTCCTCACTGTCGCGGGAGTGCTGAGTACAGTGGTGGCGCACCCATTGAACGCGCAGCTGTTCAGTGTAGGGTTGGACAAGGGCGGGGGCGTGTGGTTAGGCATGCCATTTCTGGTGAGTGCGGTCGGCGCGTTGATTGCGGCGGGTGTTTTGGGCTGTGTGCGATGGGATCGAGTTTGGAAAGATGGTGGCGAGGAAGCGGGTGGGGATGAGGGAAGAATACAGCTATAGAATATTTTCGAGCTCGACTGATCAGGCAGAATGTATTCACTACTCAACGCGCGTCTCGCGTGCGTGTTTCCGTTCTGATTCCATCGGCCCCCACGATCTTTGTGAATTCCCTCGAGTAGGACGCTGAAGGTACAGCATTCTTCCACTAATTTGACAGAGGCTCCAGCTAGGGTAAGTGATGTACTGTATCGGGAATTTCTCTGCCAGGGAGGACGCTGAAGTTCTGGAATGTCTGGCTGATTGAACGGAAGGCTTGAGATGAGCCTTCCTTGAGCGATAGGTCAGGTCATGCAGACAGCTGCAACGGGGAAATTGAGCCAGGGAGGTCACTGTATAGGTTTTGGACACGACGTAGACACTGCGCTAATTTCATAGATTTCCAGCCAGGGAGGGCGCTGCACTATCAAGATTATATTGTACCCGTACCACAAGCAAGACTCGTTTGACGATCAAGTCATTTCGTTTCGACGCTCGGCTCACGATCAAGTCGTCTGGTTTCGAGGATCATCTTACGATCAAGCCATCTCTTTTTGACGCTCAGGTCATAAACATTGGCCTCAAAGAGGTGTGAGATTGATATCGATTGCATTTCATTGGCTATCGATGACTTTACACTGCCAAAACCGCCAGAGTCCTCCCTGTGGCCCATTTCAGATCGTATATTCAAGATTCTGCTCTAAATCAAACCTCAGTCTTCACCCCGGCGGAACTGCGACGCCGATGATGGCTATCCAATCTAGGGCCCATACTCCTGCGACGTGCTTCCGCTCCAGCCGCGTAGCTTTGACGATTGGCATCGCTCCATCCGTACGTGGCGGAGCTGGCTCTACGGCTTTCGCCGGCGGGGATGTAGGAGAGTCGTCTGCCTTCGTTGTCGCTGCGGGCGTCTGCAAGCTGCTGGGCGAATGGCGAGCGCTTCCGTAGTACTGGACCTTTCCAGTAAATCACGTAAACGGCCATGACGAGCACAGCGGAAATGCAGAACAGAATGGTAGACGCGTAGGCGAGGTGCTTGTTGCCGCCAGCATCTGCTCCGATGTCTGCAGTCTTGTCAGTAACGGCTCTTCCGCAGTCTACGTTGGGGGAACTCACTTTCAAAAAATGGCGTTGCTGGGAGCGTGAGCACACCAGCGAGGAAGTCTCTGGCCCATCCGTTACCACCACACGCGGACGCAGAGTAGGGGCCGTAGGCAGTGATCATGTAGTCGATTGTAGCCATGTAGATAGCATAGTTCGCGATGCCGACGATCGCTGCCGCAATCATAGAGGCGATCCACGGAAGCGGTGGTCCGGTAGATACCCAAGCGAAAATGATCTGTGAAAGAGCATTAGTGACGAAGAATACGAGCTGTAACACGAACTGGGACAGGAACAAGAAACCAGAGCAGGAACAAGAGCAGGAACAGGAGTAAGGGAGCAGGAAAAGGAGCAGAAACAGGAGACTCGAGATTTATCGAGAAATCCTAGCCAGGGAGGGCTCTGTGCAACTTCTGAAAATCTCGAAGCAGAAACGTTGGGACTTACAAGGCCGATAGGCAGACATGGCGCAGTATATAATAACCACCATAGACGATCCTCGTACTGGACTCGTTCATCATCAGGAAACTTCCGGCGCTTCGCGATGTTGCGCTTGATTGCTGGGAAGAAGGAGAGCCAGGCGAGAAGGTAGCCGACACCGATAGCTAGGAATGAAAGCCCGACTTGTTGAGCTGAGAAGTCCCATAGTTCGTAGACCAGTGCGAAGGACTGGATGAACATGAAGATGAGCGCATCGGAGAAACCTGACAGAAGCGACAACACCAGCACGATAGGCTCAGTGACAAACATCTTGAAAGGTCGCATCCAGATCTGCAGTGTCTCTTTCATGGAGAATCGCTCTCTGAAAGGCTCAAGCTCGTTGGGACCATAGATGTTGGGATCCTGGCCGCTCTTTCTGCGCTTCTTGGCAATTCTGTCCATCATAATGGTGCTTCGAGTCTCCGGGACGAGGAACAAGTGAGCGATCTGTACGGCACCGCCAAATATGAGCTGGATCCAGATATTCCACCTCCATGCAAGGTGCTGTTCGACAAAGCCTCCCACAATAGGTCCGAGGACAGAGCCACCGACACTGCTAAAGACGATGTAGGCTACAGCATACTGCTGATTGTCGGCTTCAAACATCTGTGAACAACGGTCAGTACAAGTGAGGTGGAAATGAAGATGTTCTCAGCCGATGACTCCGTCGAGTATCGCATCGATTTCGTTTTGGGGCACTCACATCAGCAACCATGCCCAGAGTGACACTGCCACCAGCAGTGCTCAGTCCTCCGAGCGCGCGACCAACGAGAATAGTTGCGAAGTTTGGTGGTAAGGCCACAGGGAGCTGCCAGATATTGACAAGGAACATGCTAGCCTGGAGGACAGGCTTTCGTCCGAACTCCTCTGACCAAGGTGCCCATAGCTCGCAGCCGAAAGCGTAGGTGACGAGGAAAATCGCAGCACCCAGACGCGCAGCCTGTGCGCTGACGTTGAATTCTTCGCCGATGCCCTTGATAGCGTTGGAGTAGAGTGATGTGTTGAAGTTCATGGATACCTGTACAAGGAAGACGATGGTGAGAACCGTCCATTTCTTCAAGGGAGAGAAGCCATCTATGCAAATGTTAGTCAGAGGGCGCACTGAGGGGATTTTGAGAGTTTCGTGAGGTTTGGTGGTTTCTGAGATCTGGGCACGAGAGAGGTCTCCCTGAGGGTATGCTGGGACGTTTTGGGAGGGTTGGATTCTTGAAGGTTTGGGTGCCGCAGAGGCCTCCCTGGGGTATTTTGTACTCACAGCCGAGCTCGTCGTAGCAGTCTTCTTCCGTGATCTCGACCTTATCATATGTGCCGGGTCTTTCTAACTTGGACTCTTGTTGTGCATCGTCACCGGTGTGCTCGTGTTGAGCGACTCTGGTGTCTTCGCTGATGTCCGAGTCATTGTCGCGTGCGGTTTCGGTCTTTTCGTGCTCGACTTCGGCTGCTATCGCAGCATTGTTGTCAAACCTGACCGGTTCATGGGCCTCGGAGGCCATCGTGTGGACAAGTGTTGCGATACTGTACTACTCAATGTTGTATGATACAGTAGCGATGAGTCTTATCTCATGTATGCATCAGTATACGGTGAGGTCGAGGGGAGGAATGGACGACGAGAACTGCGAAAGGAAGAATGACCTCGAGTCCCCCCAGGAAAGTGCGAGCTATAAGAATTATGAATGGAGTACCTTCCAGCAATAAGGTAATCTGAAGGTACTCTGTGTCATGTGGGAGGAGCGACCACCCCACAAAGTATCCTGGAATTCTTCCGATAGTACCAATGCGAGGCGACTTTGTAAGGTTAGGTTACATGGCTTGCCTGCCGTTATGATGGCATCGAGCATCAAACGGCACGGGATACAAAGTTGTGAGAGGTCAGGATTTGTGTAGTGCGGTCCCAGCGACCCATCAGCTGGTACGATCAGCTTTTCTCGAACTCCATAGCTGGGTAGTTGCGACAGGCTGAACGATAACAAACGCTACTACAGACACAGAACCGCGCACTTTTGGCGCGTGATGAGAGGTATAGACGGCTTTTCCGGTGGACCCGGATCAAGATTCATCGATGAGATTTCATGTTCAATGACGCAGTTCTCACCACCTTCTCCATCCTCGCGGAAGACCTCATCCGCGCCGTCGGTCTGGTTCTTTCTACCGCGGTCGCTGCGATATTTGTACTTGATATACCGAGTCCTTTTTATGTTGAGATCTGGTCAATAAAACCTACATACGAACACGAGTTTCGTTGTGTCAAGCGAAGGACAAGCAACTCAAGCACCTCTCACAAGAAATTTGGCACACAGACAAGCCCTGAGGTTAAGGTTAGCCACCTCGCGGGTGGCGCACGCTGGGCGCGGTCTTGGCCCCAAGGCCAGCCATGACATCAGAGGACAAGGGCTGTGGGAATCAACCTTTACCAGTGGATCGGCAGGCACTGCGCCTGAAAGATCTCGATGTGTTTTGATGATTCGAAACGGGCCGCCTGCTCACGTAGCACAATTAGGCAATCAACCACTGAGGAGGACGCTGTTAGAGAAACGCGTCGGCTCACCAAAGCTGGAGACCCCGGACTATTCTTGCATCCTGGGAACGGTAGCAACTGTCTTTCCATACGGGCTATGCATGGAATCGCCTTTCTGATACATCAACCACCATCGTGCTCTCGCACAGATGGCTCGTTGGGTTCATTGAGGCAGTCAAGCTATGACATGAGACTTTCTCCAGCTCCTACGGGGACTCTATGAGTTCCTACAGCACCCTCGCTGGCGAGACAAGTGATGATGAGTCGCTCCTGCAACAACTTAGTCCTCAAATGAGGCTCATCTCAAACTTGCTGTTTTCATCTGCAAGAGCATTCTGTTCTTCAGAGCCCGCCCTGACCTGAATTTGGACAAGTGCTGAAAACGCTCAGCTTATGCCCGAATAGCCTGGGCAGAGTCTGTGAGCGAGCTGATCGATGGATCCGATTTCTTCACGCCTCGTTCCTGCACCGCAATGCGTCTTCAATGAGGACTTCATCTCGTTGGCTTCCGATCTTGACTGCTCGAGTTTTGGGCCACAGTCGTCCATAAGATCTCTGGATTGGAGGCGCGACCCGGCGTCGAGTGTTTGTCAGGTCGACTCTTGCATCTCGCGTCAGACGGAGGCAAGTATTGCCTATAAGCGCACAGCAGCGCCTTGGTGAGCATTTTACAATAACAGAGTACTCTCATCTCAATTACAATGATAGGGACTCAAGTGGCCGTGCACACACAGGGAGCTGTCAAGGACAGGTCGCTACCGACGATGCTGCTCTAGACGCGCGCAGAAATGCTGTATAGCGAGACGCAAGCCCAAACATATCGGACCCACGGGCTGGTCAACGTAGTGCACAGAGTCAGTACAGGATCCGCAGCACAAATAAACTCGGTCGTTGAATACAGATACGCTTTTGGGCCGGAAAGGGGACCATAACGTTATGCTTCACCCTCAGCGAATGTTCTTGGCGTTATGGTGACTGCTTCATAGGTAGGTACCCTGACCCTGGGTCCAGTGTCGTAAGAGTACGCGATAAGTGCTCGCGTTATATAATAAGATGATGTCCAGGGCGCACTTCAGATGCTCACAACATCGTGCATCCAGTCCAGCAGATACTGAAGACCACAAACAACCAGCGCCACGTATCAGACACCTTAACATCGCCGAGACCGCGAATCGCTCCAGCTCAGTGCATCGAAAACACGCAGCCCCACGATGGCATCAACAGTCCAGCCCTACAATTGGAGTATCCACGGTAAGCTCGCACACAGAGGCCGCCTGATCGCCACAAGTAGGGAATCTACGAGAGATTCGTTGCTAATTTTCCGTTCTAGCCATACCAGCAGCGTATCTCCTGGCCTTCCCACCGTACCTCTACCAGTTCGCCCGCTGCATGACCGCCTCAAATTACACCGCTACCAACATCGTTCCCAGAACCAACCTTGAGCTCCTAAAGCCCAAGCTGCCCAACAATGTCTGGCAGAGTCTCGTCCGTGCCAGAGGCGCTCATTTGAATGCGCTCGAGGGTTTCCCGCTGTTTGCTGCTGCTATGGTACGTCAGCCCTCCAAGGCTGGTCTCAAGCTAGTGGCAGCTGACACAAAGAACGTACAGATAGCCGGCAACTACGCCAAGCTCGACACGAGAGAGATGAACACCCTCGCCGCGGACTATCTTCTGCTTCGAGTAGTCTACACAGGGTTATATATGACGGTCAAGAGCGAAGCAGCGAGCTACCTGCGTAGCACTGTCTACGCAGCCAGCTTGAGCGTACCGCTGTATGTGCTCTGGAAAGCCGGAAATCGAATTGCGGCGGACAAGTTCTAAGATCTCATCTGTCGACGAGCGCTGCCTCCGCTCTTGCATTCAGTAGTGAAGACCGTCTCTCCCGTTCCTCATCCAGCTACCACAAACATCGCAACAAAGACAGGCAAGAGGATGAACACCACCGTGGCCGCTAAGATCACCAATCCCCCACCCGCAGCATTAATCCACCCCTCGAATCGCCTCCATGCAGCGATCCCCAGGCGCCGTACACGCCACCAGACCCTCCTGGCCCTGCCTATCCTGACTGGCCACAGCGGCCTTCTCACACCGTCCGCCCACCTCACGAAACAACTCTCCGTATCCCCAGACAGCAGACACCCATCATCCGCATAGAGTTTGCACTCCAAATGTCGTCTCCTTCCCCTCAGAATGCATCTGAGCTCTTTCCCTGCAACAAATTCCTTGTCAGATCTCAAACAACAGCCACTGTTCTTTGGCACGGGTAAGCCAAGTGCTTGCCGATCTATGAGCCATGTGACTCGGTCGAGGACGGTGGGATTTATGGTGTGATAGAGGACCCGTGAGGTCAGTTTCAAGGAGAGGAGGTCGGGATACGAAGGCCGAAGGTGGGTGGCGATCATGTTGTGGAGTTCGGAGGGTAAGGATGTTAGGGAGATATTGGGCTGGCACATCGTTTTCGGGCAGGCGACGATGTGTTCCAGGGCTGTCTGTGTCGACGAAACTGCCCAGGTAGTCTTCAAGGACTGAGACAGGGAGTACGTGCGCGGTCAAAGTCATCTTAGAATATCAGACCTGACTTACTTCGACACCAAGGTGCTTAAGTAGGGACTGCGTTGGTGGTTGCCTGCTCTTGGCAAGGCGTCAGACAAGTTCGTTGCAAAGGTCCAAGACTGGTAACTAGATACTTTTGTCCGTTGTGATCTCACAGGCAGCAGTACACTTAAAGACACCGTGTCTCCTCGATGTACCGAGAACACACTTGAGCTAGCATGGGATGTAAACAGTTTTTCTATTGAACACCTTCACCATTTGCCGAGGCTGGAGTCTGTGTCTCCTCTGTAGGGCACTGCATTATGTCGACCCTTTTTGCTGGGATTTGGGCTGGCACAAATCCAGAGCATGTTAGCCGAGTCCCACTTGACCAGTTCCCTGACCATTGCAGGGATCTGTTTCTGAAAAGTAGGATGCGGCATGTTGTAAAGTACTTTTCCGAGGCAGCGAGACTCAATCCATATTCTTCCGCCCATGACAAGCCTTGGATTGAACGCCAATGCCTCGGAATAATCGCTCAGCTCGACATCCTGGCATCTCATGCCGCATGGAATCGCGTATAGACACAAACCTGGCTGCGAAAATGAAAACAATGGAGTCTGATGTGGCGAGCGATGGTAAGAGTCCAGGAAAGCGAATGGCTTCCAGATAACTTTGGCTCCCTGTTTGCGGTAAACGCTGTCTTGCTTCTGGTAAACCACGAATGTCTCGTGTAGTGCATAAATGCGCCTTATGATGAACTTCTCTCTTTGAAGCGAGAGCGCGAAATGCTCGTCTATGTCTCCAAGGCGGACTCGGCAGTCCGTGCACTGACATATATCAATCTCACGTGCCACGTGCGGCAAATTCAGTGTAGCTGAATCGCAACGCCTTCTCAAGAAGTCTGACAACAGACAGTATCGATCTTCGTCCGGATGCGTTACTTGGCCGCGCGAGTCAATTGGCTCGTCGTCGATAAGATCCGGACCTTTCAGATCTTTCGCCGTCAGTTCCTTGACTTCGTTACAGTATTGCTCGCGATCGAGGCTTAGAGCTTGCCTCAAGGAGTGTGCGTGCCATAAGGACCCGCCAAAGTATCGCCAGGCAGCATGAAACACTTTTGTGATAGATGCACTGTAGTCTACTGGAAACTCTGGGCCGTGTTCGATGAAGCCCAGTAGACCGAAGAGCCCGTCGCGAGGATTCTCGCATTTCTGACCCTTGAAGTAGGAAAGGACGTCGCTAATGCCTTGCCCAATCATGGTGGATCTGCTCCGCCATTCAACGATGGCCAAAGCAGGTGCTTTAGCGAAGCGCCTGTGCGGTGCATCTGGGAGCCTGGCGCGCAGAGCGCGAGTGCCATCGCTGAATGAGTTCCATTCGATCGTAGTTCGTCCTACGAGTAAGACGATGTCTCGAGCCATGATCATCTCAGGCACAATCCACAAACGCGTCCAGTACTCTCTGTGCGTCAGATTCTGCAAGACCCTCCTGGTCAAAAGCTTCTTGAGGCAGTGTTTGTTGTTAAGGTTCGAAACCTCCATCGCACCGTGTCTAGCTAGTAGTGGAAAGTACCATTCTGAAGAGCCAACATAGGCTATCACCATCAAAGCGGTCGAATAGATCTGCGGCATCAATTTGACTTGGCTGCTTCTTTCTCTGTCATTCAATTGATTAATGCAAATGAAATCAATCCAGAGCAGGAGGCTGCCGGATGGTGGCATCAAATCCGACCGGCTGAGGTCACTGAGTAGCTGCCATAGATTCTTCCGAACGCGCAGTCGACAGCCATCGACCCAAATGGTCTCGTCGGTAGCCCGGTCTGGGGGACCCCATTGGTATGAGATTCCAATGTATGCTTGAGCATCGACACCCAAGCGACGCTCATGAAGCCATCCCGTGATCTTTCGATCATGGCTTCGGGCAAAGAGCTCAAACAGACGAATAGTCGAATCGTCTTTCAAGGCTGAATAGTAGGTGGAGCGTATAGTGACATTAACGCGTGCGTCTTGGCCCATGCGTGAGTGTACGCTAGTTTGGTGACAGAATGGTCGAATTCAACGTCAAGCTCATCGCAAAGAGAAATAAGCATCACGTCAAGACCAGGCAGCAACTTTTTGAAGTTGCGAAAGCTGAACAAATGTCTAGCGCCAATCGATGGTGTTGCGCCCGGTTACAGTGCGAACTGGGACTTTTAACAGAATTGGAACTTTGGCGCCTCGGCACGTCATCAGTTGCCTTACTCTGAACTGCGAACATGGCTGGGTCATGCGAACCCGATTTTGCAACCCTGTCTCTGAAACTGATAATCGACGTCGAAGCAGGCAGGCTTGTATAGATACATATAGGCAACTAAGTAGGAGGAGAAGTGAGTTCATGTTCATGTTGTACGCATGTAGGCACATCGCAGATACTATTCTTGGCAGCCACCTGCTGCAATTATTGGCCAGGTCACCCCGAAAGAGAGAAGTACGAGACATAAAAGATACGAGAGTTGAATACCATGGATTCATTGGCACGACTCGCGTTGGTCGCTCCATGAGATCGTAGCGACCCCAAAGTCACGAACGCAGATTATCGCCTACTCAATTTCCGCCTTGGTGCGTTACCACCACCGAACTCAGCCGGATCAACCGTCCTGAAGCCACTGTTTCTCTTGCTCGGCCTTCTTTCAGGCGAATGCTCTTCAATAACTTCCACGATGTCATCTTCCTCCTCTTCGACCACCACGCTCTCGGGAGGTCTGGAAACACTGCGCTCTATCCTGACTTCCTGTGTTGTCCTAGTCCTGCGTTCCGTCTCCCCTCTGCCTCTACTTCTTGATCTTCTGCTGCGACTTCGATGACGGTGATTGTGCTTTTCAATAATTTCTGTCTTCACAACTCTTCCGCGTCTGAAATACATGCTGATGACCAGCAGAATCAGCCACAGAATGAGTATGGACCCCAGGACAGCACCTAGTGTGATGCCTGCAACTGCGCCGGGAGCAGGAGAGTTGTCAATGGTATCGTATGTTGTGGGAATAGCAAGAATGTATTGCTGTCGCTTCTCGAGGTGCTGGAGGTAGGGGTCCGCAAGGGCTGTCTCTTCGAAAAGTGACCGGCTGCCCAAAGTGTAACCTGTACGACTGCCGGACGCGCCAACAAGAGCGAACACCGAGACAAGTGGTATGCTGTCTCCAGGACTTGTGGCAGCTCTTGACGAAAGGCTGTGAAGAAGTGACTCTCCAGCCGCGTGGACAAGATGTGTCGGCGCCATCTTCGCAAGTAGCTGCTGGCGCTCAGTGGGGGCTTCCGAATCTGAGGCGCTCGAATCGCTGGCTTTGGAGAGCAAAGCGCCGCGACCTCAACGCTGAAAGGTCCCGAGCTCTCCGCCTCGGTCGCCGCAGATATATAGACCACTGACTGAGAAGTATGCACCAGGAACAGTAAGCTGGGAGAGATATTGCGGGCAGCTGGTCTTTAAGGTTATCGATTGCGGGGTTCGGGCCGTAGACGTGTGTTGGTGAAACGTGTTGAGCGATGGTAGTGGACAGTAGCAACGATGTTGAGCGAGCGAAGAAAATGTGAGTCATGCGACGACGATGTAGTCAACACCAGAGACGCAAGGTAGAAGCAAAATGAATCACTTGCGTAGATGGGTGGCAGGAAGCAGGATGACTGCCAGCACTGCCAAGATATTTAATCGCCAGCCTCCGCCGGCTATAGCCGAAAGCTTGTAAGCCAATGACACTGCGATGATGGAGTCGTCTCAGGCAGTGAATTCGAGTGGCTGGAATTGCCAATCTGATCACGATCTCAGCGACATCACATCCTGTACAACTGATTGCTGACAAGAAGCACGGCCGAAGCAGCGTTGCCGGGTTCAACAGCTAGTATTACTCCGGGAGCGAGAGCCCACCCACGATCCCGCAACGATGCTATAATACTGTGATGCCAAATTTCCTGACTCAACTGCACAGCTGCTTCCACTAAAGAAGCTGAGCGCTATGAACGGAAGCCGCGCTCCTCCCTCGGGGTCTTGAGGTGAGAAGGATCGGTGCGAGGTAGGTCATACTATACGTACAGAAGTGTATGTGTATAGGAACGTTCAACAAATGACAGCGGGCTACTCCGTACGGTACGTGAACGATGATTTGCGAACTTCGGCTGCTGTACAGGGCTCCCCATTTGTAAGCCCGTACCAGACCAACTCGAGTCGAAGTGTTATAGCTCGAGTCTGGGACATATTTCTGCGGACTTGACGTGCAGACGTGCAGTTCTGATTATATCAAGTCCCTTTGGCCACCTATGGCTGATTCGAAGTCCGGCAAGCCGGCTGGACCTTCATCGCAGTCGTCAAGCAGCCAACCTCCGAGCAAGCCCATGTCTCAGCGACGAGGCTTCCTCCCCTTACTGATAATTACAGCATGCATTGGAGGACTGCTCTGGTCAAGACTTTCCCCTTCGATAACGGGCTCAATATCGCACACGCCCATCAACTTGCCTGATGGCTTCAGCAATTGCCATGCCTCATACTTCGATGATGTGCCTGGATTGCTCGGCACCAAACGTCTGAAGGTCTCTGCGGAACCCGTCATCGGCCATCAAGTCGACTGGACACCAGGAACAGAAATCTACAGGGCCAACCCATCAGCTTTCGCACCCGAGACGTCGAATCTGTCTTTCTGCCACCTGGTGTACAGCTACACAAATGTTGGATATGGAAACCATGTCAATGTGACAGTATACCTGCCCAAAGCAGATACTTGGAATGGCCGATTTCAGGGTTCCGGAGGCGGGGGATACTTGACAGGGATGGGCGACGTTGTTCTCTCACCAGCTGTGGCCAGAGGCTGGGCTGTTGCAGGCACTAATGGTGGCCTGAATCCCGACAAAATAGATCCAAGATCAGGTGGCGCCCTCGACTGGGCTATCTCGGACGGCAACATTGACTGGAATATGCTTCACATGTTTGGCATAAGGGCTATTGAAGACATGACGCGGATTGGCAAAGCTGTAACCAGACATTACTACAGTCGTAGCCACACCGGCGACCGCAAGATCCCCTCATACTGGAATGGCTGCTCAACGGGTGGGCGACAAGGCCTCATGCTCGCTCAACGTGCCCCTGAGCTTTACGACGGCATTCTCGCTAGTGCTCCCGCAGTCGAATACAGCCGACTGTTGCTCGGCATGAGTCGTGGCCAACAGATGATGTATCAGCACAGTGAGTTCCCTCAATTATGCGAGATAGCGCACATCCAAGCCGCCGCGGTAAGCAGGTGTGACGCTCTTGATGGCATCAAAGACGGCCTGATCTCCTCACCAGAGCTCTGCACATTCGATCCTCTCACCCTAGTCGGTAACGTGATTCCCTGTCCCGGTGCGCCAGCCGGCGAGACTAGACTCTCTCGCTTTGCCGCAAGCCTGGCGATCGAATTATGGCGTGGAGTTCAACTGCCAACCGACCCAAAGACTGTGCTACACCCTGGGCTGCTTCACGAGGCGCCTCTTATGGCTTTGTTGGCAACGACTTGTACCTACGACAACACCACCAGCAAATCAGCTTGTACACCCATCCCAATCCATCTGACCACGGCGTACCTAGGACTTGTTCTGTCGCTCAACCGTGGCACCATCCCTCTCCTTCCGCCTCCGTCGTCGCACGCTTCGGTGCACAACCTCACAGACGAGCAATACTACAGGCTCTGGTCACTAGCAATCCAAGACCTGACACCAGTGATTAGCGCAAATAACCCCGACCTCTCGCACTTTGCGAGCGCACCTCAGAAGCCCAAAATGATTACCTGGCACGGCCTCGCTGATGCTTTGATCGCACCGGAGCATACCTTGGACTACTATCGCCAGGTTGAGGAGCACTTCACGAGCCACCGAACGGAATACAGCATTGCTCAAGCCAAAGACGCTTCTGGGGACCTGAAAGATGTGCGCGAGTTCTACCGATATTACGTCGCGCCTGGTGTCGGACACTGCGGTCTTGGGCCAGGACCAGCACCTGGCGGAATGCTCGACAGTGGCGGTGCGCTCGATCAGTTGGTCGAATGGGTTGAGAAGGGAACAGTGCCGGAGGTGTTGGAGGCGGTCAGTGGTGTCAGGAAGGACTTGCTGGGAAAATTGGAGGAGACAGAGGGATGGGACGGGCGGATCAGGCGGCCACTATGTACGTGGCCCAAGAAGCTGTCTGGGCCGGCAAAGGGAAGGATGGGAAGATGGGGCCTTGGTGGGAGCGCGAGGGCTGGTCCTGCGAATAAGTGTGCAGACTCGCTGGACGATAAGCTCTGTCTACTGCCTTGACTGCGGAACAAATAATTGGCAGCAGTGGGAGGGCAGGTATGGTGGACGCATCGGCCATCTGTCTGCACCTGTCTGGCTGTGACTTCTCGCGGACTGATGCTACCACGCCCATTGCTCCGTCCGTGAAGGCGAAAGAACTGTTCGTGCTCTGCACGTCGACCGGATTACTGAACCAGCTTCGCCAAATCCTTGGCTCACCTGAAGGAGTTCACTTACGGCCGCAGTCACACAAGACCATCAGAGATCAGTATATATGCTCAGTCAGCATCCTAATGTGATTATCTTTGGCTCTGCTGAAGAACGCTCTGCTACGGGCGCCCTTGACTCACGACAATTGCGGATGCCCCACGGATCTGGAATTCCAAATATGCTGTCTGAAAACAGAAGACCTGGATAGCAATTTTACTGCCATTGTAAGTCTATGGTGGAGTTCGGGACACAGCTGATACCGCTGCCAGGCTGCCTGATGCGTAGGGTAGTTCGAGTTCACTCTGGTGCTCGTGGACCAGTGTGATGAGGTCAATGTGGACGATTCGTCTGGACCAGTCCCACGTCGGTGTATAAAAAGCCATTGCCCACGATGCTTCCCAGAGAGCAAGCCAACAATTCATCAGCTGAAATACCGGTTCCGACTCGCTTGGAAAGACCCTGATCCAAGCACAGCAGAGACAATATGGCGACTCATCAAACAGCAAAGACCCAATATGTCTCCTCTGAGACCACCAAGTTCGCCTATCGCCGCTTCGGCGCCTCCGAAGGCGTCCCTCTCCTCTTTCTCATCCACTTCCGTGGTACTATGGACAAATGGGATCCTCTCCTGATCAACAGCGTGGCCAAAATTCGTCCTGTCATCCTCGTGGACTACTCTGGCATCGGGCAGAGCAGTGGACGCGTAGCGACATCCTTCCGCGACTCAGGCGTCGACATCATAACCTTCTTGTCCTTGATCGGCGTCAGCAAAGTCGACATCCTGGGCTTTAGCATCGGAGCTTTTGTCGGCCAAATGGTTGCGCTGAACGCAGATCCGAATACCTTACAAGTACGCAAGCTGATCATCGCTGGATCTTCGGCAAGCGTTGGCCCAGACATGCCTGAGACCAAGAACGACTACCAGACTGCAGCGACTGCTGGCACTCTCGAAGTCGATGGGTTCAAGACTTTGTTCTTTCCTCGCAACAAGGAGGGAGAGCAAGCTGCAGACTCATGGTGGGCTAGAGTTGCCGAACGCAATGAGTCTGCTAGTGGAGAAAAACCTTCAGAATGGGCGTCGCAAGACTTGACAGATGGAGGGGCCGCCATGCAAGCCCAAGGCACAGCATATGGCGCTTTCATGAACGCAGAGGCCAGTAAAGGTGCCGACGGCACTTACGATCGGCTGAGTGAGTTGAAGATGCCGGTGTTGATTGCTCAAGGCAATGTAAGTTGGCCTGTATTCTCCATGCACGTGAGCTGATTGAATGTGACTATCAGGACGACTACATGTTCCCAACTCTCAACAGCTTTCTATTCCAGCAGAAGGTTCCGAATGGGCATTTGATTGTCTACCCAAACAGTGGCCACGGGTTCCTGTATCAGTACGCGGAGGAGTTTGCTGCACATGTCAATGCCTTCCTGGATCTTTGAGTGGCCTGGAGACGATGCGGTGCAGGACCCAAGGCAATATCTGTAGACTGGTAGCGGTGATGAGGAATGTAGAGAACAGGTACTGCAGAAACGTGACAGCTTCCCCGGAGTCGAGCGCTACGGCGGCCCACATTGCACCGCACCGCTGCCATCTTCCCTTCAAGCTTGACCGCCCAGACCAGACCGTAAATACTCTGCGTCGTCGGGGAGACCGTATACATCCAGTCCGTGGCCTCGATGACGAGCCAACGTCGCGGATAGCAAGCTGCTAGAATGGACGAAAGCAGTCGGACACACCAGCGATGGCTCCTCCCATGCCAGTGTTGAGGTAAGCGTAAGCCTCGCTTCAACATGTCGATCAAGGCGATCTTCTACAGCAAGTTCGATCCACAGCAAGGTAAGTGAGTCCTCAGTATCTCCAGGCAAGAGCTGATGTGGACCAGGACCCAAGGTCATTCATCAAGTTCCAGATGATGCCATCCTGAGCACGACTGATCTTTCAGCTCAACGCCCTCGATATTGGCCTCTCCTGGATTCGACACAAATGCATTGATTTCATTCCCAACAGTCTCGCGCTTCGTGATACCACGCCAGTCACTTTGTGGCAACATTATATCTCTCAACACACCTTCTGTACACCCAAATCAGCCACCATTGCTGCTCCTTACGTTTCCGCTCTGCATCACCTCGACGAAGTATTTCCGCAATGAATTCATCTTCAACTTCTCGCTCGTACTTGGCGAGCCGAATGAGGTTGATGTTCCGTCATACAAGTCGATACTACTCAAACTATCGAACCTGATGTTGTCCCTGGAAGAGCAAAGCCTTTACCTTTCCGCGGACTCATCAGCACCCAACACCGGGCCCATCTACACCATCATTGAGAGCCTCATGTCAGATCTGAACAACTACTGCGAGTGTATGATCCCTATAGATGGGTCGAATACTCTGCATCTGAAGCTTTTCCCAACATTGCCTGCACCCCCCCTGTCAAAGCGTGCACGTCCCTCTATTCACAGTCCGTATCGGCGCGCTCATGGACGAGAATTGGGATCTCACTATGCAACGCGTTACACCGTACATCAATGGCGTCAACTCGGTTGCACGCATCGCAAGTCTGGCGGATGCAGATCTGAAGTTCACCAGAAAGGCTGTGAAGCACCTCCTGTATTATGGCTGTGTCATTTTGCTCGACATCTTCAGCTTTAGCAACATCTATGCACCGACGGCGGAGTTCTCTGCACTAATCGCAACGAATCAGGACATGCAGAAAGAGTGTGCGAGATATGTCAATCTCCGTGGAGCAAAGAGCACTGAGGAAGCCATTGTGGATGGATCGTTTTCGCGCATCGCGTCGGGTGATGACGAGGACGAGATCTGGCCTCTGACAAGTACTGGCGATGTTGTTGACGGCGTGAGCATTGTTCAACTCTTCGCAAGCTTGCGACAAGGTCTTACGGTCAGAGAATGGTACGCACAGCACAGCGACATGCTCGCCAACATCGACTTACGAAGATTCGTGACCTTCGGAGTCATCAAGGGCTTTCTCTACAGAGTCCATCGATATGCGATCCAGACACATAGGCCTACACAGAGCCGTGCCAGACGCAGATCAAACGATCGATTTGGCAATGGGACACTGGATCAGGATCACAACGATGGCGGCTTTGCTAGAACTGGAAGCGACTTTGCAAAGAAGTTGACGAAGTTTCTCGACGGTACCCATTGCTTTGACGAGATCTGCACAGAGCTTGAGGTCAGCGAGAAGTACCTCACACACAAGCTGGAGACTATGTCAGACGTGGTTACGATATGTCGTTGATTCGCTCAAAACTCCGAGCGTCTGTCTCAGCAATCCTGAGAGAATGGTCCATCAACAGCATTGGGTGGTGATATGGAAAACCTCAGACAAGGCAGTCCACCAGTGCTTGTCTGCCTTACGAGGATGAATTCACGTCACGTCTCAATTCGAAGTTGCCTAGCTGCGACGAGCGTCTATTCCCATCCTGCAAGCTCCCAGTCTGGGCCCATGCATGCAGATCTTCACGGCTTACATGCTGGTCTGAGACCGGGGTAGGCCTTTTGTGCGGGGTTGGCTGCTCGTTCGTCCGACAGGCAGCAGCAGCCCGAAAAGTACAATATGAGGCAGGAGCAGAGGAAAATATCGTGAACTCTGCATTGACGCCCTGCCAGTGATGTTGACAATTAAGCTCAGCAGGACCTCCTAGCCAGAATGCTACTGCCTCAGCTCGTCTACAGCACTTTCCTCCTGGCCCCTTCCACATGCTTGGCAGTCACTCAAGAGCCCCTGCTTAGTGGAAGCCAACATGAATACAAGACACACAACGTCTCTTTGGGCGTGCGTTAAACCTCCCTGCCACAGGCAATCACTTTGACGTCGCTGATAGTCTAGTTCGATGACCTGTCCACTAACAAGACCGGGTACGGCTATACTCCAGAATCGCCTAAGCAGAAAGCCCTCGACTACAAGACCGTCTTCCTCCAAGGCTACAGCGTAGTCGACGTCACCAAGGTCAAGCTCCCTCACGAATGGGATATCTTCTGCGCCAGTTCCGCGCCCAACGCACTGTTTGGCAGGACGAGGTCGGGTGGCTATCCTTGGCCGCGAATCAGCCTGGCGGATCTGTCGAAACCCTTCCAAAGCGTCCCTCACGGCGACGAGGATGCAGGTGCCTTCTCCGCAAATGGTAAATCATCCAAGGGTCAGCGGACCTTCCAGCTCAAATCCCTGTCTATCAAGCCCGTCGGCACAATCCCCGGCGAACCTGGCAAGTCCTTCGTGGTCATCTTCATCGACATGCTTAAGCTTCCTCCTGACCCGCTAGAGCGCCATAGAGGGTGGCCCGGGCTAGTGCACGGCGCACCCGTCTGGACGAACCGTACTGCGGCTAGTTTGGGCCTCGGATTCTTCTCCGGTCCACGCTTGCCTGTACGCCTGGAACCAACAAGGTGGATTGGCGAGGATTTCGGAAAGGGGGTAGATGTCATGGAGGTGAGCGGGCATCTGAGGATTTTGGTGGATGAGAAGCCAATGAGTGGAGCGAGCAAGATTGGGAGTTCTGTGTTGATGATGTAGTGCTTGAGGTTAGTGAAGGTGATGGACATGGAGATGACGCGACCAATCCGGAGGGGAGCGTGCGTTCGGAGGGCGATGGGAGTGGTTGGGACAGGAAATATGTGCTGGCTCGTGTAGATGGCGAACTCGAATTCGATGCTTCTTCAGCTCACAACGTCGGACACAGCCACGACTTTGAGCTGTTGATACGGCAACTTGAACAGCAAGGGGCAGTCCGCGGCTGAGAAGTCGTGATCGAGGTCACCACCACCACGTGCAAGTCCTCCGAGCGCAGAAATTGTGTCAGAAGGCAAATTGCCGACATCACTGATCGGTGGTAGGGGTACACTTAGAATCTCATCTTGGGTCAATGACATCTGTGAAACCCTCAAGAAAGAGCGAAAGCTCCAGCCAAGCCCGCTCCAGGCCCCTTCCCGATCCCGGGCACACCAGCCGACCAGTGCTGTCTCGAGCGACGTTTCGTAGTCATCAGCCGGTCGTCAACCACAGTCGCGAGGATCGCGAACAGGACGGGCTCGATGCCCGGCTGCGTAATGTCTAGCTGGTAGACTGGCTTCTCGGGCTTGGAAATTAAGGTGATTGTGCCCACGGGTGAGCCCTGGTACTCAACCCGCATGTCCAGTTGCTGTAGGTTTGCTCCGCCACCTGTGAGGAATATTTTCAGGCGAAGAGCATCTAGCTCGCCATTGTCGGAGCGGCGGAAGATCAAGCGGGTAGAGCTGGCGCTCAGCAAGGTAGGCGTGGTGGTAATTTCGAGGAGTTTGGTGCCTTGGTTGCCGTGCGTGGTGATGGTGTAGCAGAATTCGTTGGAGTTGGCGCCTGGGGGATTGTGGCGGCGGAGGATGTGCATCACGCCGCCGGGCCGGTGGTCGGTGATGTGGCTGTGGTGGTAGACGAGGCTGCTGTCTGTCGAGATGGTCGCTAGGGGGTTGGAGGGGTGACTTGGGTGGGTCAGGATGAGGTCTGGGGAGCGGGAGTCGCCGGTAAGGTGGAAGGTGGTGGGATGAGTCGGGAGAGGTGTTTTGGGCAGAAACGTGAGGTAGAATACCTGTTGACGCTGTTGCGGCTCATCGATATTGTGATGTATGGTTGCATCATAGCTTGGAGGCGGTGCATCATCGAGCTGAGTTGTGCTGTCGGTAGTCATGTCGCGTTAGATAGAGGGTCGTAAGCCCCCTGGGATCTTCGTTCAATGAACGGTCTGAACTACGAGAACTCGACGACGTCTCAGACGTGAGATCGACGTTTGCTGACCCATTATACTCAAGACGAAGAATCATGACATCGGGTCCGCGGAAGCCAAGCACGATGTCGTCTGCGATCGCCACATTACGGAGCACCTGCCTTGGTCAGAAACAGCAATGCAGCATGAGTCCTCGCGACCTTCTTCAGGTCCTACATCGAGAAACGTATGTCCGATGACTTCAGCTGGGGTCCTGAATTTCCACAACAGATACGAGGAAAAGTTATAAGTAGGTACCTACCTAGGTACTGATCGAATAATTCGAAACCGTCCATGTCACGTGGATTCGTGCACCAGAGGCGTTGCGGGGCGACGCGTACATCAGCCTTCGCATTTCCACTGGGAGTCTTCTTGTTTTCAGCACAATCGGGCAACTCCTTGGAGACCGACTGTCACCTTTATCACAGAGTTGCTCTGCCAGCTCCCGACAACTCCGGATCAAGCTGAGTCGAGCTCAAGATGGCCGCGCTTAAGCGTGAGAGGGAAGAGGCAGTAGCTTTCTCATCACGCGTCGCCAAACGCGGCAAACCCTCAGAAGAGCCATTAAGACTGCTCTCTTTGCCTTCTGAGATTCGCGCTCTCATCTTGCGTGAGCTGCTCACTTCCGACGAACCACTATTTTATGATCGGGATCGAAGCAAGCCACGGCCGCAGCTTTGGCCCAAAGTCCTTCAGACATGCAAGCAGGTCTACGAGGAAGGCCGGCAACTGCTCTATTCTAATGCCCTCGGTATCCACATAGGAAATCCCAATCCCGTAGGCATACGAGTGATGAAATATCCAATAGGCCCACGCGAGTACGGACGATGGGTGGTCAAAGAAGCGCGTACCCACGTTCTGGCACACAGCTATGATCTCGACTCCAGTCGCAGTCAACTAGGTATCAATGTGGTTGAAGGGTTTTCGAAGATCAGCATACGGATTCGCTTAGACGACAGCAACGATATGGAAACACTGCGCTTGGCTTTGGAAAACATCGTTCGCGAGGCTCCCGAAGGTCCGAACTGGGCCCACATCAGCTTGGTCCTTGATGGAGACGACCGTATTGTCGACGAAACGACTTGGAGGAACTTCACATGGGACGACCAAAATTTTGTCCCACGTTCCAGAATACCAGCCGGGCGTGATGAGTACGAGTCTGAGTTAGACATCATCGCTGACGAGCCAAACAATGGCAACAAGCAGCCGCGTCATCTATCATCATACATATTGCAACCACTTCTGCGGTGGCGAGAGCGAGAACTCGGTGACTGCGTTGGTATAGCTGGCGATATAGCCGAGAAGCTGCGTAGCCAAATGCGAATGCCAATGTCTGGTCGGATTCAGCATCTCGACATTATGCTCGATGAGCTCCGAGATTACTGCTTCGGCATATTGGGGCGTCCAGACCCAAAGGAAGACTATACAGCTTGGGACGATGACACACTCGGCGCGGTCACTTACGGGGGTCGTGCATGGTCGATCGAAGACTGTGGCGTGGATGCCGTGCCGCTGTTGCGACTGAAGACTCTGCGCGTTTCCTCCGCCAACGACGGATTGTTCTGGATATGATGAGGCTGCATCTCGCCCACCGAATCGGTAACGTCTATGGAAGCGATATGATCGATGAGGATGACCCACATAAGTTGACGATAAAGGACGTGTTATGTTGCGAGGGAGACGCCACGCCGGTCCATGAAGGTACCCAGAATGCTCGACCATAGATCGTGTCATTGGGCCGTTGTTCGATAAGCTCATTGAAGAGCCGTATATATGATACATAGCGAGCGAAGGCTACGAGATGCGAGCGCAAGCGACTGCATAGCTGGTATCGCTTGTCATGGACGGAAGACTCTGTACGATTCTTCCGCCAGCGACGGATCGTCTTGGACATGGTGAGGCTGCTGAATGCTGAACGTGTCGCCGGAAGTGCTGATGACAGTGTCTACATTCTGGATGAAGTTGACCAAGATCCGCACCGGTTGACATACGAAGACGTCTTGGGTCCCGAGTGGGACCGCAGGAGATGGAGTCGGAGGTCACAAGGCCGATAGACGAGTCGTACACATAGTACTTCGGATCCATGTATGGGCATTGTTATACCGGCAGGCTGTTCAGGCATGAAACGAGCGTTTTCAGCGGGTTACTTGAACCTCAAGATTTCGAGTCAGGGCGAGCTCTGAGGGCTGGAACTGTTTTGAAGATCGAGCCAGGAAGGTTGAGAGGAGCCTCACTTGAGTCTCAAGTCGCAGAATCAATCTATCATCAATTTGACTGCCAGGGAAGTCGCTGTGAGAAATTCAGGGTGAGGGAAGTTAAGAATGGCGAAAACGCTCTTCTCTTGTCCGAACAGCTTGCATGGACCGGGCGCAGCATCATACAGTTTCGCACTCACTCGAACACGCCAAGCGTCAGCGATAGTCGACCTTGAGACACCCAAGGAATGGAAAAGGCAAAGCTGCTTTGCTCGTCAAACACCTCGCCAGCTTCTCAATACTGGAGTACGGTTGCGACCGACTTATCATGTTTAGTCCAAATCGTAACCTGCCGCCTTTTCTGTTGCGAATCAGCCGCTGTTGCCCAATGTAGTGGCTCAGTTATCTCGAAGAGCTCGGACTACAGAACTTTCACCCCGTGAGCACATATTCTGAACTCTCATATGCGATATGAGGCAAGCCAAAGATGCCCACCATCGGCTGCTGCTATGTAGATGGCCTGGGTGCTCCTAGACACGCGGAAAAGCAGCGCAGCCGTTGAGCGCGCGAGATCGACGCCAGTGCATGTAGCTACATTTAGCGGCAAATTCGCAGGTAGCAGATGAGGTGAAGTTGACTCGAAGTGAAGCAAACAACGTCACGTGCATCTTGTGTAACCAAGGGAAACAGCACATCAGGCTCGTAGCTTCCACCTTTGGCTTCTTCGCAACTTGTTTACGTCGAAAATCATCTTACTCTTCAGACCACTCCGCTGCCGACCCACCGCTGTCAGGTGGCGCCAGCATCGCCAGATTCGAAGATGACCCCATCCAAGAAACGGAAGACGCAAAAGCCAACAATCGCAGCACCAAAAAAGGAGACAGTACCGCCATCCAAAAAGCGAAAGTCGCAAAAGCCAACAAAAGCCGCAACAGTCGTCCTATCAACTGCCACACCAGCCAATGCATCAGTCAAGTTCGTTCATAGGCTGTTCGGAACATCGTACTACACAGCTCAGCAGCTGACACTACTCGGCTTGCCAGAAGAGGTGCGCAAACTCATCTTGGACTACTTGCTAACATGCGATGAACCACTGTTCTATGAGAAATCCAAAGCCATAGACAAGTTTTATGGTGTACGGAATCCCACGCCATCCCCAACACTATGGCCAGCGATTCTTCGCGCATGCAAGCAGCTACGGGATGAGGGAGAACGAATCCTTTACTCCAATGAGCTTGGTATTCGCATTGACACTGAGGAGGGGAATGCAAAGCTGGAGGGTTCCGCCGATGCGCACATTCTCAAGCGTGCTTCCTGGGGTGCAGAATGGAGTGCGTCAACTTCGTTTTTGAACAGCGAACCGTTTCGCAAGGCGACTGTTGTGGTGGGACGCTTTTCGCGAATCAATCTACGCATCGAGACTGGCCACTTAGCAAAGGAAACCTTGCGGGTGAGCATCCTGGACGTTGTTCACGAGCTCTGCAAGCACAGCAATTGGAAGTATCTGACTGTGAGTCTGATTGCAGCACCACAGTCACATGAAGGTGACTACATTGTCGGCTCTGAGAGGGATCCAAGCACAGCCAAAATTCCTCGACTTTACATCTATGGCGGTGATCATGTTGCCATCGACACAGACGGGCTTGTCCACCGTTCCGGCACTACTGGTGAGAATCGTGTCCTTTGGAATCAGTACCCTGAGCCGTTCTACGCATCAATGTTCATTCTCCGCCCTTTGTTGAGGCTGAGAAACCGAGAGCTCGGCGCTTGTGTCAGTGTAGCTGGAGGGATGGCCGAGAAGCTCCGACTTCAGATGAAGAAGGCAGGTGGCGAGTACCACCTCGACCTCATGCCCCGAGACCTTGAGCGGCACTGCGAGGTGACCCTGAGGATGACCGGCGTCCGAGATTGTTTCAACACTTCCTCCAAGACAAAACGCAGTAAGGACACAGCAAGAGATCGCACCACGAATACGACCATGCTGGGCGATCGTGATGCAAACGAGGACGACGTTGCTTATTTCGCCGATGTCAAACAGAACAATCCTAGAAAAGGGGTCGAGGATCGACTGACATATGGATGTATTCCTGCGGCTGAAGCTGAAGACCCCACGCGATTTTTCGCACAGAGACAGATTGTCTTGGATATGACTCGTTTGATCTTCGACTGTATGTTCCTCAAGGTCTACAAGAGCGACGGGCCCGCTAGAGAATCATTCCAAAAAGAGCTCAAGCAAGATATGGTCCACGACGACGACATGCAGACTACACAATCTGCGCCCAATCGCCATCAATGTCGGACATGCAGAAAATGATGAGACGATTGATTGAGTTGCCATACATCTGAAGCTGCGAGGCAGAAACCTGTTGTTGCAAGGGCTGGGTCAATGTCGACTCGAGACCTCCTCAAGACTGGCTTCTTTGGATGGTATTGTGGCCATACTCGATGTCTGTGGTCGGTTTCGAATCACCGGCGACAACGAGCCTAAAGTCGAACTTCGCACGGAGAGAAGTAAGAGAGAATCCCCTCGCGATGCAATGACTTGGTGCCCATGCTCCACGGGCTCGGCTGGAGGTGGAGTGGGCTCTAGGCTGGAAGTGGGCTTCAAGTCGGAAGAATGAATGCCTTGAAGGGACATGGACGGCTCAAAATGAAGATGGGTCGACTCCCACAATCCACAACGTCTTTCCTACCTCCGTCTTCTCGTACTCTGCTTGGATGCATGCTCAGCTTCACACCGGAAAGATGCTTCGTACATTCCGTATAAAGGTCTACTACTCGGTGCAAATTTTCCTTGCCAACCCATGCCATCAGGCAAACTTATCATGCTTCCCCTCAACCCGCACATCCAGCACCTCCTCATAATAAGTCCCATCCCGCCTAGCCCGCTTCAGCCGCTTGACTTCATCGTGATCTAGTTTTCTGCCTACGCGTGCTCGAGTTCTGCGCGGGAGATCTTTTCGTGGGCAGCGGTGGCTTTGAGCTGTTGGACGCGGGGCTTGAAGCGGGCTTGCATTTTGATGTGTAGCAGGGTTGAGGCTGATGTGGAGGGTTGGTCGCCGCGTAGGGAAACTGAGATTTTCTTGGTGGGTGGTGGTTTTGAGTCGGAGTCGTCCTCTGTTTCTTTTTGTTTGTCGTTGCCCTCAGTGATTGCGGCGAGATAGCAGTGTCCATCATCCTCTTGTGGCGGCTCGTCTTGATCCTTATTCTTGACTTCTCCGGATCCTGCCTTCTTGGTGTCTTTGCTTGACGACGGCACCGCCGCAGTTCTCAGCCTCCACCTCCTGCTCCCTCCATCCGTCGCCTGGACCAGCACGAACCCTTCTTCCGCACCCCTCGCCTCCCTTTTCGCGCCCAGTATGCCCAAAGTATCGCAGCTCAAGTACCCACCGTGACTGCCACGAAAGCTCATCTGCCCGCCTTCCGTGCCCGGAATCTGGTTGGCGACCCACACCTGGCGGACATCGTGCGGTTCTGCTGTCTCGGGGTGTCCTTCTACCAAGTTCTCGATCTGTGAAGCGAACACGTTACCGTTCGCGTCGGAGGCTAGGGCCGTGGGCGGCGTTGTGGGGAGGACGATGAGAGTCGGGCCGGTGAGGTCGGAGGCTTGATCCGGAGCGAGCCAGGTGTCGTCGTCGTTCTCTTCGGTGGCCGGCGTACCCTCTGTGTTGGGTTCGGCGCGTTCCTCTCTGTGTTTCCGTTTCTTCGAGCTGGATGTCTTCTTGTCGCCTTTGAATGAAAGCGGCTTAATTGGCATGTTGAGCTGATGTTCGCGAGCAGTAGAAGATGACTTCGACGAGGATTTGCGACCGTTGTGTCTTTTGTGTTCGCGGCAATACTACAATCATACTGTTCGGCGTGGGCAGACGCTGGAACGGACATTCGTAGTTGGAGAAAGGCTCAGGCACCGTTGACCTACCAGGCACTGCACGATGTTGACAACTTGCACTCACTTACTGATGTGTGGATGCTCATCCAACCTTGTCCATGAGAGCGCGTGTATAAGATTGCGACGCACGATAACTTGCGCAGCCTACCACTCTACAAAATCGTGAGCCCGTGGCTACGCTTCAGATGACTTCATTACTTGGCGGGCTGTTCTTGCCAAGCTGACCCTGTTGCTGCCGCGACGGGATGGTCTAACCGCTTTGATCAAGGTCAACTTTACCGCATGTCTTCGAGGGTCACGGTGACCATGGCTGCACCAATTTGCGACCACATCTTGACCAGCAGCAGTCTCGCGACGTTCTCAGAATACAGCTGGATCCAATAAACAATACAGTCTCACCATGTCCGGCTCAACGTCGCTCTTCCAGGTGTACCTGCGCCTCCGGCCACCCATCCAAGTAGCGAAGGACCCCACGAACCCGTGGTTGATTGTCGAGCAGCCCGACGCAAAAGACAATCCCGGCACAGACGGAGACGAGGGCGCGAGCATGCCATTTTCCACACATGTTACCTTGCAGCCACCGAACGAGTCAAGAAAGCGAGCAATAGAACGTTTCGGCTTCACCAAGATCTTCAGAGAGGATGCATCGCAACTAGACGTCTTTGAGGAGATCAAGGTCGCGGACAGCGTCAGAAGCGTGGTCCAAAGTGGACGTGATGGTCTTATTGCCACGTTGGGCGTCACTGGCAGTGGCAAGGTAGGCGAATCACAATCCTACCGACAGTAGGAATACTGACCTGAATGCGTGCACAGAGCCATACAATCCTAGGCTCCAAATCACAGCGAGGCTTAACACAAATGACATTGGACGTTCTGTTCAACTCGCTTGGCCACAATGTTCGACGACCGACCGACTCACACCTCATCTCCTCAATCCAAGCCACAGACGCCTCAGAGGCTCAAATTCAGTCGGCAACCACATTCCTCGAATCGATATATGGCGACAGCGATCGAAGTAGAATTTCGAGGACTCCCATGTCGCGTGCCCAAACTCCCATGACGGTAAATAGTCCCATTGCTCCTCCCGGAGCCTTCCCATCCTCTCCGTCCAGAGACTCCCTATCGCGTGAAATGCAAAGCCTGGCCCTCAGCGAGACCTACCAAGCCGAAGTTCTCAAAGGCTACACACTGCCTGACTCCCCAAGTCCCAAGAAGAAAGACAAGTGGCACCCGCCTCCAAGATTCCCTTTTGGCAACTCCTGACACCTAAGAAGAAGACTCAAGCTAAACCTCCCGTACAGGAAACCACACATCACGTCCGCCGTCCTCCCCTACCCCGGCCTAGTGGGCTGCCTCAAACCCCTGAGATGTCCCAATACCTCATCGAACCAAATCAAGACACCGACTACGTGATCATGGTATCAATGTACGAAGTCTACAACGACCGTATCTTCGACCTCCTCTCCACTCCCAGCACCGCACCGAACGCAATGTCAACCCGAGCTGGCGCCGCCATCCAGAAGGGTCTAATGCGCCGCCCCCTCCTGTTCAAGAACACCGAGCTATCACCCGACCGCAAAGTCGTCGCCGGCCTCCGCAAGATCGTCTGCGGCACCTACGAGGAAGCCATGATGGTCCTCGAGACCGGCCTCAACGAGCGCCGCGTAGCCGGCACTGGCAGCAACAGCGTCTCCTCCCGCAGCCACGGCTTCTTCTGCATCGACGTCAAACGCAATCCTCATGGCCGCCACAACGGTCGTCTCTACGCGATGGAGAACTGGTCCGGCGGCACGCTCTCGATCGTCGACCTGGCTGGCTCCGAGCGCGCCCGTAACGCCAAGACCACAGGCTCAACCCTCGCGGAAGCCGGCAAGATCAACGAGAGCCTCATGTACCTAGGTCAATGCCTACAAGTGCAATCAGACTGCCAGCACGACGGCTCCAAACCCATCGTGCCCTTCCGGCAGTGTAAGCTCACCGAGCTGCTCTTCTCGAACTCCTTTCCCTCCTCCTCAAACCCATCCGCAGCACCAAAGGCGCCTCAAAAAGCAGTGATGATCGTCACCGCCGACCCGCAAGGCGACTTCAACGCCACCAGCCAGATCCTGCGGTACTCTGCCCTCGCCCGCGAAGTCACTATTCCGCGTGTGCCCAGTGTAACGAGCCAGATCGGTGCGCCGCTCCGCTCACCTACAGTAAATAGCCACAACGGTCGTTCGTCGCCAGGAGACAACTACTTCGCCTCCCCGCAAGAGATCGAGCACCTGACCAACTCGTTGACCCGCCTGTCCGAAGAATGCGATGCCCTCGCTCTACGCTTGGCAGAAGAGGAAATCAAACGCTCGGAAGCAGAACTGCGATTAGCACTAGCGGAAGAGAAAGCCGAGGACCTCGAAGCACAAGTCAGAGAGGAGTGCTGGGCAGAGATGGAAGAGATGTTAGTAAGGGAGAAGGAAAGATGGAGGGTGGCATGGGAGGAGGAGCGGAGGAGAGGGGAGAGATTCTTGGATGGGAAGCTGGATATTGTTGCTGGAAGGGGAATGGGGAGTCCGGTCAAGACAAGTCCGGTCAAAGTGCGGTGAGGATGGTGTTCTCGTGGTGGTCAAATACAGTAGATGTAGTACTACGACAGCTTTCCTGGCGGTGGGGTAGAGATGCGATTGGATTAAAGGACTATGGCGAGACGAAGCCTTGAAACCTATTTGCCGTGCCTGCCTTGAAGCCGTCTTCGGCGTTTTCAAGGGTGTTCAAGCAGAGCACAGCAGGAGGGTGTGCTCAAAGATAATGCATTGACGACGTATCCTACATTATGTTCATCGCGATTGATCACTTCCTAACAGCAGTCGTAGCCTGGCTACGCGTTCCGGATGTCTTCTGCCGCCATTGGCTACTCAAGAACTGACTATGGAACCCATCTGCTGCAAATCTGAACGTCTGCTTCTAGGCTAATTCATCGCTGACTACTCCAGTTGCTCACGAATGGCGACTTGCTAATATACGCATACCTTGGCAGGCTGTTGCATGAGCGTCAATGTGATAGACGAACATGTAAAGCTGGGGCGTTATGGGTCAGGGAGGGCGCTGAGGCTCTGACATTGTGACGCTAAACACGTCGACGGTTTTGGGACGGGCCTCACTTGAGCGTCAGATGGTCCGAGGTAGCCATCGTGGATTTTCTGTCTGGGGCGGGCGCTGTGGGAACTTCTACGAAATGCTATCCTATGAGTCCTCAGTAGCCTTCCACTTGCGGATTCGTGCCTTCGCCGTCTTGACACAGTCATCGCAATGCACGGCACTGCACTGCCGGCATTCCCAGGCGGCCTCTGGTGCCTGTTCTTTCGTTCGAATAAGCAGCTCTGTGAAGCAGCCTGTGCAATCGATGCGAATCCCGACTTCACGAAAATCCTTCTCCCATGGTGGTATCTTGAACCATTTGTCGTGCATTGAGTCGACCGTGAGTGGTATGTAGCGGTGGTGGCAGCCCCAGCCATCGTAAGATCGCTCTTCGGGTTCAGATCCGAAGTCATAGCCGGTGTGCTCCCAGTCAATGTCGCCATCCGGGTTGTCGAGATTTGCATCGTCATCTGTAGGCACGCTTGTCTGGCCATGCTCCAGGGCGGGCTGTGGACGAACAGGCGAGACAGCACCTTCCTGCATTGAGGCAGGCTCAATGAAGAATTCGGCATAGGAGGCCCCTTGACGGGTGAAAGGACTGTCCTGGGCCTGAATAGCCCCAGTCTGATCTTGTAAGGGCGTTCCCATGCCGCTGGCTTGTCCCTGACGCTGTATTAATTGCTGTTGTCGCAAAGACGATCGAAGGCCTTCGATCTCTCGCTGAGTCGCCCGTGCGCGAGCGGCGTCTTGCTGCTGCAGGAGCCGTTGAAGGTCATTGATTTGTCGCTGAGTCGCCTGCACCACTTGGCCGACCAGCTGTTGCCGAGCGACTTGTTGTTGCCGCTGAGCGGCCTGCTGTTGTTGCTCAATCCTTCGAAGAGCTTCGTTGTGTCGCCGAGTTGCTTGCTGTTCTTGGGCTGCCTGCAGACGAGCAACTATCTGGTGTTGTTGCTGAGGCCACTGGACAGCTTCGCTATATTCTTGATTCGCTGGCTCTGCTTGTTGCGCTCCCTGGTGCCGAGTACCCTGTTGTTGGGCTATTTCAGACTCATTCCAACGTTGTGTCTGAGGTTGAAATGCATGCTGAGCCTTGCCTGAGCGGTATGTGTGGCCGGCAGGCGGCCGATTCTCCATGGAGATGAAGCCTCCTCATCACTAAGCAGCGCTTCCGATGAATCTGTGCTCACCTGGTCTGGACTGATGCTGATTCTATACAGTGGATCCCCCCAGCGCAAATGATTATTTTGGGATTCCGAGGGGATCGCCACCGCCAGGTCATGAGTGGTGGGTAACGTAAGCACTCGATGTGGATCGGAAAGTGACTCTGAAGGTGTGAAGCCCGCCTGGCCGCGTGATCCGTCCATCAACAGGCTGACAACACGCCGGAGACGCACTCGTGGTCGTGGGCCAGCGTCGTCGACGACTGTGGCAGCAGGCTGGCTATCAGACACTCGCGCATCCTGCTCCTGCTCCTGTTCTTGCTCTGCATTGTTGGCATCATCTGCAGCAGCATTCCCCGAGTCCGTGGCGCCATGTTCTTCGTCCTCGCTACTACTATAGGGATCGCCAGCCTCGCCAGCTGCGATACTGGCTGCGCAAGGACGACGATGGCAGGCCTTGATCGGACGTCTGCAGTCCCAACACCATTGCGCGCCGCAGAGACATCGCATGTGAGGGCAGCCAAACATCTTCATAACAGCTGTGGCGCACTTCGGACACTTCTTGTAATTGAATGTATCTGTGATCTTCTTGTGTTCTATGCCTTCTGTGCATTCGTGGCCGTCCGGCGCTATTTGGCGACACTGGTAGCATGTCTTTACTCCACATCTCGGGCAGGTGACCTTGCCGTTAATCGGCTTCAGGTGTCGTTCTGGAATAAAGGCCGAGCAGAGATTGACCGCGCAGTAGAATGGGGATGCAGTCTGAAGCTCGTCGAGGCGGGCTTTGTATCGTGGAAGATCTCCATTGTAGATGAGGTTTCTGAACACATCGGGGTGATATGCCTTCTGACAGCATCGCACCGGTATCAGGCTCACATCGTCCTGCGCCACCTTGAATTGTTGCTTAAGACATGAGTGACAGACGGACGACTTGCATTCCCGGCAGGGCCTACTGAAGGTGCTCCAGGGCGGGCTAATGTCAATTCTGTCGCCGCAGATGCAGCAGTCGACTACTTCGGTCGGTTTTAGCCGTTTGCTGGGAGGGGCGGAGGACATTGCGATTTTTCGACACAGAGGCCGCCCTGGGGGTCAAAACGATGATTGCGATGATGTTGGGATATTTTGTCGCGCAAGATAAAAGTGACGGTCGTGTTTGAATCTCAGTGAAGTTCGCACTTCACGGTGTCTCTTGCCTGGTCGGTACCTGCCGTTCTAGTGGACCTGCCTGCCTGCTAGGAGCCAGGCGCGATCGTGAAATGCCAAGATCACGGCACCTCGTACCTGGCAGAGATGGGGAAAGAGCCTGAGTTGGTGAAGCTGTCGAGCCAAAAACGCAATCAAGTGAGATCTGTCGATTAGTACATTGCCATGTGTCTTTGCTCATGTTCCAAAAGCACCCGAGCCATTTTGCTTAACTCACCGTGTTTGTTGCTGTTGCCTGGTTGCCCGCTGCATATCTGTGCGCAGGCACTTCGCGAACTGGCACGGGTACGGGCAGATGCACGCGTAAGACCGCGAGCTGGAACTGGGGCACGTGTGAAGACGTGCATACCTACCTACCTACCTGATCCTCGTGGTTTAGTCGGCGTTCAATGACTTCATCGTTAGTGTCCTGTCGCTCGAGCTTTCCACACCGGTAGGCTGAGCATCTAGTGCTCGTGATTCGAGGAATCGAAGCCGATGAACTGACCCTCGCATATAAGTCAAATTAGTCTCAGAGAATCCTTACTCCGGTCGGAGCTACGACTGAACGAAGTACAGAAGAAATATCCTAGGGAAGACTTTGTACAGAGGATCCCTTATGACCCTTAGAAGTGCGGCTCTAGGCAAGCGCCGAATCTCGGAGATGATCAGGCAAGCCTGTACGAGCCTCGGCTCTCACGTTCCCTACTGCCAGCTAAACTAGTACAACCGAGTTCAAGAGACGGCGAGATGCGAATCTTGGGACATATATTGCATGTCTCGCTGTCCGTGTCAAAGGTAAAGCGGCCTCGCTGTTACGTGCTGTCTACTCGATCCGTGCAGGCTGGGGGCTCGACGACTCAAGAACCGCACGCAGCGGCAGGCATGTCGTCTGCGTCGAGCAAGACTACGATGCAAGCAATCCACATTCCCAAGTGGCTGCCACAAGACACAGGCTACCCGTCCCTGAAGCCCACCACTCAACCTGTGCCCTCACCCTCGCCAACAAACCTCCTCATTGCCATTACCCACTCCTCTCTCAACCACGTCGACCTGCTGTACTCGCGAGGTCTGCACCAGAATAACGCCTCCGGACTCGTGAAACCGCCGTTCAACCTCGGTCTGGAGTTCTCTGGAGTCGTCGCCGCACTCCCAACCGATGCAAAAGCTGCATCAACATGTGGCTTCGCCGTCGGCGATCGTGTCTGGGGCGGCTGTGTAGGCAGTTTCGCAGAGTATGCGTCGGTGCCACCCTCGGCAGTGAGAAAGGTTCCCAACGGAACGAGTCTGCTGGACGCGGCTGGATTGGGTGCGGGCAGCCCGACGGTGAGCTATGGCGCCTTGATCTTGTGTGGAGGCGTGAAGAAAGGTGACCTGGTGCTCGTGCATGCGGCGGCTGGAGGATTGGGCGCGCCTGCTGTGCAGATAGCGTATGCAAAGGGAGCGAAGGTCATTGCAACAGTGGGCAGTGAGGAGAAAGCTAAGGTGGTGAGGAGCGAGATGGGAGAAATGGTTTTGGGCGTGGTGAACTACGAAGTCGAGGGCTGGGAGAAAGAGGTGGTCAAAATTGCAAAAAAAGAAGGGAAGGAAGGCGTCGACTTAGTCTACGACACAGTGGGATTGGTGCTAAGCTCGATCAGGTGTGTGAGATTCGACGGGGCGATTGTCATCGCGGGCTTTGCTGGAAGGAAGGGGAAGATGGAGACGGTGGCGATGAACAGAATTCTGTTGAAGAACGTCAGAGTGCTTGGGTACAGGTATGGCGAGAGTGGGAGAAGAGACCCAGACCACACGGCAGAATGCTGGCGCGGCACAGAGGAGTTGCTAGCGAAGGGCCAAATGAAACCGCTGATCTACAGAGTGCTTCACGGGCTAGATTCGGTGGGCGAGGGCTTGCAGGAGCTGTACGAGAGGAAGGTGTGGGGAAAGGCCGTGGTTGAAATTAGGAAAGAGGAGGATGTTCTGAGGGAGGTCACTGCCAAACCGAAATTGTGATTATCATACCGACGCCCGCTCGATTCGCTATTCCACAGACGCCTTTACGGAGTGGCCAACATCGGTCTCAGCACCTCGATCATGCGCGCCTCCCCATCGTCATGGCCAACATCGAAACGGACGTTGAAACCAGGACACAGCACGATTTGGCCCGAACTCTCGCCACTCTCCCATACCCAAATTCCACGACCATGCATACCGAAGATCTCCAATCCCAACTCGACCGCTTCCCGAAAGATGCTCGCTAGGTGACTTGACCTGGCCTCAGAGCTATACCGCTTCACAATCCATGGTCTGAACGCCAATGTAACCCGTTCTGACGCATCTCGGACCGTGCTGGCCATTGACTTTTCGACGTTGTCGAGCCCAAGCAGACCCAACGTCTCTATACGCCAACGGGCGAGCTCCTGAGGTCCATCATCTTTGTTGGAAGCCGCGATGAGTCTGTACATTGCCAGCAGGCTCCTCGGCAGAAGCGCATGATCATACTCGCATCGGCTTGTGTAGTCAAGTCTGGAGGTGATATACTCTGTAAGACAGTGCTTGATGAGGACTCGCGTGTCTTCGGCAGCCGGCAGCAGTGCCACAATGGAGTCCTCAAGATGCGGCGATTCGACATACCGGAGTCTGTCCTGCTCTGTTCTGGACAAGGCTTGACCATGAGCTGTTGAGGCTTGGTAGAAGTTGTCGACATGCATCTCAATCTGCTCGAACAGTGTCGAGATCTGCGTACGAAGATGCTTGACCACGGTCTCCAGACCTTGTTCATCCGAAACTTGGTGTGCCGCAGCGACAGGGCTGATGAGACCCCCAGCACTCGTAGAGAGTGCTCGTCGGGGTCTGTTGTTGAGTAGCATGGTCGGGAAGCTTTGACGCTTGTCGGATACAGAAGCTCTCTTGGCAGTAGCACTGGTCGTTGTTCGAACACTGGTCCCATCGATGCTTAGGTGGCGCGAGTCAGGACGCCGAGGGTGCAGCTGTGTTGACGGTCGACGCTCCTTGGGCGGGACTTCGGGCTGGATGTCGGAATCCTTTCGTTCATCCATCGTGGACTGTGCAACATCTGGAAACGGGAGTGGCAACAGCTTCGGGTCGAAGGTGTTTCGAATATGCGTATCTCGTCGCTGTCTGCGTTCTTTCCGCTTTCTGTACATCAAGTAAGCACCTGCTCCCACCAGGGCCAGAAGGATGCCACCGAAGAAGCTACCGATAGCAGCACCTGCGAGAGAGCTGCTTCTCAATGACGAAGTCGTCGCAGGCGGCATCGTCTGAGACACGCTTTGGACACAGCTGAGTACGAGCTCGTCCATGCTTCAGCTTCGGACAGCTTCCAGTTGACGCTGGTGTTATATGGCGTCGTGTTCCACGGTTTACCATCAACTGGTCCCTGCATTGTCAGGCTCCCACTACCTATGTCATAGGGCTTCGCGTTGGCTGGGAACGTGATATTTCCTAATGAAGCAGTCAGCCAGATTGGCGAGGGCGTTGCTGAAAAGTCCAGGTATATCGATGTGATGTTGATTGTGCGATATGATTTGGGCGTTTGGGTAGCACCATTACTTGATGTACCAGTGTTGGTGGACGAGGTGACCCAAGGTGTAGCTAGAGCGTCTGATTGACTGTTCCTCAAACCGCTGTCGTTGGGCGGACCACCGATGGGTGTCGTGGTTGCGATCGTTGTTGTCGTTGCCGCTACCGCTGGCGAGTCCGAGCCATCTTGACGCCGAAGCAATGCCATGACTGGTCCTTGTATACTTCTTGGCCCAAAGCATCGACTCTGGAGGTCAAGGGAAGGAAGAGAAGCACAAGCAACTATGGCAGGCGGTCCAGAAGTAGCAGCATCGTCTGATGAGCGCCAGTCAGTAGAAAGAGACCGCTCAGCAGCGTCCACACCAATTTCAGTCCTCCCATTTACTCAGGAACTGCTGTTTCGGATGCCTCAAACCCAGGCCAGGATTGGACATCTGACCAGAATGTTTGTAGCAGCCGCATAGGCGATGGCAAAAGACTTCCAGCGTCCTGTCCTACGTTACACGAACACGTTCAGACGCGGAGATCCTGCGGACCAGCCGTTTCAAAGAACGCGTTATGGCCTAGCTGGGCGCATCAGTTGCAATTCCACATCCGACACCAGTGGATAGAAGAAAGCTTGATCGGAGTGGCATTGGACACTCAGTCTGTGGAGATGGTAGATCTGGGCGTGGGAGAGGACCCGCACAAATGAGATCTGAATCAATGAGTGTTATTAGACTTCAATGCAATGAATCCTACTATCGCCAACGACTATGCAACTTTCCAAACCTTGCTGGTTTCGCGCCTGTGCTCAAGCTTTGTACCGCAAGAGACTGAAGCTATGCTTCGGGAACTTATAGCTCTCATCCACGTCAACCTCCTTCTCCGTAATGCCAACCTTCTGCTCGCCGCCCATATTCGTGACCTTGACATCATCACCGTTGACCTCCAGGACCTGAGCCTTGCCTTTGATGCCACCCAACTTCACCTCGTAGTCGTTGTCCAAATGCATGTTGACAACCGCAATGTTCACGACACCTTCCTCCTCATCGTAGCAAGCGCTGACATCCAGGTATGGTGTGCGCCGTGTGGCTCGGCAGTATTCGACTTTCGTCTTGCCAGTGTACTCTTCGCAGCCGACGTGGGTGGCGATAAGGTAGCCTTTCATGTACTTGCAGAACAGCTCGTACACATACCAAGTGGTCTGCTTGGTGATACCTTGCTTCGATGTCATGAGGGGAGAGAGAACGTTGACACTTTGCGCGATATTCGCCATGCCCACGTCAGCGGACTTCCGCACAAAGATGTTCAGCCACACGCCAACAGCCAATGCGTCACTCAAAGTGTAGTTTTCCTCGCCGCCAGCAGATCCAACCGCCCTGGACGGCATCCACACATTCCATTCGTCGAAGCAAATGAGAGGTCTTGGCTGGGAAGCCGGGATCTTGGACTCGTAAAAGGGAATGTCAATCAGGCCTTTGGCGATCTCGATGTTGCGTTCTGCCGTTAAAGGGCCGACCACATTCTCGTAGTGGTCGTACGAGGCGGTATAGAGATGGATGGAGTGCATGTCAATAAGAGGCTTGCGATACTCGCCCAGGTCGTCTTTGCCGGCGGGTCGAATGCAGTGCTTGAGGACTTTGAAGTCCCACGAATGGGCACCTTCGGCACCGCAGAGGACAAGGACAAGGTTTGGGTCGAGTAATTTGAGTGCCTTGGCCCATTCTAGGGGGATCATTAGCACACCGTGGACATGGATTCGAAGTACTTACGAAGTGCTCTCTCAGCATATGCTTCCGCCGTCAGTTGACTGACTTGCCAATCTCCCCACATCTCATTGCCCAAAGCCCAGTACTTGACTTTGTATGGCTCTTCGTGCCCATTTGCTCGTCGCATGTTGGCATACTTGGTGTTTTTGGTGCCGTTGCAGTAGTCGACCCATGCAAGAGCTTCATCGAGGGTACCAGTTCCGAAGTTGAGGCATAGGTAAGGCTCGGCACTAACTGCCTTGCACCACTTCATGAACTCATCTGTGCCGAAGTGATTTGTCTCGACTGTACCCCATGCCAGTTCAGGAAAAGCAGGACGCTGATCTCTAGGTCCAACACCGTCCTGCCAGTGATATGTAGCACAGAAGTTGCCGCCAGGATATCTGAAAACTGGGATTTTCAGGGGTTTGAGTGCCTCAATAACGTCTAACCGGAAGCCATCTTCGTTGATGAGTTCCTTGTTCGGATTGTCCGGATCGAAAATGCCGCCGTAGATACATCGTCCCATGTGCTCTGTGAAGCCAGAGTAGATCAGGCGATTAATGGGATTGAGACGGTGATCAGGGAAAACATTGATGTAGGGAGTCTTTGAGGTGGCAACGAAGGTGGTCATCTTGGCGGCGATGATGATGGTGGTCGTGGTCGACAGTGGACAGATGTCTTGATCCCGTAAATGACCGAATTAATGAGGTGAAGCGATGATACAGTCTAACGATACTTAGGGAGAGAGGTGAGGGATAATTGTCGATGTTCTGGACGAACAGTAAATGTATCTCAACCGGCTAAATTGAGTCGCAGCTTCCTTGGGTTGGAGAAGGGCGATTGAGCATATCCTGGGATGTGGAAGATAAGACAAGATGTGGACTTGGCTGATGCAGATGAGTTTAAATTAATAGCGAAGGTCAAGATTATCAGCTGGTGATGGTGTGTTTGTTGCTGCAATTCGCTGAGCCGCTTCCAAGCGATGCTGGCGAAGGCCAATGCCGATGGAGGAAGGCACGATGCAAACAATCGGTGTAGAAACGGGCTGTGACGACCCAGAGGAAATCGGACTTACTTCACTGCAACGGGCCGGGCAGCATTTTGAAGATTGGATTCATGTTGTATCACAGAATGTCAAGATCTGACTTGACCACGTTGTTGAAGGTTCGCTGCACCACCGGAGCCGGCATGTCGCACTGCGTGTGGAAACTTTCCAACAACCACTCCGCCGCTGGAGAATGGATGAGCTTGGAGAACTGTTGTGGATGCCACCCCCGGAGCAGCGGGGTCTGTTGCAAGGTCAGAAGTCCAGACGCGTCGACAGACCGTGCCCGCGTATCGGACCATGTCCCGCGAGCTGGGTAAGAAGCTGTGTTGCCTCGCATAACATCGTAAGTCAGAATTGAGCTGGAGAGTCTGAGCAGCAACCTTGGAAGGAAGAGACTTTGGACGCCCTTGGGGCCGGGAGAAAAGCCATTGCCAAGCTTCGAGCTGAGAGGAAGTTCCACCACCAGATGACAGCTACACACTTTACTCTCGAGTGGCTCTATCAAAATTGAGCCTAGAAACACCCAAGTAGGCGTGGGCCAGGACGTGTTTGAATATCCATGCATCAATCATCACAAGACCGGGGGAGCAGCGTTGAATTATCAATCTAGCGACACAGCCCCTTCCGCTCCGCACCGTATGCCGAACGACACGTTCCTGCGACCCTACTCCCCGGCCTCGTACCAATCTCCTTCGTTCTGCTCCTCTTCCCACTCATCTCTCGACAACGTCTCATTGACCCTGTTGTGCATGCTCGGTTAGACATCTTGAACATGGGACGGTACAGTAGAGAACGTTCACCAATTAGGACCATACACCTCTCTGTTGGTCTTCCACACACGTTTCTTCGGGGCCTTCTTGACATTCGGCTCTGTATCCTTGTCGTCGCCGTTCTCCTCGTCATCGGCAATGCGGGCCTCATGCTCCTCGCCGGCGTTTTTGTTGTCGTCCGAGGCTGCGCCTTGACGCGCCTGGGACGGTACCCGAGCCATCAACTCTGTGAAGGATTTGGGCTTGCCTTCTCTCACCGGAGAAATCGGGGTGACATCTACGGAATGGAGAACTCGTCAGCTATCATGCATAGTACACAAGCCTGGTATCGCTTTCGGAAGGTGAGGCACTTACTTGCTTTGCCGCTGAACACCTCGTACTGCCTCGGCGGGCCTTGGGCTGGTTTCGGCTGGACTGTACTATCTACTGCTTTATCTGCTGGATCATCCATCGCTCCAACAGCGGCAGAGGCAGTCGAATTGTCGCGACAGCCACGACCGTCGACGAGAGTTTCGACAGAGCCATCCTCGTGGCGCCGGTAGCTGAACCTACTCAGGTCTGCAATGCCATTAGTGGCGAGACCATCGTGAACAAATAGACTAAACTCACCAGCCTTGCCAGCGAACGCAGCGTGAGCAGTCTTCATCGCTGCCTTCTTCTGCTCCTCTGCTAGTGAAGGAGCCATCTGTCACTGTTCGGAGACGCGAACTAAAAATGCCTATCGACTCAGACTTTCCTCGCAGTGTATGTGGTATGGAAGGTGAGCGTGAACTGGGATGAGGATAGCGGTGGATGATGTACAGGCAGGTAAGCAGCAGCCGCATTGGTGGACTGAAATTGAAGTGACAATTTGGTTCGCGCTTCTTAAGAGGCGCTGCCTTGGTCTTGGCACAAGCTCTTGCTCGATTACATTTCACCTGAAGAAGGTGCTTGACAGTATCGAAGTCGCCCGGCGCGACGGAGCATAGATGTCTGAGGCGCTGAACGTTGCCGCACTGCCAGCTCCCAACAGCCTTTGGTCTCTCAATACGCCAGCATCATCTAACATGCTCAGTGGTACTAGCAAGTCCCTTCTCCGCAGTGACAGCTTCGAGGCGACGTTCGAGGTCGCCTTCGATGTATGACTCCTTGCTGACCCCAATGACAACCCACGGAGCGTGCTCGAAAAGGTAGTTCATCTCCTCGAGCGGACGGCGGGCGGTCTATATTGGTGTCAGTGTGTGAGCTCTAGAGCATGACAGAAATTTCGCATACCTCTGGCAAGACGATCCAAAAGAACACAGCATTGGTGAAGTTGCAGACGCAGAAGAGGATGTAAAACCGCCACCCGATATTGGTCATCGCAATCGGGGTTACCTGAAGAGAATTGTCAGTACATATCGCGCAGACTTCGAGAGGATACTCACTTGGCCGATCATGGTGTTGAAGGCGAAGCTCGTCATCGTTGCGATTGAGACGCCTTTGCTTCTTGTTCGAGTATCGAATACTTCAGCCTAATTGAGAGCATCACGGTCAGCATAGTCTCAGGACACGAGATCGAGATCGAGGAGAACAGGCAAGGAGAGGTGATGGCTGATCGGTAGCCCTTTGAGGCACGCTGGAGCCAGCATTCGCATTGTTACTCGGCTACTTACTAGGATGATCCAAGAAAGTGGCCCGCAGGTGCACGAGAAAGAGAAGTTCCACAGCCAAGTGACCACGATGAACCCCCATTGAGCTCCACGGTTGCTGGTCGTACCGGGAGGGAAGACAGCCAGCATGATCGTCGCAATGATGAATGTAAGACAGTTGCCTAGGTTGCCCAGGATGAGCGGCCACCTACGGCCCGTCCGGTCAATGAAGAGAATCGTAGTGAACTGGGCCACAAGAGCAATGATGCTGCTGATGCCCTGATATTTGAGTGTGTCGTCGGTCGCAATGCCCATATTGGCGAAGATGATGGGCGAGTAGTACTGAATGGCACTGACACCAGTCATCTGCACTGAAGCCTGAATCGAGCAGCAGAGAAATAGTCGGCGGAAGGCAGATCGTGACTTGAAAAGCTCAACATAGGACTTGGCTTCATGAGCGTGCTCGTGAGCGATCGATGCCGAAATCTGCTCGAACTCTGCCCGGACCCACGGGTCGTTGGTGTCGCCGTGCGCATGTAGGCGAGCGAGAGTATGCAGCGCCTCATTCTCTTTGCCATGATCGAGTAGCCATCGAGGACTTTCGGGGAACATGAAGATTAGAGCTCCCAAGATAATCGCAGGAATGATCTGGATAGCCAAAGGAATGCGCCACTGGCCGGAATTGGTCTTGATGTAGACATAAGTTGCCCATGAGACCCAGGAGGCCGTCAACGCACCCACTCCAAGCATGAATTGTTGCAACGCTGTGATGCGTCCACGAATCGACGGGTGAGCAAGCTCGGCCTGGTACAACGGCACAATCATGACCAAGAAGCCGACACCGAGACCAGCCAGGAAGCGGCCAGCCCACAGGAAATGGAGATTCTGTCCTCCAGTCTGCAGTGCGCCGCCGAGTGTGAAGATGATCGCCCCGATGGTGATGGTCCAGCGTCGCCCAAGGAAGTCGCCAGTGGGACCTCCTCCGAAAGCCCCAAAGAATGCGCCCGTGGTGAACATTGAGACAACAAGGCCGATCTCGTCATCGTTTGGGTTAAAGGCCTCCTTGAAAGTGTCGGACGCGACGACGGACGCGATGACGCCGAGGTCATAGCCAAAGAGGAACGAACCAAGTGATGCGAAAACGCCCACTAGGAACTGGTAGACTTTTGGCGGAAGAGCCATGGTGCAGGTGGACACCTGTAGGCTTGGGCGAGAAGCTGGACGAGGATGAAAAGTGCTGCGTCCCTTTCGCTTCCCCGGATTGAAGGATTATGCGGAGAACGAGCAGTCCAGATGTTGGAGCGGAAGCAGGAGCATCTCAGACTGATATAAGATCTCGACTCAAGCTTCCCACGTCCGTCGTGGCAACGTCCGGACGGTACTGCTTCATCTCGTTAGCGCTCCACTCCATCACAAGGTCGATCCCAGATAGTATGAATGGACTGGTCGATTGGCATCGCCTGCAAAACTTGTTCGCCATCCTCCGGGATATGGCTCGATATGGCTAGATCGACGCCGGTGTTGACCCATTCCAGGTTAGTCAGAATCTCCTCCCCGGATTGCGGGCTCGAGGGGTGGGGTTCCCTTATTCCGCCGGAGTGGGTTGCTGGGGTTCACAAGATGAATACTGATCGAAGAAAACCGGAGAAGCATGTGTTCAAGGTTGAGTAGGGTTTGTGGTTCGTGTCTGACACATGCGACCACTCGGCATGCTACCAGACGTGGCAGATTCGCGCTGCCATGTCGAAGTCCACATGGGTATCTAAAATCTAGCTGGCCTGGTCCGTCTTCAGACCGCGCTCCCAGACCTCGGACCAGAAACCTTCTCTGTACAGCCGCAGCACCTCGAAGCCAACCTCTATAGCGATGAGGATGATGATGGTCCATTCGAGAAAGAGCCCGTGCTTCTCACTCAACCTCTCCCGTAGCACACTGGCAATCTCAGCAGCATAGTCCATCTTCTCGTTGAGCACCTTGATCCGGATACCGACATCGAGAGCTCTGCCAACCTGGTCATAGTAGTTCTCGAGATTCAATTCATACTTCGAATCCCAAAACAGATCTGGCAGGGAGTCTGTGAGCTCCGAATACAGGTTCAGCTGAGCCCTCAATTCTAGCAATTGCCCGGTCTTGCGAAGTATGAAGCCTCGGGAGAACCTCAGCGGTAGTCGAGAGCCCTTTGACAACAGTGGAGGAATGCTCGCGGTAGAGGCGAGGTAAGTCGACAGATTTGTTTCAAGCACAGCGAGCTTGGTAGATCGAGCAAAGCCGGAAGAGAAGGCGATCTTGGTCAATGTCGCGTCGATACCGTGCGCATTCGACTCGTTGTCTGTGTTCAAGGCCTTGGTACCGAGAACAATCGTGTCTCCTCGGATTGTACTGGTTTCTCGGCTAGGATCCTCTATGAAATCCAGATCTTCGGTTTCAATCGGTTCAGGGTGATGGTTTGTGGCTGCTGGGGCAAGCGTTCTCGTGGCGAAATAGGATGTGAAGCCTTCTGGCAGAGCCCATGTCACAAGTGTTCCGGAGGGAAAGATGAAGACGTCGCCCACCTCCTGGGCTTCCAGCTCCGATACAGAGACGTTCGAAGAGCGATAGATGGACGAGACTGGCACCTGGACATGAACGACTTGTGGGTGTAGACCAGTGTTCAGAGGATCTGGCTCGTAGCCCTTAGACCGTAGTATCTCTACCACCTTTGGTATATCAAAAGTCTCTGCGACCGCATAAGCTGTGACCAGCTTCGGCGCTTCGACGTCTTCCTGTTGTTGCTGCTGCGTTTTGACACTGTGCCCAACCTTAGAGCGTTGCGCCTCGACGGCTACTCTCCGCAGTGACGTCTTTGCAGCGCTCGGCCTTGCAGTCTTCCTTTTCTGTATAGTCCCTGGCTGCGTGTTTTGGCTATCTGGATCCTTCTGAGTCGATAGCGCCGCATTCGAAGAGAAGAAGTCTCGCCGCCGCGGACGTTGGAAGATCGGCGAGGCGTGGAGTGGCCGCAGTCCGGGCTGCCTGTACAGGTCCCATCCAGCCCTACGGCATGAGAAACATGCAGATGGCCCTATCAACGCCGCTGCTAAGGGCCGCACGTTGATAGTCTGCATGCCTAGCAATCCGAAGAATGGAAGGTGTACGTGGGAGTCGCCATCTTCTTCCACCTCCAAGTCCAAGATCCTGGGCTTGGCGCGCATCATACCTCCATACAACCGCGTGATCAAGCTTGAACGTTGCACGTTTCATTTCTAAATGACGCGACAATAACCACAGTATCACGGATGGCGGTGGGGGAGGGCTCATCAAGCCCAGACGGAGGACACGACTCCGCCGAAAATCATGACGATCCTCCCAACGCTGAACCGAGCGTTCACGAATCCGAGGACGAGGAGGAGGAAGAACCACGCCTCAAGTACGCCAACCTTACGAAGAACCTAGGTGCCCTCTATCGGAATGGAGATGCTGCAAGCGCCTTCTTCGTCGCTGGCGAGAAGCTTATAATTGGCACCCACAACGGCGGCATCAATGTCCTGACACTGCCGGGCCTCGATACTCTCAAGCGATACGATGCACACACTGCTAGCGTCTCCTCGATATCGATATCGCCGTACCCGCCGCCTCTGCCTACTTTGAGACTCGACGCTGCCCAAAGGCTGGCCTCTGAGTCGGTACAGCAAGAGAAGGATGCCTCCCCGGCACGATCGAGTCCTGCGGGCAAGGACAGTCCACGTAGGTACCCGTGCCGCCAACTGCGGCGAACCAGATCTACATTGGTACCTCGTCGATAGACGGCAATGTCTGCGTTCAGTCACTGGTCGATCCCAAAGATGTACAGCTTAGGAACTTTGGCCGGCCAGTGCAGTCCGTCTCCTTGTCACCGGAATACAAGTCAGATCGGATGTATTTGTCCGGAGGTCAGGCGGGTGCCCTAGTGCTCACGACTGGAGGGCAGATAGGCAAGGCAGCCAATGCTTCCACGACTGGAACTGCTGCTGCTGCAGCATCGTCTTGGCTCGGGTCTATGGGACTAGGTGCCAACACAGGCACAGACAAGACATTGCATTCCGGAGAAGGCACTATCAGCACAATCAGATGGTCTCTGTCTGGAAAATTCGTTCTCTGGGTCAACGAACAAGGCATCAAAATCATGCGCTCACATCTGCAGCTCAGTAGTAGCCAATCGGGACAAGAATGGAAACGATTCAGCCATATCGACCGACCAGATAAACCTCTCTGGGACGACATGGCCGGTGTCTGGAAAGCGCGTGTTGAGTGGATTGATCGGAATATCCTCGAATCCGAGGGAGACGACTCTTCTCAGCCCTCGAACGGTGGGGCACTGCAACCCACGGACAACGAGGAGGTGCTGGTCGGTTGGGGTGACACGGTCTGGAAGCTGCGTGTAATAGTGGGCGATGAGAAGAGCAAGAGTTCAAGCAAGCCTCGAGCAGAGGTCGTTACGATGTGAGTCATCAGGTCATGCTACTGGCATCACTAACAAGCACAGTATACGATTTGATGACTGTACAATATCTGGCGTTTCACTATATACCCCATCAACGCTTCTAGTTCTAGCATATCTCGAGAAGAAATCGAAAGCATCCGACACATCTAATGGCGCCAAGAAAGGCAGGCGTAACAAGCAGACTGCTCTTGAGCCTGAATTGCGGCTTATTGACATCAACACCAAAGAAGAAATCGACTCGGACACTCTGGAGATCAGTAGATTTGAGACTTTGTCGTCCCCGGATTATCACTTGAGCATCCTGCCACCGATGCGCATACCAGCAGCACTTGCCCAGCGAGGTTACCTTGGTCAGATTGGCGGTGCAATCGGCACGGGTATGACTACAATGGGTTCCGGCCTGTACACCGGCGTCGAAACTGTTGGTCAAGGTGTCTGGGACGCCACGATGTACGCGCCACGCAAACTTGGCGCAAACCGACTCTTCAGCACCAGCGACAGCGTGCGGAGTGGCCGAGCTTCGGACAAGCCAGTAAGCGTACGCGAGCAACGAAACTACTTGACCGGCTGGCTACCTGGCTTTGGCTCCATCAGCGGGCCACAAGATGAGGAAGTACGTGATGTTGCGCAGACCAGAGGCATGAAGATATTTATTTTCAGCCCGTACGACTGTATTGTTGCAGTGAAGCGAAATTCTGCGGACCGGCTGCGATGGCTGGTCTCCCTCGAGAAGTATGAAGAAGCATGGAAGTTGCTAGATGAGCATCCCGAGGCCGCTGAATCCGAACCGTCGGACTCTATCCCACCTACTCCGTCAGGAGCAAGCTCTGTTGTGCAGTCTGGGTCCAGCGGCCAGGCTCGGCATGCTACACTTGCCGAGTTTTTCGAAGACAGCGCGTCGATCACAAGCACGGTCAAGGGGAAGGCCGAAAAGCACACTGCTGCCGACAAGGAGAAAAGACAGATCGGCGAGCTGTGGCTGAAGCAGCTTGTTGCGGCGAAGAAGTGGGTGGAGGCTGGTGAGGTCGCCGGAAAGGCTCTCAACACCACACCGAGATGGGAGCATTGGGTCTGGATCTTCATCAAGAATCACAAGTTCGATGAGATTTCTCCCTACATTCCGACTCTGGATTTGACACCGCCTTTGCCATCCTTGGTATTTGAGATCGTGCTTGGTCATTATGTGACTTTCAATCGACAAAGGTTCCGAGAGCTACTCGACAAGTGGCCATCTGACATCTTCGACATCAGCAGCATCACGACAGCGATTGAGGGTCAACTCAGCTCTACTGAGCAACACTCCGATGACTGGCGAATTCTGCAAGAATGCCTAGCCAAGCTCTTCCTCGCGGATGGGCGGTACGATGAAGCCTTACGATGTTACATACGACTGCAAGACGCCGACACGGCGCTGACCCTGATCAAAGAGCATCATCTCATCGAAGCTATCGCTGATGACATTCCTGCATTCGTCCAGCTTCGAGTCTCGGCCGAGCAGCTTAAGTCCGCAGCACGCGATGAGCTCGACGATCTTGCTTCCGAGCCCATCAAATTGCTCGTCGACGAAGCAGAACACGGCGTCGTTGATGCGAATGACGTTGTCGGTCAGCTCGAGCAAGCCAATCTTTCGATGTTTCTGTTCTTCTATTTCCGTGGCCTCTGGCGCGGCGAAGGCACGCATCAAAATCACTCCACTGTCCGTGGACGAGCACTCGACAATCTTGCTGCCGATGCAGGCAAGCTTGTCGTAGAGGAGTTCGCAGACACTGCGGTCAAGCTTTTCGCTGAATACGACCGGGATATCTTGAATGACTTCCTCCACATCTCTACATCGTACACGTTCGAGTCGGCTTTAAAGACTTGCGAGAGCCGCCACTTTATTCCTGAATTGGTCTACCTCCTCTCAAAGACCGGTCAAGTGAAGAAAGCTCTCTTCCTCATCATCGACGAACTCAACGATGTCTCGAAAGCAATCGAGTTCGCTCGAGAGCAAGATGACAAAGATCTGTGGGACGACTTCCTCGAGTACTCCATGTCTCGACCCCGCTTCATCGCCGGCCTACTAGCGGAAGTCGGCACAGCAATTGACCCAATCGAGCTCGTCCGACGAATACCCTCCGGCATCGAGATTCCAGGCCTAAAGGAAGGCCTTCGGAAGATGCTCCGCGAGTACGATCTCCAGGACAGTATCAGCGCTGGCGTCGCTCAGGTCCTAGCTGGAGAGGTCGCAGTGGGCATGCAGACGCTGCGCCGGGGCCGACGGCATGGCATCAAATTCGATGTGCCTGTGCCGAAGAAGAAGCAAGTGGAAATATCTGACGATTCGACGACAATCGTTGCCGACGGTGAGAAAGCATCAGAAGAAGAAAGTCTTGTTGAACCAGGTCACTGTGCGTCATGCAACCGGCGTTTTGGTACTTCGACGGCAGCCGAGAAGATTACCCTTGTTGGATTTGCCTGCGGCCATGTCTACCATCTGAACCACCTGCTAACCGGCCCAGAAGCGGATGATGCAGTGCCGGACTACTTGCCTGGAGGCGGGGATAGGGATGAAGAGGACGAGGATCGAGGGTTCACAAGGAGTATCGGACCGAAAGTCACGAACGCACGATTGCTGCGGGAGAAAATCGCGCAAGCGGGCGGATGTACGGTCTGTAAGGTGAAGAAGGAGAGGGTCAAGGCTGTGGAATGAGTGGCTAATTGGATTATTGTGAGATGTCAAGGAAGTGGGTCCATGGTGCTAAAAAGTTCGCCTCACTCCGCACGCTCTTTCTTCACCATGTCTTCCAGCAGATCCAGCCCGCCCAGCTTCATGAATCCTCCGTCACCCAGATCTGGAGGCACAACAGATTCTAAGCCACCCTGCAGCAATTTCACACGACCTGCTGCACCACCTCGCCAGATCTCCGCTGGTGGTCCACCCTCTCTCAGCAGATCGTCCACAACGTTTTGGGCCCACTTGTCTTGGTCCTCAGCATACGCCTCTGTCGCATCACCCCTGATGACGTTCTCGACCTTCTCCTTGATTGGCATGTAAGGACTATCAGGTGGCAGAGTAAGTGCATTAGTCCGGTTCTCCGAGAAGTTCGATTCGGTCGATCCAGTCTTCAGATCCACCACCCGAATACCAAACGGCCGCAGCTCGATGCGCTGCGTCGCCGAAAACGAGGCCAGGGCCGCCTTGGACGCAGAGTAGGCGGAGTGGTACGGAGTCCGAAGAGTGGACGAGATGGAGGTCTGATTTACTAGAAGGGCTATCCCTTGCTCTGCAGCGGTCTGCATGAGCAGTGGCAAGAATGCCTGCGTCACGGCCAGATGGGACCACAGGTTGACATCGAACAGCTCGCGTGCTTTCTGGAGATCGAGATGTAGAAAAGGCATGTAATGGCCGCCGCCGGCATTGTTGATAAGCATGTTCAAACCCTTGTGACATGTGGATTTGACAGTGGCCAGGCAGGATTGAATGGACTCGTCATTGAGGACATCGAGCTCGAAGCACTTGATATCGAGCTTCTGGAGGGACTCGGTCTTGCTGAGGTCTCGAGCGGTGGCTAGTACACGGACGCCTCTGCTGTGGAGGGCTTTGGCCAGGGCTGCACCTAGGCCGCCATCGGAGCAGCCCGTGATGAGAGCCGTGAACTTGTTGGGCTCTGGAGGCATCCTCACTCAGCGAGTCAGTGGTTGCCGGCTGCAGTACCTAGTAGATAGCAGCATACATACATACTGCAGTACTGCCCACGGGTAGAACCTGCCAAATTCCGGGTGCTCCCTTCTTCATGACGACACTGTAACTTCCCCAGCATTTCATACAGCAGGCATCGGGAAGGCACGAACCCTAATCTCTGACAGATGACTCAAGCCCCCATCGCCTGTTGCACCATCTTGTCCTACCATCAACGTCTGCCAAAAGCCCCGGAACTTGTGAAGACCCGTCGACAACGAGCAAATGCGCCCTGCCAAGCGCGGCTGCCAATTAGGCGCCCATGACCGAGTCGGTCAGGCACTATTGCAGCACTAGCCGCACCCTGATAAAGGCAGAAAATCCCAATTGACGGTATGGGTTCTGGCAACCGCCGATGGACGCAGCTAGCTTGATTGTCGGTTTACCCGGTCTCTTCAACGATTGTATAGAGCTCTGGGAACGCTTCAACAACTACAGGGAATACGACCAGGCAGCATCCACCGTAGCGAACATACATGCGGCGCAGAAGCTGCGACTCACTCAATGGGCACGTGCAGTGGCGTTAGCTGACGGGAAGCTGCGGCCAGATCATCATGAGGCTTTCGATGATCCCGAGGTCACCACTCTTGTCCGGAACATCTTGCAGAAGCTGAAGGATCTTTTCGCTGAGCATGATGAGAAAATCATCGGCCATACGAAAACGAAAACCCAAAGTGATGGGTCAAAGGCCCTCGGCACCTCTAAACGGGCTGCCTTCAGATGGGCCATCTCGGACAAGAATCGAGTCATCACATATGTTGACCAGATCGAAGCACTTGTGTCTGCTTTGTACGATCTCCTTCCTCTCGATCGAACCTCTGGAACTTTGTCCGGATCGCTGGGCACGAACACCGACAAGCTTACTGAGTTGTTGAAAGTTCACGCGAAGCCGCCCAGCAGCGGAGCCTGCAGATTGTTGATCAGTATATTGGCGCACCCAGAACCAATTTCGACTACCAGGAACAAGCCGCAGGAAGGGCTCCTGGCACCTGTGAATGGATTCTCTCCCATCCGGGCTACACCGCATGGCGTGTGCAATCGCGGGAGCCTACTCTACTGTGGTTGTCTGGGCCTGCCGGTCACGGAAAGAGCGTCTTATACTCTCGTACCCTGCTCGAGCTGATGACCGATCGAGGACTCGATCTTGCTTATTGCGTGGCAAGTGGACATGCGAGCAAAGACCTTGAGGAAGTCCCGAGGATTACTTTATCTGCATTGATCCGCCGAAGTCCTGACGTACTGAACATGGTTCTGAGCCAGATGCAGAGCTCGATCAGTAGGACAGGCACCACATCAGAAATATGGACTATCCTTGCTATGGTCGCGGCAATATTGCCGTCGCTGGTTCTTGCTATTGATGGTCTGGACGAGTATCCGTATGGCGCACGATCCGAGTTCCTGGACAAGCTGCGAGAAAGCTTGGCTACGTCAACGGTGAGGTTATTACTAGTGAGTCGACGGGAGACTGATATCGAATCTGCGCTGCATTCGTTCGAAGCCTCCTTTACTGTCCACGAGTGTTTGCTGGACAAACAGCTACTCAACGACGACCTGAAGTCATATGCTTCCACTGTGGTCGATGAGAAATTGATAAAGCATACCACAGCTTTCAGAGAAGAAATCGCGAAAGACTTAGTCACTCAATGCGATGGTATGTTTTTGATGATGCGCTTGCAGCGGGATCAGCTAGGTCCTCCGAACAAACCCTCGCGGAAAAGCAAGAATGAGTTACGGAAGATTGTCAGTGAAACGCCAAACGGGCTTGACAAAGCATACGAAAGAAACATCTCGCAGATCGTACAACAACCCGAGAAAGATAAGCTCAAGGCCTTTGCAATTCTCCAATGGGTCATGCATAGTAAGGAGCCCCTTACTGTGGCAGAATTGACAGAAGCGGTCATCATAAGCCTGGCGCCCTTCAGCGAAGACGAAGACGAAGACAGCCAGACCTTGATAGACCCGGACGATCTGCCAGAAACACTTGACGAAGAATACGTCCAGACTGAGCTACTTGCACCTTGCGCGTCAATGATTGACCATATTTGCTCGGCCGTCACCATACCCATCGCTCTTGATGTCACGAACCTCTTCCCCCAACCACCCATGCACGCCTGCCCTCCGTCCTCTCTTTCGCCAGCTTGCCCCAACTTGGATCTGCTGCTCGCATCACGTATATCCACGACGAGACTGGAAGTAGGAAGGCCGTGGCGAAGAAGGTGACTCGTGCTGGGTGGCCGCCCGGTGACCGAGTCGGGCCAAGCATGGACCACCTGCCTGGGTATGATGGTGATGCTGCTGGCATTATTGATTTGTTGTATGAGGCACTTGGTGTTGGGCTGTATGTGCCGCTGATCGAAATTTACTCCAGTATTTTCGTGTCTCTTGGAGTTGCTCGCAATTCGGGACGTTGACCACAGCGCGATTTGCAGAGGACGATGCTGAGCTTTTATGAACATCCCATTCCTCACCATCTATGTCTTGCGGAATACATCATTCCAAACGCATCAGAACAGTGCTCTGTCCAAATGAGGCTTGTCCACTTCCCAATCCGGAAAGTCAGACCACAACATTGTGGTGTGATAACACTCACATCATCAGAACGGAGACAAGCGAGATCGGAATGTACCGTGGTGCGATCAAGGCGCGCTCACACCACCACTTACTCACGAAGAAGTGACCTTGTTGAGGTTGCGGTGGTCTTAGTGGCGCTGCTTTGTGGCCTGGTTGGACGAGTGGTGCACTCGTTGGTACTCGGCAAATATGCACACTTACAAGTTTCGTCGACATAACAAGCAAAAGATCGCTTCTCTCTGATGACTAGAGCAGCTTTACCCACGAATCTCTCTGCCCATCTGACCATACTGACATAAGGGAATGCAGAAGGAATACGTGATGAAGCTCAGCGCAAAGACGTGGCGTGATATAATTGTGCTGCCAAGCTTTCACTGCCTGCATGCCCATTCTATCTCGACGACATTACTTGAGTCCTGCTGCTAGACTAGCAAGCCGCAACTGCCTTCGGTTACTGACAACATTGCTGTGAAAGATGTGAAGCTATTGATCAGGCATCGCTGTCAATGTTCGTCGCCGCGTGGTTCGACCTCAGTCTTCCCTGAACTCGGCCACCTCCACTCGCAATCGCATCGGGTGCGCTAGCACTGCTCCTGCGCGACACTCTCATCCGATCGCGGAGTCCGTCCCGTGCTTACTGATGGCCGGCACATGGTGTGGAGCGCACGGCGTTCGTGTCCTGGACCCCGGCAGCTCGCCTTCGTCCGACGAATACTCCCGATTGAAGCCCCCTTGCGAGACGTCTGAACCTTTGCAGCCAAACTTCCGCAGCGCCCTCCCTGACCGGGAAATCCACAATGAGTGTTCCATGCCAGCTAAGACTCAACTGAGGCCTTCCTAGCCTTTGAGCCCTCCTGTATTACGTCTGCTCCGTCCTTGCCGCACCCATCTCTCTTGGCTGCTTGCTGTCTGCTCTGCGGGGTTGACCAAAAAGCCTAATGCCTCCCGCTGTGGCGCTCTGTGATACCAGTCATAGCTTACTCCGGCTCACATCCGGCCACGAGAAACGAATATTGTCATTCCTCAACCCATCAACCACGACCTGTACTCCGCCAATCCTAACCATCAGATCCAGTCGATGGTCTCGATACTCCCGCTTGAAGCCGGCAGGTCTCTTGGCTCCCAGCTTGGTCATTGTCTTCAGTCCCTCCCTCGCCTCATCAAACGTCGTCCTCACACTTGTTCGCTGCTTGATGCGATCCAGCCACTTCCCTAACGGCGTATCCTTCTCCGGGCCCAGTCCGGATCCAACACTCGAGTTCAGAATCGGTGCAATACACAGGTCCGCCATGCCAAATTGCTCACCGGAGAAGTATGAACCCTCGCCAAGCTTCACCGTTAGCCACTCCTGCAGCTCCGTCGCGATAGTCTGAATGTTCGCGATCAACTTCTCCGCCACAGCACCCTCCGCACGCTTGAAGATCCGGATTTCCCCCGCCGCCCACATCAATGCCTCATACTGCGTCAGACAGACTTGTGCCGCTAGCGAGGCAAGCGCTTTCCGCGTTGGGTCACTGGGATGAAGATTTGTCGAGGGCCAGGTGTCGTTGATGTACTCCAGAATCACAGGCGTTTCGAAGAGAGTGACATCGCCGTGCACAAATGCAGGGACTTCTGCACGAGGGTTGAGTGTGCCGATCGGGGCGATGCTACCGGCAGGCGTTTTTGTGAACGCGATGTCTTTCTCGCGAAGGGCGATCTTGACGGATTGCACGTAGGGAGAAAGCGGGTGCTCATGGAGGGTGGGTTGAGCAGGAGCCATGTTTCGTTGACTTGGCGAAGAACTTGATAAATCTTTTCCTTGGTTGACCAAGCTATATCGCACGAATAATGAGATCTATTGACAGAGGACAGTGTCCGAGACCGATGAATCAGGTACAAGACAGACGATCATGTATCACGCAAGTGACGGTCGATGGTTTTATATTTTCCCCACATTTCCGAGCTATGCCTCGGTACACTGTACCTCCGGCCTTGTGCTGCGACGGAGAGATCATGGCGAATGGAAAGAAATGACTCACATCGCTTCCTCCTGCCAACATATACGATGCTACATTGTCGGGCTGAGACTTCTCCGAGCAATGATACTGGACAAGCTGCATACTCCCCGGGATTGACTCGGGCGGAACGCGCGTTCAAGGACTGTGAGACCTACCGTAATAACGTTACGGTCGCCCACGCAAGCTTTGCATGATGTGTTTTTGTTGACAGTCACAGTGTATCTGACCTTCGTGATGTATGCATCACCCAATATCGATACAGAAATGCCCACTGGCAAATGTAGATCGCCCGCGATGCCACTTTCTAGGCGATGTGTGAAGTGTCCACGGCCAGAAAGGCTGATCGTCACGCGCCACCATGCGCACACAGCGTTGAGGCGAGGCAAGTGAAGTTGCGGCAAAACTGTATCAAACTTGCATCAAGTGAATCTTGCGATGGCCGTCTTCAAGTACGGCTGTCCAGACTTCGAATGTTGGCCTGCACTTGAGGCTCATCGGGAAATTTTGGGAATGACTTTCACAAAGGCCCGCAGCTTGGTTTCAATTAAAGGTACTCATGATCTGGACACCTTCACGTCGAATTTTATACAAGACATCAGCGCACTCAGAAGTTACGGACTGTTAATCGCTCATTACGGATATACAGAAATCTGATTCTTTGCCTTGACCAGCAAGTTGATCTTCGACATGTCTGGAATCGACGACAACTTGGAGGCGCTCATCAAGTCCGTCGCGTCCACACTGAACGCGCAGCAGATCCCGTGCGTGCTTTGGGGCCACTGTATGCTCTCCATTCACGGCGTCAGTACCTTCATCGGGGTAAGCTCTGTTCCATCAATGCCAACACGATCCAATTTAGCTGACCGATCACAGTCTCTGGATTTCATCGTCTCCGATACTCATCTCGACCAAGCTGTTGCTATTCTTGAGCAAAGTCCAGCACTTGTACCATGTCCACAGACAATATGTCCTGAGACCTCAGAACGTCAATCAAGCCCACCGCCCAAACATCATGTGCATCACAAAGGCTGTCTTGAGTTCACTATCCAGCTCTTCTCACAGACAGACGCTCTGCCATTCCTTGAGCCCATCGACCAATCGCTTTCGTCGAAACAGCAGCTCCCCGCCACCTACGTCCTCGCTTCCGACTACATATCACTTCCACCCAATCGACCGAACCGTGGAAGTGGTCATCTCAAGTCAGGGCGGACTCCGGTGATCATCCCGAAAGCTCACATCATGCTTGAGCATATCTCCGCATCCTCGCCAGAGAAGCGTTCACGGACCATGCCGATTGGGCTATGGGAATGGCCATCCTCATCAGAGAATACGTCGGCCGTGATGGCTACCTGAATACACCGATAGACCAGAAACGTCTCTCCAGGGAGACCGGTGCACTATTCATCGAAATGTTTAGACTGAAGAGACCAGCAGGCGACTGGCTGAGAGACCTGAGACGAAGCTTCGACATGGACGAACAGGACGTGGTAATGGACGGTTCGGCGACTGTGAGGGAGAAGGTACAGGCGACTTAGGCAATCGACCCTGCGACAACCACTGAGATGCTGCTGTTCGAGTGCAAGACTTTCTCCCATGAGGTGTCCGTGATCACGAGATCCGAACACACAAAAGACGCACGCTCAGACGCCTTGGAATCACGATCTCGCAGACAGTAAGTACCGGACTGCAGAGGACGACTGGGCTTGGGCTGCTGGTCCTCATTTGGGGTTGGAATACAATCGGTTCCTGCGCCAACGACTGGAGACCGAAAATCCGAGTCGGGCCGCAAAATGACCCAATCGCAAATCGACCTTACCCACGTTCCATTTTCTATGACTCGCCGCGTGGCTGCGCACGGACCCATTTACGAGCTGGTAAGTCGTCCTTGTTACCATGTGATTTCGACTTCTCTTGCGAGGCGGCTTCGCAACTGAATTCTCTGCTGTCTCTGTCGGAGTCTTGCGAGTCGATGTACTGTCAAACAGAGAGATCTCGACCCTGCACCACATCCAGCTACGATGATCCCACAGCAATAAGAGCTACTTGCCACACGCCCTGCCAGCACTGCAGAGACACGATAACGTACGCGGTCTCGACCGTCCGAGTCACCGTTTCTTGAATCTTTCGCCACGTGCTGGAGCCAGCCGAGCCGCACTACTGCTCAAGTCCTTTGACACAGGTAATGCACTTGAGAACAGCTGATCGGGACCTGCGGTAGGCTGCTCTTGGCTTAGAACTAAGGTGAGACCTTTGAACTTCGCCGGTACCAGACCCCAAATCAACGACTATTTCGGCATCTCGACCAGTCGCAAGGTTCATACAGAATTGCATTTTCGCACGCGTAGGAGGCGCCCGGGTTGCAACCGATCCGAGTCAATCCAGACCCTAAGACCCTGCCCCTCCTGCATGTCCGTTGCGGAATAAGCACCCATCGCCTCCTAACTTTCCACCAAAGGCGAACTCTGTTTGGACGACGTGTTCGTTAAGCATTTCTTTTACGCGCAATTTCATGCACGACTACGAGTCAGTGTCAGCACTTTGTTCCCACGTCTTCTTGTCTTGCAACATTTCTGCTACTTTGGCAGTACTTTCGAAACGATTCAGGTGAGGAGAAGCCCGATCCCCAACCCTATGGGCATCGAATAACCGAAGATCGCCTCGGTTTAGTGATCTTGTCCACTCAGATTGCGGAGATTCTGGGGAGTGGAGATGGACACAACCGGGGTCAAGGGAGCTCTGCGGGGGTGGAGTCGCTGTCTGCTTTGATACTCTCGACCACCCTCAGAGTTCAGCTAGTAGCTAGCGGTCGTCGGTGGGATGGCTTTTGGCTGGGTATATACCGTCGGCTTGTGGCGGGCATGGCGCCTGTCAAGTTGTGCAGGTATATTGTCTAGTGCAAACCCTGTCAGTGGTTCTGTCTTCCTTGCAACGTCCTTCGAATTCGCACACAACTGAACAAACGCAATCATGGCCGAAGTTCAAGAGAAACAGCAGAACCACGACCTGGCTCCCGAAGGAGAGAAGGCTGCAGGCCTATCTGAGCACAAAGAGGTTGCCGCAACTCCAGAGAAGACGTCCTCTGAGGAGGAAGCCCCTCGTGCTCCTCACGATGATCCGGATCACTTCGACAACCACGTCTGGACGTGGAAGGATCGTGCCGCCGCTCTGTCGCTGTCCGGGCTTTATGTTGGTGAGTGAGCAATGGCTGGAGCTTCGTGTCACAAGATCGACACCACTCCAGACATATGGCAGAGCGAAAGACTGATCGATTGCATTTCATCAGGCTCTCAAATCCCTCTCTACTTCGTCGGCGGCTCCCTCTCCTTCATCGCAGCTGACATCGGCGGCGCCGATGCATCCGCATGGCTTCCCGTAGCCTACGCACTTGCTCTTGCAGCGGTAGCACCCTTCTCTGGCTACATGCAAGATCTCATGGGCCGCCGCAACATCACTCTGTTCGCCGGTCTCATCCTCATCGTTGGCATCATCGTGCTTGCGACAGCTAAAAGCTTCGGCGCTGGCGTCGTGGGAATGGGACTAGCTGGTGCTGGTGCTGCTGTCGGTGAGCTGACTGCTCTTGCTGGGTGAGTCGACAACCTTCTTGGTGGAAGAAAACCGACTAATGCGTCATCCCAGAACTGCCGAACTCGTCCCAGTCAAAGCCCGCGGCTACTACCTCGCCCTCGTGACCGGCTTCGTCCTCCCTTTCACCCCCTACCTGCTCTACGCCCAACTCCTCTCCACCTACCACACCTGGCGCTGGGGCATCTGGATCTGCCTGATCTGGAACGGCATCTGGTTCGCCGGCATCCTCGTCCTCTACTTCCCACAATCGCAGACCCGTGCGAAGGGCGCCGCTGCCCGCGAGATCCTTGGCAAGATCGACTACGTCGGCGGGTTCTTGTCGATCACTGGGTTGGTACTGTTCCTCGTGGCATTGCAGGCCGGTGGGTACAGTCATCCGTGGGCCAGCGCGTATGTGCTGTGCACGCTGATCATTGGGTTCTTGTTGATTGTGGCGTTTGTGGTGTGGGAGTTGAAGTTTTGCAAAGATCCTATGGTGCCGCATGAGATGTTCAAGGGGCAGAGGATTGTTGGGATGGCTTATGGGATTGCTTTCGTTGCTGGTGAGTCGCTATTCATTTTTAGTATTGGGAACGGAGGTGAGCTGACTATGATTGTCCTAGGCATGAACTTCTACGCCATGTTGAACTTCTTCCCGATCCTGTTCCACGACGTCTTCCCACCTGACCCGGTTCAAGTCGGCCTGAAAGGTATCGGTCCAGGTCTCAGCACCACCTTCGGCGCCGTTTTCGTCAATGCTGCCCTTACCTGGTTCAAGGGCTGGAACAGAGAATTGTTGCTCGCCTGCACGGTCATGATGAGTAAGTCCGACCCTACTAAGAACTGTGACCGCGACACCAATCTGACATACCATCATAGCTGCCTTCGGTGGCGCCCTCGCCGCCATCACTCCCGAAACCACCTCCCTCGCCGTCGCCCTGAGTATCTTCACAGGCTTCGGCGTCGGAGGCGTGCTTGTCCCCGCCGCCACCGTCGCTGTCATGGTCACACCAGACACCTCGATCGCGACCTGCGTTGCCCTATCTCTCGCCATCCGCACCGTTGGTGGTTCCATCGGCTATGCTATCTACTACAACGTCTTCGTCAATAAGCTCACGAGCAGCTTGCCGACGAAAGTGGTGGAGTATGCGGTGGGAGCGGGCCTGCCGCTCACGAGTGCCGAGAGCTTTGTGATGGCGTATCTGGGAGGGTTGGAGGAGGCGTTGATGCAGATTCCAGGTGTGACGCCTGCTGTGCTTGAGGGTGCGGCGATTGGAAGCGTAAGTTCTCACGTTCTGTTTCGGTATTTTGCGAGTTTTCAGTGAAATGTTTTGCTGACTTGTGATGTACAGAGATGGGCATACGCCGGCGCCCTGAAGTGGGTGTGGATCTCGTCAATTCCGTTCGGTGTCTGCGCTATCGTGGCGACCTGCTTCTTGGGAAATACGAGCAAATACATGACGGATCGCGTTGCTGCGAGATTGGCTCACTGAGGGACTTGGTTGGTTTGTCGAGCATGGCATCGCTTGGTCAATATGGTCGAGATATATCAGCAATCGTCGGCTCCGTCGTGCTCCGTGGCGCTCCTTAGCGTACGTCGGCCTTGTCGTCTTAGAGACGGTTGTACTTGATTCAGGCCAAGGCACGACAGAGTGGCAGAATACCGCTACCAATTACTGAACAAAATGCGCCAAATGGCTTTTTTCAGTTCCCAATTCCCAACTCTGATTTATCATGCCAACCTAGAGGGCGCTTGAACCACTACCCCTTTTCTATGTACAAATTCCAACTTATGTGAATCGCGGTTCACACTGCCAGGGCGGCATCGTCAGAGCTCCGATGGAAGTCATCGAGATTCCGAAGAGCTGCCGTGGAGGTACACAAAGTTGTCAACCCGGTAGTCTGCTAGCCTTTCGCGCCAATGGTCCGACTGGCAGCGCGAATCCGATCGCCTCGGAGGTAGAGAATGTACGGAGCAGGCGTGAAGGCACACGCAATCGCAGCCAGGACGGTCATAGCATGGTGATTTCCCAAGTTCTTGAACATCGGTATGGCGACGATGACCATTGAGCCACCAGCAATATACCGTACTAACGTAATCGCCACAAGTGCCGACGCTGCGAAACGGGTGAAGGCCTGGATGATGTAAATGTAGATGGACAGGAACAGCGAGAGTAGGCTGAAGCCGAAGAAGGCGCATCTGTGGCGACAGGTCAGCCAGGGTCCAGTCAAATGGGAACTCAAACTGCTTACGCAATGATTGGGCTCCAGTAAGAGACAGAAGCATAGTCCGACCATGCAAGCCAGAACAAGGAGATCGGGAGGACAGGGGCAGCAATCATTGCCCACCACAACATGGCCTCCGGCTCAGCGTGCGCTTTTCCCTGCGTGGCAGCCTTCCTGTACTCGCGCCCAAGCAACATGCCATACAATGGCGACGCCAAAGCACAAATCCACAATCCAACGGTCGTGCTGATGAACATCAGGTACGTGCTCCCTTGATCGAATCCATACGTGTCGGAAAAGATGAATGGTGCTCCCGTGAAGAAGGAAAATGCCACGATGTAGACAAAGGTTAAGTAAGCCGTCAACACCAGCAGTATCGGTTCCCTGAGCAGAAGCAGAAGTGGACGATGCAGAGCTTCAGCAATTTTCTTGACGAGTGTCTTCTTCGATATCGACCCTTGAGGGCTGTGGTATCGGGCGTCGCCCGTCGCCTGCCGTTTGGCCGCAGCTTTCCATTCGAGGATCCTCGGGGCGTACGTCTCGGGCAAGAGAAAGAACATCACTGTGAGAAGACCTCCAGCAATACATAGTGTGATCCAGTCCGCCCATCTCCAGGATATGCCCGATTGCCCAACGTAGGCGCCAACCACAGGCGCGATCATTGGTCCAGACAGAGCCACTGCCCCGAACCAGGGGAAGATCTTCCCTCGCATCTCGTGATTGTACACATCGCCAAGAGTTCCGCCTGCGGTAGTAAAGGCAGTGGAGCCAAAGAAACCTGATAGGAACTTGAACACCAGCTGCGCGCCGAAGTTCGGGCTCAAAGCCGAGCCGAGAGTCCAACAACAGAACAACGCAAGCGTCCCAAGGTAGATTGGATTCCGACCAAAAGTTTCTGAAAGCGGACCTGAGAATGGTGCACCGAATCCGAAGCCGATCAGGAAAAGGGCAGTTGCGAGTGATTCGGCTTCTTGACTAACGTGAAACTGATGAGATGCTTGCGGAATGAGAGGAGAGTTGATCGAGGAGCCGAATCCGGAGACGAAGGCCACGCATGCTGTCATACTGTTTGTGAGGGCCTTCTTCCACGGGGGCCAATTTTGCGGATTGAGGGCATCGTGAGGGCCGTCGAAATCGACGAGGAAGTCTTCGAGGTGAGCTTTCTCGTGTAACGTGTCTTGCTGAGCAGTATTGCTGACTGATTCAGGGAGACGTGATGGCTTAGGGCTTGCCTCAAGGCTTGTCTTCTACTGCTGTCAGAATACCATCTCATCACCCATACGCTTGAGAATGGACACCATAGCAACTTCAAGGGTGCTCACCTGCGTCTTGCGCTGAATGCGTCGGTATGCTAGGACTGACTGCATCTCGCTGGAGTTGATCAGGCCGGATGGATCTCTCGAATGCTTGCCTCGGTTCGGTACCTAGGTGAACGTCTGAGTATGTTTCCGAAGGACCTCATGGTTCGGTGCGGCCATATAGTTCTCCTTATATACGTGGGAAGAGGGGAAGGCTTGTCGCAGTCGCCGGCACGCAGCCCCTTGTGCACCATAATCCAATGTAATCTTTCTGCCATAGTTGATAATTATGCCGAGCACAATCCCATGCGTGAGGAATGTACCACTGACTTGCATTACCAAATTTCCACAAGTCCCGGTCTGATTACTTTTGACATATGAGCGACTGATTAGTGCCTGTGCATCAACGAGCCCGACATCTGCTGGATATATCGTTGTCTGTGCTAATTTCTAGGGCAAGTACACCATATTTGCCAAGGAGGACCTTCGCACTAATACCAAAATAGGAAATTAGCATCTGGCATGTTCAGTAATACGAAATGTTGAGCCTTGTTGCATAAAAAGTCGTTGCGGTCACAACCTCAAAGCTCGATGACTTGATTTGCCGTCCAGGTCGTACATTGGGACTCAATGCCATATGAATCCGGGGCGGTAGTCGGGTATCGATGCCTAGCATTAATGCATCAGGGACCTTGGACAGGCAAGCCATATTTGATCGGTGACATCTGTCCGGTAAGACTTCGACGGTGCTTGGTTGTGACGTCGCCGTAGCATGGTGATGTGTAGTCAGAGAAAACCGCAGTAGTGTTGTTGATGATGGCGTCCCTGAAGGCTTGGCAGTCGGGTCTGCCATGCCGGTGGTAATGTGCACAAGTTTATCTGGCACAACCCACTCCTCGTCCTTGATACTTAGGCATCCGTGTGACCTGGGCGTAGACCTCGGTCGCTGTGTTCCACAGAGGCGCATTGTTGTGCGGTGCAATAGAGCTAGTGCGGACACGTTTTCGTGTAGATAACAAGAAAAGACTTAGTTCGAGCCGTGACGTCCCTACCACCAAGGTAGCAGACTTAGTCAATCTCGTCAGCACAGTCACCCGACGACATATGTACAAACAGTCAGCCGTACAAGTCCGATGTACTTCTAGCGACCACAAGCCAGAAGAAGGCGTACTGATCAAAAGTGACGTTGCTCAGCCAGGGAGTCGAAGCTGTGGCATCGCGAGGATCGGACTGGACATATCAGACTGCACTGCAAAGACCCATGGACGATGGCTTTGATGGTCTTCGAGATCGAGGGTGACAGTAAATAGGTCCCAATGCAGCAGCGAACTGTCCGGATCAACGGTACTGATAGCTGGTCGTCCAGCAACCCTGCTTGAGCAGTGAGATGCCTTCCTACCTTATGACATCGGCCATGATGGGGTCGCGAGTGCGCTCGATCCTTGTGCAATCGGCACGCCGTACGGTGGGATACATTGTGCGCGGATAGAAACAAGGGCACCATCATGAGCTGCACTTTGCCAGTGACCAGAAGAGTAAGCATGCTCACGTGACTTCGCGTTTTGACCTAGGCTTCTTCTAAACAGGGATCGCGTCCGAGTCTCAGCCTGAGATTCACCGACATTTGCTTTCGTACTAATCGCTCGTGATCGTTCTCCATTGTCTATGATAAGTGACATGGCGGTGTTCCTGTCGAAGACGGCTTTCCTCCATGATGTGACTGACGACGCATTCTCAAAGCATAGGTAATGAGCATCTGCCGCCAGGTGTGAATAATTTGACGGCCAGGTGACCTGCAATTCAGCCGTCACTGATCGGCCATCATGACGGACCCAAAGCGACTTATTATACCGGCTAAGATAACCGAATCTAAGTCCTTTGAAGGAGGACGGCGCGAGGCTTTATCAAACCACTGTCTGGTCTGTGACGCCGAGGGCAAGCTGTCCAGATGCTCTGCCTGCAGGGTGGGCCGCTATTGCTCTAGAGAGCATCAACTGCAGGATCGCGAACGGCACAAACTCGGCTGCCGCGATATCAAGGTGTTACGAGCTCAGCTTCAGGTCGATGATCATGACCTCCGTAACACAACGGATCCAACGACATCCGCAAATGCCTTCGATCTTGACGTCGGCAGGTTCTGGGAGTTTGAAATGACTCGTCAATACATTTGTACCCGCTTCATGGTGGCCGACTTATGCCGTCTGGCCGGGACCCTAGACGGTACCGTCGAAGCTATAGAGCACATGCAAGACATGCTGCGGCTGTGCGACTCTGACCATCTCGATCTCAGATATGCTATACCTCCGATGATGCTGCAACTTGACAGGGACCAAGAGTGCTATAACTTCATCAAGTGGTGGCAGACCCGACACATCGATGACAACGGACAGGAGCATGAAATGTACCACCCAGATGTTTGCAGCAGACCTGCAAACCCATTGGAAAGTATAGCGTGGTTGGATCACGACAATGTCGATGTCGAGCACCTCGGCGCCATGTTGCTGTTGAAGCTGAAATTGCTCATCGATGTCATTGCTCTCAAGCGCGCTCGGAAAGTTATCGAGCACCGTCTCGACGTGGAGTTGTGGACCTATGTTGATCGTCACGTCGTTCGAAGCAAGCTCAGTACAGAATGGAGTAGCAAGTCTTACAAGGAGCTCACGGCTGTACAGCAACGGCTGGAGCAGCACGCGATCTTCATCGGTGGCCTTCTGAGCAAGATCACCAAGCATTTCCCTGCCGCCCTCTTGGATCCCGACCGCTACCTGAAGATCAGCGTCGAGACCAAGACAAGGGGCTCAATTGAAGAGACGGTGTTCCTGCTGCATTCATCGTACGGTGCTTGGTGGAACCATGAGGGTGTCCTGGAACTGTTGCAAAATGCATTGTTCCTCGCGGCCGTGAAGTCAAAAGCCGAGTCCAAAACATGGTTGCCAGCGGTAGAGCAGATGATGGCAGGCCAAGCTATTTCAAATGTTCCATTCCTCAAAGTCAAAAACATCAACAAGAAGATGTGGCAATGCCTGCCCGAAGCAGTCGATACGGCATTCGATTTGAATCAGCTGCCGACGTTTCCAATGCTGAGGAACTGGGAGAAGTGATGGGTCACTCTGACCGTAATATGAGCTCGGCGAGTACCACAACTGAGCGATCTCAGGGAGTCGTGTCGGTCGTCCACAGAGGGCGCAGAAATCGGGGTGCCGACTTTGTCTCGACGGACGACACAGAATCGCAGAAACGATGAGATGATTTTACGACTTTTTCGGGATATTATATGTATAATACAAATATTATCTAACGCCATTTGCACCGCTCGAAATGGGTCGAAAGGTGAGTCAGAAACTGCACGTGACCAATGCCGCCATCTCTACTTCATTGATCTTGTACCATCACCTCACATCACCCATGCAATAACCCCGCACAAGCATGCCGCCCACATCCGCCCAAACATCAAGCACCGCCGCTGCCATCGCACATACACGCGCCGTGCACCCACCTACGCCACCGCTTTCAACGGCTGGCATGTCACGCTCGGCGAGCAATACGCCGCTGACATCTCGCCTCCACCGGGCGGACGCTGCCTGGATCTGGCATGCGGGACTGGACTCGTCACATTCCCGCTTGCGAAAGCGGTCGGGCAGGATGGGTTAGTCGTTGGCGTTGATGTCACGCCGGCAATGCTTGATGTCGCGCGGAAGCGGGAGAGGGAGGAGGGGTGGGGCAGGGTGGAGTTTGTGGAGGGTGATATAGCGGACTTGAGCGAGGTGGAACCTGTGCAGGACGTTGTGAGGGAAAGTGGGTTTGATGTCATTTCCTGTTGTTCGGCGTTGGTATTGTTGGCGGATCCGGCGGCAGCGATCAAGCATTGGGCAGATATGTTGAAGAAGGGCGGAAAGCTCATTACTGATGTGCCGACCGAGACGCATACGCTGCAGTATCTATTCTCGTGGGAGTTGAGAAGGGCTATGGGGCTGCAGAACGAGTTTGACAGATCCTGGGTCGAGAATATCCACTCGCTGGAGAAGCTGTGTGCGGATGCTGGGCTGATAGTGAACAAGAGCTGGAAGACTGCCAGTCAAGGTGGAGAAGGGGAGGAATATCGCCTTGAAGACGGCGAGGAAGTGTTTGAGCAGAATGTTAAAAAGTACAGTGATTTCATGGATCTAGAAAAGCTGGATGAGACAAGGCAGAAGTTCCTCGAGATGTGGCGGAGGGAATGTCAGCGGAGTGATGGTGTGTTCAAGGATGGGCACTGGCTGTACATGACGATAGCTAAGAAGCCGTAGTGCAGAGGAATTGGGCGGAGCTGCCCTTGCCAAGGACATCGAAGCGGAAGTGCTGAGAGGGGCGGACACCTGGGCAGGAGACGTGGCAGCTGAAGGGGGGCGTTCCAGCTTCAGCCAAAGTCTAATTTAGAGCGGACCACAACACTGTAGTCGGCCCGTTTTCTACCAGCAATCCCAGTCCCTCGCCTCCTCACGTTCCTCGCTTCTCCGCTCACGACGCAAGTACTCTCGTTCCCACAGCGCCGGGCACGCGTGTGTGCCGTCGTATGTCTCGTCTCGTTCGTCGGAGTCGTACTCATGATCGTCCATGTTGATGAAGGGATATGCGCGGTACAAGCTGTGGCTGCGATCCTCATGTCGCGTAGAGAGGCCAGCGCCTGTGTTTGGATGCTGCTCTTCCTCCTTCTGCTCGAGGTGCTTCTCAGGGTCCGCGGCGGTATCATTCATTTCCGACTGCTGTAGCTGCTCTTCTCGGTGCTCTACAACCTTCTCGTCGTGCTGTCCGGTCTCCTTCTCGGTGCGCTCCGCCGCTTGTTGTTCCTTCTCCTGCTCGGGTTCCTCCTCCGCTTTCTCCAGCTCCTCGGCTTCCTCTTCTCCTTCAACGGGGGCTTTGTCTTCTTCTCCCTTCTCCTCCAGCGTTGCAAGCTGATCCTCCCTCACATCATCTCGCGCAGCAACAGCCCTCATACGCTGCAACTCCATCTCCTTAATCGCTAACTCCAGCTCCCAGCCTCTCTCCTCCTCCTCTCGTGCTGCCTCCCACTCCTCCTGCAGCCAAGCACGCAAGTGCTTAATGAAATCAACCATACAAAATCCAGCAGCGACGAAAATCATGAATAGGGCACTCGTAAGGACGATGTCTGTGATTCGCATGATAGTCGGCGAGGACAAGGCGTACTCGACGACGCGTACCAGTGGAGAAGGAAAGCCTCCCATCGTGTGGTGTTCTGTGCGTTTGGTGGCAGGCGGAGTGTGTGTTTTGGTGTTGGTCAAGGCGGAAGAGTGGCGGTGCTGATGATCTGGAGTTGGAGCGGAAGCTGTTTGTTGTGTCTGTGTCTGTGTGAAGCAAGAACGAAAACCCCAGGTACAGACCTCTGCGGGCATCATATAGGTAGATTCTGCGCGTGAGTACCTTATTTGGCTGAGGCCACGATTTCCTCAAAATGCTTCTTGGTGATACTTTCCGCCGTTGACTTACGTACCACAGAATAGCGAAGCTTGATATCCGTAGGCGGCCAGCTGCTCCTGAGGTCTGTTGCTGCCTTCCCTGTGGCTCCCCTAGCATAAGGCAGTGACCCAGGAGAACACGCCTCTCTCATCCCACTCAGTCTTCTCCAACGACGCTCCAAGTGTCCTCATCGCTCTCTTCTGACGGCGCTATGACGCCACTGGCCTGAAAAGCCTTGTCGCGCTCATTGACGACAACGGTAGCTTCATGTAGCGAACAGACTGCGTCTTCGAGCACTTCGAACTCTCTAGGAAGGGCAACACCATCGTTGGCGTCAAGTTTCGCTTCCAGATATCTGACGTAGTTCCAGAGAGTCGATGTGACGCCGCTCAAGAGAGCCGGTTGACGTTCATGTACACTAGCTGGGTCGGAAGACGGCGGCGGTGCCGCAATTTGTTTCACCCCGTAGCCTTGCCGGTCTTGTTGTTGGGATCGCGGCACTTTCCATCGCGCCAGGTCGATCGTGCACTGGCTGCGCATCTCGTTGAGCTCGCTGGTGATTCGAATGAGGTCTTCCTGAGACTTTGCGTTGGTCGCTTCGAGATGGCGTATCTTGTCGCGATATGAGGCTTTTTTCTGTACGAATTGGGATGCAGATTGGATTCGCCCGTCGTACCAGGCACGCCACTGATCACATTGTTCCTGAAGTGCGTCTCTATGATTCTTGAGATCAACTGTGGCCCTGATTTGACGACGGAGGTTCTCGGCCATGCTGTCTCGGTCTTTACGGATCCGGCCACCTTGGGACCACCTTCGCCCTCCGGACAATTTTGCTTCTTCCTCCACCGAGCGTGCCTGGTCCTTCTGCAACTGCGCCCGATCTTTGTGTAGTTGCTCCCACGCCTCATCCAACTGTTCCTTCTCCTCGCGTCGCTGGGCTCTTTCGCCGTACAAAGCCTGCCTGCTCTCATGTAGCAGCTTCCTTTCCTGCTGCAGCACCTCACGCACGACTTTGAGTCGGTCTGGGGTGGTCCCCAGCGCCTGTTTGAGCGTTGCGATTTGCTGCTGCTTGAAGGAGTAAAAGTATATTATCCTCATTATGACGTACGAGAGGAGACCGGATACACAGCCTCTGATCGTCAGGATGACCGGATAGTTGTCTTTGAGTAACTTGTAAGGATTGATGGGAGGGACTAAGTCATCGAGAGAGGTGTAGTTCTTTGTCATACATGCGTCTAGGGCGGCGCCGAGAAGCGAAAGACTCCAGATAGTGTGCAGAATCAGCACAGGCCCGACATATGTGTCGATGTAGTTACGCTTGTACGGCGGTCGTTTGCGTTGGGCTGCACCATAGTGTTGAGCATCTAAACGTCTGGAAAGAGTTCCAAACCTCCACACGGCCAGGGGACATGCGACCCCCATCAATACTGCAACGATGAATTTGAACATGGTGCTGCAAGATGATGGAGTGATCGATTGGTTTTGCAGGCCGGGCTGATGGCGGCGTTGATGAGCTGCTGTGAAGTGGCCTTTGCAATACTTATCGCAGGTGTTGACGGTCGGTACGAGACTGGACAAACGGGAAGACGGAACAAGATGGCGACTTGTCTTTGTAAGGGGACAAGAGACAGGTGTCCCAAGGTACTCAGAGCGGATTTTCGCTCCTGTGAAGGCCAAGCATCAAAACACGTGGAAGGCGCCTCAGCTTGGAACGTTAATCGTTAATCACGTGCGTGAGAGCCAGCTTGCCGCCTGAAGCCTCCCCATCCACTCCGCCATCTCGAAAGGCAGAGCCAGAGGTGTCGCGGGTCAGTCATCCAAGGTCAATGTTTCCGCGTCTCCGTCCATCTTCACCCATTTCAGGACGCCGGTCCTGGGATCACAGTTGACGTACTCCCACCTTGCCTCACCTCGTTTCAACACACTTACCTCATGCCAGGTCATGAACTTCCTGTTGTCGCCCCACTCTCGAGCGTGCTTGTGCGCGCCCGTGAAGATGGCCATATGGGACGGACTTGTGCTGCTCCACTGTTCCAGATCTTTGAGGTTACGGAAGAAGCCTGCGCCGCATGTTTCGTTGATAATCATGGGCTGTATACTAACCTTTGAGCCGGCAGACTTGGTGTCAACGTTGCGCAGCCAGCGCAGCCCGAGCGTGCCAGTGTCTTCTGCATTCGTCCACAGGTAGGTCATACCTTTCATCAGCTTCTCCTGCAGGCCCCCTGGACGCTCGTACGCGGCTGCTTCGTCAGCAGGACATTGATTCCAACACTGTCCAGACCGGATGTGGCACATGTTCTCGTAGTTGGTGCCATAAAGGCGCTGACCTAGACCTCTAGGTCGTGAGGATGGAGAGGGTGACTGGATGGCTGGATCGTCGGACGGTGAGGTGACAAGGTCGTCCGTTATGTGCCAGGTTGTTTTGGCTGACTGAGTTTTGGTGGCCGCCTTGGTCGTCCGGAGTTCGTCATGGCATCCATTGCCATTGCTATGCGTGTCATTGTAGCTGATGGGATGGCTGCGGTCGGCTTCGTTGACATCATGGCCACTTGTAGTGCCATTCAGGTCCTTGTCAGCCTCCGCTCTGGTTGCTGCGTCTGGCACCGGAGTTCCTGGGACAGCGAAGAGATCGTTCGCACTGGCAGGGAGCCGATCGCGCGCGGCGCCCCAGTATGCTGACAACTCATGTCCCTCGCGTGTGATGCCCGGTAGGCTCGCCAAGCCGGGACTTTCATGCAGTCCAGCGTAGTTCGTCTCCAGTCGAGCCAGCGGAGTCGTGAAAGACTCTGTCCAAATGCCGATGGAAGAACCGAACCGCCTGACAAGCGGGACTGGTTTAAGCTTCGCGATCGCGGAGTCGAAGTCAGACTGCGAGAGGAAGTAGAGCACCCAGACACGCGATCCTGGAACATCGTGTCCAAGCTCGGTCTCGGTTACAAATGAGTCATGTGCTGGAGCATTGATGGAGTCTATCAGGTCGACCAGGGCCTCAGTAGCTTTCATAAGCGCAGGATCGGATGATGCATGGGACTGTATGCCGATATAGAGAGTATGGACTTTGTCAATGTTCTGTGGAAACTCCAACTGCCAGCGTGGTACCGGAGGCTTCCACTTGGGAGGCTGCTTTGGCGGATAGAGTCGAGCACCTGGACACGCCATGCTGAATCTCAGAGCAGAGATCAGCACATCGCCAGCGGAGCAGTAGTATCAGTCGCGCTCTGCTAATGTGCGCGCAGTCATGTATTTGAGGAGCTCAGGCTCGAGACTAATGACCCGAGGATAAGTAGATTTTATGACGACACTTGCCTTTTGCAGACTTTTGGCCTTTCAAGTTCCAGGCTGCCTTCGATTATCAGTTACCTTTAAAAGGCACACCAGTTGTTATATTGCAACAGTAATGGTGGCATTTTTGAATTGATTTCGATCGAAGTGTGATGATGTGGTCAAGCTGGAGGGTCAGACCCGCGGTCCGATCATTCAGTCAGCCCTGCGACATGCACGTCACTCCAACTTGAAAAGCTCAACCACCTGCGCCCAGGTACAACATCCTGCACAAGGTTCTCGCGTGCGGTTAGCAGTGTCAGATCGGAGGCCAGTCGTCTGCACTCCTGTATCGAAGCTCGTTGAACCATTTGTGGTGCCACAGACGTCAAACGCAGAAGCTGGCGGGGATGAATCCCACCCGCTAACACGTCGTTGGTGAAATGCCAGTGGACTGGCGTGTCCGGACTTCTGGTCTCGACGGTGCGAGCCCTTTGACGAGCCCTCACGGGAACGAAGCCACCAGTCGCCAGATATCCGTGGGCGCTCACTTCTTCTCTTTGCTCAATAGCGCCACTAATCTCCACAAGTTCCGGATTGTGTCAGAAGCTGGGGGCGGAGAGTGACTCTTGGCAATGCTTGGTCGCCCAGGTTGGTCAGTGTTTCGCATTCCTAATAAACCTCACCACAACACTCCCCGCTATGAGACGCAGGCTCTCGAGACAAATAGGTATAATGTGACTGGCAGCAAGGAAAGAGGCGATGTTATCTCAACGTATCAAACTTATAATGCAGAAACTCGAAACGGACAGCCTCCGGGTCAGCTTACACGAGCTCAACCTGTCATAAAAGCCATACAGATACCGCACACCGACATCTCGAAAATGCCGATACTCAAACAGGCAACCGTGGCTCTTTCATCCCGGGGACCTGTCAGCACACCAACACCGTGACAGGTTCACACATCTGTCGCTGCTCGCTGATAGGTGACAGATCTAGGCCCTGGCGCAATCCGACGGGGCGCTTTATCGAACAAGTATAGACCTTCACCACCATGCAACGATGTTCGGCATTTGCAAGCCTGCTCTTGGCATACCAGAGGGGGATTAGGATTTGAAAATAAGAGATCGCGAATGGCACCTACAAACACTGACAAGAACCATCTGAAGCACCTCATTTACAGTTGTTCAGGATCCTAGTTGCTGTTTCCATTCTCCTTCGCAAAGTAGTCGCCATGGCCATCACTTATCCCACGCTATCAAATTATGAGACCTTGGCTGCAAATGCGCTTATCGACGCCGGCGTTCTCAGCCAGCACGTCAATGTTGCGGGCGGTGATGCCGCGCATGAGGCGAAGATCGGAGGACTGAGAACAAAGCTCTTCGAGTCCGCCCAAGCCCTACTTCAAGCAGTGACGCCTCCGGAATACACCTTGACTCAAGGACTCTCTGCCAGTGTATGTTTGGCTTCGGTAGGATGTTCCCAAAGCTGACAGTCCGTCGATAGATCATGGATCTCACGGTCTTTCGGTACATCAGTTGGTACGAAGTTGCTGAAGGCGTCCCCACCGACCATCCCATCTCCTACATTGATCTAGCCATCATACTTGGTGTCGACCCTGTCCAACTCAAGCGCATCCTACGCTACGCCATGACCAAGCACGTCTTCACAGAGACTTTATCCGGCCAAGTCGCTCACACCGACGCCTCGCTACTCTTACTTCAAGACGGCATTGCCACCATGAACCGATACTCCACCAACCGAGGCTTCCCCATTGCAGCTTCCTTCAACGACGCGATCGAGAAGTGGGGCCACGGCGCACAAGAAGCAAATCAGACAGCATTCAACATCGCCTTCAACACCAAATTGCCACTCTTTGACCACCTTGCGACCGATCCTGCCTATGCAAGGGACTTCCACCACGTCATGAAGTTCTTCAGCAAGACGCCGCCCATGAGCATCGACCATATCAGGAGCGCCTTCGACTGGAAATCTCTTCCTGCCAACGCCACCGTTGTGGACATCGGTGGCAGTTTGGGGCACTGTACCTTGCCATCCTCGAAGCCAATTCTACCGTGAATTGCATCGTCCAAGATCTGCCCGAAGTTGTCGCTCAAGGCACGGATCCAATCACATCTACCGTACCCAGACATCTCGCCTCGCGCATTAGCTTTCAACCACATAGCCTCTGGGACGTGCAGCCGCAAAGGTCTGCAGATGCCTACTTCATGCGCATGATCTTCCACGACTGGCCGCAGAAGTACGCAGTGAAGATCCTGCGGCAACTCGTTGCAGGCATGAGAGCGGGCGCGAGGTTGTTGATCATGGACTATGTGACGCTGGAGCCTGGCAAACTAGAGCCGGTGGACGAAAAGCGTGTCAGAATGCGCGATTTGCAAATGATGATTATGCACAATGCACTGGAGCGTGACGTGGAGGAGTGGACGACGTTGTTGGTTGAAGCGGATGAGCGGTTGAGATTGGTCGGGATTACGACGCCGGCGGGGAGTGCGTTGTCAATATTGGAGATCGTACTTGATGCGTCCCCAGCTCTAAAGATCACTCCACCTACTCCGGCGACAGAAACAGCCCCCGGAGACGCCGACCATGTTACCGACGAAGGTCTCATGAACTCGGCAACATCTAGGCCTGAAAGCGAGGCCGCCGACCAGACCAGTCCACGCTCTCCCGATTCCTTCGCCTCCTTATCTTCCACGAACTCGACCACATCAAGTCAAACAGAGCCTACAGCCGAGACGCCTGCGGAGCCTGCTTCAATTGCGAGCCAAAAGAGCCTCACGGAGATCGCGACTTCTATCATAGACGAGGAGATCCACGGCGCTATTGTTGTCTCGCTCAACAACAACGCACATGGAGCACCTATCGTGGTCTGAGTGATATCTGAGCTTCACGTTACTTGGTGTGGGCGTGGGCGCAACGATGATCGCTAGTTAATACCTAGTACTGGTACCACTGGCATTGGGATTGGATTGTCTTGGCTGACGAAATTTACGGCTCCGCATACACTTCACATTTTTGGTTTGGCTTTCCAGGCCGAGATTTTGCTTCTCTCAACCTACGACGTACGTATCAACGGGGCCAGGTCCAAGCCCCTGATAAGATCCATCGATCGAAGCCAGTTCCTCATTGGCGAGGCCGCTGGTTTTCTGCACTTCTCATTAGCTGCCCGTTCCCTTATACTTCTGATCCTGCACAAGATGACTAACTAGGTTGAACTCTATCCCGAGGCCCTGAGAAGCGCTTGCCTTGACGACCACATGAGCCGATAGCATATTACTTATCGGACCTTCGTCGAAGGCCATTTGCAGCATGAGAACCTACCAGCTGGACATTACAGCAACATGCCTCAGCATACTTTCATTGTTGTCACTAACCGGCAGCTAACCCAGCGTGAGATTGAGCTCCAATCGGCTACAGCAAGATCCCATGCAGCTAGAGCTAGTTGGAAGTATCCGGGGACATCAACTCAGAAGTCGATACGCACGGCAGGCAAGCTCGCAAAGCCGTTAAATGACAAGCAGCAGCAGCAGAAGCCTCGGGAGCAAGCGATCTTACCGGCAGAGCATGAGCAAAGACATAGAAGAGGTCGTGAGGGTGCCTGAGCCGTCTTCCACCAGAGCCTGGCAGTGGGTCAAAGGGACCAGTTGTGATGACTTCGAGATCATACCGGGGTCTAACAAAGGGATTGCGCCGTTCGCGCTTGAATTCCGTAAGTCCTACAGCTTTCTTTTTCAACATGACTAACACACCAAGTGATCAGAGCTGTCGCGCCAACTGTTGCGACGGCCAATGCCTGCTTCGGCGTCACAAACATCTACGGCAGATGGCTCCTGGAGCACATGGGCAAGTCTCGCGAGCTCTTTCATGTCGTCGTTGCATCGATGAAAGGAGCGCGTGACTCATTCACGGGCCAACTGGCATGTGCGGACATGCTAGCGCACAAGACCGCCGCCATCTCGCTGCTTCGAAAGCGGATCTCGAAAACAAACGCTGTGGTGGACGATACTGTCATACTCACGATGCTGCTCCTGGCTCTTCTGGAAGACGCGCTTGGCGATCGTCGCGCTTACCAGATACATCGCCAGCAGGTCGGTCAGCTGACACGTACGAAGGCTACCAGCATTACTGGGGCAATAGTGACACAGTAAAATCCCCTTGCCCGAAAGAAGCGCTTCTATTGACCAAGGTAGATTCGAGACGTGGAACTTTCTGCAGTCGTTCATGAAATATACGCAGGGTAAGCACAAAGGATATCAACTCAACATCACGGACCGCTTCTGTTCAGCATTTCCGCCAGGCTTCCAGTCACTGGTCCACGCCGATCGATTGTCGCCCAAGACCGTCCAAGTCATCGAGCGGGTTGTCACTCGACAGAACTGGAGCGCGAGCGATTTGTACACAAACAGCAACCCATGGGAAGATGCATGCTACCGCGATTTTCGAGAAGCTTGTCCTGCCCTCAACATCCCAAGTGGACCGAACGGACCAGCTCTGGAGAAGCTGATCTGCTTGGCTCTGATTCGATACTGTCTCAATATGGTGATACTCGATAGACCGCGGGCGTGTGTCTACCATACGCTTAGTATTGAACTTTTGGATACACTGCCGCAAGCAGTCCCGTCGTCAGACGCGGTGGAACGAGAGGCGCTGTTGTGGGTCTACAACATGGCTATTGACTGTTGGGCGGTCTCGTACCAGGCGATTACCCCTGAGGCAAGTTTTCTGATGCAAGAGATGGGTGTCAAGTTCCCTGAGACCTTGGGCTGGACCGTTGATGACTTCGATGCGTTTGGGAAACGATATTTGTGGACTGAGAACATCTCGGGCATTCTTCACCAATACTACGTGACGGGTGCCACAACTTCCACTGCGCCAGCACACGCCCAACACGAGACATCAAGCGCCTCGCTCCACAAAGACGCACAAAGGATTGCTTTTCCCACCGTGCCTGCTGCTGTCCCGAGCGTGTGAGTATGTGGCGGGAGATACTAGGCGCAGGGTAGTCTATATGTCATGTCAAGGGACAGTGCCCGCAGTCGATCGTATCATCTGGCGTCATAAGAGCACGGTATGTGTTCTCGGGATGGATTCCGCTGCCTGTCATTTGCCTCATACCACACTGTCCCAGGGCATTCTGATGACAATGACTTGGTAATCACCTGCAGGGAGTGGTAGCCTGGCACCTGCCTTTGGATGAGAGCGTACATCCTTCTTTGCCTGCAAGTGAGGGACTGCATTGTTTGTATTATTTTCTCATTGCTTACATACACTTCAAGTGACACCTGCACTCTCTTGGGTATCGCCTCGAAAGCCAAGGCATCCCTGCATGCCTTCACGGCTTGGCATCCTTGACCGCGTTTATACCTAAGTATTCCAGCACTTCTGACTTGCAAAGGAACAATTCTCTCACATCATCCAATACATGCAATACAACCATGTAGTCGACGTTTCCAAGACTACTCCGAAACATGTCACCAAGCGAAGCAACCATACCGTCCGATGACGAGATTGTCTCCGCAGTTGAAGCGGCGAAGCACTCCAACCCTTCAGCCTCGCGCAACGACATTTTCGCCCTAGTCAAGACGCTTAACTCGTGGACCATTTCCAACAAACAGATCAAGAAAGCCGTCGATCCCAAACCACCGCCACCACCCACTATCATTGGCCCAGCTCTCCCTCCCATTACCCTTCCGAAGGACGCACTCGCAGCTCAGCAGGCCTACAAGGACACATCCACTCGCCTTTTCCGCCTCTACGGCCGAGGCGAACACGACTATGGCTGCAGTCCGAACAGCGACCAACAGATCCGCATCGATATAATGCACAAGCGACTTCTTGACGTTGGTTGTCCAGGCCCTTTTCATGACGATGACAAGGAAATCGTTGGGTCCGCCATGCCACTCCAGGAAATGCTGAAGTTCTACTATGCGGCAGGAAAACAGGTGGGCCTGACGAAGGAAGATGTGGCCCGACAACTGGAGGCAGAGTATGGCGTGAACCCGCTCCCGTACGAGGTTGTCGAGTCGGAGGAGACCAGAAAGGAAAGACAGGAGGTCTACGCGAAGAATCTGGGTGAGGGAAAGAAGAAGATACTGCTGCGTGCACCAGAAGCGCGTAAGTACATCCAGCTGGATGCGAAGGGAGAACCGGTGTTTGACGAGAAAGTGCATGGCGAGTTCACGGTGTTGGTGGTGAAGATCAAGAAGGGCGACGGGCTGACGGAGTTTGGTCGGGTGTAATGCTGGCACTTCGATTGTTTCAAGAACGATGCTGCTCGTCTGACCTAGTACGTCACATTTGCAGCGGAAGCAACTTCCCTGCACGTTCCTCAGACCCTAAATTCCACAACAACACAGTCTCACTGCCTGCCCGTCTCCAGACATTACCTGCCCAATCTCTGCCCCCATCCATCGACTCAGCATAACCAGCCCTGATCAGATGCTAACTTCCCGGCTCTCTGCTGCTCGACCGGACAACCAGCAAGTGCAGCGCTTCCCATATCGGATGGGGCAGAGTGTCCAGTGATGTCTGTATTCCATACTCGCGTTGGCTGCGCTTGTTGCCTTGGTCTTCGATGCAGTAGACCTGGGCAGTGAGAGCTTGACAACCTGGGACTTGGCTTCTTTTCCCCTGCCGGCCTTCGACTGTACTGCCTTCCTACTCATGTTGGCGGTAGCAGGCTTGAGTTTTGATGCCGATTGCAGCCTTTTGGGCTTGCTGACTGCGCCCTTTGTCGTGTTCTTGCTCTGAGCTGCGTCCTTTTGGAACTTGCTGCCACTCGCGGAGTTGAGCGGCGCGGGAGTCTTCTGCGTAAGTGGTGGGTGGGATCCAGGTTGGCAGTCGTCACTCAACGGCGTGTCCTTCTTGTCAGTCGTTACTCCTTCTGCCTTCTTGCCGGCCTTTTCCCTGTCCACGTCTCCTTTGACCGCCTTTCCACTAGCTTCAGGCTTGGCCGCACTCGTGTTCGCGACCTCATCGCCAACAGTCCAAACCACATCCCTTCCATCCCATTTCCATTCCCCTTTCGTAGCGTGCTGCCCACCGCCCATCACATCCAGCCACTCCCGCCCAGTCCTCAGCCGGAACATCTTTCGCCACATCTCGATCGCAAAAGCCCTAACGGTCCCCTTTGGCACGCAAGTGTGTGTTTCGGCACGGCCGAAGGCATCGCTTTTGATGTTGAGCATGCAAAACACTGGCGGGAACTCATCGACGTTCGTGTAAAGCTGGAGAGATGAGAGCCGGGCGTCAGAAAGCTGAACTCTAGTGTGAAGAAGATGTGCCGGAGTACGGGCGGCGATGTACAGGTGGCTGCGAAGGGGCGATGCGGGAGAGGAGACGCGCATTGGGTGGTGCGGGTTGGAGGACGTGGAAATGGGAAGGGTGATAGATGGTATAGGAGAGGTTCCGGTTGTGCTCACATTGCAGCGCTCCTCGATCACCTCTGCCGCCTTCGGCTGTGCCAAGGTCAGAGAGAATGTGAAGCCATCTGTGGGATCCGTGTACAACGTATAGCCGTCGGCGAACATGTTGACTTCGGCTTTGTCGAGCGCGGCTTGGAAGGAGCGGACTTGGCGGTCGTTGGGGTTAGTGAGCGTGCGTCAGGCAGGAGTCTATTGTGGCCGAGGTGGAACTTACTCGTGCTTTCTAATGATAGCATTTGCGTTGGAGGGGACCGAAGTGGTGCGCTATGGCCTGACGATGTCTTTCTGGTAGGTCTCTTGACAGGCTGTCGGAGCTTTCGCTGGGTAAAGTCATACACCGCGGTGACACGCATTGGGCGGGCTTTCTGCTTGACGAACGAGTCGATCAGCCAGTCATAGTTGACGACTGAAACGCGGGGATTCCTTCTTGCGTCAACAACTGCCAGCGTCAGATCAGTGTTGTCGAGAGATGAGCAGATACAGCTTACCAATAGGATATGATCGGTCCCAGGCCACCTCTGAACAGAGAAGATGGGTGGTTTGAGGAGTAAGGGTAGTCCCAGTGTAGACCCCGCCGTTGTTCTCGATCCAGCCGCGGACTTTGTCATTATCCTTGCCGTGGTCGTTCGTGCTTGCGAGGTTGACTCGCTTGAATCCTGAGGGCATCGCTGCGGTGGACAGTACAGTCTCGGGGGAGGATGTAGCTTTTGTAGAACGTTCTAAATGGAGAGACAAAAGGGAGTGAGATGGTAGGGAGATCAGAAGCGGAAGTAAGGGGTGGGACGGCAATGAGGAGACAAGAAAACATTGGTAGATATACCGAACAGAGTGAGAGAGAGGCGAAGGTAGAGCGATGGTACTGATCAAGAGATGAGCTCAACGAACAGAGATGAGCATAAGGAGTAAAATGCTAGTAAGAAGGAAAGATGAGTGCTCTTTGATCAATTGGAGCTCACCTCATATCACTTCCCTGAGGAACGCTTCTATCTTGGCGACAACCTGCTTTCCATCAGTTTCAACACCACTTGAGACATCAACGCCCACGATGCCCCGTCTGACACTCTCCGGAAGACCCTCGAGGACTGCTCGCACATTGTCGGGACTCAGGCCTCCAGCCAGGAACACCTTCAAGTTGGGATCCTTCTCAAATAATGCAACGATCTCGGCCACGTTTACTCGCTGGCCTGAGCCTCCAGCTCCCGCGTCGAGTAGAGCAATGTCGTGATAGCCACGAGTCCGGATCTCGATTTCGGTCGGCGTGAATCTGCGGATGACTGGGACAGGAATTTGTCTCGCCCATTCCAGAGGTTCCTGGCCGTGTAGCTGGACCAGATCAAGATCGAGCTTCTGGATGTCACTAAGGATCAGATCGAGTGGTTGATTGAGGTACACTCCGACCAACTTTACTCGTCTCGGATGCAAGACGGTCTGTGAGGCTTGCTCGTAGAAGTCGGTACCAGTGATCTGTATTTCTCGCATTGACGGGCGAGGTGTCGAGTGTACGACCTGTGAGATCTGTATGGCAGTCTCGTCCGGAACGAAACGATGCCTCGTTGTGGCTCTGATGATGCCGACGAAGTCGGCCCCGTTCTCGATCGCTGCTTTGGCACCCTCCACAGACCTTGTCCCACAAATCTTGGTGATCAGTTTTTGCGAGGGTACCTTCGCGGCTCCGTTGGACGATTCGCCCAGTAGCTCCGCGACGAAGGTACCCGTATCAGCTGCTCTCATCAGAGCTTCGCCAACGAGAATAGCTTTGACGCCATCTTTTCGATATGCAACCACATCTTGCGGTCCCGAGATACCACTTAAGGCTGCAACAATGGTGGTCTCCGGAATGCCAGCCATTAACCTGCTCGTCGTTTCCAGATCGACATCAAAGCTTGTTAAGTCGCGATTGTTGACACCAATGACCTGTGAGCCGAGCTTCAAGGCCACACTCATTTCATCGGGAGTGTTCACCTCGACCAACGGCTCCATGCCGAGACTTTGAGAATACTTGTACAGATCGGTGAGCGTGGCGACATCTAGCATCTTGACAATGAGCAGAACAGTGTCTGCGCCGGCAATTCGAGCTTCCAGGATTTGGTATCGATTGAAGATGAATTCTTTGCGAAGCACGGCCGGTCTGTTGGGCATGCTTTCCAGTGCTTGTCGGACTGCTCGTAGGTCGTCGATACTGCCTTTGAACCATTCTGGCTCTGTCAGCACGGATATGCAGCTGGCCCCTGCTTGAGCGTATTTCTTTGCTTGTGTTGGTGCGTGTATTGACAGTGCAATGTCTCCTTTCGATGGAGATGCTCTTTTGACCTCGGCTAGTAGTGCTAGAGAATGTTTTGAGTTCCTCAGCCGATCTGGAAAGGAGATCAGCGGCGGTGCAAGGCCAAGATCGTAGGTTGCTTGCAGATCCTCCATCCTCAGGGAGGGAATCTGTGACTGAGCGGCAACAGCGGCTCTGCGGTGGGCGTAGATTTTGTCGAGTATGGATTCCTTCTTTGAGGGTGCATGGCCATTCTGTTTAAGCTGTGCCTTCTCAGTCTCCGCGGCGCGCATAGGGCCATTCTCACTCCAGGTGCCACCTTTGAGTCCGAGGAAGTTCTTGATCATCGTCCTTCCGCCTTCCGTTAAGATACTTTCGGGATGAAATTGAACTCCTTCGATGACAAACTCCTTATGTCGCACTCCCATGATGATACCCTTGCCGCTATCCGGACCTTTCTCGATCCAGGACGATACCTCGAGCGACTTCGGAAGCTCAGGATGCGTACCGGCCAAGGAGTGATAGCGGGTCACAGGAACGTCTTGCGGAACATCATGATAGACTCCGCCGCCATCATGTCGCAAAGGAGAAGTCTTGCCATGAAGTATCTCGCCAGTGACATCGACCTTGCCTCCGAACTCAGAAATGATACATTGCTGACCCATACATACTCCGAAAATCGGGATCTTGCCTGCAAAGTGTCTGATGGCAGCCTTGCTGATTCCAGAGTCCGTATCTGGATGGCCTGGACCGGGACTGATGACCAGCTGCGTTGGCTTCTTCTCAATTAGCTCGTCGAGAGAGATCTTATCATTCCGGTAGACGGTGACAGTGGCTCCTTCAAGTAGTAGATACTGGTAGACATTCCAGGTGAAGGAGTCATAGTTGTCGATGAGAACGAGGTTGCCTGCAGTTGGCAATTTTGGGGCCGGAACAGGCTGATGTGGCGAGTGGTCGATGAGGGTCAAGGCCGGCATTGCGAAGGTGTGAGATGGTCGACAAGCGCAGACCACGCCTTCTGGTTGCAGGATGTACAGGGGAATTGGGCGAGAGCTAGTGCCAGTCAGATATACATATTCTAGTATCGTCCTGAAGCTGACAACGGGTGGGGTTGTTCACCGCATCATACACGCACTATGGCTTAAAAAGCGAGGGCGACTTCTGTGTCATCGTCGCGGTCTCAAAACTTCCCCAACTTGAAGAAATTCCTTGGCGCTCGAGGAAGACCAAAATGCGCTAGGACTAATTCGGCTAAGGTATTCCGCGGCGTGTCATCTTATCATTCCCTGACACGACGTGTTGACGAACGTCCTGGGAAATATTCGCCCTGGAACGAGACCTTGGAACCAACTTTAAGGTGACTCCTCGAGCAAGCGCCCGACGCAGCACTTCATCACTCACACTCCGGATGCCTTGCCGACGCGCTGATGCGAGACACCAGAGCCATCCTAAAGGCAGTACCTACGCAGTCCCATTGACCTTTGACGCGCCCTTCACTGGCGGAATCTGCCCACGCTGGACGAAAAGATCAATCGCATCCGTGAATGACTGATACGAATCGATATAGCCATCGAAGCCAAACCTCCTGGCCTTGCTCATGCTCAATGTAGCACTCCAGGTACGCTGAAACACCCAATCCTGAAATGCCCACGTACCCGAATCCCACGTCGCCTTTGCCTGTGGGACACCAGCCTTGTCGCAGATCCTGTCCCATACCTGCCGCTTATCCTTCGCCCACTCATTGAGGCTGAGCTCGAGCTGCAAGTCGCCCTCCTTGGGGTATGGGTTCCTAAAGTGCGCAGCTGACGACGCCTTGGTACCAACGTACGCCGCCACACGGGGCCACATGTACTTCCAGCAAAAGTAATCGCCGTTGGTGACATTGAAGCTTGATTGCCGGTGTTTGCGCTGGTAGACGCCCAAACGGTCAGCTGCGAGATGATGCGCGCGTCCGAGACGTCATCGGTGCCTTCCCAGTAGCGCTGATTTGTCGGCATGGGAGCGTCGACGCCAAGCTCTGCGCACACCAACATGTACAGCACAATGGTAAGCGCCTCGTTCATGCCGTTAGGTTTGGAAGTCGCACCGATGATGGCCTCGGGTCGCACTACGTTCCACGTCCATGCCTGCCCGCGCTGCCGCTCGATCAGGTAGTCTTCCTGTGGGTAGTAGAAGTTGCCAATGGGCGAGTCCAGGCGAGGGTCTTCTTCGCGTGCAGGGGATGGCACAGGGAACAGGTGCACGTTGTAGTGCTTGCCGCCAGTCTGCAGTGTGCAGTTCTGGAGATTGGGAGCAACTGCAAGCAGCGAGTCCAAAAAGTTGGCGAATAGTTTCTCATTAGCGGCGTTGAGCTCGTTGAAATCGTCCTTGTGGATATATGAAGAGAAGTAGGCATGTGTGACACTGCTGCAGGTGTCTTTCATTTTGTTGATCAGTGATTGCACGTCATTGGTGTAGTCGAGGGCGATGAATGTAATGCGTGGATCGGAGACAGTGGTTTTGAAGGGGGACCTCGATGTGACGATCAATTCGCTCCATTGTGAGGCATCAGTGTTCTTGACGAGGTACTCGAGCAACGATGAGCCTGTGATGCCGTTGCCACCAGTTATGAATGCAACTTTTGCCATGGTAGGTGCTCTTCAAATTGCGTGAAGCTGGAATGTTCGGCAGTCGTCTGGTTCATCGTAGCTACCAGATGGTCGAGCGACGTAATATACGTAGACGCTCACACTCGTTCACTCCTGCGACACACCAACAGCTTTGCGGTCCAGGCAATCGGTAATCTGCAAACTTTCTCGTGTGGTGGAGACCCTCCCCCACAAACCTGGGGTGACGCAAAAGCCTGGCAAAGGTGGTGGATTATGCTTTGTCTTGCAGATCGTCCGCAGATGGGACCTCCAATGTCCGGCGCCATACTTGCGCGGAGGACCAATACTCGAGAAAGACGTCCCGGCAGCGGAACTCCTACCCGACCACGAAAGGTTTGATCGCGACTAACTCTGCAAGTCGGATGCCGGTGGCAGCACCATTAGAGTCGCCTTCATACAGCGTGGTGTCGGTTCTCCGTGCGACAGAACGCGGAAGCCGCGACTGCAATTCTGTACGTGCCGTGATACTTCGCCTGGATGCATTATACTGCAGTCGTCCCCATCAGCCGCCTCAAGACTTCTATCAGAACTGCACTGGGGTCTTTTGCCATTCTTTGCGATCGCCATGCGACAAAGTGGTCTGGACGGACAAGTACCACGCCGTCGTCCTCAACACCCCGGATCTTACTCCAATCGCAATAGCAATCCATATACTCGCATCCGAATCCGATTGAGTGGCACCTTACGGGAAATTCAAGCTGTCCGCTTGCGTTTTCAGCCGCTTCGAGCCATCCTTCACCGCCAGTTCCTGTCAGCAGAGTAAACCCTCCGTTCCCACAAAGATCGAGACTCGATATCCTTTCGGATTGCGCATCCCGGGCGAGCCAGACATGTGGCAAGTGATAGCCAGGGTACGTGCTGATCATGATATCCTTGATCTTGTATACTCCAGAGAAATCAGGAGCTCGATCACCACTCTCGACCAGCGTAGCCGCACTCCCGACGTAGGTCTGGTTCATCTGGATCCCCAGCGCTTGCACTTCGAGATCCGTAGCTTCGAATGCCAGGCGTAAATCTTCCCGCCTCTGCCTGCCCTCTGGTGTAGCAGCTTTGAGGAGTGCAGCACAGCGCTCCCGGCTATCGCTATCAAGGCCCAAAAGTGACCAGATGCGGCGGTGGAACTCCATCCCCTCATTCGCCCTTCGAACGACTCCGTCGCCTACCGGCTTCCTCTCGGGAGTCAGAGTGTCCAACAGGCTCTGAGCAGCCCACCCACGTAGAACGAATGCAAGCTTCCATGACAGATTGAAGGCATCCGATATGCACGTGTTACTGCCGAGGCCATTGATAGGGGGATGCCGATGAACAGCATCACCAATGCAGAAGACCCGGTCCTTCTGCCAGGTTTCCGCGACTTGATTATTGATTGTCCATGAGAATGTAGACAGAATCTCGATGGGTACTGTGTCGTCGCCTATCATTTGGTGTAGTCGCTTCATAATATCTTCTTCGCATGGCGCATAATTGCTTATGTCTTTCGTAGCTGGGTGCATCGATACCACAAACTCTGACCATGGCCGTACCATACGAAAGTTGCCCACGGCTGACCAACCGGGAGCTTCAGTGTTCAGTACCCAGTTCAGGCTTCCTGGCCGATGCGCGATATACTTGGTAAGATCCGCCTTGATGTGCACATTGAAGGCCGTGTTGATTTGGGTTCCGATGATAGGGATACCGAGGCCATCCAAGACAGCGCTACGGGCACCATCGGCACCCACAACGTACTCTGAGCGTATTGAGTACTCTTCTCCCGTCACTCGATCGCGCAACATGGTGAGTACTCCGGCCGCGTCCTGCTGTAGACCAACGAACTCTGTAGAGAAGCGGAACTCCGCTCCTGCTTGTGTCGCGCTCTCGACGAGAATGGGTTCAAGCACGCTTTGCGGTAAGTCCGACATAACGCACGGGCTAGCCATCTCGTAGTTGCCCTTCTCTGACGGTTTGTTACCCCACGCCCAAATCCGGCCATATTCTTGACCTGCTAACGAGTCAAGCCATGAGGTATGTTGCATGTCTGAACGTGACAGTCAGCGACATCACGCAAGCAGCTGCAATCTCAGGTACTTACCAGACGCAGGGCTCGCAACTTGCGCAAGTCTTGGTTCGAGTCCAGCATCTCTGAGTACCTCCATCGCCCTCTGATTGAATATGTGTGCCCTTGGCGTATTCGCCGTCGACCTATGCCGAGATATAACGAGAGACTTGATGCCATATTTGGCAAGAAACAGCGCAGTAGTTGCCCCTGATGGCCCAGTCCCAATAATGAGGACTTGATAGTCCATATTCGGAGCCGGACTGCTGGTCAGTGCTACTGAACTGTCAACGTACGTTGCGCTGAGCACTCTTTATGGGCCTGAAGGCTGTAGACTAAGCTTGAAGGCCATGAACAGCTCGGTAGCGTGGTCTGTCCGCGACGAGCCAATCGCAGGTGTCAGCCAGTTCAAATGCGACAAGCTGCAGCGGCGAACCTTTGCAATCCAGGCATATCTGGTCCGTGTGCGGCTATGGCTTCAGATCCGAAGACCCGAAGCCGTATATTTTGCGCAGGCGACTGCTGGCCGAGGGTCGGACACATCTTGCGGGGATGAAGTGATGTTGACCCAGCCCCAAGTGGGCCGCATATGTTGCATGCGCGATGTAGCTAGCGCGAAAACCACATTAACCGAGACACTGGTCTTACTGCGGGCAAGGTGAGAACGATCTGCGCAGCAGTTTCCGAAAGTTGGTGGCAGCCAATCAACAGAGAGTTGTTTCCGGTAGACATCCTGGGGTAGATCTGGGGATGATGGCAACGTGAAGTGCCTACCAGTATCCAGCCCGTCCTGGCATTCCTATGGTGTCTTCGGCGTAGAGCCTGTGTGACAGATACTAGATGCTCATAATCTGACCACTGTAACCGTTCCCACGCACATTTATCAGACGACGCTCTACTGCACTTGATACAGGATGACCTCGACTGTTGCATTCACAGCTGATTCTGAGGTATCAGCAGCCTCGAGATGGAGGCAATACCTCGTCCTCGCGCTTGCAACTTACCTGGTCTTCAAAGTCGTACGTTCGCAAGCTGTATGACTGCTTGTATATTGACACAGACACGCAGTTGATCCATCCATTCATTCTCTCGCCGGTTCGTCATATTCCTGGACCCTGGTATTGTCGCATTTCTCGATTGCCGTTGCAATACGCGACTTATCAACGCCGCAGAACAGCCTTTGTCACTGGACTGCTCGATACCTATGGACCTATTGTTGTTATTGCGCCAGACCAGGTCCATACGACGGACGATACGGCCATGAAGACCATATACGACAAGACCTCCATCAAGACTAGCTTCTACGCCTCCATGGGCAGCTGGAAGGGCGTCACCTCGACTCTCGGATTTTTGACCTACCCAGAAGCGGCACCATCACGCAACAATCTTGTGCAATGCTTTCAAAACCGCAATCTGGCGGCACTGATTGACAATATCGAATCACACGTGGATGACTTCATCCGTATCTTAGATCAGCGCGCACAGGCTAACGAAGCCGTAGACGGAGTGGTCATTTCCGTCTTCTCGCATTGGATATCGTCACGGATGTGCTCTGGGGCGAGAAGAACCGTCTCTTGGCCAACGTGAACGAAGAAGCCGCTCGAGACTTCATTCGCCGCTTCCATGCTTTCAGTACATGGAACGCAATGAAAAGCTTCATACCTGGCGCCGACCTTTTGGTCCGTCTGGTCGGCAGTCAGCGCTGGAAGAGGTTGCGTGCAGACTGCAACGACCTCGATATCACGGCTCGCGAGGCCCTGGAAAGGTGGCAGACCGCAGACGCCGATGCAGACCGCCATGACAAGGATGTGTTGTCGATGCTCCAGTCCATGAACACTTCCAAGGCATCGGCAGTCCCTCCCGAAGATGTATCTGCGTACATGGTGGAAATGCTCGCAGCAGGGTCGTCAACCACTTCTCATACGGCTGCGTTTGCCAGCTTTCTCCTGACCAGGCATCCCGATGCCCAGCGGCGGCTCAGAGAAGAACTCGCCGCTGCGTTTCCCTTGCAGGATGAGATGGACATTCGAAAAACGGTGGACCTGCCGTTTCTAGATGGCGTCCTTAGAGAGACAATGCGTATGTATCCGATGATTCCTGGCCCGTTGGAGCGGTATACTGGCAGCGATATGACCATGAGTGGTTACAATGTTTGCAAAGGTGTCATTGCTTCCAATGCAGCCTTCAATCAAGGACGTCTTCCTCATGTCTTCCCTGAGCCAGATTCCTGGAAGCCAGAAAGGTGGATCGAGGCTACCGAGGAGATGAAGCTGAACTGGATTCCATTCGGGCACGGTTCGAGGGCGTGTCCCGGATCGAACCTTGCCATGACAGAGCTGAAGTACATGATTGGGAAGATCTTCCGAAAATTTCAGGCAGTCATACCTCCTGGACATGAAGACGACGTACTGGAAATGGCCGATGTCTTTGCGGCTGGATCGAAGTCAGGGACTTGCTGGCTCAAATTCGAGGCTGATAGGACGAAGTAGCTGGGAGGCGCCAACTCAACCATCTGGCTTCCAGCTCACTGGTGCAGACACCAAGAGTGCTGCCGCTTGGGCAAAGGATGACCAACTGCCGGGACTGATACTGTAGAGAAGAGAGACAAAGGCTTGCATCACTTCTTTCGAGTTCCTGTCGCATATCACAAGCGTCGTGTGGTCTGGAAGCTCAATGTGCATATCGTTAGCATCGGATGGACTGGTCGAAGTGCTAGAATTCATATATGACCACAGAATCACGGCGGCATGATGCAGACCAATGAAGGCGAGTAGATTGAACTTGACGCCTTTAGAGCCTCCCTTGTCAACCTCACTAGCGATGAGCGAGAACAGGGAGCAGGAATGTTGTGCAGCCAACCTGGCTGATGAAGATGTTGTCCACTTCTTTAGCAAGGCAGTCGGGAATAATTCCAGGCTCCCTTGATCAGACAGACTGTATTGCATTTGGTGAAGTTCTGATATCGGCGCATGTAATCGCAGATGCCCAAGGTGGAACAGTACCAGTCCACTCATGAGACTGCCGCGGTCATTTTCATTTGTCAGAAACGTTTTCACCACTTGTAGAGCCCCTTCCCACTTGACTTGGGATTGGAGGACGTATCGATACTCCTGCGCAAGCCTGTACATTGTTCTTGTGAGTGTTGACAAGCTGTTGGACTCCCTGGAGGGTGGGTAGAATGATTGAGATGCTCCTGCAACGGCAGGGAGCAAAATGTTGGAATCATCCCGAGAATTATTGCACTCCGAAACCCCAGTCAAATGTGGTAGTGGAGTGTGTCCGTATCGGTAACGCCCAAGGGGGCTTTGGAGACCAAACTGAAGTAGCTCATGAGCAACTGGCTCCAGTACAGGCAGCGGCTCTTCGGGCTCCAGGGCAATATGATAGAGCTCCGATGCTCTCAACTTCCTGCATGGCGAACGATCATGATCGATCATGTGGAGACAGGCATCGACAGGCATGGCATCTGCACGCCAGACAGCGTCGCAGGAAGGAAGCGTTACGTCGAGTTCTTCCATCGAGAGGAGTGGCGGCGTATCTAGCAGGACACTAGTGTACGTGTCGGCTCGGAAAACGCCGAAGGCAAGTCTTCTTCGCCCTTCCAGCTGTAACCAGATTGCCAGACGCTCGTGACTGCGTTGGGTTGATCTGAGCAACTCGAAGCTCTGATGAGCGCGTTCGTAGAGATCTGCAGAATACAGACCCATTCTTCTAGCCTGTGCTATCAGAAGTGCGCCAAGATGCTGAGCGTAAGTGAAGGCCTTTGCCTGGCCAAAGTAAAGTGCAGCAACTTGAGTGTAAAGACGAGCTTGCGCAAGCCAGGTGAAATCTTCGTCATCATGGTCCAGCTCGAACCCCATAGTGAGATATGTGCGGGTCTTACTGTGCATCATGCTGCCGAAGGTCACACTTCCTGATCCCCCATACATTGCTCCGATCGACACCAGGACTAGGCATAGAAGAGGATGTAAAGTGTCAATATCCAATTCCTGCTTGGCTAAGACAGGCCACAAGGGCCAGAAATGCACCAGATAGAGATCCATAAAATGCTCCATTGCTGTTTGTTGAGGCGATAGGTCAATGTTGAAGCTTTCACAGATCATGGTCGATTTAGAGGACCAATGTTCTCCATGTCGATTACTAGTGAAGGGGTTTGAGAAGCCAGCAACGGCGTATGAGGTGAGGTCTTCGATGACGATATTGCGCTGCAATGCAAGAGAGGCTTCTGGTGGATGTGTAGGGTGAGGCGACCTTTGGACTGAGCCACGCCACACTGATACGTGAGGCACGTTGCTAGCGAGGCCATGTTGCTCGATGGGTACACCATGATCCGAAAACAGCGGCCCGCAGGCTTCTGCGGCAACGCTGTACCTCGTCTCGTGTGCCGCTGCGAGAGGCAAGAAATCATCTGGTTGCAAGTATATGCTTTCGTGTACCCACGCCCATGAGTCAATGTCGCCAATTCCGCTCGCGGGGTCCTGAGAGACTTCGAGTATCTCTAATGGGACACTGTCTTCTGGCACATTGTCGGGATTGTGATTGGAGCTTTGCGACACCGCATAAGCATTGCCAGGCTGAGAACATACATTCTTGTCGATGGCGTCAGTAGCGAACTCATCGGACAGACCGAGTTGCGGCGATGGGAGTTGTTCAGAAACGGTCAATTGATATTGGTGTTGTTCTTGTGAAGCACAACCCATACCTTCTGTTTGATTGGTGAGCATCGATCGGCTCATCCGTCCAGTTCTGGTAGGAAAGCGGCAGTCATGACCATTCTGATTGCATGGGTCGCAAGGGCTGCCACCAGTGCATTTGCGTCGCAGCTCAGCACAGCGGACACAGGCCGTGTGACGACGCCGTCTTGATCTTGGACGTCCGATCTGTCCAGAAGCCTCAGGCCTAGGATTTGAGCTTCTCGTGGTGTGATGCATAACCTGATGCCGCGACAGTAAATCGCGTCGCGAGAACGAAACCTGGCACTCCTTGCACGTGTATTGCTTGCTGCGGGCATGGTTTTGAGCATGTCGGTTGAGGGTATACAAGGAGGCATACTGCCTGCCACAGTCACCGCAGTCGAACATGTTTACGATGTCTCGTCATCATCATAGAGATTCTATCACGAGGAAACGACAAGATCCATGGATGATGGAATGAAATGTTGTTTCAGCATGCTAAGAAGTTGATGTGCGGGGGCCTGGGGCAGGAACCGGGGGCCGCTGTTGGGCCATGGCAGGCGCGACCCACGTGTTAGGTAACAAGCAGCCTACGTACTACGACACCTACACACCACTCAAGATCGTTACATGCTGCATACTACAGAGCCTACACCGCAGCTGAGCCTGGCCAAATTTGTCGAGGTTCAAGGTCTTCCTGAAGTTCAGATTGTTCAGTACATGAACACCAGCAGTCTACAGCTTGCTTGCACAGCAATACCAATCGAGCTCGATCAAGCTCGCACGCCATGAAGTAGCATCTACGACAGTGCTACTCTGTGTATCCTCACAAGAAGCTCATCTTGTTCGAGAGGCGTCCGATCCGTGCAATCTCAACGCAAACCTCGTCACCATGCTTCAGGAACACCTGTGGCTTCATGAACAGAGCAACCCCTCCCGGTGTACCTGTCATAATGAGCGATCCCTTCTGCAGAGTCTGGCCTTGACTGCAAAAAGCCACTAGCTGGCGCACGCCAAAGCAGAGGTCACTGGTGTTCGACTCCTGTCTCTTTTCGCCATTCACCAACGTCTTCAGCTGAAGCCCACTCGCATCCCCCAGTACGTGGGCTGCGGTCAGACAGGGACCTAGCGGTGCGTACTTGTCGAACGACTTGCTGAACGACCACTGAGGCACTGGACCGGCTTTTCCAGTTTCGCGTTGCCAGTCTCGAGCAGACACGTCGTTGCCCACAGTATAGCCTGCAACATAGTCTAGAGCCTCTGCCTCACTGACGTCTTTGGCATCCTTCCCTATCAGGACCACGAGCTCCCCTTCATAATCACACTGTGACTGTGCTATCTTGGGAATGGGTATGTCTTCACCATGATCTGCCACAGATGGCGCGGGCTTCGTGAAGACCGTCGGGCAGGTGGGTAAGGCACGGCCCGTTTCAAGGACTACACATACGTCAGCTGCGTGTATCGACAGGCAATCGAACATTACCAACTATGCGTTTTGTAATTGAGACCAATGCACCTCACAATTGGAACGTCTTCTGGACGCAAGGGTCCAAGCAGTCTTCCAACACGCTCGACCCTGCCTGTGGGCGAAGCATCGAATGGGCTCGACCCCTCAAGCACCTCAACTTCCAGCTTGCCAGCCCGAGCAAGCTGACTGATCTCTGTTTCTTGACCTTTGCTCAGTACTGGCTGGCCATATTTGATATTGTCGCTGTCGGCAAGACAGTAGCGGACCAGCCGATCCCAAGCGACAAGTTTTGACATGCTTCTATCCTGCCAGTCTGTAGTCGACTTGACCTGCACAAGGGCATCAAAGCCGCCATACTCTTATTGAAATACATGAACATTGTGCATGCTAGTGGTCCGTTGTCGATTCGGTCTCTGTTGCCGACCATGATCCGCGGTCTGTGCTGACAGGTGCCAGCGGTCGTCTTCCGTCCTCGGGAACGCGCACACTCGCTCGCCCGGATATTGTGGTTACAACCATTCTAGCTTCCCAGCGGATAATGTGGTTCCAAACCTTTCAACCATCGGTCAGCAAATCGGTCCTGACTGTTCGATTGTGCCTCCGTATTCGCGCACTCTCTGGTCCGGCTACGCTTCAGGCGGTCTTATTCACGGCATGACAGTGTATCGCTAGGCTAAATGATTTCGGTCATGTCGCAGCCAGGTATGAAAAGCGAACATGCAGCACTGCTCTGTACTGAATGCAAGGCTGCAGACTACACTCAATGCATTGCTGACTCGAACGCGTGAATCGCATCCTCGCCGGCCGAGCAATATCTGAGCTCTCAACGGTGTATTGAACCCAGACGTCGACAACACGATGCCCATACCCAAAGACGACAAGAGAATCCGTCTCGTCACGACGGCTTTCGTCATCTACTACCATGCAAATCTAGCAAAGGCCCGGCAATTCTTCCTGGATTTCGGCATGACGATCTCGCAGGAAACATCAAACGAGATATCTTTTGCCGGTTACGGGTCCAATCCAGTACTCTACATCGCCCGCCAGGCCTCAGGAAATGAGTCCCGTTTCGGCGGCGCGGCGTACGAAGTTGAGACACGCTCCGAGCTCGAGCGCGCCGCCTCCACAATCCCCGGCGCCAGCGCTATCACACCCCTTCACGCACCTGGCGGCGGTGAAATGGTAACGCTGACAGACCCAGCGGGCCATCCTGTGCACTTGGTGTACGGCCAGACTCCCAAGAGCCGCAGCGACCCGGGCCTGGAGAAGCTCACGTTCAACTACGAAGACGAAAAGCCGCGACGCGGCAAGTTCCAGCGCTTCACACCGGGACCAGCGCCTGTGCACCGCTGGGGCCACTACGGGGTAACATACCCGGCGGGTCAGTATTCGGCGATGTACGAATGGTACACATCGAACCTCGCGCTCGCGCCTTCGGATGTTGTGCTGCGTGATGGACAGCCGATCACATGCTTCTTCCACATCGACCGCGGCGACGAGTTCACAGACCACCACGCCTTCTTCTTCAAGCCAGCGAAGCCCGGGAACACGCCAGGGGTCGCACACGCAGCATTCGAAGTGCATGATTTCGACATCCAGCAGCTGGGGCATCAGTTCCTACAAAGCCGTGGGTACGAGCTGTGTTGGGGCGTCGGCCGCCACGTGCTTGGCAGTCAGGTGTTTGACTACTGGTTCGACACTAGCGGATTCATGGTCGAGCACTTTGCTGATGGTGATATTGTTAACATACATACGCCTGTTGCTGAGGTTCAGGCTGGACCCCAGGCGCTGTCGATCTGGGGTCCGCCGGTGCCACCCGTGTTTTAATGCTTTTGTCAGATTATGTAGAGAATCAAGATCTTGTCCACCAGTGATGTGAGTATCTAGAAGCTCTTCCGGTGATGTCGACGATCGAATATCGCACCTGAAAGTCAACAACTCGTAGTTGAAGGTGTGACATTGTGATCGAAGCTGGCCGCAAAAAAATATCTCCAGATCTCCAGTCTTGGCAGGCGGAACGCGTCTCTTCGCAACCAACGACACTGAACCGCGTTTTTTGCGGCTTACAGATTGAGTAAGCCTCACTGATGTACGATTGCCGACTGAGCACTCACTCGGTGCCCACACTCTACGTCAATGCCGCCTTGACCAGTCAACCCAGCAGCTGGCGGTGCTAGCCAGCGGGCAAGCACCATGGCAGCAACTGCGACCGACGCTGGTAGCAAAGCACCGCAGGTCGGCCTCGTTTTGAGTGGCGAGAGGGTTTTGCTATCATGGCAAGATGTGTTGAGTGCGTTGCAGGCATCTGACGGGCCACCATCAGAGCTGTATCGACAATTCATCGAGCACAACAAAGACATCCTCACCCAAACGATACCCTCTTTCAGCCGACCAGACCCTCTATCGAAATCGAGGTTCGAATCGAGCGTCTTGCCGATCAATGTGACGTCTGAGGAGCAGCAGAAGCAGGTGGACAGGATAAAAGCAGACTCTCTGTGGCTGAGCGACGAGCAGCATCTTGATGAGGTTCAAGCACTACGAATAGTTCTGCTTGAATGGCAGAACCGGGCTGAGCTCAGACTCAACTCTGGCTTTGCCGATGCAGAGCTCGCCAGTCTACGCGATGCTCTCGGCACAGAGTATGCGCAGACGCTGCAATTGGTGCCTGGAGGACCATACAGCCGAGCAGACGACATCTTCGAGACTGGGGACGCGCGCAAAACACGGATACTTCAGATCTACCACCGCACACAGCCTGCTATGCTTGCACTGGTTCGCGAGTCGATACAAGCTGGGCTGCAGAAGCCCGACACCGACCGACAAGATTCGAGAGCTGTATGGACGCGGCTGATGTCGGTGGAAGCGCAGATTTCTCTACACGATGCTGTAAATGAGACCACCAGCGCCATAGGAGCCATATGCCAGGAGCTCAGCCAGCAGCACGAATGGAAGGGCATCGACGTTGCCTTCCATGACCAGATTCAAAATGACTACACAACTGCCAAGCTGCAGTCGATAGTAGGTCTACTGGAGATCTTGCTCCTACGCACACAGAATATAGAGGAAGCCGTCACTTCCGAGATGATGCTGGAATGGTTGACATCCATGACCGAGCACGGTTTCTTCGCCCATTTCCAATCAGACATACCACCTCAACAGTCAGCTATCGACCGCATCCAAGTAGCGGCAGCTTATGTCACTCTGGCGCTTCTACGCCCTGTATTCGCGATGGAGTTCATGGAAGATGCCGCAGAATCGGATCAACCCGACATCCGTGGAAAGGAATATTTTCTCGACGTCGACAAGATTGAGGACATGCATCGCCTGATGATGTCCGCGGCAATGGCTGCAAACTCGTGCGCAGGGCCCGCGACCTTATCCTGGGGCCTGATCTTCTTCAGGATCAGACTTCTGGCAATACAACAGAAGGAACGTCGAGAAGTGCGCACAGTGGAGAAGGTCATCGCAGCACAGGATACACCGAGCCGACGAGTCTCCGTGGGTAGTATGGGATCTCTGATGAGTGAGTCTCTACATGAGAACATCAACTTACAAATTCGGCCCACACAAGGCATTGACGACTCCCTTCAATTCATGATGGAGAGTGCTGTGCGAGGTAGCAACGTTTTCGACTTTCTTTCAACGATGGCTTCAGTGGCTAAGACCTCATCTACCTTGCTGCAGTCATTCCAATTGAATATCTTACAAGAACTGTTGGCGGCAGCTCGACCCACACTAGGCTATACTCCAGACATACTCAACACTCAATTGACAATACTGTCGACCGTCAAGGATGATGCAACAGCGCTGACTCCTTTCAAGCCGTTGCTGAACTTCGTTGCTGAGCCTTTCCTCACCGAGAATTTTCTTGATGTCGCAGCATCGAGGTTTCCGTACGAAGCCCTGCCATTTCTGCGAATGGTGAAGGCGCTTGCCAAGGGCGGGTACGATGCATTCTTTAGTCAAGAGGATGGTACACACTACATCACACAGCGACTACGGCAGATGGACGGCTACTCACAGCTGGCAGTTGGAGGCTTTGAAGCTTTTCACACAACCCAAGAGGACGAAAACGCGAATCTAGTCACGCTCGACCAGACTGTCGGGATCCTAGACCAGCGTCCGCAACGTCTGCTCACCGCAAGTCCTGAGTCGCAAACGTCACTAGCTATTCCAGAAGGTACTGTCGGTGCAGTCATCTCCGACTCAATGCCGCCTGTCGTACGCTGGAAGCATGAATATTCTGCATTGCCATTATTAGGACGATGGCTCCAACTACAGGTCAAAGGAGAGCTATCTAGTGTACTGTCGCCGTTCGAAGCACCAGACTATGTTGCGGCTGCCGTTATTGGCCTCTTCGGAACACTGCTATCTACCATGCATGCGAGAGGTATTCAGCAGAATACCTCAGAACAAGCAAGTGCACTGAGCCAAGACCTCATCGACGAGGCATCCACTGAACTCGATGGAGATCGAACGATCATCAACTGCGTCTTCGACATAGTGGAGCAGCAGCTCGTCTCAACAAGACGCTTCTCCCCTGTAACAGGGTGTGATTTGCTCATTGCTTGCGTTGACTTCATCACGATCCTCTCCAAAATACAGCCGATGCAGACATGGCCACTATTGGTGAAGAGCAGCCTCTTCGCCGCTTACGGAGCCAAGAGAACGATCTATTCAATCATTACCGCCGTCGAAATGCCACTCCAGAGCTATGGTCTACTTGAGAGCTGCGTGTCGCTTATGCACGCCGTCATGGACCTGACCCTAAAGGTCTCATCAAAATCTGGACCAGCTATAGGAAGCAGATCACGGGCAACGCTATCACAGCGGCCGCTGTCTGCAGCAGTCTTGGGTTTGACAGAAACAATGTACGCCGCATTCGAGGCAATGTCAGGATGGACTTTTTCAGATCAGCGGCAGAAACAGCACATCCTGGGCGGCCTCTCCTCAGCTTTCTCGGATTTGCTGTACTATGTTTCCGGCACAGGTAGTGCCTTCAACGTTGATCATTCGGTCACAATAGCTTTCCGACCAGCCGCCGACTTCCTGCTCAGCGCCCTGAGTGGGACTGGCATTCAGTCTCTTGGATCAGGTCCAATCGCGCTGAACCTGGTCACGTCCACCCTGGGTATCGTACCGGACATCTTCAGTCCCGATGCTGCTGCGCACCTGAAGTCGGTCGTAATGCTTGCAAGAACACATCTCGGATGCTCAAGAATTTCTGGACACGCTCTGAAAGAGGTCAACACGACCCTGATCAATTTGTTTCCCATCTTCGTTCGACTACCAATAATGCATGCGCCACTCTTCCGACCAAGCTTGGCGATCGAGACTGATGTATACGATGCATTCGCGCAAGGCTCCAGGCCACATCTTCTCGGACACTTGGGTTCTGTCTCTTGTCTCGCCTTTCTTGACAGCCTGAAGTACCTAAATGCCAGAGCATACGAAGAAGCACATATCTCATGGCGACTCATCTCTAGACTGGTCACACCCGATCAACAGTGGACAGCGATTGTTCTCATCACAGGTTCGCCACCAGGCAGAGATCGCAAAGACGGCGAGAAGCCGCACACTCGGGGAAAGCCCTTGATGGTGCAGGCCATCGACAAGCTTGTGAAGATAGACGAGCTGCATGCAACAGTGGCAGTGGCAATGTTGAGGCTGCTACAAGAAGCCCAGCAGGGGTGGCCTGCCGTAACTGACACGATCACGGAACGCGACGACTTGTTCCCGGCCTTGATAAAATACTGCTGTTCGAAGTCATCACACAGCGGAAACGATCTGGCCCAAGCACAACACAATCAAATAGTGGCTGGTGTAACAGATCTCAGCGTCATATCACTGCACGCGATGATGGTCTTCCGGAACGAGAAGAAATTCGCACGTTTCATACCATTCCTCAAGTGGCTTGCGGAGAACGCCATCGAAGTCGACGCCTACAACACTTCGTTGCATTCGAACTTGAAGAAGAACTTCGCAATGAAGTATGACGGCCTCGACATTGATGTCGTCACGCGTACCGGCATCTTGCGAGTACCATACAGCGAGAACTACTTCTACGACATCACCTTTGCCAGCAAGCTCCTCAGTCATGACCGCTACTGGTCGAATTTCCAGACAGAATTGAAGCTGGCGAACGTCAACCTTTCGATCGTCGAATCCGAGCTCGCCCTCCTGCGTAGCTTCAAATATCTGTGCAGCGAACATGGCTCCTTCTTCGCAAAGAATCGCGACGTTCAGGTCATCATGGCTCAAATCGTTACCAGCTGCTTACGCGCAAACATGCAGCCGACTCCAACAGAGCAGATCTTCGATATGCTGTATCAATCACGCGCCGAGATCGCGAGCATGTTGCTTGCTCCGCTTGTAACGGTCAAAGCTCACGGCTCAGATTTCACCTCCATCCTGCGTGTCGCATATGACAGCGGTCGCTATCAGAACGGATCCTACCATCTCGCAATCACAAACGACGACCTAACATACTGGCGGACCATGGTTAACAATGTGCGACTCGCCTTACAATTCCACGTCACCAGCCCAGTACGGACGCAAGCCCTAGCCGGAGTCAATCTCGAGTCCATCGATCCAGCGATCAGCCTGATCTGCGACATCGCAGCACACATCATCGGCGAAGGCCTCGCCTCAGTTGTCGCCGCAATCCAAGAACAAGCCCAAACTAAGACCTCTACTCCAGAAGACGGAACCACCACCATCGACGTCACAGACGTCAACCTCCTCCTGCACACCCTGCAAACGGTTCTTCGCATACCCACCCTCCCACAGTTCGCGACCCACCTTTCCGAAGTCCTCATCGCCACCGACACCGCGCAATCCGCCATGCTGCTGTATAGCTGGTCACACGTCCTCCTCTCCGCCGACAAAGAACCCATGTACGCCCTCCCGTCCGTTACGCTTCTCGCGACCTTGTCCCGTCTGCCTCTAATGGCAGAGCACCTCGCCGTCTCGGGCATCTTCACCCGCCTGCTGTCGTCGAAGATGACACAGCGCTTACAGAGCATCCCTTCCGGAGCGGGACATCTTGATCGACGATCGATGGGACCGCTTCTTTACACGCTGTGGAGCGATGGGTACCTGCGGATCGCGCTTAATCTGCTGGATAGTATCGGCGGTGGCGTTGCGGGGGAGGTGAGCGTGTTTCTGAATCAGTTCCCCCAGCAGCTCGGCCGGGCAAGCAGAAGTCTATCTGCTGAAGTTGCCGAAGGTGGTGAAGGCGGCATCACGCTAGGTCTCGCATCCGAAGTCGCCAATCTGTCACTTCTCAGTTTCATCCTCGAGCGCTTCCGCATGTCAGGCCCATCAGCAGCAGTTGATCCGGGACAACTGCTGCCGTTGGATGGGTTCGACGAGCACAAGAAGGCAGTGGCGGTGGATGTGGGCGACGTGCTGGCTCAAAAGGCGGAGTTTAGGATGAGGAGAGAGGTTGCCACTAGTGAGGTGGAGGCGGGTTGGGCGAGGCAGTTGGTGGCGAAGAAGGGGGTCGGGGATGGAAAGCAGAGTATATTGGATCAAAAGGTCGTGAAGGAGCTGCAAGCGGCGAGTGTTTGTCTGGTTGTGGAGTCGGATGAAGGGGCATAAGTCCTGAAAATCTGATTAAGCGATGAAATGATGCCTCAAAAGCTAAGGGAGGCAATGCATTGCGTGGTGTCTGAGCACGGTGCACCGATCCCGCGAATTAGGCTCAGAGTCCTCCTGGAGAGATGCGCTGAATTTAAGAGAATTGCCACACAGGGAAGGACACTTGCTCAACTCGACTTTTCATGAGTTCCGCGTGGACGTGGACTTGCTGCCACAATCCAGAATTTGCACGACCAAGCGAGGTAAATATCTTGTGGCACAATGCACTGGAGGTGCGAAATATCTTGAGTGAATCGACTACTCGTACCTGCAGTGCGTCGTGACCGGCGCCCGCCCGGGAGCCTCCTACTCGTACGAGCGTTTGCATCAGAAGAGGAAAGAATCCTGCCCAATTCAGCTTCCATCCGTCCATCAGGACGCGTGACAAATGCGGCGAGATGCATGCAGAAGTTTCGTTGCTTGCATACTGCAGCACGTTACACAACATCCATTCCAATCATGCTTGCATGACACTTGACCGCGAAGCGGCGGGACTGCTAGAAGTCCAAATACAGCAAGACTCCTTCCGCTTCCAACGCGAAGTTTGCGACGTACTCGCCAGTGGATGTCCAGTCAGTTCAGCCCAAAAGCTCTGCTATTGTGCCTAACACACCACAGCGCCAGATCGCTAATGCCGTGATACTTGAGTATGTTGCACGACATACACCCGTGGGCCTGCCACCTCCCCACCGTCTCCCCCACCCACCATCACCCAACCATTCACTTCTTCACCTTGAGTCTAATAAAGCTCGAACAACATCTCGAACGAAGTGAGAATCGGCTTATTAAGCAGTATCCAAAAAGCCTCCCAAACCACGTCTCCTCTAAGCTCGTTACAATCAGCAGCCCATTTCCACTCAAGCCACCACACCGGCGGTCCGCCATAAAGCATGACGAAATACGTGGCAATCTTCATGTGGTAGCAGACCACAACCAGCACTTTGAACACCTTGAGTACCATGTATCTGTCGTACAGAGGGTGAATATGGCTTTGGGTCTGACGAGCATCACCAGTGTGAGAGCTGAGAGGAGCATGATTGTTGCGATGTGGCTAGGGGAGAAGTTGCTGAAGCCAGCGTTGGGAAAGATGGCTTCGAAGAAGGTATGTTGAGGTTTCATGTTGACGGTATTCGGAGCTTTTTGCCGAGCGAGACGCAGGGATAGTTGTGAGCTGGGTTTTGACACGTATAGAAGGAAGACAGTGATACTGATGCCGTAGGAAGAAGAATGAGTATCTGAGGCCAGCTTCAGGCAATACAAGAAGTCGTGCCTGAGCCCGTCACCCACAAACAAAGACAAACATATGGCCAATGTTTGTACTGCGAACTAATAGAGGCGTATTGACAATGCAGTCCCAGGCATACTTCAATCAAGGAAGAAAAGCTTGCTCGCAGCCGAAGTCAGGTCGTGCCTTTTCTTGGTCTGACAGATGCCCGGTCTCCTCCCGTCACATATCAATCGCTGTGCCGCGCCGCAGTACAGACAAGCCTGTGCTATCTTGCCCAGTCCTCCATCGATACCCCACTTAGGTACGCCGCTGCACAGGAATACCTCCTACAACGCAATACCAGTTCCGTCATTCTCCTCAAGCGGGACAGAAAGCCACAGCAGCTTCTCCTCCCTCAAATGCCGAATCTCCACTTCTGCCATCTGGATATACTTGATCGCGTCTCTGACAAGGTCAGACCTGTGCCGCCAACAGACCTCATTGTCCCAGAATGCTGCGGGGAGCAGGCTGTTGTCAGAGATTTCTCGGCCGAATGCTTCGGTTGAGGCAAGCGTGCAGCGCAGATCGTCTAGTGCCAGGTTGAGCTTTTCGCGATGGTAGCGTGTCTCGACATTTGAGCGCGTAGGCTCGACGGATTGTCTTGTTGTTACTGCTTCAGGAGAAGCCGATTCGTTCGAGCCACAACGACGACGCTTCTTCCGTGTCCCGTTGGACGGAATCGTGCCTGGCTCAATCCCGACTGACGTGCAACTTGCTATGCTTGGAACGCCGAAATTTGTTGTTGTTGATGCGACATGATCATCAGACCAATGGGTAGAGACCCGTGGCGAGAAGCCATCCTGCATCATGACGTGCTCATCTCCCGTCAGCGCGGTGAAAGAGCTGCTGCTGCTGCTCCAATGCGAGGTCCCTTCGAGTGGCAGCACTGTTTCGTCGAGAATTGCGGACGATGATGGAAGAGGTGCAAAAGGCGGCGACTGCGCGATGTACCACAGCGGCTCATCCGGCCGGACGATGGGGTAGATCAGCCCATTGACGGCAGGCACGATGTCGTGGTGGTGCACGGCTTCGGACGAGATTTGCTTCCGCCATGGTAATACCTTTGAAGCCGTTGATCTCATGGGGTCCGCCCTGATCAGCTGTTGAGCCCGTGAGATCCAATGTGTGTGTTGTCATACATGTAGCTCTCTCTGTCTCGCGCGGATCTTGGTTGACCTAAGTAATGCTGAGGGCCGTGTTGGGGATTTTATGCCTTCATGAGTCTTGAGGACCAACAATATACTTGCTTCATATCCCATGTGCATAGCTGAAGAGTAATTCATCCAGAACCTGGATGTGGTTCAGCCGCAGACCGGTCCAGATGCCAGCCTCACATGGTTGGACGCACTCAGGATAAGCGAAAAGCAAACAACTATGCAACGTTAATGGATTCCGATGTATGATCGGGCCCGCCAGACTTATCCGCTGAGGCGCCTGTATTGCATCAAGCCACTGCGTCAAAGCTGGCAAGCTGTAGGATCAAGGGCCGGAGGATTCCTTCGACTCCTGATTTGCGGCATGGCTGGCCAGTCGTTGAGTTCCCACAGCACGCCCTTCACGGTTAGGATGAATGTCGATATGCCAGTCCTAGAATGCCACACTCAACTTGCGCTTATTCCAAAAGTCACTGGCTCGAATCGGCGGACGAACTATACGTGGACCTTCAGCGCCCTCCCGGGCCCAGGGAATCAATCATGAGCGGCACTCACACCTGGTAATCTTCAAACAAGTGTGGAAAAGTGTCCAGTACATGTTGTCCACAGCGTGGCTTGTGGCGTTACGAGGTGAAGCATGATCTCATGATCGACGACTCAAATCTGCGCTTGGCAGACCTTCAACATGCTCCGTGTTGCCGCAGGTATATCCGAGCCATTCCGAGCGTTCTCCGATTTCAGCGGGATCAAAACCAGCGCAGAGCGAACGGAAACCGAAAGAGCCAGCTGCCTCTCTACTGGACTTGAAAGAAATGCTTCAAGTGTTGGCAAGGGAGACATCATGATAATTGTAAGTTGCATGCCACAACAGGTTGCGACCCTCGTTGCGGGACAGATCGAAATGACCACGCATACCGAACGGGGTAAGCCGCCTACCGCTTTCAGCTTGCGTTCCTTTCACATCGACATGTTTGTCCCGCCAGTGAAGGAGGTCGAATGCAGGACAGAGGGTCATCGAACGTAGGAAGGGGACACATTGAAGGTAGGAAGGAGAGACAGCGAATGCATGAGGGAGGGACAGTCAAACCAGGAATGAAGGACAGCCAAAGCAGGAAGGATAGTAGGACTTTGGGGAACCATTGCTACAATCGACATATTTTCACGCTATCTCCAGTACATACAAGATCTTCCAGGAAGATGCTTCAACCTTGCGTCAGAGTCCCCCCGAACCTCCTGCACCAGGATATTCCGCAAAGATGGGTCCACACAACCATCCCTCTGTACTTTCTCTACGTCAGCGCGTTACTTGCACCCAGTTCCGTTCAGCACTCTTGTCGCTCTTCAAACTTTTGCACAAATTCCCTCGGAGCCCTCCCCAGATCTAGCCAGACGCCAGACAAATAATCCCACCGAAAATGCTGACAAAGATTCGTGCTAGAAACGACAGGTGCTTCATTTTGCAAATGTGAAGTGGAGAGTTGATTGAGCGGAGATGTTGGTACAATCGATGAAGAAAGTCTTGGAAATCGCTGGGGTCGAAGCTGGAGAGAACACAGTCGAATAGGCGGGTTCAGATGTCGGAATTAGACGAGGCCGTCTGTTATCTGGCCGTGAGTCGGTCCGAAGGCTGAATGTTGGTCGGTTGATGAAGGAGGCGCACTGCTCTGGTCGAGAGTCTGGCTGATAGTCAACGCCTTACATCATGCCTGGTTCACCTGTTAGCTGTGATTTGGTACGGGGTAGATCCATGGTCACGAACCTCCCATGCCTCCCATGCTAGATTCATCTGTTAGCTGTTGTTTGTAGAATTCATGTTCTCAGGAGTACTCACCCGCCCATCCCTCCCATTGCCGGCCCACCAGCACCCTTCTCCTCCGGTGCCTCCGTAATGGCCACCTCAGTCGTACCCAACAGCGACGCCACACCAGACGCATCAACCAACGCCGTCCGCACAACCTTCAGCGGATCAACAATACCAGCCTTGAGCATGTCAACATACTCGCCCTTGGCGCTATCGTAGCCCTTCTGGAAGTCCGAACCATACTCATCCATCAGCTTGCCAACGATAACACTTCCCTCGAGACCCGCGTTCTCGACGATCTTCCGGGCTGGTCGCTGGATGGCGTTCTTGACAATGCTGACACCGAGGGACTGGTCGAAGTTGGCGCCCTTGACGTCCTTGAGCGCGGAGGCCGCAGCCTTGATCAGAGCGGTGCCACCACCGGGCAGGATGCCCTCTTCGACAGCTGCGCGGGTAGCATTGAGTGCATCAACGACGCGGTCTTTCTTTTCACCAACCTCGACTTCGGAAGCGCCGCCGACCTTGATGACAGCCACGCCGCCAGACAGCTTAGCGAGACGCTCCTGCAGCTTCTCTTTCTCGTATTCGGAGGTTGATGGGTCGGACATCACACCGCGGATCTGCTCGCATCGCTGCGCGATGGAGTCCTTGGAGCCTTCGCCGTTGAGGATGATGGTGTCCTCTTTTGTGATGGTGATGGAGCCGGTCGAGCCGAGCATGTCTGGGGTGGCCTTCTCCAGCTTGATGTCTAGCTCATCAGTGAAGACGGTGGCATTGGTCAGGATACCGATGTCGCCGAGGATACTCTTGCGGTTGTCGCCGAAGCCTGGTGCCTTGACGGCAGCGACCTGTAGCTGACCGCGGAGCTTATTGAGAATGCAGACAGCCAGTGCCTCGCCGTCGATGTCTTCAGCGATGATCACGAGGGGACGGCGCAGCTGTGTGGATGCCTCAAGAGCAGGGATAATATCCTGCACGGCGGAGATCTTCTTCTCGGAGAGGAGAATGAGTGGCTTCTCAAACTCGATCTTCTGGGATTTTGTATCGGTGATGAAGTATGGCGAGGTGAAGCCACGGTCAAAGCGCATGCCCTCGGTGACCTCAAGCTCGTCCTCGATAGTCTTGCCCTCCTTGACAGTGATGACGCCCTCCTTGCCGACCTTCTCCATGGCATTGGAGATCAAGTTGCCAACGTGAGTGTCGCCGTTGGCCGAGATGGTTGCGACCTGGGCGATCTCAGCCGATGTGGTGATGTCCTTCTTGTTCTTCTGCAGGAAGTCAACGACAGCATCGACGGCAGCTTGGGTGCCTCTTCGGAGGTCCATCGGGTTGCAGCCGGCGGCGACGTTCTTGACGGTCTCGGAGAAGATCGCGGAGGCAAGCACGGTGGCTGTGGTGGTGCCGTCACCGGCGACTTCGTTCGTTTTTGAGGCGACATCTTGGATCAGGCGGGCGCCCAGGTTTTCGAATTTGTCTTGTAGCGTGATGGCCTTTGCGACAGTCACACCATCTGTGATCTTGTTAGACAGATACCTCGAGCGTATAGCATAGATGCGACTCACCTTTTGTGATCTTGGGCGAGCCATAGCTCGACTCAATCAGAACATTCCTTCCCTTTGGCCCGAGTGTAGTAGCGACAGCTTTGGCAAGCGTATCAACACCCTTCAACAGCTGTGCACGACCCTCAACCCCGAACTTGAGCTCCTTGTGAGCAAACCGCAGTTGCTGTAAACTTCGGCCGGCTGTTTTGGAGTATGGGGAAGATGCGTTCAGAGACGAGCGCGCTGCTGAGGCGAAGGCTCGCTGCATGGTGAGTGACTGCTAGAACTGAAGAGAGATAATGTACAAGACGGGAAAGAGCGACCGTTGATGGGTTCAGGATAGAATGGAAAGAGGAAGGTAGCTTTGAATGCACCTGCTGTGGCAGGAGACTCGACGGCTTCGAAAAGTTTTTGGAGAGAAACACCGAGAATCTCCAATGTCGCGCTAATGCTGAATACGGGATGGCGGAACGGGGAGAGCCGATGTCAGTGGGTCCCTTCTTTCGACGTCCCTCTTTCCTCTGGACTCGTCGATGACTAGGCAACTATGGCTGTCGGATTCGACGAGTGCTCAAGGATGCGCACTCAGTTGATACGCAGTCTCCGTTGCTGGCATCAATCTTGTAAGTCCATAAAGTCCTGCCCGGAGAAAGATAGCTGCAGGAACGGCTGGGAATATATTTGCAATAACGAAAGTAGTAGCGAACACTGATGACTGGTTTTCTACCTGCATCAAGCTGGGTGAGGCAAGCCAGGAGAGGTAGCTACTGCTTGCTTTCTTTCACTACAGAGAAGATCTTTTCTGTTCCGTTTCCTCGATCCTTATTGCCTTTCTGCATCTGCGCCAAGCGGGCTCTGAGTTGGAAAAGTGCTGCCTTGACATCATGCTCATAGCGCCACATCCATGAAGACGTCCAGTACAAAGCTCTACGCATCTCCACAGCCGTGGCGTCCTCCATGATGTCTTTGTTCCCGTGTTCGTGTGCTGATCTGCTTGGCAGTCTGTCATCTGTCAGCAGTGCACGCGTTTAGAGCTTCGCTTTCGACCTACCAACGTATCAGGCATCGACTAGCCTGCGTCCATCAAAAGTTGCTGAAGTCAAAGTCCTGACCTCCATCACCAAAGTTCATCGCCCCGCCCATGTTGTCGAACATGCCGACAGTACTGTTGAGATCGAATTCGTTCACGCCACCACTGCCGAAGTTGAACTGAGACAAAGCGTTGCCTTCGGGCGCACCCTGGAGAGTGTCTTGGCTTAGAATGCTTCCACCAGACAGAGTGGACTGATAGGAATTGGTGCGGCTCATGTCATTGGGATCGGGAGCGGGCTTGCCAGACGCCATGACATCCTTGGCAGTAGTCTTCTTGCCAGGACCGGAGGCCGCCTTAGGGGTAGAAGAGGATGAATTAGTACCAGGCTTGGTGACGGGACCATGAATGCCCGCACCAACACCAGTACGGAGAGGAGCAGGCGTAGGAAACGGTTCGCCTGAGAAGATGGGGTTGCCAGTGGCGCTGTTGTTGAGAGGGAAGCCGAGCCAGTCGGTGGACGGACCGTTACCGCCACTGAGATCTTGCTGTTGATCATTGCCATGAGTCGGGAACGTCGAGGGATAGCCGCCATACGAGTATGGAGAAGAGACGAATTGAGACGGACTAGGTCCCCAGCCGGAGGATTACTGCCAGGAGCTCCAAAGCCGAAGTTGGGATTGTAGCCGCCGAAGTCTTGATACTGTTTGCTTGTCAGTTCATGTAGTATATGAGGACTCGATGGCCGACTCACGTATGGAGCAGCGGGACCTGTAACGATCTGCTGACGACGAGTGGACTGATCATCTGGAGTGGAAGCGTTTGGAGCAGCGAAATCGGGAGCACCACTGATGGCGGGTGCAACAGAGTGCTCCTCGACCTTGACACCACCATCGGCAGGTTCTTGAATATCGCCAGTGCTTGCAGCCGCATCCGGAGTAGTGGTAGCAGGAGTATCGGCATCATTGTCGAGAACAGGCGGGTCCATGTGAGCATAGTTGACACGGACCCCACGAGTGCGCACATTGGGTGAGACAGGAGGCGTGGTGCTCTTCTCAGGAGACTCAGCTTCAGGGGTCTTGTCGGCAGCATTCTGCTTGGCGGTCTTCTTCTTCGGCTTGGTCTTGGCCTTGGAGTTGGATGTCTTCCTCGCCGTCTTCTTCTTCTTCGTAGCGGGAGCGTATCCATCATCAGAGTCGTCATCGTGCAGATCAGGCATGTCGATCTCAGCCTCGCCATCCGAATCTTCCTGCTTGATGCCGGCCTCCTTCTTGATCTTGCGCTTTTTGGGGGCTGAAGGGGACGGAAGTGGGTTGAGGGGTTGGACAGGCGGAGCAGGTTCTTCATCACCATCACCATTGTTCTGGCCTTTGCGCTTTCTAGGAGTACCACTCTTGGCGTAGACCGAAGAAGGCTTGGTAGTGACGAGACCACGAGCGAGAGGTGGTGGGACTGGAATATCCTGTTCGACCATCTTATTGCGCAACTTGGACAGGTGTTGTACGCATGCACCCTGAGAGAAATGCGGACCCATTTGTGCAGCGATAGCGTCCCCTAAGCAGAGTTAGCAGGTGTTGAAGTGGCACAAGAATCGAACTTACACGGGAGACGGATACCCTGGTTGGCGCAGACATACTGAATGCTCAGAAGCAACTGCTTGTCCTTGTCGTCTGTGATGTGTGAGCTGTGGACCAGATCAAAGAACAAGTCAACTTACCGTCCCAACGGACAAGGTTACGTCTACCTTCCCCGGACATTATGGCTTGATTTTCCAGGTATCTTTCAAGTAGGTCAACGTCGGTCGAATCTCTATGAGATGAGTCTCATGTCAGTAATGCGGTGAGAGATCATAGAATGTGCGAACTGCGAAGTGATATTTGTAGATCGATCAGGCGCTAAAGTTCAGGTGGATGATCGAAGTAGAGAAGCAGTGAATACCACAGGTGCATCCGAGAGGAATGTGACTAGGAGTGTGACGTACAGTGGATAGCCGAGTCCGCGTAGCACTGAGACTTTGTGGGAGTGAGTGGCAGCGTCTGACAATACACTTTCAGACCACCCCGGAAAGACCTGTTCGAAGATGGCACTTTCGATAGCATAGTCTACCACACAGTTGGGGCCAGGGTAAGACGCCGTAAACTCCATGGCAGTCATAGATAGCGAGACCTGAAGTGAATGTTCGGGTCGTGCCTCGAAAGTGAATGCAGGGCTATTGTGACTTTCGAGTCCACGCTGATCTAAAAGATTGTGGAACAGTGGCAGTACACCAGGGAGGCCTCTGGTGTTGAGTCTGGAACTGTAGCCTGCTGCTTTGTTTTGTGGAAACCGAGCGGTTCAGCCTTGTGCCAAGAGAATCGTCCAAGGAGTGCTCTGGGAGTTTTCCGCAATGGCGAATCCGTCCTGCAGCATCATTCAAGACTTTGACGCTCAGAAGATCTCGAAACAGCCAGGAAGCGTTGCTGAAGCAATCATCATCATTGAATCCAAAGAATTGTTGTTCATGAATGAGGCTCAGATGGTTCGCCTCAGACGGTTCGTACAGAAGCCGGTAAGCAGTGCCTACTTGACCCACAGCTTGTTCATGCTTGACACACACAATAGCCAAGAGTCAGCCTGGATCAAGCTATGCATCGACTCTCCGTTCGAGAGCTCGATCCAGTGTCGTGGATATCCGACGAAAAGACCATTGCGAGCCTGGGAAGAGCAGCCGTCGTCTTGGCTGGACCGAGGTTGGTGTAGATCTCGGAACCAGCACCACCAATGCAACTCCTTGGCTCAAGACCATCAGCAGCCTGGGTGCAATTGTTGATGCTGCGATCATTGTGCCGGCGGTGAGCGTCGCGGCGGTCCAGGAGGAAAGCGAATTGGACATATTGCCCTCGGAGAAGAGACGGAAAGCAGTCTGGCTCTGCGACAAGAACGCCGCCCTCATCGCACAGAATGAGCCACACAAACTGCTCTAAGCACCCTGCCGACTTCTGAGACCCATGGCCTCGAGACAGCGACAGCACCGCCCACTCGTCAGCAGCTTTCCGAGCACCTCGCAGCGGTATGACATTTCCACCGTACGGAGTTTCTTGGGCCAAGAAAGATAGGCTCTCATAGCTCGCCACCGAAGGCCTAGGCAATGATGGAGTGGGAGTGTGCATACCCCGGTCGTGAAGTACAGTCTCTGGAGCTCGATTTGGGCTTTGGCACAAGACTCGCTCTGGAGATAGTCCATCATGCGATTGATTTCGATGTAGTTGCCGATATTGGCGATCTCGACAAAAGATGTACTCCTTCGCCGCTCGAAGGAAAAGGCAATACTGGAGTGGGAGCGTGCATAGCCCAGCCCTGGAATCGAGACTCTCGAGCTTGTTCGGGAAGGTTGCTTGCTTGCAGCTCTCGGCGAGGCATAAGCATGCAACATCTCCAGAAGGTCGACCATTCCCATAACCTCCCTCACTCTCAATACTGGACTCTTCTCGAAGATGGGACGCTGCCGTAGCCACTGTCTTGATCGACCGAGGTATCGCGCTTCAAGGCTGCGCGACCGGAGCTGCGCACGTTGGAAGTGCTTTGGACGCTGCCGTTGCCGCGAGGCTGCGATGACATTTTGCCAGTTGGGGATCGGACGACCTTGCCGGCGATCACGGCCTTGCCACGAGGAGGAAACGCCTGGTGAATGGTGATCATGACGTTGCCGCCACGCTCCCAAATAGTCGATAATGGAGTGAGTGCGTGCATACAGTTGCTGTGCCCTATAATCTCCCGAAGGAGGCGCTAACACCTGATGACTTGACCGGCAAAGGTTCTGATGAGGAAGTTGTCGGTATCGTCGTCGTTATTGTCGACAACATCGACGCCGGACCAGTAAGGATCGGCAGCGAAGACATTGCAACTCCAGCAACTCCAGAAAAAGGTGAAGATCACAAGCGACGAGGAACTATGCACCAGCTAATGCGACCATTCACGTTTTTCTCATGGTCTTCGCTTTCCTGGTATTGCTAGAGATCTGGGGACAAACGCATTGTCCTCGCTGTCGATCATTAACAGGAAGACACCATCGTGACGCAAGGGTTGGTTTTGTGTGCGTTCGGTTGGGCAGCACATCTGTGGTATGTGAAGTCGCAGACAGCTGCAAGAGTCTTCTTGACACTGCTGGTGACTGATGAGGCTTGAATCTAGTGGAGCGCAATGTTCGTATGCTACATTATGCCCAAGGCAACGCGACCGCCGAAGATGCTGATTTTGGCATCTGGAAAGCCTCGGATGCGAGCCACGGCATTGGGGTCAAGGTAAGATACATCAGCGTCGTTGACGTTATCAACGATGGTGTCGACAGCTTTCTGAGCATCACGAATGCCGTCGAAGCGGACCAGGTGACCGTCGGGGAGTGTTTGCGCACCCGTGACTGCTGTGCAGTGGCTGCGACTAAGACCCGTGTGCTTCTCGGATTTGTTCTGCGTGGATTTGAGTCGAAACAGCGCAAGGCCTTCCTAGGGTTGGGTGTCAGTCAGGCGTCTGTCAAGCGACTGGCAACGGTCAACGCGCTGCACGAGCCCTTGCCGCAATGCCAGGTAGAGATGGAGCACTTACTTGAAGATGCTGATGATGGACAGCGAGGACACTGCACACCTGCAGGTTCCACCCCACATCATCCTCGCTGTCCATCATCAACAGCGGGACTCCGAACGACCATCGAGATCTTGGGAGTGCTTCTCACCAAGGTAGCACGCTTTGGCTGGCCAGCATCGCTGGAGAAGGCCTGGTCTTGAACGACGCTATCTTGGTCGCAGAACAGCCCAGTGGCGTTGTCCGACCCAAGGCGCCACCCCGGCAGGTGACTCTCGAAGGGCATGCCGAGGCGATTGATGCCGGGGATAGCTCCTCGGGCGGACGTGTCGAATGTGACTTTGCCATCGCCGCCGGGGGACATGCGTTGTTGTGGTGATTGTGGTCATGTAGTGGAGGCATATTTCGCAGCATTTGCGTCCGATCGATCCCCTCCCGGCGGTGGGTGGGAGGAGTAGTGTGTGGCGAGATGATATGCCACAGTTGTGGTTGTTATCTTTTCACCCACCACCGAAGGGCCGCCGTCCAGCTCCATGATGATTGGTTCGAGACGCTTGACAAGCGTGCGAACTTGGACGGCGGCCCGTGGGGATCGATCGAACGGGGTGGAGTTGAATATGGTCCAACGACGACCTTGACGAGCCAGAGCGAATGGAATGATGTCCTCGGGAGTAGCGAAGTTGATGAAAGCGTAGCCAACGTTGCACTGGTTGGCGAAGTCGATACGAAGGTACATGAAATCGTACCGACCGTGGCTGGTGATTTCGAGCATGGCCTTCAGTTATGCAGTGGCTTCGACTTGGCCGGAAGTAGACATGACCTGGTGCAGGAGTAGACGCCCTCCTTCACCTACGCCGCGGCGGTGAGTCCTCCCACCCACCACACCACCGCCGCCGTGGTAGAGATGTTGACCCAAGGCGGCGGGCGGTGGATAGGTTGGCACAGAAGATCGCGCCAGGAGGGTGAGTCGTCAGAGTCGCTACCCCTGCACCAGGCCATGTTCTCGGCTTGGAAATTCCGGTGGCCTTTGGACTTGTTCATTCTGAAGAGAGAGAAGTCAGCATGTTCTCAGGGTTGCTGTTGCGTGATGAAATGGTCTACCCGGAGGTTTGTGATGTTTGCTCATGGTTGTTCTCCTTTTCTTTCTTACTTACCTTGGAGCCAGGAAGGCCATCCCACCCACGATGGGGTTGTCCCAGATCTCAGTGCTGGAGTCTTCACTGGAGTCTTGACGACTGCCTCGGCGAGATTCGATGGATATGTAGTGAGCGCATAGTTCGCCTGTGACGCAACGGAGTCAGTTCAGAGGACAATTGCAGGTCTGTCAAGGTCGAACTCACCGGTACAGCAGACCTGCTGTCGCCAGCTAGGCTGTCATTGCCATCAACGACAAGCCTTGGGCTGGCTGGCGTCGGTATCAGTCAGAAACACACCTCAACCTCAGAATCATCTGGTGCTTACCTTGACAGCAGGTCTGCTGTAACCACCATATTGGATGGCAGGCCGAAGCCGATGCCGTTTGGGCTTGTTGTTGCCGACAGAGCTGCCGATCACGTCAGTCTGTACAAAGCCTGAAGCATCCACGATGCCTCACTCACCCAGGTCATGTGGTCGCAGATGCCAGCATCCATCTCATCGAGTGTCTTCCGCCCCAGCCTACTGGAACCGAGCTCCTCTCCCCCGTGAGAAGGCGGGGTGGTGGGTGCGCTTGAGCGCAGAAGGCCCGTGAGCTTCGTTGAGCATGTTTGGAGGAGTTGAACGCTGGACTTCTACGCTCAAGCGCACCCGGCAGCAGGCCTGCCATAGGTATCGAAAGCGCGCTCTTGCCATATTGGCTGTCGACAGACCGGTGAGCTGTCAGCACGGTGAGCGTCAGTTCTGATTCATTCGACGCTGTTACTTGCTGAAACATGATGTGCTTACCTATCGACAGACCTGCCGCCGCCACCATGACATGCTGGTGAGCTTGGACGCTGGCGTTGACCATTTGGTCATTCTTCCTTGGTCTAGTGGTCATGATGACCGTGGCCGGTCGATGGCCGTCGGGAATTGAGACCTGAGGTCTCAAGGACGCTGTGAATGTCAGTGGCCGAACTATTTACTGCTTGCTTCGAGTCACTCACAATATCGAGTTAGGGTGTCGCCTCAGCTTGCTGCTGCCGCAGAGAAGGCGAAGAGGCCGGCTCTTTGCTTGGTCAGGTTGTATTCGGACTCGCCGTGGCGAGAGAGCCAGCCTCTTCGCCTTCTCTGCGAGGTTTGATGTGCAGGGAGGGCTTCGCATTCGCCGTGGGACTGTCCGAGGGTCAATTCATGGCACTACTCTTCTTTGTCCTACCTCATTGCTCACTCACCTGAGTTTTGCTTGTTCTTGGTAAGGACATATCAGTGCTTGCACAATTGGCTACAAGAGGGGAAGCATCAGCAGAGAAAGATGAGGAAGTCCATTTCAGCCAGTCTGTGGCCGGCCGTTTGTTTCTGGGGCGTTAGCGCCTTGGCATACTCATTCATGCCACCAACGTCTTGACTTCATGGCTTTCTACCAGATTGTCATTAAGCTGTGCAGACCTGTTACTCATTCTCAATGGCTTCCCCTTTTGAGTCATGTCGACTTTTGCGCAACGTGCTGGAGTTCCTAGTCCAGTCACTCGATCCAGTACTCAACGCCCTCATCCCTTCAAGCCAGACAAGCGAACCTCCTCGAGCTCCTCGCCAGCAAGAACCATGGATCCTCCTCACAACTCCGCGTGAATCGTCGCCTGAGGCACCACCAGGTCCACCGGCTCCGCCAAATTCACCGGACACGAAGGCAGACTAACATTGTAAGTCTCATACGTCAATTCCTCGGTCGTTTGGTTGACCGTGATCCAGCGACGATTAAGCAAGTCACCGTCCTGCGCGCGGTCGAAGAAGTTCTGGGGTGCAAAGATGATGGACGAGTAGGCTTCAGTGTACAGGGTCACAGGGATATCTGCCCACTTGTTAGCGCATGGCGTTTTGACGGGCATTGGAAAAGGGACAGGATAGCCATTCAACGCACCTTCAGACCTCACAAAATGATGCATCCCTAAATTGAACCACACAACTAGATCTTCCTGCACAATTGACTCGTCGTCGAAGAATTTGGAATAGTCCTGCTGTGGCTTCCACGGGAGGTTGACGTTCTGGAAGCTATTGCTGTATGGCTCGTTATCATGCTGGCGCGTCACAGCGAGATGGTGTTTCGCGAACTCGGCGTTCTTCAGCGAAAAGGGCGAGCTGAGTGGCGTCAAGTGGACGTTCGAGCGGCCAGGCAGAATGCGGTAGCCACGTTTCTCGCCCCAGGCGTTCTCCTCGTCTTCGTTCAGAACGACATATAGGGCTTGGCCGTTGCCGGCATAGTCGAAGGCAGTCTCTGTTTCGAGATTCTTGATGTCGAGCTCCATCTGCTCGAACTCGCCAAGCTCAGGGAACCATGGCTGGGTCTGGTTGACAACAACGAGATCGCTGACTTGGAAGGAGTTTGCAGTTCCCAAGATGTCGAAGTCTGCCTTGAAGTTGAGGATGTGGTCGTGAAGCGATCCCTGCGTCGCCGCTTGGATTCTGGGTCCATACTTTCCTTGATCGGGGTAGTAGAAGCTGGACTGAAGGTAGCCGCTAGCACGAACAACGACTTCGAGAGAGCCGTCCTGATGGAACTTGTAGTCGAACATGTAGTCATAGTTGCCGATGGTCGCAATGGCTCTGGTGATCAACGCAGCTCCCTTTGTGACGCCCAGTCTGGTGAAAGAGTAGCTTGTATTCCCACCGCTGTATATGTGTCGAGAGAGCGGGTAGCCAGAATCCTGCTCGAAGATGCAGATGGCGTTGGGGTTGACTGTTGTTGCATTGCCTGTGTTGTAGCTGACGTTGAGAAATGTCGCCCCGAAAGAGCAGTCGAACCCTTCAACGAGCGTGAACATGTCTGTACCAAGAGAGTAGTATGTATCGTGGTATGTCGTGCCAGCAGCTTTGGGCTGGTTGCCAGCATACTGTGCGAGAGCTTCCTGCAGAGACAACTCGTAGAGGATGCGTTCACCCTTGAATTTGATGTCGTAGAACATGATGCCGAAGGTACGAGTATAGCTGATATAGTAAGACCAGCCCATATACTCGACGTACTGGTTCTCAGTATCAACCTTGTAGCGCTTTCCGCCGAGCTCAATGCTTTGGGGCGCAAATTGCTCTTCTAAGGCTCGTTGGCCGACCTCCGGCTTGTAGTCGACGATGGCCCAGTCAGTATCCGCAGCTGCGTATTGGTCGTACTCTTGAGCGAGTTCACCGGCCTCGAAAGCAGTTCGTAGCTCGGCCTCCGTAGCGAAGAATCGAGAGTTGGTCACGAAACCTCTGAGCTTGTAGTGTGCTGGATCAGTGCCAGGTACATCGAGTATGGTGTAGAAATCCAGAGGAGTCAGGTACTACGATCGCTATTAGCCAAGAGTCTGGAAGTCGCTTATAGTGGAACTTACAGAAGCGGTGCCTGGAATTCTCCACAGGATAGCTCGATAGCCCTGCGTGCCATCGAAGCTCAATGGCGTCGGAGCAGACTGCGTCAAGTTCGTCCTTGGATCACTTGAGCCAAAATATGCCGCTCCCTGAAACAATGCTTGGGTGATATCGGAAATGTTGGTCATGATCGCCTTGGTCAATGGCTCTATGGCTCGACTTTTGGGGGTGTCCGAGTAGCGAGCGTTGAATGGAACAAAGCCACCGCTGCCGCCATTGTAAATGTAGTTCAGGGGCTGGATCGTGGTCTCATTGGAGACAGGCAGAGGTCCAACCATGTATTCCTGACTGCCAGGCTCTGCCTTGCCGCCCTCAAAGATCACAGCCCGAGCATATTTGGGGGGCATGGGGCCATCCCCATCCAAGTAAGGCAAGACATCTGATTTGTTGGTATGCACAGTGTCGATCCAGAAGACATAGTTGTCCGTCAGGTTAGCTGTAGATGGGCTTGTCAAGTTCAATCCAGACTCCTCTGCATGGAGCAAGTTCCAGACTGCCAAGTTGTCCTCCGGAGTGATTGGAGCCCAGACATTGTCCTTTGGTGCAGTGATCGAAGGGGCATCACCTCCCAAGCAGCCTCCTTCGGATTGACGCTTCGCGAACGCTTCTCCCAGAAGGCTCCGCTCGTACCCAAGAGGCGGAAGAGCGGAGCCGACAACGAGGCTAGCGGTGGTCAGTACGACTGGCAACAAGGAGGAATACATGTTTGCTGCTGAGGAAAAGGTTTCCCATCAGCACAGACCACAGCAGTTCTTATACTTGACCAGCTCCCGCGTGGTAGCGGACCGAACGCTGCCCACGCTTGGCCTCGTGGCATTCCATAGCTCTGGGACCGTCAACTCGAAGGTTCCGACTTTCGCTGCAGGCCAAGCAAGAACTATAGACCGGAAAGGCAGCACAATAGATAACAAGACTCGGAAGCCAATGGGAAGAACCCCCATCTACCCCAATGCTTGGCAAACCTGTGCGATAAGCGGGAATGGGCCGGTCTACGACCTTCACGGCCACGGTATGCCGTTGCGAGCAGCGTTGGGGTGGTATAGTCAGTGCACTAACAGCAGCACAGCGGCCTGAAGCTGAGTATCCGGCTTTGATGGCGGCGCAGATGTCCGGTGCTACGAGTAGGCACAGTGTACACCTTTGCCTGGGTGTGGGCTTATCGTGCGTGGGCATGGCTGGTCCAGGGATGCGGTGCAGCGTCGAAGACGGTGGAAGACCGGCGACGGATGCTGAAGTGGGCAGAAGCAGTTGTAGTGCACTGCGAAGGAAATGCCAGCGACGAATACCTATCCTGGGCTAGATGAGCACGGTGAGTAGGACGGATGTCGTTCAGTGCGGCCCAGCTGGCACGAAATAGCCCCTCTACCCGTGGGGAGCATCGGGCCACGCTCCGAGGTATTACATCGAGCCGCCATGCGTGATAGCTTGATCAAAGATATTTTAAAGCTTAAGCTTGAACTCATGAAGCATATGTGAACGATGGGCTGTAGTGTAGAGCAGGAGCAAGAGCACGAGCCTTCACTTCACGTGTCGGCCATGGTTTCCCTCTCCTCAGCGCCACAGTGTGGCGTTCGTACCGAGCCAATCAGATGAATCGATGACGCCGCCAGTTTCTCCGACTTCCGCGTTTCTTCTCCGCGAAATCGAGATCATGACCACCGCAATTCAGAACTCTGCGCCCGACGTCGACGACTGCAAGCTTGCAAGCACCTCGCAGACCTCTCATGTGAGCATGTACAGACCGCATAGATGACCAGCGTGCCCATGCGCAAACTACCAACGCCTACTGCTTCCTCTACTTCTGCTCTCCGACGGGCTCTGCAGCCGCAGTCATGGAGGCTACCTCTCCATGCAAGCATAGCTGCTGCTAGCTCTCCAGTCCGCAGCCTTGCTCATGTCCGGCCTGAGCCGATGCACGAGCTATGGTTCACTTCAAAGAGCCCGCGAGGAGCCCCCAATACCACCGAACCTGGCTCCTTCGTGCCTGAATCCAGCCCGTCTGGACCAGATCACGGCGCCCATAAACCGCCGTCTGAACGGACGCTCGCACTTGGCCGTACTTTACGGACACTCTCGCCTCTACTGCCGGACATTCTGACGACGGCTTTACCACCCTCGATCGTGTCTCCGTCAGTCACACTTCATCTCTTCCCCTCCACCCATCCGCATCTCCCAGTCGTGAAGGGCAAAGTCGCCTACCGAGCTGCCCTCTTCACTGCTCCGGTAGCATGGGGCGCTGTGCCGCTCATGGGCAGTGCCAAGCTCAGCATTGTCAGCGAGAAGATCGTGCGTACGGGCTACGACATGTGTACGCCCGCAACAGACATAGGCGAGGAGAAGTTCGTGGTGCGATTCAAGACCGCCGCCACCGCTAAGGCAGGCAGCACATCCGCGACCGCATCAGCAACTAACAACACTAATCCGGCTCTGTCAATTCTCCTCGGTGGCAAAGCGCCCCTCTTCGGCAACAACGCCTCCTCCACCACCAAACCCTTCTCCGGCCTCTTCATCTTCACGTTTGACGACAAAGGCCGCATCGCAAGCCACACAATCGAGCATGCGGACGAGGACAATGGGTACGATCGGACGAGCAAGGTCGTGACGCTGACGGACTGGCTGCTGGGCAAAGCGAAGGGCAAGCGGTCCGAGGAAGGGGATTTGCTGCCTGGGTTGGGCGTGGCAATGGCGCGTCAGCGGAGACCCGAAACTTTGTTGGCGCAGATTATGAGATTAGCTAGAGAGGAGAGGAGGAGTCACTGATCTAATCTGTGGTCCGATGCTTCACTCTAATGTGGCAGTAGGGATAATTCTCAGCTCACGCGAAGACCGCCGTCCAATCCTAAATCGACTGGCGGGCGTCACACTCAAACAAATGTACAGTATGTACAAAACAGCAATGACATGACTTTACGCAGATTTCGAATCAGCGCAACCCTCAAGTCTTCTCTCACGAGAGGTATGTACGATACAGATTAACTCGATTCTTGTCTCTTGTCTCACTGTACCATTAATTTTACTTTCCTCGACGTCAGCAACATGACAGTCTCGGAATCACCAACGGTAAGCGAGCGTCGACCGATTCCCTTTGTCATGCATCGGGTCAAGTTTGGTCAGACGAACGCTGTCATCACTGACCAGCAATGGCCGGCGAGGTTCTTTGTTCGTGCTGATGACAGCGACCTTGGACGACAAGATGCTGCGGCTGATTTCTTGTCCATATATGCCCGACTTAGCCTGGCCTGTCCACTAAGATGAATCAATATCACCAAGTTCTCAGTTGTTCATCCCGACAGAACAGACGCAACCTGTCGACCACAAGAGCAATCGCAGTGCTTCGCTACACCCCTAGAATCCGCGTTCATCCCTTCGTACGCGGGATACTCTTTGAGAGGTCAGAATTCGAGTGATGGACCGGCCTCACCCTCGGGAAGAACGAAGGCGGACGACTCCAGTCGCTGGTGATCGTGTCAACAGAGCTAGACGCAGCCGACACATCGATAATGATAATACGAGGTACCAAGACACTGATATCCGCTATACATCTCGCCGCCACCGCGGCATCGCCACGACAACCTTCAGGTTCCTCCCGCAACACGGCGACAGCAAGGTAAGTTCCTCCTGCCCAGCCGATCCCAAGCCAGCCCCGTAAAGTGATACACCTAGACAGACTAAGTCACCACAACCGCAACAGGACCCACAAACTTCAGGGAAACTGCTTACTCGAATCGTGATAGAAGCATACCATGCCTTGGGCCGTAAAATGATTGGAGGGTATCATGATTTTGGAGCATTTCGTTTTCACGACCAATGTCATTCCTGATGGTGCTTCGTTCTCTGACAACTCCTGCGATCGTCTTAGTACCAAACTTGAAACTTACTACCAGGTACCTTGATTCCTGATGTTACAACCGCCTACACCCTTGATGTGGCGCTCTCGCCACCGAATCATTCATCCACCAATGATTCGGGTCTTTGAGTTCGAGACCTCGAGAGCCATGGAGGAGGACGAACTCGATGATGAGGAGATCAGCACAGAACGTAACGAGACGCGGTTGGACTGCTGATTTTATAGACTTTTCCAGTCAGGGCGGACGCTGAAGGTCTAGCAATGCTTCGTTGTTAGGATCAGCAGCCATGAGATGAGCCTCATCTGAGCGTCACTACCGGGTCAGGTCGTGAGAGCGATTTCACATAGTGTTTTCCGCCAGGGAGGGCGCTGGAGGCATGAGTCCATTTCACCGATTTCGTAGATTCGAGGGTACTGGAGGCACAAGCCCATTTCGCTACCCAGGTAGTTTCATCATTCTTCCACCCAGGGCGGGCGCTGTAGTATCAAAATTATAACATGCTCAAATCGCAAGCAAGGCTCGTTTCACGATCAAGACATTTCGATTTGACGCTCATCTCACGATCGGGTCATCTTGATCTGACGATGAAGTCATGAATAATGGCCTCAAAGGCGCGTCACTTCGGCCTCCAAGGCGCGTTACTTCTACTTCTAGCACTACATCCTAAGAATACGCATTTTCACCCACAGGGCGGCCTCTGCCTACTCCAGCGCCAAAACCAACGCCGTACGCGTCGGAATATATACGTGCGTGCAGTTCCGTCTCCCGTTCCAGGGCAAATCCTGCGTAAAGAACCTCGTATCTCTCGCATTCCTGTCAAACCCACCAAACTCCTTCCAGTCGGTATCTAGCACGATCTTGTAGGTCCCTTGTTGCTCCACACCGACTCTGTAGTCCGCGAAGGACTGTGTTGGGTGGAAATTGAAGATCCAGAGTAGACCAGCGCGTTCAAACACCAGGACTTTGTCGTTCTCGTTCTTCAGTGAGATGTAAGCTTGCGGACTGTGCAACCAGCCATACTTCTCTTCAGCCAGCTGCATAGCGCGATCGAACTCATTGAGGTATTGGTAACGCAGCAGGGAGTCCTCTGTGAGGTTGAGTTGACGACGAGCGTATTGAAAAGAGTTATTGTTGCCCTCGCGAGGGAAGTCGAGCCACTCGGGATGACCGAACTCATTACCTTCAAAGTTGAGGTAGCCTTCGCCGCCCAGGGCGTGTGTGACAAGACGTATCATCTTGTGTAGGGACATGGCACGCTCGATGACTGGGGTGAGCTCTGTGAGGGTGGACATGTTGGTGTACATCTGGGCATCGGCCATCCAAAACATGAGGGTTTTGTCGCCGACAAGGGCTTGATCATGGGATTCTGCGTAGGCGATGGTCTTTTCGCCGTAGCGGCGGTTGGTGAGGGTAAAAGCAAGGTTGCCGATGTCCCACTCGTCGTCGGACTTTTCCTTGAGGAGCTTGATGTACATGTCGGGTACGGCCATGGCAAGGCGGTAGTCGAAGCCAACGCCACCTAATGATAGCCTGACGCATAAGCCTGGCATGCCAGAAACGTCCTCGGCGATTGTGATGGCATTTGGGTAGAGGTCGTGGAGCATCTCGTTGGCGAGCATGAGGTATACGACGCTGTCTTCGTCCACTGAGGGGCCAAAGTACTCGTGATAGCCTCCAGAGAAGCCTGTGCCAATGCCGTGGTGGTGGTAGAGCATACTACTCACGCCATCGAAGCGGAAACCGTCGAACTTGTACTCCTCCATCCAGAAGCGCAGATTCGAGAGCAGGAAGCGCAGAACTTCGTGGTTGCCATAATTGAACAGGCGTGAGTCCCACAGCTCGTGGCGGCCTTTGGCGCTTCATGGAAGTAGAGATGGTCGCTACCGTCGAACATGTTGAGGCCATCGAGAGTGTTCTTGCTAGCGTGGGAGTGTACCACATCGAGCAGAACGGTGATGCCGAGTCCGTGGGCTGCGTCGATCAGCTCCTTGAGGTCTTCCGGGGTGCCATATCTTGAGCTCGCGGCAAAGAAGTTGTTGATCTGGTAGCCGAAGCTGGCATAGTAGGCGTGTTCCATGACAGCCATGAGCTGAATCACGTTGTAGCCGAGATGTTTTATCCTGGGTAGCATGTTGTGGGTGAACTCTTTGTAGGAGGCCACTTTAGGCTCTGGTGATGAAATGCCGACGTGGGCCTCGTAGATGCGGACGCTGTGTGGGTATGGAGGTCGTGGGTTCTTGAACTTGTATCGTTCGCTCTCGGGAGGGTTCCAAAAGCGGCCATCGTACACTGGCGAGACGCTGAGGTCTTGTGTGACATACTTGATCCAGGCTGGTAGACGCTCAATGCGCTCTCCGGACTGTGTGACCATGGAGATCTTGAGCTTGGAGTTGTGGGGGATCGTGTTGGCTGGCAGAATGACCTCCCAAACGCCGAAATCGTTCCTCTTCATGGGCGTTGCACCGCGATCCCAGCCGTTGAAGTCGCCTATCAGGGAGGCCTCCCTGGCGTTGGGAGCCCACTCTCGATACCGTATGTCACCGTTCGGTAGCACTATGAAGCCCATCTGCTCGTAGCCTCTCGAGAACTTCTCGAGGCCGCCTTCGGTCTTGTTGATGACATCGATCCAGTGCTGGGCCTTTGCGAATCGTGATTTGAGGGCGTCCCGGAAGTCTCCTAGCCAGGGATCGAGTTGTATGATGCCTATGGACGCTGTTAGCCTGTGCTCCTTCTCGATTTCGGGTGGAGAGCGCTTACCTGTGCCATCCGGGGCGGCCTCTCCGGCAGGATGTGAGAGAACTGAGTTAGCGGACGCCTGATTGACTGTGCCGGCCATGATTGAGTGGTTGTTGAGGCTGAGGACGGTGATTTTGCAGCCAGGGCGGCCTCTGTACTAGAAATTTGGGAATCTGGAGCAGGAGTACCTTGAGGGAGTGGACCTGCTTTTCTACTGCAAATATCTCGAAAGGCAGTCGCAGCTGCAGAAATACACAGAGTCCTCCCTAGCAATATTTCGCGCAAGACAGCTTCGCTACAACATGTTTATTTTGGACGAGCTACTTTGCATTTTTGGCAGGGGTTCTGACGTAGATTGCCCCACCAGTTTCCCCGCGATTTTCAACTTTCCTACCCCTATGCAATGCCTAAGGCTCTGGACCACTGATATTTCTAGGCGTCGTCTTCAAGGGGACTTTTCTGGTGACGCCCTCCCGAGGAACACGTACACTGTAGCCATCGAGCGTCATGTCAACGATACAGCACCGTCCAACGTCTCAGCGTTGCAGAGATCAGCAACTTACTTGGCTGGCAAGGGCAACAAGGTACTCGAATCTATAAGGGCGTAAAACTTCGCTCGCTACTGTTGCAGTACAGTAGTAGCAGACCCTGAAGTACCGCACTTGATACATGTGAAAGTCGCTCCGAAAGCATTTGGGAGCCCCTCACAAATATTGTTCTAGTCTATTCGGCCCGATGCAGCGGAGATCCCAGTAGCATATCCGTGCCTGTCTGTTGGTACCTTGCGGTGCAGCCCCAACTTCCTCGTAGCTTCGCATATCGACTGCGCCGTCAAAGAATACTATGTTTCGGCCCTTTCCTAAAGCCTCGACCAGTACCAGTGCATTCGTACAGCGGTATAGTTGTGCACTCGGATTCAAGGTGATGGAATGCCAAGGGATAAGATAAGATCAGAAAACGGGCGGGGATAACCGAGGTGGCGCCGGACGGCCGGTCGCGCCTGCGAACGGATGACAGTACAATCAATGCATCTGCCAAACAGACAGCTTCGATCAAAGTGGGAAAGACCTGATGGACTCGTAGCAGCCTCGATACTCCCTTCGCGGACCTCATACTATCACCAAAACATCATGCGGCGACGTGGGCGTACTTCGAGCTTCTTGTGCCCGGCTTTGGTCTCACCGGCCAGCCGATATATGACACCGCGTCTACGAGATACCTACTTATCATTAGCCGCACTACCTACACAGCATGTCACAACTAGACCGAGCTCCTCGCACTCGCACTCCAACTCCAAGTTCCTGCGATCGGACTTCGCCAATCAACCGTTCACCGGCAGTTATGAGCCTGGTCTCCGTACCTCCGGTCCGCTCGGTGGTGTCCAGTATGGCTCCCCACGCCTAACACCCAAGATGCTCAAGCAGCATCTAGATCAGTTCGTAGTCGGGCAAGAACGAGCCAAGAAAGTTCTCAGTGTAGCAGTCTTCAATCACTATCAGAGAATACAAGAGCTAGAACGGCGAGAGGCTGAGGAGGAAGAGCTGTTGGCCCAGCGCGAACGACGAGAGCGGCATCCTGTCGAGAGCGAGTTCCCGGGTCAGCAGCCCACTATACGAATGGTCCCCGCTGGTCATGATATCAATACACGATCAGCGTCACCTTTGGTCGATACCACACCCCTCACACTCGAGAAGTCAAACATCCTGCTGCTGGGCCCATCAGGCGTCGGAAAGACACTAATGGCAAAGACTCTGGCAAGAGTCTTATCGGTGCCCTTTTCAATGTCAGACTGCACACCATTTACCCAGGCCGGATACATCGGAGAAGATGCAGAAGTCTGCGTGCATAGATTGCTAGCAGCCGCCAACTACGACGTCGAGCGTGCTGAGCGAGGGATCATCTGCTTGGATGAAATCGACAAGATTGCTACCGCCAAAGTCAGCCATGGCAAGGACGTCTCGGGTGAAGGCGTCCAGCAAGCTCTGCTCAAGATCATCGAAGGAACAACTATCCAAATTCAAGCCAAGCCAGAAAGAAACGCGCCTCGTGCGGGCGGTCAATCTTCCACTTACCCGACCAACAGCCCACTCGGAAGTCCCGCTGGCTCCTCATCACCACAGAAAGGCGAAGTCTACAATGTCCGCACCGACAACATTCTGTTCATCTGCAGTGGTGCTTTCACCGGTCTGCAAAAGCATGTCATGGATCGACTTGCTAAGGGTAGCATTGGCTTCGGCGCTCGTGTCAGGTCGAGCGGTGGGCTTGCTTACGATGCATCCCGCGATCAAAAGTCGACCACCAACAACCCTGTGCCCATCAAGCCAGGCTCCGAAGAAGAAGCTCTCTACAAGAAGCACCTTCCCTTCTTTACACCAGCTCCTGCTCCCGAAGAAGTGGTAGACGGCATTGCTGTCGAGCCCTCCTACTTCAATCCTCTTGATCTCATGACACCTGCAGACTTGCAATCATACGGCTTCATACCCGAGCTCATCGGCAGGATACCAATTTCCGCTGCACTGGCGCCCCTCACCCACTCTTTGTTACTACGAATCTTGACCGAGCCTCGGTCATCGTTGCTCGCTCAATACATCACACTGTTCTCGCTCTCTAACATCGAGCTTGCCTTCACCACGCCTGCTCAGCATGTGGTTGCATCCAATGCTCTGGCCATGGGTACAGGTGCGCGTGCTCTACGCACCGAAATGGAAGCTATTCTTGGCGACGCCATGTTCGAGGCACCAGGTTCAAGCGTCAAGTATGTGTTGATTACGGAGAAAGTCGCCAGACGCGAGGAAGGCGCTCATTATCTGGGTCGCGGTCAAGGCGGACGATTCCATACAATGATTGCAACCGAAGAGCATGAATGGGAAGAGAAACAGAAGAAGCATGGCCATCCATCCTCCGCAAAAGCACATCAGTCTAGCGACAGCTTTGAGCAATGGAGGACAATCACGACTGCTGCTGCCGGGAGTGGCGGGTGAAGTTCTCGGCGCATTATTCGTACCTCAAAACGACCAGACGGATGGAAGACGATGATGTCTTGATGATATAATATTTGCGACCACGGTCCCCGTCAGTCCTGGCCATGCGTCGCGCGTGCAGGGCGGGATCCCTTGACACACAAATCACCTGCCAGCCATGCGCCTGATGCTCACACTGAGCGCCGAAGTTACCGCTTCAGCTGCCAAGAGTACGAACCAGACAGACCATAATGTTATTGCTGCAAATTGCTCATCTGTAAGGACAGTTGTCAGATGTTTTGCTGCCTATTTCCTGGGTACGACATCCAGCTTGCCAGAACCGTTCTTGTGGCGTGTAAGTCACAACAGTCGACTGCACCACAACATCGCTCCTGGGTCCTTACGGAAGACTCTTCACGTCCAAGCTTAGAAGGACAGCCTTTGTATGTCAAATCGATTGGCACAATCGTCTGGAATAAAGCTGATCGACCTTTGGACTTGCAGGGAGGCCTCTGTCCGTCAAGTCCTGGCCTTTATTCAAGATTCGATTTCGCAACGTTTGCCGTCGCTTTAGTCTCACACACATCTTGAATGCAGTACAGCGCCGTCGGTCGCCTCCCTACCATTAAGAAGCCATGGACCACCGTCAAGGTGACAACGACTACCTCAATTACCGATCAAGACACACGGGCAATAATTCTGACGATGATGCCAACACCTCTGGTGACCGTGTGGACGTCCGACATAGTGCGCGATGCCGACTCATGGAACTTCCTGCAGAGCTGCGATGCATTGTTCTGAAGGAGCTACTGGTGTCGTCGGAACCTTTGTGGTTGGCAAGCGCGACTGCAATGAAATATCTGGCTTCGAGGGGATATATCGACGTCAAGCATTACTTCGAAGTCCGACCAGCGAGGAAAGTGTTTCCCGAAATTCTCGTTGCTTGTCGTCAAATACACACCGAGGCTAGTGAGCTACTCTACACCAACACTATCGAAATGCACATGGTCTCGCAACTGTATGCAGGCCCACATCTCCCCAGACCAAGCGAGTTCCTAGCTACCCTGCCCAGACAGATAAGCCGTCTCCAGGTTTCCCTGCTTGCATCGTCGTACGATACCATGCCCAGTATGTGGACCAATGGCTGTATGGAATTGTGTCGAGCTCTCATCGATCGCCCGAACCTGACCGAGTTGACCTTCGTCATGACAGGTTGGTTCACGTCTAAGCAAGTCAAGCCGGTCATATCAGCACCGGACAAAGCATTGGGCCTTGTTGGATCTGTATATGCGCGACGCATCCCACCATTGCAGCACATGCTGTATCTTCGGGGTCGCACCGTCACGTGTGAGGGCATTGAACCAGATCTTGCACATGCCCTTTGTGACACATTGACGTTGCCGAGTCCAGATCTTGATCTACCTTCCAGGCTGCACGCACTGGAAAAGGTGGGGTCGGAGGCGGCCAAGTACAGGGCCGGCGACAGGAGTATTCGAAATTGGCCGACCTTTTACTACCTCCATGACAAGATGAGGCAATACGTTTGGGTCATGGATACAGACCGGTTCTTCAGCGCCGAGGCGTTTTTAATGGAGTCGGTGGGCAAATTCTGGGCGGAAGTGGCAGAACGACGTCCCAATCGAGGCCTTATATGCAACATCAATCCTCGCTTCGAATCATACAAGCGCAAGTATCTGCCAAGTGCCTCAAACTCCTCAGCGAACGTCAGCAACGCGTCCGCTTGAAGACTTTCCTTCACTTTGAACAGGCACGTACGCCGTTGCTACTGTGGCGTGAAGCGCTGCATTCAAGGAGCAGGTGTCCATTTCTTGTCTGACAGATCAACGTGAAGTCGCAACATCAAACCACAGTCTTCAAGTTCCAACTTGCAGCCGCTATGTTCAATCATGCGGACATGCTTATACTCTCTCAACACAATCAGACGTATGTGGCGATTTCGCATCGTGGAGGTCGATGACTTCATTGGGATCATCCCGGCCCAGCCTGTGCAGAAGTTCCAGCCTCAGCGCTTCCGGATCACTCTGGATTCCCTCTCCAATCAGGTCTTTCTTGCTCTTGGCTTCCTTGTCGAAACAGACCCAAACGCTGCGGTCTGGAGTGAACAAGAGATCAAGCTCTTCAAGGGCTCTTCCTGCCGTTTCGGGGAAAAACAGCCATCCAATGACTGCACAGGTCCAGTTGATCGCGCCGAAAATATAGTAGAGCTTCCATCCAGCGGCATTGAGGGCCTGAGGAATATATAAACCAAGCCAGAAGTTTGTGAAGTAGTTGGCTGCGACGGCCAGAGAAGTTCCGCGTGCTCGTGCCAGCAACTGGAACACCTCCGAATGATAAGTCCAGGGAAGGGAGCTTGAAAAGGCGCCAAACGAGAACTGGAACAAGAACATGAACGCTACGGCTGTGTTACCAGCGGACTTGTTGCTGAAGCTGAATTGTACCGACTGGGTTATTTGGTCGAAATGCGGGCTGCCGTAAGACAGCAATATACTGGCGACGATCATCAGACAGAGACCCATGGTGAAATGGCCGGTGAATATGGGTTTTCTTCGCCCGTAGAAATCAATCAGCAGCGTCAACGACACAGTACCGACAAGTAAGAGCGCCGATGAAATAGCGTTGGCTAAGAGAGCTGCTGTTGGACCACTTCGACCCGTCTGTGCGAATACTTTAGCGGCATAGTACAGGACAATGTTCGCGCCGCTGAGCTGCTGCATACATTGCAAGCCCATTGCAAGGGCGGTCCGGCGACGATATGTTGGCTTCGTGAGAAGAGCGAGATATGAGGGCGCTTCCCCTGTGCTTTCCAGCTCAACGGATGCGCGAATCTCGACATGTTCGGATCGGACAAACGCATCATTGATGTCGCCTTTGCTGTGAAGCGATGCCAGCACTGAGAGCGCCTCGTCACTTCTACCATGTTGGACGAGCCAACGCGGGGATTCGGGGCGAAAGTACACGAGTTTCGCGGCCACGATGCCCGGGAGCAGTTGCAGACCGAAGCTCAAACGCCAGGCCGCATTCGAGGTGATGTGAATCGCTCCGTATTGGATCCAGTACGTTACAAGGATGCCAACAGCGATACCTGAGTTGAGCGTCGCCGCCACTCGACCACGGATGTGCGGTGGCGTGATCTCTGCGGTGTAGCTGTATACAAACATCAGTCACATCGTGGAGCATTGAAGGGGACGGACGTGCTTACAAGGATACCGTCTGGAACCACGGCCCGGCTCCAAGTCCATTGATGACTCGACCAGCAATGAACATGCCCTGATTCTGTGCCGCAACCAGGAGGATCTGACCAATGGTGTAGACCGCAATACAAAGCCAGATGGTCTTGCGGCGGCCAAATCGATCCGACAGCAGACCAACGAACAATGCCCCGACAAATTCGCCGGCGATGAGGCTTGCAGTCATCAGGCCCTGCCGAAAGTCGGAAGGTGTGCCCATATACAGCAGGAATTGTGGCATACCGAGGGTGCCGCCCATTGAGCCGACTTCCCAGCCATATGCGAGGCCGGTGATGCTGGGAAGGGCAATGTAAGAGAGGACTTGCCAGAATGATACGCTCTTGACCGTGGTTGTCATGGTGGAAATGATTATGGTTGGTGCTGCGAATGATTTGCTCGGTTGCTCAACGATACCCATTTGAAAGCCATGCTCCTGGTTTTTTAAGCAATGTCCATCAAGCTCTCGGTCCGGGGTCCATGCAGCAGCAAGCACGCTTACCCCGGATTTTGACCTGCATGCCAGCGGATTAGCGCAGGGGCGGATGTTGGAGGAGAACATTAGCATCGTGTTCTAGTTGGGGTAGTCCTCGGATCAGTGCATGTCCGAGGCTGTCATTTCCCGCGGCGAGACAGTCTCAAGTTGATTCGGATGGAATGAACAGCCATCGGACATTTCTTCATCCGAAGACTGAGCCCATTCGCCTTTGCGTTGTCGATGCGCTGCACTGTGCGTGAGCAAGCAAGAATGCTGGGAGTGTAGTGTCTAGGCCAGCCAGTGAAGGGATCGGTATCCTGTTGGAGGCCGCGCATTGTCAGTGGTCACCAGCCAAGCGTTGCAAATGTGACTGGGCGTCCCCTCATGGTCGACGGATGTTCATCTCCTACTGGAACTCGGGACTACCACGTGTGCAAGGCTCTTTCCAAGCGCCCGGTAGCAGCGAGAAGAAAAGCCAACAACCTACATATCTACCTGTTCATCTACCCAGCGGCCGCTCCGGAACCATCCATGTGTACATAAGACATTGCCGTCCTTCGCCCACCAGACCGCCAGCAGCGCCATGTCCAACAAACCCCGGCTCACCACTGCACTGCCATCAACACCTCCATATACACATCCGCATCCGCGGCAAATCCGCTCGGCCTTCCTCTTCGGCACCCCAATCGCCCACGCGCTCGGCCCAGCCGTCCACACCACCATCTGGCAACAACTTGGTCTCCCCAACGAAGAATGGCGCTTCGACCTGCTCGACTCAACCGACACAGCGGAATGTCTGCGCTGGCTTCGCGACCGTGAGAGCGGCTGTGTGGGCTGCTCAATCACTATGCCCAACAAGGTGGCAATGCTGGAGCTGGTGGATGGGTTGACGGAGGAGGCGAGGGGGGTTGGGGCTCTTAATACTGTTTTCTTCCGGGATGATGCTGAAAGCGGTGGAAACAAAGCAGTGGTCAAGCAGGGCGGTGGTGGTGGGAGGGATGGAAGACGGCGGCTGATCGGCGCCAACACGGACGCGCTGGGCATACGCGATGCTTTCTTGCGGGTGTGTCCGGGCTTGAAGCAGGGTCCTGTAGATGCAGGACCGAGCTGTCATTCTGCGCTGGTGCTCGGCGCCGGTGGGGCGGCGCGCGCAGCAGTGTACGCGCTGTGGAAGCTGTTGGGCGTGCAGACGATCTACGTGGTCAATCGGGATCAAGAAGAGGCGCGGGCGATGATTGAGTCAATGGTGGGCAACCGAATCGGGGCGCATTTGGTGTTCTTGGATCAAGCTGAGCGTGTGGACGCTGCCTTCGCGACACCCGCAGGGATCGATTTGGTCGTTGGTACGGTTCCGGATGTGGACGTGATCAGTGCAGGGGAGAAGCGGGCTTGGGGTATGGTGGAGGAGGTGCTGAGAAGTCGTAGCGGTGGCGACGGCAACAAGGGGACTCAGGCAAATATAAGATTTGTACTGGACATGGCATATGCCCCATCGCCGCGGACAAGGCTCTTGCGGCTAGCGGAGGACCATGGCTGGACAACTATATCGGGGGTGGACGTGCTGGCGGATATTTGTATAGCGCAGAATCGACTGTGGTGTCCGGAGCTATGGCAACGGAAAGGGAAAGGGTCTGTTGAGGGTGTGGAGGATGTTGTCAGGGTGAAGTTGAGTGAGGTTTTGGCGCAACGCAGCGGATGATGAGATTTTGGACCAAGTTCTGTGTTCATCTTGAACACGCACATATATATTCATGTGGGGCCTATGGGCAAACCCCGTTTCCTGCTTTTCCATCAACGACAAGACCTGCCACACCACGCAACCAGGCGGACAGCTCCTCATTGAATCTTTCCGGATCCTCCATGAACAAGAAATGCCCATAGCCATCTGACCACTCCTTGACTGTCAACTTAGGCAAGTGGGCCTTCCACCGTTCCTCGTCAACCTGGAACATCCCACAATGTATAGCCAGCGCCGGTACGGCATCGAAGACCTCATCTCGGCGCCAGGCGTGTGGCTGTACGTCCGTGGTGCAGGTGTTGACGCGGACATGCTTGGGCGTGGTACTCAGCATGATCTGGAGGATTTTGTCGCGGGCGTTGGCTGGAGTGCGGGTTGTAAAGAAGGACTCGATCGTTGCGCGCCAGAAAGTGTCATCCGAGCGTTTGGCGGCGAGGGCCTGGCGTTGTGCGTGCGTGAGCAGTGATTCAGGTAGGTCGAAGAAGGAGTCGACGTAGATGATGGCATTGACTAGATGTGGGTGCAGACGCAGCAGCATTGTGGCGACGGGGCCGCCCATGCTGTGTCCGATAAGGATCGCTGGCCCGCGGCTGTTGTTATTGGTGTTGGTAGAAGTCTCTTCAGTCAGCAAGACCGCGGCGACTGCGTTGGCGAAAAACTCCATCGTATATTGATGACCAGCAGCAGGAGCCCCACTACGGCCGTGGCCGGGGAGGTCGATGGCGAGACTGCGCATTCTTTGCATCAGATGTACCTGACCTGACCAGAGTGCAGAAGAACACGTATAGCCATGGATGAAGACAAGGGCAGGTCCCGGGAGGTGTGCGTTGTAGCCGTCGTACACGACTCGGCTGTCGTTCAATGTTATGTGGCGCTCGACCGCCATTGTTGTGGTCAGCCAAACGACTTTCCGGTCTCGCGTTTTGTTAGAAGGCACGACTTCGAGGTATCGTGACTATTTGCTCGGCCGAAGCAGAGAACGGCTCCCTCTCTTGCCTTCATGTCTTGCTGCGGTGCAGCGCTGCATTTAGCCCATGTCGGCGGGTGACAAACGGGTACCCAAGGTAAGAATCCGGGATGAGGTCAGCGGGAAAATGTCGCTGAGCAGATCGCGACCATCGGACTCGCACAAAAGGGCATCCTCGTCGGCACCCTTGACGGGGACACTCCTTGTTCGGGACAAACTGCGAGCATTTCCTCCCGGACGAAGTCATGTCCGATGTGTAATTGATGCCACGCAGCCAATCACGTGCGATGCATGAACTCTGACAAGATTGGCGTTGAGGATAAAAGTGCCAGCCCTTTAATCATGGTAAAAGCGGCATGATCTGGGATCCCAGATCAAGTCGCTGCGCCGGAAAAGTCGTAGTACACCTCCTGTGTACCTGCCGTACCTATCGGTACGCCCAGGCCCGCAAAACTTTCCTCCCAGGACGAGTCCCAATTGACGGCGTCCATGGCGAAGAGATCGTCAATATTTGCTCCTGCGGAGCTCTCATCGCCAATACTTCCTAACCAAGGGGTGTCGGTAGGGAGAGGATCCTCATGCTCAGTCGTCCTGGCGGGCACAGCGCTGGAATTTCCGACAGCACGGTCGATTGTGTCGAGCACGTTGTTGAGATCGCTTGAGATGGCATCTTGGTATGGCCGTCTTGGGCCTGCCTCTGCCCCGACTGGGGCAGTACAAGCTTGGGGCTCACCCACCCCAGCCTGAGGTACGATGTCAGCATGGCTTTGAACGATCAGTACCTGCTGTTCTAGCACAGCAAGTATGTGACTCATTTGGTCGTCGGACACCATGAGCTGCATTTGCTTCACTTGCTTGATCAAAGAAACTAGCATGAATTTCCACAGAAATCTGGCCATGTTGCGCGAGTCACATGAGCTGCCGTCCTGGATTAATTCCTCAACTTTCGCAAGACGCACTGCTATCTCGTTTGGAAGCGGTGTTTCGGATAAGAGGTGGGCGTCGTTGCCACGAAGCAACCTGAGTAGCTCGATCGACTCACGAAGAAGTGATACGGTCGTCTGATGGGGCAGCGAGCCTCTCTTGGGCTCCATAGTTCGCGCACTGGATTGTAACGACTCGCTTGGCCGAGTAGATCGCACAGCGAGCTCGAAGTATAGATCACGAACGGCTCGGCCGAATTGATTGAAGGTGCTGAGGGCCAAGGCTGGAGCACGCGCGCCATCATGCCGAAGTTCTAGGGAATGCTGTATCGACTCCCACTCCTCTATGCCGTGTTCGTCAACAGATCCGATGGTCTCGATCATTGACGCTGCAATGAGTGGTTGCTGACCGAGAATAGACGCAAACAAAATTTCCAGTATCACGCAGCCAGTGAGCACTCGCTGATGAGCATCCCTGGGTAGATGCTGCCGCCTGTCGTCGATGTCGCTTCTATGGCCTGAACTCGAGGACGAACCGAGAAGTGCCAACAGTCGCAGTGCATGGCCGACGTACAGCCAGGCCACTTCGTATCTTCCCACATGTGCTAAAAGTATGCCCTGTATCAGAAGCGCTCTGATGTGGCCAAGACTGCATGGCTCATTTGTTGAGAACAAGTTATGTGTCGAGAGGTCACTTAGTAGCCCTTGACTTAGACTGACTTGTGCACCACTCAACGTTCCTTGCAACGCGAGAAGCGCAAGCATACAGGCACGATGACCCGAGTCCTCGTGTGTGGATCTACGGTGCCACTGGTGATAGATACGATAGATGTCATGCTTTTCCACAATGGGTAGACTGATATGTGTAAACCGGAAATAGTCGTCAATCAACTCCAATGCATTTGAGGGTAGCACCTCAGGGTTAGGGGCATCGGCGGATCCTTCCATTGTATCTCTGCGCTGTTCCCGGACTTGCGACGGCCGCTGAGTAGACATCGCTGCCGTGGTTCGTAGGGCACCGTGTAGGCTAGAAAGCTCGCTCTGCGCATCAAGACTTGTAGCAATCTTGCGACGCTGCAGCTGCTCTAGAGTGGGCAGGCGATCCTCGAGAACCCTTGCAAGCTGCGACGACCGCCACTCCTTCAGCAGTCCACATTCGTTAACCTCATCTGTCCACAGAACTCCGAAGGAACCCCGTTCAGGATTGTCTGTGCCAGCCTCGAGCACTGCGGTGATAGAGCTTGAAACCTCTGGGTGTGTCAAGAGTCCGATAGCCAGACATTTCTCCAGTGCGTGAACATATCCTTCTGGTAGGCCACGGCGCTTCAATTCGTGAGCATATTGGCAGTTGCGGTTGGATAACGTGCAGTTAGAGCACTTTGGACGAGCGCCATCACACTTCTCCTTCCTCCTGCGACAGGTGTTACACGCTTTCTCGATCCGACTGCGAGCTTTCAGCTGTCGCTGAGTGATTGGTCGAGTCACATTGCTGACCATTGATCTGGTTCATCACCTACAGCGAGCGTAGCAAGAGCTCGTGAGCTTGGGCACCAGGAAGTCCATCACGAGAGCGTGCATGGATCGGAGAGATGAAAAGAGATGGACAATGGGACGGTTGCAACTGGAGTAAAAGCGGCGCCCGAGGCTAGAATTAAGTTCCCGGTAGTACCTGCCTATGCGGCCGATCTGGCTCGGTTTCCCGGCTGTCACAGCCTAATGTTTGATATTCAGACCCGACGGCTCCTTTCTGCTACTTCCAGTCTGATCAAGGTGTGGCATCTCGTCGTCTGCAACAGCCGCGACACCCATGAGCTTCCGCTTCTTCGTGCTCGACGGCTCCATGTCTGCAATCATTTCTTCTCAGACGCGAGGACTGTCGGAACTGACATGACCAAGGATGCGAGAGCATTCACATCGCGCCAGTATGAATCTGGCGCCTCCATTGCTCTGGTCGGACTGCGAGGCGTAGGGAAGCGGTCGCTCGGGTTCATCGCCGCTGCCCACCTTCAGCGACGCTTTGTGAGCGAAGGGCTTTACTTTGAACATGTCACAGGGGCTAAGAAGTCGGCCTATATCAGTCTTCATGGCCAGGATGAATTTCACCGCCGCAGCGACGATGTACTGGAGCAGATGCTAGCCAAATACAGCCAAGATTGCGTCCTAGATTGCGGCATAGCTACTTTGACTGCTAACGGCCGTGCAATTCTGCGGCACTTTGCTCAAACCCACCCCGTTGTGCATATCACTCGCGACTTCGACCACATCCCAGGTATTGCATCTCTCACACCTGCCCAGAAGTTGCAACTCCAACAATGCGATCTTCGCCATCGCAGTTGCTCGAATTTCGAGTATTTCAACCTGGAGGACGTCAATGCGAAAAGAGGTCAGTCACAAGGTACCTCTCCTGACGCCGCGACGACCTTGAGGAGGACTAAAGAGGACATTCAGAATTTTGTCGATTTCATTACTGGACAACAACGGTTCCCAGGCTCTGGTCCATTTTCTCTCTCGGCCGTCCCCATCGAGTCCAGACGGCAGTCATTCGTTACTTCAGGCAGCTTGAGTGCTTTCTCGAGGGCGGTCGATCTAGAGGTTCAACAAGATTCAGGGGAGGACGCCTTCGAGTTGGTCGTGGACACGCTGCATGAGAGCAGCACATCTCACCTCGCGGGAACAATAGCTAGACTGCGAAGAGGTCTCAAAGTTCCTATCATTCTTTCTTTGTCGACAACGCCAATCACAGGCGAGCAAACAGTTGATGAAGTTTTCAACTTACTGCAAGTTCTTCTCCGGCATGGCGTCGAGTATTTGACAGTACCGGTGAGCATTGACGACAGTCATCTGCGTGCGCTAGTTGCGAACAGAGGTGCGACTAAGCTCATAGGTACGGTGCATATTGACACGTCGGCCCCAGGTGCGTGGTCAGATCCCGGACGAAATAACATCTGTCAACGTGCTCAGCAACTTGAGCTTGACGCGGTCAGATTGACACAGCCTGCTGTGAATCATCAAGACAATGACGATTTATACAACTTTCTCACGCATATTAGGCATACAACCGACATCATAGTCACTGCTCATAACACCGGCCTTTTAGGACGTTCGTCTCGGATATCGTGCCGCACAATGACTCCTGTCCGCCAATTTTCACAAGCGTCGCTAGCCTTTTCCGAGCTCGATCCTGAAAGCCAAGTGACAATTGCCGATATTAACTCGGCATTGTTCGCTTCTTTTAAGATGGATCCGCTTCGCTTCTATATCTTGGGCGAGTCGGTCTCTTATAGTTGTTCGCCGCCAATGTACAATGCTGCCTTCGAGCTCTACGGTCTACGACACACCTTCGACCACAAGGACGTCGCCGCTTTCGAACAGCTACTAGAAACTGCCAGTGCGGCATCCTTCGGTGGCTCTGCTATCAGTTTCCCCTTCAAGGAGCAGGCATACCGTGCATGTACTGCCACGAGTCCGCATGCGTCCATCATCGGCTCAGTGAATACGATCATCCCTTTGAGAAGCGGTGTTGGCCCGGCTCTAGGAGAGCATGCCGAGAATCGCAACCGAGCTGGCCAGGTGTCTGGCCTCTATGGAGACAACAGCGACTGGTACAGCATCTTCATCAATGTGTGGAACAAGCTTTCCCCGCACAACGCTGCTCGCCTTGACAGGGCGACCGCTCTATTGCTCGGCGCCGGAGGATCTGCACGCTCGGCTCTGTACGCCTTGTTGCAACTCGGGATCGGTGAAGTTTGTGTGCTAAATCGGACACGCGAGCGAGCTGCAGATATGACCAAGCATTTCCAAGAGTGGTGCGACAGGACTAACAAGCGTCGAAGATCATCGTACTGGATCATAATCACGAGTGGGCTGGGTCTGAAGCCCCAACCGTTATCGTCAACTGCCTCCCACCAGATGTGCGGGTGGCAAATCACGAACCTTGGCAAGAGAGTGGACAGCTGCCTGTGGAATGGCTTGATCACCCGGGTGGTGGCGTTGCAGTGAGCGTCTCATACATGCCCCGGATCACGCCATTCCTGGAACAAGTCATCAGACATTCTGCATCCAGTGGCATTCCGTGGAGTATTGTTGACGGCACTGAGATTGTGTATGAACAGGCGCTGCTGCAATTTGAACAACTACTGGGCTACAGAGCTCCCAAAGCAATCATGAGACGTGCCCTTGAAGAAACTCTGCTTGTGGAGTGAATTCGAACACTAACTATGTTCCCTGCAGCATTATGGGCAAACCAGTCTGGATCGATTCTCGGATTGCGTCGCACACAACTACTGCCGACAGACCATCGTCACCAGTACACACCGGAGCTTCAGATCCTCTGACAACAGCGACGAAGTTTCGAAGCTGTTCTCCATATACCTCCTTGCCATTGATGTTGAGGCGCGAATCCATCCATTGACTCTTTCGACCTTGATCAAGGTGTGCCGGTTGCCAAAGCCTTCCATCAGGCACTGACAACGCGCCTTTGGTTCCAAACAGTCGATAGCAGTCTTGGGCTGTATACGGATACTGGTCGCTCTCACCCGTTCCGGCCTCGATGTTGAAAGGTGAAGCGGCATTGTCCAGGGCCAGAAAGGTTCCTACCACGCCACTTCCAAAACGCAGCGTCACGGCTGCGCCTTCTTCGCCCCTATATCCGCGTGTAGATGCAGCTCGTTCAGCGTGGACTCTAACAATCGGGCCCAGCAGGTACTGCAGCAAGTCCACCTCATGGATCAGATTCACGAGCAGAATATCCCCAGAGCTGTCACGGTGCCAGTGGCCTGGGCCGTCGAAGTATGCTTGCGTCTTGAGCGCCACCCAAACGCCTGAAACACCGATGCAACGACCGATCGCTCCAGAGTCAAGGGCATGCTTGGCAGCTCGAATCGATGCATGACATCGGCGGTGATGACCGACACACATGCGAGTATTGTTATGTCGGCATGTCTCCAAGAGTCTGATCCCGTCTTCGATTGTGGTTGTTATTGGTTTCTCAAGAAGGATATGAACGCCGTGTTCGGAAAGCAGCCCTGCGATGGTAGCATGTGTCTTGTTTGGCGTGCAGATTATGGCAGCATCGATGAAAAGTCCTGACCTGAGAAGTGATGTTGTGTCGTGGAAGTATGCGCAAGCAAATCGCGCTGCAAGAGCCTGTCCATTGTCTGATGGATCTACAATCGCAACGAGACGAGCTTCCTGAGAACCGTCTACCAATTCTGCGTGATGCGAACCGATGTTTCCGGCGCCAATCACGACGACTGCAATCGGCGTGTCACCGAGCGAGCCCATACTGCGTGCCTGAAGCCAGCAAGGGCGCGCTGACGCAGCGTGCAAGCCGCTATGTACCAGGTACGGGTCGGCTGCCATGAAATCCGGAACCCTGCCGGACAAGGTCATGTCCGATGCGGAGTCGCGCGACGAGCACGCGAGCTTGCATCACAAACTCATTCACTACCTTCACACAACGGATCGTTTGTCTCGGCCGGCCTGTGGACCGCGAAGATCCTTCGACGGACATCATAAATCTGATCATCGAAATGGTGATCCATCCTCAGGAGAAGCATGCTGACGAGGATCGCAACGAGAACCTCATAGAAGATGTTGTGGTGCTGATTCCGATAAAGTGCCACGCAAGAAGAATCTTGGACGCGCATTTCCTGGCTCACGCCATATCTATGGGGGAACGCTGAGCCACGACCTCCACGCCCTCGCGGCATGTTCAGGAACAATCTGTCCGTCACCGCCTTCCAGGCTCGTGTTGAACAGCTCTACACTTAGCCACCCAGTATATCCAAGCCCTACCGGTGGGGCAGCCAATATGCTTTCCAATACGATATCCACTGGCATGTAGCCGTCGCTCTCGCCCGCGAAGACTCTCATCTGCCGGGACCAGGTCATTCTTGCGGTCTGTCCCCTAACTGGTATGATCGGCGTCTTTGGCTTGCGGGCATCTGCGAACTGCACATAGTACACTTTACTGACATCAACTGTCGCCGCCATGTCCTTCAGGCTTTTGTGGAGGAGCTCAGTCGCGTTCTCTACACCCGAGCCAACGACGCCAGACTCCGTCGTAGGATCTGCCCACTCGCGGCCTGCAATATGGAATGCGTCCAGACACAAACCAAAGTTCTTTCGATCAACAACCTTGACTACATCCCAGGCTTTGCGCCATGTATCGATAAACGTGCCCCAGCATACACCCTCATACGCGAAACGCACTGGAGGATCATGCTCAGCCCCTTTATCAGCTAGAAGCTGCAGATCTTCGACAAGCCGTCCGATGTCGCCGGTGACGCCTTTCAGAAGGAAGTTGCTTGGCACTTGAATCAAATCTGTGCCAATAATCGATGCAAGCTTCATCCAGAGGTCCAATTTCTCGAGTCGCTGCTGTCGCTGCGCTGGGTCTGTCAGGCCCTCGTAGTGCATGAATGGCTGCAGGACAATGACCTTTAGGTTGTGTTTGTCGGCGAGGAGGCGGAAGTCGTGCGCTGCAGCGCAGAGATCTCTGTCGTTGGGCGATTTGTCATGGACGAGTCCATCGTCATTCGGGGAGAACGTCTTGGTGTGGTATTCGAGATCTTCGTAGAAGCACTCGATGCCTTGGAAGCCTACAGCTGCGGCTGCGGCTATTTTGTCCGACAACAAGTGTCCGGCGTACGCACGACCAAGCGATAGCGAGGCGATTGCTGGGTGAACTTTGCTTTTCATCGATGTACACGTGCCCGGATAGTCTAAATTGCAGCGTTGCCAATGATTCAGAAGAATGCGTTAGTCGATAAAGAGATCACTTCCGGAAGATGCTCGGCCTGCAGTCTGATATGCTGAGCCTGTCGTTGCTCAACCATCCATAGCATGTATGACACGACTGGAAGGAAGACTCTCCTCCAGACTCGCATCGGACATGACTTTGTCCGACAGTCTGTCCCTGTCGATAGCTCCCCATTGGACAACCTCCCATCGCAGCATCGGCATTGATGGGCTGTTGCGGCAATGGATGTGTGCCTTGATCTCGCAACTCTTCAGGCAGGACTCGCTGGGCTGGAACTTTTGTCCGAGCGGATCCATTGCATGTGCTCTAGATGATGTTCGAGTGAGAGGATGGACGATATCAAGCCTTCATCTGGAGAGTCTGGAAATGTCGACATAGAGGACTTCTTGTGATGCAAAACACCGTTGTGTTTGGCTGGCTGGTTCTCAAGGCAGAGGTCCTTCTGGCGTGAACTTTCTGAGTACTTGGAAGTTGGGCATGTCATCCAAGTGATGCTCGAGTGAGGGATGGAAGACAGCAGCTTCGACTGAGTTCTGAATCTTTCGACGCTGAGGCCGCCCTGTGGTGTCCAAAATTGAGACTATTGGCTTGCGAGAGACACACTATTAATAAAGTGCTGGCGGAGGACTCGCTAGTTCTCAATATCGCTCGGGTTTCCGCGGGTGTCTTGAATTTCTATATAAGTCATGTTTTCGGAGTTCAGTGGGTCGGTCAGCCGTACTTGCGATCCATCGAATGCAACATCCAGGTGTGTCCGAACGCGAGAGCCTGGTGGCAACCACATGGTTCGCTCGATGGTGTATGGCTGATGAAGCTCAGCCGGATACTTGAACCGGTCAAATCTGACTGGTCCGATGGGGAACGATGTAGGATCGTGCAGCACGTCCAGGACATCCATCCGAAGATGGCGAAGATGGGTCCGTGTTGGCAGACCAAAGAGAAGTACCGCAGATCGTAGGTCAGTGACAAGAAACTTCTTGCGACCATCTTCTGAGGTCTCCAGAGATATGCCTGGCAAACCGTTCGGACCATATATCTCAAGAAGCACATGCCTTGTCTCGTCTCCCTCGTCCGATGCAATGCGTCCTCGGATGTCGAAGACACTACCACGACTGCGAGATTCCTGACTGCTTGACAGCAGCACCATAGAACTGTGGTACGGGACACAGAGGACGTGTGATATGGCAGCAGCTGAGCAGACCTGATGAAGATAGATTGCTTCTTCGTTAATCGGCAACTCCCTTGCGGGGGCAGGCCACCTATCAGGTAGGTTTCTCCACGCGATTGGGCTATCGACCTTCGAGCATATGAGCTGCTCATACCGTAGCTCCGCTGTCACATCGACTCGGAAGCCGGTGCCGGCTGTATAGCGGATCAGGTTTCGCCTGCGCCCATTGGGGACCGTTCTGTCCGGAGAAAGCTGACCGCTCCAATGCATGTGGTCCGCAAGGTCTTCGATATAGCCGTTGCCTCGGTAGGATGCTACGTCTAGTTCGTCGCGCTCCTCGACCAGTCCGCGACCTGTAGAAAGCTTCATGGGAAGACAGAACAAGACCGTCCCGAAGAGCAGCTCGAGCATATCACATTCGTAGTCGACAGGGAACGTTCAACCATTGTCGCATGCTCCCAGAAACGCATAGACGAGATCATGCGGATCTTCGCACCTGGCACGGCTGAAATTGGTCAGTAGCTGCGCCAGGGGTTGCTGCGTTCCCCGATTCATGACCTTCTGGTTGGCATAGAGTTGAGGTGCAATGTCGTACGGTGCGAAAAATTCGAGCAACAACATCACAGGCCATGACAAGGACGTATTGCCAATGAAGATCCGTTTCTTTCTCGCGAGCAACATTTCCATGTAGACCCAGCGCCGGCTGAAATAAGGAGCATCGAACAGAGCTCTTGTCATGTATTCCGGGGGCTGGTCTCTACACAGCAGGCGGAGCACGCCAGCAGCGGCCCGTAGCGATGAAGGCCAATGTAGAATATAAGACGCTGCCAAGACGTGGTCGACGCGGAGACCTGAAACCCGATCGCGACCTGGATCAATGCCTAGCCAGATCACAACCCCTTTAGCTCGGCTGTAGATGTGGCCCATCATCCATACCTGGTGATTGCGCTCCGTGATATTTGATTGATCAATGCATATCGCATCTATCCATAGAGTTCGGCATGTGGTCCATCTTTTCCGGTAGACCTCAAGAAAGTCGTATAGGTTGTTTCGAATTACGAACAATTTCCCATCGAGAAGGATATGGTGCTTGGGCTGATCGGAGTCACCCCACGCGTAGGATAGAGCTTTGAAGTTCAGCGTCTCTATATTGAATGCTGGGCCAAGACTTATTGTTCGTACAGAGCATTGAATCAAGCCATCATGAGACAATCTGCGGGAGAGGTCAAGCACGCGAATCTCGCGACCACCTTTCTTGACTGGTGGGTATCTGAACTGCTGTCGTTCCGTCGTAGCGAACATGACGTCGACGGGGTGGACTTATTGGTGGTGAGATACTCGACATTAGCCAGTGACCTTGTTTGACTTCGTGCGCCTTTCAATCGAACACTCAGTGCGATCGTGAGCTACACAGGTGCATACACTGGGAGCGGGCAGAATGAACACACGAAATTGATTGAAGGTGAACGGGTCAACAAGCTCCGAGGACGCCTTGAATTTCCCAGGCTGCAGTGTGTTGAGAAGAGAAGAAATTCGACAAAGCGTCGTCACCGCCAGAGAAACAGCTAAAGCAGTTGGCAAGCGTCTCAAAGGTCCGGCACAGTAGCAGGGAACTTCGGTGGTTACACACACCTGCAGATCGGCGAATGGCAAGCTTGCTCTCGCCCCTGGAAAGAACACGCCTGTCACGCCATTTGCAGCCGTCCTGATAGTGAGTCTGCTTCGACATGCGGGGAACTCTCCACGTTGTCGAGTGTGATGACTCCGAACGACAAGGCATGACCGTCCGGTATGCGTAGGTACAACCTTGGAAGGAAGAAAGTCAAGGTCGAGAAGTAGAGGTAGGCTAACTACATCAGGCTTTATTTTTGTAAAGCCCGCTATGTCCGCCAACGCGTCCCGCGACGCGTTCTCCATCAATATGATCTGCGATTCCGATCACGATTCCGACATTGCTGCCATTGAATACCCAAGAACATTTCATAGGCCGTCATGCCTGAACGACCACAGTTTCCTCCTCGGCCGGCTCAGCCTCCAGGGCCAACTGTCCTGAATTACTCTCCGGATGGCTCCCGCCTCAACGTGGCCGGCTGCGGGAACTTTGCTCGATCATATCGGACAAATCACAATGGCGAGCCCGACATGATAGTCGACACCCATGAGGACACTCTCGCGATCGCGTCGGGTGACGACTTTGTTCTTTTGGGGTGCGAGGATGGGACTGTCACCGAGTACAAGGTTCCTAGCGGAGATCTTGAGCGCATGGTGGTCCGCTTCACGCTCCCTGTGCGTGCTTTGGCGCTGTTAAAGAACGACGAGTGGGCTGCAGCAGCAAGCGAGTAAGTATCGTGCTCGACTCATATGTCCAAGCTGACGGCGGCAGCGAGGTGGAGGTCAAGTTGATCAACAGACTGAACACCGAGCAAACAATCACGCTCAACGAACATCCGAAACCTATCAAGCACCTCTCCGTGTCTCCAGACGGCAAATACCTCGCAGCGTCGTGCACGAACGGCGTCATCTACCTTTACGATGTCTCCAGTCTCCCCGAACGGCCCACGCTGTTCAAATCGGTTGATGGTGTTGCTCGCCAATTAGAGACAACAGATGATGCCTCGAGTGAGGCTGTCTGGCACCCTGATGGAAGAGCTTTTGCCTGTGCCACATCGTCTAGAGAGATTCAGGTCGTCTCAGTCTCTGATGGCGCGTTCCAACGAACCTTCAAGGGCGCTCATGCAGGAGATGTCACCGCACTGGCATGGTCGTCAAACGGCGCTCTTCTAGCAAGTGCTGCTACTGACGACTATCTTGTGATCTGGGACACAAAATCGCAGAGTCTTCTGCGGAAGCACAACTACGAGAAGATCTTACAGCTTGCATTTCACCCAGGCACCGAAAACATCCTCAATTGGACAAACAGCTGGGGCGAGTGCAGTATTCAGCCCAATTTCTTCCAGGATGCGCACCTGTCCCTGCTGAAAGGGCCCAAAGTTAGAGCGCCATTTTTCCACGATCCACTTGACGACAAGCCGGTAACGAATGGCGTCAATGGCCACGCACACAAGCGACGAGCAGCCACCCCAGACTCACTCGATGAACTGCTTGGCGAAGATCCCGCAGACACAGGTGCGGACCTGGACGATTGGATCGAAGACGACGACAATGCTGGATACACAAACGGAGTGAATGGCAATGGGAAGAGGACGAATGGACACGCTCATCTCGACTTTCCTCCCACGAAACGCACACATTACTCCTCCTTTGCTCCAGAAGTCCACCCTCCTTTTCAACCCTCACAAACACCATGGCGAGGCAACCGGCGCTATCTGACACTCAATCTTTTGGGCTTCGTCTGGTCCGTCGACCACGACACCCACCGAACAGTCACAGTCGAGTTTTTCGATCGCGAAGAATACCGCGATCTTCACTTCACAGACTACTTCGGCTACGACAAAGCTTGCTTGACCGAACACGGCTCACTCTATGCCTCAGCTGCGAAAGATGGCAACGGTGGCATCATCTTCTACCGACCTCACGAAACATGGGTCACACGATCTGATGGCGGCAATGGAAGCCGCCTGCAACTACCTAACGGCGAAGAAGCCACCAGCATTGCTCTGGGAAAACGCTACATTGTTGCAACCACAAATTTTGGCTACGTTCGCGTTTGGACTCTCTTCGGCACGCCGGTGCGTGTCTGGCGGATCAAGAATGGCCCAGCAGTGACGTGTGCTGCATGGGGCGACTTCGTCTTGACCGTCGGCAATGGCCCAGTCGGCAGCGATGGACGAAGCAAGCTGGTGTACAGCATCGAGGACTTGCGCAATGACGAGACGTTGCAGTGTGAGGATTTTGTGGCTCTTTCCGACTCAGAAGATGCCGACGAGTGGGGTCTCCAATCACTTTTCTGGTCCGACGAGGGTGACCCATGCATCTACGATAAGGCTGGCGTCCTGCTCACGCTTCTACATTGGCGCACACCCAATCAGGCCAAATGGACGCCCTTACTAGATACAAACCGGCTCGAACGACTACGCGACGGCCGGAAGGAGGAGCGATACTGGCCTGTAGCCGTCGCAGGTGAACGCTTTCACTGCGTCATCCTCAAGGGCGGCGAGACGAGCCCGTACTTCCCTCGACCACTTTTGACAGAATTCGAGTTCGAGATCCCAGTAGGACGGATAGTAGAAGACGAGTCCGGTGCAATGGACGAAGACGGCGAGCCAACAAGTGAGTCGAATGCAAAGGCAGGCGCAAGACTCGAAGAATCATTCGTTCGGCACACATTGCTTCTGGAAATGCTGCGGGATTCCGTGGACGCACAGGGCGAGCACGCAAGCTATACACTGAAGACCGAGTTGGCAAGGAGAGAGATCGAGGTCGATAAGGTGCTTCTGCAGCTGCTGGCTGTGGAATGCAGAGAAGGCGAGGATAGAGGCATGAAGGCGCTTGAAGTCGTGAAGCTGATGCGCGACCGTACTGGACGTATGCTCGAGGCTGCTGGGAAGGTCGCGCAGAGGTGGGGCTTTGGTGTGCTAGAGGAGAAAGTGAGGGAGGTGGCGGAGAAACGAGTCGGAGGTGTAGAAGAACTATAATGACACACGGTACGCCGTGATGCAAAGTAGAACATCGACCTTACACGATCATCTGCAGTTTTCGTGTTCGGGACAGATGTACTGCTAAAGCATTTATATTCAGCACATTGTAAGCGCGGTCGCCTGAGCTTGAAGAAGGCACCGGTAGGTCCAAATGTGGAGACTGGCGGCTCCTGCCTGATCAAACATCACCTGCAAGAAATTGAAATTCCGGGTTCATTATGGAAGGACAAAGATGTGGCCCGCCGTCTCCCACACTTCTATCAGATCTTTGCACTACTCGGGCAATCCTGCAAGCTCGAATCGACTCGCATCTGCCATGTCCCAGCGTGGCATCAAGGCCGTCAAGTTTTTGACTCTTACCGAGTTGACAGTCGTCTATATCGTGCCGCTCGCGACCTTCACTAACGAGAGTCTCAACGAGCGAGTTCTGTGGGTAGGTAGCCGCGAACGATCAGTCGTTCCCCATCTGTTCCTTGTCCGCTTGTGACGACATCCGATTTCGATTACAGGTGTCGTTCTAACCCCTGTTCATGGTCGAACCTCGCGAGCGGAGGATCCTCCGCAATTGGCCGTCGCACCGGCTAGTGTCAAGATGTCCACGCAATCACAAGTATGTCTAAGACTCAGGCATCGCTCGAAGCCTGCCTGCTAGTTCGGTGCAGTGTACAAAAGAAGTTCCGATGGCTGTTCGCCCAAAATCCAGGATGTTCTACCTAACAGCATCCCACCGATATGGCGGAGTCGCGTCCGCCGTCATACGCGCCCGAGGATCACGATCAAGTACCATACGCGATCATGAACTGGTACCTCAATCGCAACCTCAGCCGTTCATCCCACAGCAAATAGTTGCAACTAGGACGCGTCGTCGATCCCCAGCAGCCATCATCGTAGAGACGTTACAGCTGCTGTCAGCCACTGCGCTGATCGTAGTCTGTGCTACCCTGCTCTACTACAGCAGTGCCCTTTTGGCCTATCACTACAGCATGATTCGGAGCCATATGACGGTCAAAGCCTCAGCATCACTACTATCTCCAGCAATGCGACCTTCAATGTCAGCGACCCTGACTTCGATACACGTCACTACGGCAACGTCACATACAAGCTCACACCTTACCAGGGCGTCTTAACATACGACATTCAGCTCAGCGTCATCACGGGAGCTGTCGGGCTTCCCTGCTGGGTCATCGTCTTACTTTTACTGGTCCTGCGAGGCGACTTAGGTATACGAGCCGGAGGCGCCCTCGCTGCCTGCCTGCCCTTCATAGCAAAAGCACACTGGCCTCGCAGACGTGCAAAGCAGCCCGAAAGGCAGCGCGGGAACCACCAAAATAATTCACTGCCAGTTACTACGACGACGAGGCCGCAGCTTCCGGACTACCTGGCGGCAGACCCAGCACCACAGCCCATGCCAACAACTCTATCGCCCGTATCCCTCCACATTCTGCAGTGGCTATACACTCTCACCTCCCTACTTACCTTTGGACTTGCGCTCTCGGCATACCTGGAGAACTTCTTCCCCTCGGGCTACCTCGACAATGGCTATCCGGCCTCAGATGCGGTAAGCGACACGAAAGCACACGTTTCGCTCACCAGGTGGGTGTGCTTTCTCGAATCAGAGATCTTCATTGCCGATCGTGAAGTTGCGTCAAAACAGCCCGGACCTTCCTTCGGAAACAAGCAATACACTGTGTTCTCCCCAGTGAACGATCGCGATCGGGAGTATGTGCTCGCGCACGATGTGAAGATGGCATGTCAAGCAGCAACAGTCATGACGGTAGCGAACATTCTGCTCATGAGTATGAGTAGTGGACAGATGTTGTTGAGCGGATGCGGTTGTGGCTGTTGGCCGGGGACTGTTGCTTGCTGCTGACGTTGCGGGTCAGTCAAAAGGGTCTCATGAGTCATTTGCATGGCGTTGTCCAGTTCTTTTTCGTGGTGATGGCGGCCATGCCTGATGACAAGCTGCTGAGCGATGTCTATGGCCTATACGTGTCCGCTTTGGCCTGCTCGCTGGGATGAAGCAATATCACCGAGTCTGTCTGCCATCTACGCGAACAAAGACGATTGGTCGACCGCAAGCACCACTGCATATCCTCTGTGTTCAGGAGGCCATGTGATGGCTATCTCTTCAACTGGCCAATCTTGGTAGGGGGCGGAAAAGGTTCTTTTGCACCCAAGCCGAAAGTCGCTGCGGGCCGCAAATGAGGTCGGCCGATTTTCCACCAATGACAGCCGCCTACGTTGTTTCATGCGATATAAAGAGCTCGCGCTTCCAAAGTTCCTCTCCACAAGCATGTCGACGACCGTCCTCTGACCGTCAATGATTGTCGTGCGGATCATGTCGACGACAGTGACCTGTGACCGACCGCTGAATCTTTCGTTCGAGACCATCAATCCGGAATATAAGAACAAGCTGTGCGGGCGTCACTCGCGATGTCCTTCCAGTCAGGCAGCACTGGGCTCACTACTCTTAAGATCTTGCCAACCTGACCATGAACGACTACATCAGTCCGATCTCGAAGGCGCTTTTCACTCTTACCATTGTCGACCAGGATGAAAGTGCTCCGGCAGACGAAACAGATACACCAAAACCTCGAACGAACCCGTATGCACTGATCAGACACACCGAGCTATCAGCTAAGGACCCGCAACTACAACTGAAAGGCAAAGGTAAGGAAAAATGTAATGAGGATTCCGCAGAGCCCTCCTCCTCACCGCTAGGCCCTGGCCGATTCCGACTCCTCAAGTTTCGACTTGATGGTGACAAGCTCTCTTGCACGACCTCGTCCAAAGATCTGAACGAAGCACCGGCCTACATTGCACTCTCATACTCTGGGGGTTTCGTCGATGTCTCTCACTCAATCGAAGTGGACGGCAAAGACTTTCTGGTGTCTGCTGCCGTCCATACCGCTCTGCAAGTCTCCGCAAGCAATTCGTCTTTGAGGTTTGCGATGGTAATGTCTGGATCGATGCCGTGGCCATCAACCAGAAAGATATCGTCGGGAAGACACAGCAGGTTCAATTGATGTCAGCTATCTATCAAAAAGCGACCTTCGTCGTCGGATGGCTAGGAGAGCTGACCGAGGGCAACCGCCGAGGCTTGCAACTCATCAAACGCGTCATGGAAACGATCGGAATCCGAGAAATCTACGACGCCAGCATGAATAACATGCGCAGCCGACCCAGTGTCGCAGAGACATTCACCATCGCCGAACAACACAATCTGCCATACATTGGCCATCCTGCCTGGGAAGATGTCGTCACGATCTACCAGAAAGGCTGGTTCGGCCGCGTCTGGGTCATACAGGAGTTTCTCTTCGCCAAAAAGTTCACATTCCTCTGCGGCGACGTGATGATCGAGGACGATCTCGTCCACTTCGCAGCAAGTCTCGGACAGCTCCCCTTCCTCGAGCAAGCCGTGTCTGAAGCGCGTGGGAGTAGTCTAGGCCTCCACTTCGCGAGGTCGCTCGCCACATGGAGAGAGGATTGGGGGAAAGGCGTCAGGCAGAACATGTTTTCCTGCCTGCTCAAAACCTTGTTTGCCGCAGCTACAGATTCTCGCGACAAAGTTTTTGCTCTCGTCTCACTCTGCAACGATATTGGCCCCGAGATCATCGACTACAAGCAGTCTGCCGAGAATGTCATGCTTGCATTCGCCTTGCACCATTTTCGAGCCCATGCTCCCAACATCGAAGCCTTTCTTTCGCTGCCACAGACATTTAATCCAATTGAAGGCAAACCTAGCTGGGTGACAGCCTGGATTGGAGGGAAACCCAGCGGCAGCTTTGCACTCGGACTTGGAAAACACTCTGGTCTCAATCAAAGCATTATACCGTCTTCGCGCACGAAGATGGGTATCGCAGTGACCGCAGGTCGGTATGCGTTCTTCGTCGACAGCTCGAAGTTTGACACCATCGCTGTTATTGTTGATCCGCAACTACCAGTCAATGACATTCCATCGATCGAAGGCATGACGCGCGGTTTCCACAACGACGAGTATGCAGCGTGGTTCAAGAAATGGTGGACCCATGAGTTGAAGAGACTGGAGTTTAATTGCGAGCTCGCCGATTTGACTGAAGGTCTTGGTACTTATCCAACCGGAGAAGAGATCGAAGACGTGTACTGGCGATGCAAAGAAATGCCAGCTGACTCTCCAATAACTTCCTCGGAGGCCGGGCGACGGCGCGACCTGTTCCGCGGCCAAACTTAAGTGGGATGCTGCCAGAATACTGTCGCTGGGCACTCAGATCCACGACGACTACAATCAATCCGGCATGACCCTGGAAATGTTGCGCGTGGGAGAGGAGTACGAGCGGAAACTTAGAGACTACCAGTTGTGCATGGCCACCGTACAAAACGATATATCTGTCGGTGGCATCCCGCCGTCACGCCTGTACGCCATCACTGAGAACGGCTATGTTGCATGGGTGCCTCCCGAGACTGCGATTGGCGATGAGCTGCACATGATCCATGGAGCGCGGGTCCCTTATATTCTTAGGAGACTCGAAGAACATGAGTCCGCACATGCGGTGTCCCTTGTTGGGGATGCCTATGTGCATGGCCTGATGATGGGGACTCGTATCTATGAGAGCGGCTTGCTGGAACCTAGGACTACGATTGACATATTGTAGCTTGAAGTATTCTCAGCTTCGTTCATGCTGCGGTCCTGCGTCAACGTCCCGTCACCAGCTCGCTGGGCGAGACTTGTACAGGCCAGAGCATTCCATGACCCTACAGGCTTGTCGGGACGCGGCCTTTCTCTCGACATATGGACCTGAGCCTTGGAGCAAGTTCACCATTCTTTTGGCGCCTGACACGGGTGTCGTAGCAATGTTGCACCGCTCACGATGCGAGAAGTTGAGCAACCGGAGCCCGTCGCAACGTCCCTTCGCCATCTCATGGCACAGACCCCATCATCAATCCGAACGCCCCTGACAATAATCCACGCTACCGTCTGCTGGCTCTCCACCGGCGCAACGCCATCAATTTGGACATTTGCAGACATCACAGTATTTCCACAAGCAACCTCTCTCACAGAAATAACAGCAGAAGAAGCCCTCACAGGCGTCGTCTCCGCCTCGTAGCTGCGGATTGGGTTCTCGGCCGTGATTCATGGCATTGATCTCGGCGAACTCCATGGATTGCTGCCGTGTAGGTTGCTTGAACTCGCCGTCAGTCCTTCGTTCTGGGTAGGGCTTTCCCCAGTGTGTAGCCTACCTGGGTGACAAGATCAGCGAGCTGTGCGAGCTTGCCAGACGCGTCGACGGCATCATTGATCGTTTGTCGGCTACTCATACTCGTCATTGTTGACAGGCGCGTGGGAATCACAGAGGAAGTCGCAGGACGAGGCTCGTCCTCCGTTCGCGAAGGAGAGCCTCCGCGCTCTAATAGATACAGATCGCCATTGAAGCGTCTGCATTGAGGTTTACGAGTGTGATTGCACTACTGGCTGACGAAAGACCTGTGAAAGAACTGCCCCTCGTCTAATTACAGCCAATGGCAGAGGCGCGAAATACGAGCGTTCTGAAACCCATTGCCTTTCTGAGCCATGTGCGCTTGGATGAGAGCGCCACTATTTTACGCCTCGAAATTGACTACCCAGTCCCGTTTCTAGGACCGGACCAAGTCCTGGTGAAGATTCACGTCGCCGGCCTCAACCATCACTACTCGTGCAAACCCTCGTGCCCGCAGTCCTCTCTCGCGACATGATCGACGTCGTCACCCTAGTCCTCACGCTGAGTTTGATCAAGATGGTGGCACGATCTTGTCCTAGCTTTCTGTTGGTCTGTTAGAAGCACCCGGAATGTCTCAATGGCGAAAAAGCTTTGCCACTCAGGAGATTTGAAGGCCACATTGACAGCGCGGCTTGCCGCCACAGCATTACCGATCCCCAGCTGGTCTTAACTGAAGTTCTGAAATGCCCTGGGGTTGTGGCTCACAGAGACTCCAGAACAGCAGATCAGGAGTGCATGATTCCCTGATTGTTCCAGCCACTTTTTCCATCAAATCTCGCTGTGGAAGGCGCGAACCCTATGCGAGGCAACTTGCTTCACTGGATACGTCGCGGCTGGCGCGCGGGAGTCCTTACGGCCGCATACTTATCCCTGATTGGCGCGTCTAGGCGTGCGTTGGCTCTGTCGTGGAAGAAACCTCAGAGAAGGGACGTGATGAGGACGAGGCAACAGGAACCACCTCAAACCTTGGCGAAAGGCAGCCAGCCAGCCATTTCGCTTGGCTGGGCCGCTTGAGGCAGGCTTCGCGAAGGGCAGTGCCATCGCCTACGGCCTGATGAGACAGCAAGTACTAACTGCGACTATACTGCATCAACAGACGTGATTCTATGCGAGATCTTATTGTCACTACCCGAAAGCTTCATCAGTATACGGGATACGCGACACTTGAATCACGTGATACCACCCCTCCAGAAATCCGCAAGGCGCAGCGGTCTCTGATGAGGTCAGTTTCGCGACCAATTATCATTCTTTGGTGTTCTTGCTTTCTGCTCCCTCCTCCCGATCCAGCTCCCCATTGCTTTGGTACATCATCGCGAGCATCGATCAAGCTCGCAACATGGACCTCGTGGCGGCAGTGCTCGAGTCTATTCCCCGCGTTTCGCGACAGAGTCACGTCCGTATCCTGTACAGCTTCAATAACATACCTTTGAGGCTTGAGATGTACAAGCGGTGGCGTGCAACGCAACGAGACGTTACATTCTTGCAATTGAGGTAGGTGAGATGCGGTGTCGTTAAAGGTAAGAGCCTTAGAAGTGAGTACCTATAAAGATGTGCTTGATTCTCGACGGCTTCAGGCTTTCTCACTCATCAACAGCAACAACAGCAAGAAGCACTCCACGCTCAACTATCTACAAATCAACAACTTCGATACATCCCAAAACACAGTCAACGCCATTTCTCAGCAATCATGCACCAACAAGCTCTCCTCGCTTTCCTGAGCGCTACACCCCTTTTCGCGGCCCCAGTTCCCCAGGACGCCAAAGCTCTCGACCACCCTACCTTCACAATTACCAGCATTGATACGACCGCGATCAAAGCACGCGGCGCCGTCGGCAATACCCTCGAGTACCCACCATTCAAGGTCGCCTCTGATGACAGCGACTTTGTCAGGCGTGGCGGCATCAAGCTCAGCTCCGCTCCCATCTACAGCCCCGTGCCTGACTCCTTCGTCAAGCGCCAAGAGGGCGAAGCAGAGGCTGCCTCGGCTTCATGGGACCCATACTGCATCCCAGGCGGCTCCAACTGCGGCCTGATCGTCGACGACGCAACTGCCGTGAAGCGAAGCGAGCCACCTGTCGTGCTTCCCAAGGGCGTTAAGGTCGCCGATGCTACCTATGTGAAGCGGCAAGAAGCTGATGCGACTGCTATGGAGGCAGCATTGGATCCATACTGCAGGCCTGATGGCACGAACTGCGGTCTTGATGTCAAGGCGACAGGTGCTGACGCTACTGCGATCACGGCTCGCCAGGAGGCTACCATTCAAGGTGATCGACCCAACTTTGCTGCTCTGGGCGATGATGCCCGTATGGACTCCGCTGCCATCAAGCTCGTCAGGAGCGACTGCCATGGGCGTTCCACCAGAGGTTCACGTGGTCAACGATGATGCGCACATGGACGCCACTGCTATCAAGGCGCGTCAGGGGATTACCGCTGAAGATGGTCGTCCGACTTTCGCGGCTCTGGGCGATGATGCCATTTAAAGAGCCATATTCTTTCTGAGAAGCTGCTTGTCGTCGACATTGGCTTCAGGGTATACGATGGATCACTTTTCGATTTATGTCTGGCGTTGTTGTTTGCTTTAACAATACATGGTTGTCAGGGTTGACATATCTGACACGGGGTCACGATCACTGCTTGCCTGGGCTATCAAGGCAGTTTCCCAATCAGGCAAGCCTGCCAATCTTTCGCCGACTAATTAGCCGCCGCCATTGCCTGTAGATAGTTCTCCTCCTCATTTCTAACAGTTTGATCATATCGAGACAGCTGCTCTCGCAGCCCTCTCGCATTATTCTAGCTCACGCAATTCGGGCTTCATGTGTGACATGCGTTCCTGCGTAACGCAACACAAATCAGGTCCCGCTGCAGCCGGTCGGACAAAGCTTTGCTTGCGGACATACTGCGTGATGCACCCTGGTCTTGCCCAAAATGGGCTATAGGTGTATGCAGGATTGTTATAGAGAGCACATTTGTAATCCATCATACCTCATCAAGTAGGTACGAGCATTATCTAATCGAACATCACAGTCGGTACGATTGATACTTACCCACCTATGTACGTGTCCCACCACCAGCGTTAAGGGTTGCCTTTTCGAGACGCTCAATAATTGTATATTAATGCTAAGCACTACGGCGTCAACCACGGAAGCCCAAGCCAGACACAACCACCACCATGCCTCCCAGCAACCAAAAAGCCCTCGTCCTACACGAAATCGGCACACCTCTACGCCTCGAGACGAACCGGCCAGTCCCCTCCCCAGACCAGGACCAAGTCCTAGTCAAAGTCCACGTCGCCGGCCTGAACCCTCACGACCAAAAGTCGCGCGACCTAGGCCTATTCGTGCAGAATCTCCTGCCCGCGGTTCTCTCCAACGACGTCGTGGGCGTCGTCGTCGAAGCTGGCTCTTCCGTGTCCGACTTCAAACTCGGCGACCGCATTGTAGGTCAGGCAAACTGGGTCAAAGAGTCTCCTCAAAGCGGACTGCAGGAGTACGCGGTGTTGGATGCCGAGCATGCGAGCCATATCCCGGATAGCGTAAGTAATGACGAGGCGGCGACCTTGCCGACAAATACCCTTGCACCGGTTGTTGCGCTGTTCGAGCCCAGCAAGCTTGGATTCGTGGCGCCCTGGGCGGCTGAGGGTGACTATAATCGGGACACGATTCTGGTGATTGGTGGGGCCAGTGCTTGCGGGAAATTCGCGACGCAGTTTACGAAGCTGGCCGGGATCGGGCGCATCGTTGTGCTGGGTGGTGATGAGGCAGAGCTCAAGGGCTTTGGGGCAACGAAGGTGCTCAGTCGCTTTGGCGAAGCGGAGGAGGTACGGGCTCGGATCCAGGCGGCCGTCGGGGACGATTTGAGGTTTGTGCTCGACTGCGTCAACGCACCCGAGCAGCAGCATATTGGAATCAATGCTCTTTCTTTGACGAGCGGCGGCAAGCTTGCTCGGCTGCGGCGGACTGGCACGATACAGACTGAGCTGGTTCGAGAAGGGGCAAAGTATGAGCTTGTCGACATCTTCGGGTCGTCGTTCGAGTACCCTGATCTCTGCAAGCCGTTTTGGAAGGCTCTGCCTGAGTATCTTGTCGCGCGGAAGATCAGGCCATTAGCTTCCAGAGTCATTGATGGGCTGGATTCCGAGGCAGTCAACAAGGCGCTGGACGATTATCGTGATGGTCGGAAGGTGCTAAAGGCGAATGTCCATGTTAGCTAGACTCATGTATCCATCTGCTTTATGTTGGCTTTTGAGGAGTCACGGCTTGCGAGATCTGTGCCTTGACTGCTCTCCAGAAGCCTCTAATCTCCATCCACTGAGAGTGGTCCCCATTCCTCTCAGGTACGTACGTTCAGAGTCATGTCTCATGGTGGTCAGTTAATAGCAGTGACTTGCGAACCCTCGAGTTCGCTTGGTCTGGCTGGACCATCTGTGAACTTATTCGAGCCCGGGGCACTACCTTGGAGCTCTGAAGTGTGGACCTGCCGCACCGCCTTCTCATGTATCTGCTCCCCGGCAAGTTCTTGGCCTCGTTCATGCATGGTCGCTCGATCATGCCTAATTGATCGCCTTTTCCGCCGGACCCACCAGTAGAGTGCGCCCGCGCAAAGGGACACGACCAGCAAGGTACCAATGACAATTCCAGCTATAGCACCAGGACTTAAGCCACGGTCTGATTCGGACTGCGATGAAGTCGAAGAAGCTGTCGTACCTACTGCGCTCGCGGCAGCTCGTGAAGCAGACTCTGAGGAGAGTACCGAGGTATGCTGAGTGCCGTCCGTGATTGACACCGCGCCGGTCGAGACTATCGTCGTGAGCCGTCCATCCCCGTCGACAGTGGCGATGTCATTGAGAGAAACGGATGTGAAGCTCGCGGTATCAGCAGAGAGCACAGATTCCAGAGACTTATAGATGCTGCTAGTCAGCACAGATTCAGAGTTAGTGACGCTGGCGAGTTCGCTCGCGATGGACGAGTCCACGGACGAGATGATGCTGTTGGCGATCGAGTTCGCCTCATCTGACATGCTGAATAATGCCTGTTACTGGCTGGCTTTCCCACGTCGTAGAGGGATAAGAGGGGCATGCAGATGCTGCAGCGCTCACCGTTAGAATAGCAGCATTGAGGAGGCGGCATATGTAAATGGTCAAGCTAAGCTTGCTCTTCGAGACATATAGTTTGGGCTCACAGGGTCCATGTCATCAGTGGTTACTGTAAGTCTGTGACTCCTCTAGCTTGCCATAGCTTCACAATACTTTCTATGCACCGCGTTGTTGCGTTTTCCAAGGCGGCGTCCGATCTCGCTAGAAGATTAAGTTAATGGTGCCTTAGCGGGACTCGGAACCGGCGGCATGGTTCTGTCGATCTCGCTGTCTTCAGAACACCATGACCTAGGTAGTATCTCAGAACTCTCTACGAGTTTATTACGTACCCAGGCTCGATTCTCACAGCCGACCACTAGAGATATTGTGTTTCTTTAGCGCATGGGGCAGGAATCCTGCCGTAAGTCTCTTTAGAGGTTACTTTAGAAGGCTTGAAGACCCGGATGTGAGGCGTCTCGAGCGTGAAAACGTAGCCAGGCTGTAATCAAATGTACTGGGCGCTTTCCCTACAGCGCCCTCCCTGACTCGGAGACTTATGTTGAGCAGCATCTGTGGCTCGAGAATGGGAGGTGATCGACCTGGAGGGAACGCCCAAACCCTGGAATTCCAACTCGGTGATCCGAGAGCGGCGCCGTGGCGTCAGCTACCGACGTTACTGCTGCTGCCGTTGTCACTGTGCCGACAGACGATTGCGCTGTTGGTTGAGGCCCGTTGAAGGACTGTTGGCTGTCAACTCTGGCTGGATCAATTTATATTCTCAAATTCCGTGCCCCATTAGAACGTGAGTATCCGTCTGATCAGATGCAGCTGTGTGTCGTCAACTGATGCTTCAGGGTTGGCTACCCTGGCAGCATGATCTGGTATCACAGGCACAGTCCTTCCACTGCGAAGGCGTCGCATCTGGCTCATTGGAGCCTGCTGCAGCTGCGGGGGTCTCTGAGGTTACATTCTCTCCGAGCTCGACCCTCGTTCCTCCGCCAAAGGCAGTGCTCCTTCGCCATGGACACTCTCGCGAGCATTAAGAAGCAAGGATATAGATTCACCCTGGCTTCCATTCCTTTTGGTAGCAGCGAGCATTCTCCATTGTGCGACAACCTTTTGCAGCACTGTCTTTTCTTGCATTTGCCGCCGCTCGCCGTCGTAATCTTTGAACGGCCGACTGGGTGTCATGACGGCGCTTTTGATCCTCACCCAGCCGTTCTGCTTTATTGCAGTTTCGGCAGGAGCAACGCAGTTGCCAGACAGTCTAGCTTTTCGAAGTTTGCGCATCTTACGCCTATAATTGCCGCCATGTTGCAGTGGGCCGTGGTAGAAATCCCACAATGCAGTGAAGAGCACGGCGACACCAGCAGTAAGGGGTACGATCTGACCCGCGGTGAGAATCGTGTAGACGTCCCATACATGGTTCCAGGCTAGTGTTAACTCGATGCCAGTCACCGCAAGGATGAACGCGATCAGGCAGACTGAGATTGATATTCTGCCACTATTGTCAGCAGGCTCTCTGGAAGGCTCGTGCGGGCAAGGTTTGAAAGGTACTGCTGGGGGCCGATATCACACTTACAACTTGACGGCTATACCGTATCCATACTGGTCTTGAAGCATCTTCTCTTCGATGCTCTTCGGTGTACCCATTTCGCATAGGCGATTGGGTCCAGTCTTCCATTCAGGACACAAACCCTCAGCTTGGTCTTGCAAACATTTGCGCCACGCTGACTGCGACCAATTGTCCTTCCACGGAAGACACAAAATTGCCCAGTCAACAACTCTCTTCGGCCAGAAGCGATTATCAGCGGAGAGAGCTAGCCGTCGAAGTGCAGATGCCACCACGATGCAACAGACCGCAATCCAGAGACTGGGAGGCTCGACTCTCAATTCCAACATCTTCGTGATCGCCAGACCCACCGCCTTCTCGAAGGTCCAGACGACTAGTAGGACACAGAAGGAAGCCAGGAAAATGCCCGCACCTGATATTTGTTCATCGCGAGCGTGTATGAAGATGAATAGGGACGTGCCTCCTGGGGTTCGCGAGAAGTCAACATCGTCGCCCACACTTGCGAATCGGATCTAGAACCAGAGAGCTACCGCAGACACGATGCACACAAGAAGGATGACGACGAAGTCTTGTGCTCCTAGTTTCTTTGCAATTCGACGGCCGATAAGTCCTGCGACCAGATCAGGACCAAGAACAGCAGCTATGCCTCCGAAGAGGAAGTAAAGGATGACAAGGCATTCCATGGTGAAGACGCAATCATGGTTGAAGATGAGAAAAAAGAATGCACCCAACGTGGCGATCTCGAAACCGATGAAGCTGCCGTGAGTCGTGTTTGCTCGAAGTCCAGGAATGTAGTTGCAATCAGCGACGCAAGCCATTGTGAGTAGATGCCAACACGTGTTCCCATGCCGTACAGGTCTTTGTCGCCATAGAAGCCGTGCTCTGGGTCTGCTGGCTTACGTGGATCGTTCTCCGGAAAGCTTTTTCGTCCTCGACATCGCGCTGCTCCTGAGTGGTCGAATTGACCGTACTGAAGGCAAGACCAGATGAAGATTGCAATGAGAGATAGGCAGATGATGCCGCTGGTGATGGCTCGGTATAAATGTTTCATTTCAGTACTTGCGACAGCTCAAGTGGTTGCGACACAAGCTACTGCGAAGTATTTGTTGATAGTACATGATGCTAGTCATGTGTTCGGAAAGCGAGACTTGCTTAAATGTACAAGAAGTTCGGTTCGTTAAGTGAACATTCAACGCAGCCTGCTGTGTAAGGCTGGACATCGGCCCCCAAACTAGTGATGGAAATAGCAGAACAAGCATCTGCTGCGCAATGCAGATGATTCATAGCTCGTCTTCGTCTTCCTCGCGGCTACCATGCGCAGGCGAGACGATGAGGCGCGACACGGATGGGATAGCTTACCTGGGTTGGGATGCAGCTGATCGAATTGGGTAGACATTGACAGACCCGAAGCACAACGCAGGAGCAGCGGAGGACCGCATGAAAAAGAGCGCTGATAGAAATTCGGCCATCTTAAACGACTGCTCCTTGCAACGTAGCATGCAGCCTCACATACACAGCCAGCTTGAGCGATAAATTGGCTGACACTGTGATCAATTGAAGGCAGGTCGAGAGAAGAAAGAGAAACACGCAATGGCCAAATCGGCGGGGGAAAGAGCGTGTTGCGCTCCAGTTGCCGCCGGGCGGAGCCGGTGAGGGACGGCTCGGCAAGGCGTCCAGGGGACTTTGGGTGACAAAGGTCCTGGCTAAGTACGTACTGTAGGTATGCAGTCGCATTTTGATATGCTCTTAACACACATTCTCTCTTAGATTGTTGCCTATCTGCGTTTGTCATGTCTCATAGTATCAAGCCCGGACAGCCATTCCCAGTCCTTGGACTCTATCTTTTGCACGTCCTGTGGTACCCATGCGCTCAAAGATTCCACCTACACCGATGGGCACAGACCCGCCAACAGGTCCTCCAACAGGCAAGGGCAACGGCGATCCTAATTGCCCATCCAAGCTACTCCGTACACTGCTCTGCCCATTTGCGGTCCCCGGCTCCCCATACGTATAGTACACGTCTCTGTCAAGCCTTGCTGCCGAAACACTAGGCCTTCCAGTTGTCTGCGCCGGAGTGACGACCGAGAAGATGGCTACGTGGCTTTCCGAGTCACCAGTTCCAAGAGCTACGTTGTCGGTCGATTTGTTGAATTTGGCAATGTTCCCCTTTGTAATTGGTGCAAGGCGTAAGTTTAGGACTTGTGCTGCAGCTTTTGATCGAGAAGTGGCGCGCTTGCGGGTAGTGGGCTGCTCCCTGGATGTTGCCGAGAGTATTCGCGTAGTCTGTGACTGTGATTTGTCCTCTGATTCGTCCTTTGCTTTCGACTTGGATATCTTCTTATCCTTCTTCTCCGGCTGCTGCACAGGGCGTCCATGGCTTTCTGACTTTTGTAATACTTCCCGGTCAGAATAACCCGACTTCAGCTCTTCGGGCCGATCCCATGCCGCCATAGCGACTGTCCGGGGCGCCGGTGCTGATGGGTCGAAACCATCTTGCTCTGAGACGAATGGCGAGGACATCTGCTGAGGATTGGGGCTGGCACTGGCGGACTTCTTGTGGGTTCGTGATGTACCTGGACGGGATATTGTGTTGCTAATCGACTGCAGCACGCGATGTCTCTTCGTTCCGTTGCTGTTTCCGTTGCTTGTGAGCGTTCTGAGGGAGGATAGAGTCGTGCTCCGCTTGTGTTTGAGCGGCTTCTCGTTCTCCTTTCCCATTGCCGGAGATGTGATTTTCGTCGTAGTCTTCGACCCGTTTGCCCATGGCTTGCCCACAGTCCTGTATCGATCCCTCTCGGTCATGCCTGCTGCTAGTGGCCATTTCTGTGACGGGTCTTTGTCGATGCCCAGCACTATTCGTAAGCGCGCCGCTTCCGTGTGGTCTCGGGTGTTCCGCATTCGATGACACCAGGTGACGCGCCAGTCATCCGCCCAGCAATCTCCTCCCCAGCCAACACTGCCCTCGCGCCGCACGAATAGAAACTCCCCACCGTTCTGGTCCATATTTCCCGCCTTTCGGACGTCACCTTTCGGTAGCCGCTTCAGGCCCTGCACAATCGATTGCAGACTGCTAACAAATATGCCTGTGTGGATGTAGTCCGGTGCATAGTCGCCCATTTTGAGGGTGCGCTGCATATTGAGTTTGGGATACAATTGCGCCGATGGGTCGGTGTAGATTGGGTAGGGACAATGTGTCAACTCGAGGTAGGATGGGAGCAATGTTGGCGCGCCACAGCCGATGATGGCAAGGGCAGTGTCAGCGGGTAGGCTGGACGGCGGCATGACCTCGTTCAGCTTGACGAGGTACTGCTGGCAATTGCCGCAAAAGAAGTTCCGGATGAAGATGAGGAGCATTCGGGTCTTGCGAAGACATGTCGGCGAGAACAGTGACGAGAGTGGGAGTGAGGCGCCAGAGGAGTCATAGAGCGGATAATTGGCGAGGCGACGTAGGGAATTTTGCGACGGTGGCTCGTCGGGTTGAAATATATGTACCTCATCTGAACTGGGACGGCCGAATTCGGGCAAGGCTGTGGGTGTGCCGGGAAGAGGCAATAGCAGATTCTGGTTCGTAGAGGGCCGCATTGTGTCAAGATTGAAAGAAGGATATCGGCGCTTGCGCGGCGATGTAATAATTCAATAAACACTCATATCGCGTCTGAGGTGGAAGTCGGGCTCTGGATCCGGATTCGTGGTCCCAATGATGCGCTGTTGCCCAGATCGTGTGCTATCGTCAGGTCCGACCTGTGTGAGAGAATGAATGTGTCCCGTGAGTGTTGCTGAGGTCGAGAAGATTAACCTGCGACAACATCATCGTGTAGAGTGTCGCTGCCGCGATCTCCACCGCCATCAAACTCTGAGCCAAAGCCCCGCGAAAGCCGGAACGCCAGCCGTCGTGGGCGTCGCCCTGAAGCACAGCAAGCCCCATTTTCTCGTGGAAATCAGGACCAGTCGTGTGTCAAGCTGTCGCGTTATGCAAAACGCTAATGAAACACCAACACCAAGGAACGCCAATTTGGGCGAAGCTTCGCCAGAAGCAGGCGATGCTATGCCTATAAAGTGCTTGGGTCGGTCGGAACGTGCCCATTCCGGGCTGCAGATGGAGCCCCCCAAGCTCTGAAGAGAAGGAAGAAATTAAGCGACTGGACAAGCTGGAATGTACAGTTGCTAAGCTTTCGCCTGCAAAGTTCAGGGTCCCTCATTCACCTTGCGAGCTCTTCGTTCTTAAGACATTGGATGCCATTTCGATTCTCTTCTTGATCGCAGTGTTGAAGACCAGCTTTCACGATATCGGATTTACCTACATATCGTCCACGTGAGCCGCCTCCATTTCGATGACGGGAAATGTAAAAAAAGACACCAGCTTTACAAATGCAGCATCGGCTCCATCCTATCGATCTGTTTCAGCGTCGATCAAGCCGTTTCATCCTCGTGCGAAGCACGAAGTCCACATCACGCCCTCGCAAATCCGCAGCACTGGTGTTAAAGCACATATGCCAAGCGGGTGCTGCCTCTTCTCACAACAGAGGATATCACTGGGCATGTCGCACAAGACATTCCTGGTTGCGATTCGTGCGGTGAGGTGCTTACTCACAGTTGAATTCGCAGGTCCTTTGCACACTCCGATTGCATGCAATTTCGTCGCTATGGTCGTATGCTAGGTATCGAGCTCACTGTGAGCGGCAAGCGACTTGCGCTCTATTTGAAAATGTCATCTCAACAAGTAAAAGTCCGCTTTCTCCCGGGACGTGGCTGTAGTAGTGGGAGGCACATGCATGTCTATATTGGAGATTGGTTAAGCCGGTTGACCATACTGTGCTTCGAGATCGGTTGGTGCCTGCCATGGATTGTTCATGAACAAAGCTGGCAGGCACCACCAGTAACTTTCCTGCTCGCGATGTATTCACTTCTGCGGCTTGAAGTCCGCATCTGCAGTGGGTTCTGCCCCGACCATGCGCTGCCGTCACGACATTCGCACGACGAACAATCGATCCCATCGCCTACGCCCTGGGCAGCATGCAATGGCTGAAACTCGAAGGAATGTGGGCGCGGCGCCGCAGCTGATCGATTTTCACTTACCTGAGTTCGCTGTTTCCGCCCATTGACCGTATACAGTGCACTTGCCTCATCCCAACACCTCCTACTACAGCGCACAAATGCCTTCACCTTTGTGTAAATGGTGGGTCACGGAACTGCAGTCCAGGCTTGCGCCACCTTGTGGTGGTTGCTTATGAACCATCCGAGGCACAAATGTCGAATTAACAAAAGGACATCTTACGATTTGAATATGTTTTCCGCGGTAGTTGCGTGTCAAGCAACTACCGGGCGTGAGAACTCACCATCGATGGACGAGCACGTCTACCGATCTGTGCACCAAGACTCTCGCAGAGCTGACGAGCGGCCAAGCATACTACACAGCCACTTGCACGTCCATGTGAATCAAGTTTTTGCACAAAAGTCCTTATCTGTCGGCAACTTGGCAATCGTCTGACTGCGACGCTGCCCAGGTGTGAACAACCCCGATCTTGCTGTACGAAGCGTACAGAGTACAGGGCTCGGAACTGGACTCCCATGACTTTCATTGGCTGCTGAGGGCAACAGCCAATCGGAGATGCGATTCCAAGTCAAGGTCTACCCAAAGGATCAGCGATCGTGCGCAACCATGCCCAAATACCGTTTTTCTGTGACTCGACTCTGGCTATCGAGCTTGGAGAACCAGGAGAATCAATTCCGATGGTGAGGATCGCCAGGGTGCACAGAGCTCAGTTCCCTTTGGTTGAAGCTTCCCATCCGATGAGGAAGCGGGAGCTGCGCATAGGTACCGCCTTCGCAAAGGCTCTCCGGTCCGACAAAAAAGTCAGTGGTAAAACGCCTAATTCTGCGTTGGATAGCCCAGCATTACGGATGGATAAGCCGTCAACATGGCAACCGGTGTCAGTGAATGCTGGTGCGTGTCTGTCATCGTCCAGCCATGTAGGATGGTGCTCGGGGATACGAAAGCATGCGAGAAACCCTCGTCCTCACGACCCAACGAAGCAAGCGGAACGTCTGCTTCATATCTAGATGTCTGGTACGTAGCCCTGAGGGCGGCATGCGGACCCCTGTGCGAACACGAACTCGTCTATGGGATCTCCAGTCCCACATGAACCCTGCTTGATACCATTGCGGAGCATGAACTTAAAGAATTTCAACATCCAGGCCCTACGAATGGCCACTTCAGCCGTATTTGATTGCCATGTGGTCATCTCCTGCAAGCGAGTATGCCAAGAACTGATGACAATTCTATGATTCCTTGCAGATACTCGAATTCCCTTGCACAAAGTGATATCATGGCGGAATTTGCAGCCCGGTACGCCCACTTATATTAAAGACCTCAGTTAAACGCGTCATTTGGACATCTAGGCCTTCCCGTTTCATATTTTCTTGAACGGAGTGTCGACAACATGGCACTTGTCACAAAGGCACCGTCGGTGCGCATCGAGAAGGCTATACCATCGCGCCACACCAAGCAACAGACCAAGACCAAGAGTCGAACCTCGAATGCGTGTGAAGCATGCAAACGACGGAAGACGAAGGTATTTCTCGCCAGCCAGTGCTGCATCAAACCATAGCTGACAGACATTTCATAGTGTACGGGCTCTCCAAGTCCATGCGATGTATGCGTCAAGGCAGAAACGTACTGTTGCTTCAACCCCAAGCTCGACACAAGGAGGAAGGTGGCGTACACCTCTTCCAACGTGCAAGATCGACAGCAGTTCATGATCACGGCCCTCCTCCAGACAATAAAGCATACCTCCGAGGATGACCTACAACAGCTCATTCGAAAGATAAGGGGTCCACCCCGGCCGGATGACGTCGCAGTTTGCCTTCGAAAGCACTTCGATACGCTTCAGGCAAAGAATCTGATACCAAAAATGGCTTTTGATAACACCGACGTGATCTCGTTTGCGCTGCAAGGCCTTTGTGGTCATCGCAAGGGTCGTCCCCGACCTGCTAAGTCCGAGGATGATTCGGATCTACTTTCACCAACATCCCAGGCCTCCCTCGCGTCCGAAAGCAATACGTCGTCAGGATCAAACACCGATTTCCTAGATGACGAGATCGGTGACAAGAACACAGCCTCTGCCAACACGTCTATGAATATGGACGACAAAGGCGACGGAGACTTTGACATCAAGCCGTCCGGTATGTTCGACATTGCTGTGGCTGAGGCGCAGCATCAAAGCACAATGGACAATCTGGACAGAGACCGCAGCATGGCCATGGGCGGCCTTCCCATGTATAACAGCCAGATGGACTTCGGCGACGGATGTGCACTACCCTTCTCTGCCACATCAGGTTCGTTCGACGAAACCATGTTTTCCGGCATAGACACCACCATGCCGACAATGTACCCGCCATGGCCGTCAGCGCCCCACCACAACATGCAGAGCTATCTAAATAGTCAGTCGTTGATCGCTGCCGCGTCGAGTCGCCACACTACGAGTGCTTCCCGGAACGTCTAGCGCGCCAGGACCAGTCCTTGAAGGAGGTCGGGCATCTCACTACCACATGACACTAGTCAGCATGCATGGCAACAGACATACAACAAGGTCGCAGCAACGCAACGACGTTACATGATGTACATCAAGCTCTATGAGAAGGTCTCAGCACTATCAAACATACGCCAATGTGCGTTTAACGGCTTTTATGATTTCTGAGGTTTGCAAGGCGTTGATGGCACACTGAGAGGTGACGCTCATACCTACATAACACTCATACCTACATATCCATTTTGGGATACTGTACTAGGTGATTCGGCAACTTTTATGCTGCACACATAGCTGAAAGGCCAGTTCCGGGGTTTGTCATCCTTGGGCTAAGGTACTCAATCGCGGAAAGGCCAAGGGATGGGATTCATTGCTGAGCTGAGCCCTCTTCAGGCTTGTGACGGTGAAGTAGTGTGTGGAAGATGTATTTCCGCGGCAGAACCATTTGCAGACTTACGAGACGGTACCTGGCGATCTTGGAACATGTATATCCGCATTTATATTCAAGTGATGACTGGGCTAATACAGCCTGTGACCCACGCCTCGACGCCCCTGTCGTCACCCAACGCCCTACCGCCGAGCAATCGAATGCTCCCATGTGGTTCACTCTCTATGCGCATGCGTGGCCTTCTCATCCGCCATTTCGACTACACCCTTATCTCGATCCTGACCAGACCCCGCAGCTTTCTCCTCACCAACACCACCGAGGACCCTCCTCGCCTCCTGAATTCCCACAGCAACCTCATCCCCAAACAGTGCTGCAATCTCCTCCAACGTCTTGCCCACCGTCTCCGGATACACCAAATACACGACCACAATAAACACCGCATCACAAATGATAAAGATCAAAAAGTACCGCCAAGCAATCTCCTCGATCGCGATGGGCGTGACCTGCACCAGCATGATGGTGATGGCGTTGAAGGTGCAGAAGGCGACGGCGTTGCCTGCGGCGCGGATCGGGGTGGGCATAATTTCTGAGGGGTAGGTGTAGCCGAAAGCGTTCATGATGAAGGCGTAGCCCACTAGGTACACGAACATGAATCCGACGGTGAATCGGCCGAGGAGGAGATTGGTGTTGTTTGAGGCTTGGAAGCGGGCCCAGACTGGGAATTTGCAGCGTGTTAGTTTTTCTGATGTCGCTGCGGAGGTCGACATCGTGGCCAGAACAGGGTGAGACGGCTAGTATGGGGGAACACTCACATATGACCATGGCAATACTCGCCAGGAACTGCACCCACAAGCTTCCCAGCAGACTCTTCCGCCGGCCCAACTTATCGAAACTCAGCGCACCAAAGATACAAAAGATCGTGCCCAGTGTGCCCCATACGCCGACCATGACCAGTGCCAGCTTCTGAGTCACGCCCAGGTATGTGTACAGAATGAACTGGTAGTTCTGCAGCGGGATGATGCCGGTGAACATGGCGAACGCGAATTGGAAGACGACGATGAACATGCGCTTGCGGTAGGAAGGGCGGCGCAGGATAGTGGACAAGCCGACTCGTTCCGTGACTTCGAGTTCGTGCTGGGCTTTGATCTGGTTGAATTCACGGATATAGAAGTCGTCCTCGTCTTCATCGTTGCCACTGCTATCAGAGCTGTTGTGTGGTTTATCGACGTGGTGCAGTCTCTTGATCACATCTAGAGCCTCTTCATAGCGGCCCCTCATGATCAGGAACCGTGGCGACTCGGGTAGGTAGGGTGTGGTAACGGCCATGAGGACTGGAGGAAGACACTGAAGTCCGAGGAACAGGCGCCAGGCAACATCGCTGGAGATGTAGCTGAAGCCGAGTCCCATCCATTCAGTAAGTGCGTAGCCGAGATTGATGTTGAGGTTGTACAAGCCGCCGACACGTCCCCGCACTTCTGGAGGACTGATCTCGGACATGAACATCGGGCAGACGCCAAAAACGAGACCAGATGCGATGCTGAGTGGATTGGTCAGATGAGCTGCGGTCTGTATGCAACGTGCAGAACACTTACCCTCCAATAACGCGGCCGATAAAGAGCATCTCGATATTCTGTGCGGCTGTCTGCAATACAGCGCCGATGAGGGCTCTATTCGCAGATGTTAGAACCATCGCTAGGGAAGACTGCTAGCCACAGGAGCGAGATAGTGAACATACACCGCACAGGCAATATATATAGTCAGCTTTCGGCCATACTTATCTGGCAGCCAGAAGTTCATGCCAGAACCAAAGAAGCTGCCTGCGTAGTAACAGCTACCAAGAGCTCCCAAGGTGTTCGAGTTGAAGTTGAAGTACGCGATGAACTGTGGATACCCAATGATCGATGTAGTGAGGCCAGAATCGTAGCCATAAAAGAAGGCTCCGAACGAAAGAATGCAAATAGAATAGATGTTGAACCTGTTATAGCGTGCCATATCGGATGGCTTTGACAATGGATTGTCAGTATATCGACTGCGCTGGCACACTCTTGGTGTCTCTGGTCAATAAGCAGGTACGAGAGCCTTGGTAGATGGAGACGCTGGTCCATCGTCTTGCAGGTAAAGACATGTTATAGCGTCGATGCCTACCTCCTGATCCAACCTACCGGTTACCGAACGAAACCGAGGTCTTGACGCCCATTGCGAAGGGGTCTGCTTCGTCTTTCGGCAAACATGCAGATGCATTTGCAGGCATGATTGGGGTACAGGACAGACGTCTTCGCGGGGTAAACGGAGAGAGGTGATCCTGGGGATGAGAAGATCCGTGTGCAAGCTTTCAAGCGAATCCGGGGAGAAGCTCTGCCAAGACCCTACGTCACCGTGACCCCAGTGTTGTGCGTGCAGGAGTGCTTCGAAGCGTTCGAAGTGACCTCCAAACTGACATTCGCTTGGGCTGCGAAGAGTGGTAGAATGATGTCTCTCTGGAGCAGGCAGCACGAGGTCTCGAGCTGCTTGCTCTGCCGATTTCGGAGGCCATTTGGACTGTGATCCAACTTGAAAGTCAAATGCTATCATACAACTCAGACTCACGCATATTCACACGACCCATCGCGATATGACCAACACCATACAACTTGAACGGGTGAGATTACATAATTCCGGAACACCTTGCACGCTCCGTCAGTCCTTCATCCATCACTTTCACGCAGGCAGCCTTTCCATTCAGTCTTAGGCTTGCTGCGCTGATTAACACTATCCGGTAACCCGAGATGGGCGATGCTGCCGACCACCCACTTCGACAGCAGCCAGGTGCCAGGACTGGGGGGACGAATACTTTCCCGAAAACCGTAGCCATCATCGGCGCCTCCATCTCAGGCCTCTCACTCGCCCTCGCCCTCTTGCACGCCAACCTCTTCCGCCCAGAAGATATCACTATCTATGACCTCCGCCCGAACCCATCCTCGTCCTTAACTACACCTCCGCCCTCCACGGAATCTGGCTTCGACCCCAGCACCACCGCATCCGGCGTAATCCTGACGCCCAACGGCCTTGCAGTCCTTTCCAACCTCGGCGTCCTCCCACGGATAAAATCCCGCTGCTGGACGGCAACGCACCGCACTTTCCGTTCCGACCCAGGCGACGCCCTGGTGAAGAAGGTGCGTATCAGTGGAGAGGAAGCTGGGTATGGATTCGAGAACCATCGTGTATGGAGAAGTGTGCTTGTTGAGGAGTTGTTGCGGATGGTTGAGGAGGCTGCGATTCGGGTAAGATGGGGTCGAAAGTTTGAGGGAGTTGTCCCGGAAAGCGAACGAGTCGACGGTGGGAGTAAAGCTGGCGTGTCGGGCGCTGTGCGTTTCCGCGTCACTCATAGAAATCCCACATCTCCCGAGAGGTCTCACTCACGCATTATCAGCGCAGACCTCCTCGTCGGCGCAGACGGGATCTACAGCGTCGTCCGCAAGCACCTCGACCCAACTGCCCAGCCTGTATACACCGGCACGACTGGCGTTCTTGCACATATTCGCTGGGACGACGTCGACTGGCCAATGGTCACCTCTCCGAACAGCCCAGATCCACACCCCTATGAGCGGCAATGCACCCTCCAGGGCACGTCAGGCGCGCTTTTCTGGCTGCCAGAGGATGCTGCGGGAAGTGTTGTCATGACTGGGAAGCAGACGCGCATGACTGAGCCCAAGCCTGCTGATCTGGGTAGTGTGACCAGTCAGCGCGAGGCGTGGGAGCGCCTCTCCCAGGATAAGCACTTTCTCTGTGAGTTCTATCGCGAAGGTTATGAGCAGTGGGGCGCGACTGGCAGGAAGATTATCGATGCGGTTTGCGATGAAGAGAAGGGCAGGGGAACGCTGTACTTGTGGCCGTTCATGCGGATGGAGAGGTTGCAGCGGTGGTGGGTTAGTACTCCCGCGGCAGACTTGCGCGATGGCAATCGCGATAATGCCGCAGAGCCAGCTACACCAGCGCCAGCAGGCACCATTCTAACATTGGGTGACGCCGCACACGCCCTCCCACCATCATCGGGACAAGGTGTCAACCAAACTCTCGAAGACGTTTGGGTACTCACCCGCCTCCTAGCACTGGTCAAGCAAGATCAGGCATCGGGAAAGACGATGCAGCAAGCCCTTACCTTCTGGCAGGAAGTCAGACAGGAGCGGATCGATGAAGTGTACGACTGGGCGACGAACGCGACGAATGTGAGTCGGCTGCCAAAGGATGAGCGGGAGAAGACGCTAATCGACGACGCGGTCAAGCAGCGAGAGAAAGGTGAGGGACAGAGCAAGAAGGTCGGATTGGGTGTTGACGATATGAGGTGGTTGTATGTGCCGGGTTGGGATGAGGTTATTGAGCGTTGGGCCAAGTAGTGAGAATGCAGGGTGTCCACTGCACGATCAGTCTGTATTGACATCCTCCTCGTCATGCTCGATGCTTCGACGGCGACCATCAACGACCACTGAGAACAAGTGCGCAGTATGAATGCGGAACAAGTGTACAATATGCCCGCCTAACGAAGCGCAGTCTGCGGCCGACATCTGGAGCCGAGACTTACGCCTATCCTTTGTATTCATGCCTCGATGGCGAGAGCAACGGCGACGATGGAGTCTCAGTCAGCCACTCCAGTCCATCCGATCGAAGTCGGGACACGCCCCTTCACTTCTGGGTGCAGGGCTGCGATCTACAATGAATGGCGAAGCCAACTTGGACCTTCGAGGCGAAAGCTTGAACAAATGCATGATTCTAAATCCGGCCCCTAAGCCTTCTCGGGGACTCGACTCCGATCCCAGGCCCAAATCGCGGTTCGCGGCAACATTACAAGGGTCCCAGCACCTTGTTGTGAAGATTACCGCTAGCTGACGTTTCAGACATCTTACACAGCGAAACTGGGCGACTGAATCTCGTAGTCTGGCGCTGGAGAGTCCGCTGTTCCAGGCTAAGCCTGGAGGATGGTAAATGAACGAGGACTCCATTAAAGAAGGCTGATGGGCGGAAATCGAGATGCTGCTTGCGTTGATATGGTCCCAGCGTCCTCTAGAGTTGGGAACAAATGGATGGTATGAACGTGACGGCCTCACCGTGATCGAAATATAAGACGGGCCTCGCCTTTTGCTAGTTCATCATTGAGATGAGCGTTCTCGTTTTCTGTCCACACCCGTGCTAGGCGTTGCCTACTCCTGTTGCGATCTTGAGATGAGCGTGGCTTTCTCCTGAGGGTACTGCCATGAGCTTCTGCGGGCATGTCGCTCACTTCGGCCGCCTGAAAGGATGTGCTTCCGTATTGAATACCCAGTCGTCGAGGCTGATGGTGTCCGGCGGCGAGAAGATGAGGTAGAAGTACTTCAATGTCTCTGCGAACCAGAAGCTTTCCATTGAATCTTCCTGCGCGGGCTTGCCTTCAACCAGTACACTCCTAATAGCCGCGTTGGCGAGTGTGGTCTCCGTGGCGTTTGTGATGGCTTCGAACATCCTTCACGCAACATCCTGCAGCTTTGAGTCGCCTGTGATTCGATACAGGTAGAAGACAGACTCTATCGCCTCTGGTCGCAGGATGTACTTTGGGTCACCAACGGCTGTAAAGCCTTTGGGCAAGGTAGTGTCGGTGAACTTGCTTGCATCGTACTCGCACTCCTCAAAGGAAGGACATGGATGCATCTGGGAGATCTCTGGCATAATTCCAGTCGGAAAGGCATCGTAGCTGTAGATGCAGCCATTCGTTAACTTCGTGCCGATGTCGACGTGCTCGGATATGTCAAAAAGCTTGCCACTCAGCAGAAACATTCCTCCCGCGAAGCAGCCCAGATGCTCATTTTTGGCGTTGAGTGTAGCTTTGCCCCCAGCAACGGCTGCTGAGCCTGCGACCAAGATGTCGTCCTTGTCTGGTAGCATCGGTCTGAATAGTAGACTTTTGATTGCGGTCTCCATGGCGTCTCTGTATGCTTCCTCGTAAGCAGGTTCCTGGCCGCCTAACAAGTAGTGCATCTTGGGTAGGTACTCGTAGAAAGAGTCTGCTACCGCACCAAGAGTGAAAGCAGTCTGCTCAAAGGTGCCCTTTCGAGCATTGATAAACATTGGCCACATGCCAGGCAAGTTCGTCTTCAACTGATTGCTGACGAACAACGACGTAACGCGCGCAATTGCGTCGTAGTACTTGGAGTCTCCTGAAACTTGGGCAAGACGAGTGAATTCCAGAGCGAAAGAGCCGATAGCCGCCGAACTTTGGTTGTCCTCCAGGACCAGCTTGCCATTCTTAGCCTGCTTGAAGTCGAACATGAAAGGTGGGAGATGAGTTGGCGTGTCGAAGCCAGCCCACAGTATGTCTCCCAATTCAATCGCTTTTGACAGCAACGCAGGCTCGCGGCTGAGATCGTATGCTGCCAGAAGACCGCCCAGATGCCGAATGTTGGTCTCGAACATGTTGACCGACGTGTCCTCGGTGACTGCCCAGTCAATTTTTGCTGCTTCGCCTGCAGCTTCGTAGAATTCGTCCTTCAGTCCCATGATCCATAGCGTGTCGAGCGCGTCGACCAGTGTGGCAGCCCATCCTCCGAAAGTGTCCTTGCCCGTCCCCGAGAGAGGCGCTAACTCATCACGCTTCCAGGCATACCCCCAATAGCTGGCCCAACCTTTTGTGAACGTGTCCAGTACAGCCTTCTGACGTGTCTTCCGAGTTGCTGACTCCTGTGCCGACTCTGCTGGAAAGGCAAATTGTACCGTCGGGATACCTACCGGAGTGCCCTCAGGGAGTTGCATTGTCGATGACAAGGCATGTTTATACTTGTAGTCCGACCAGTCATAGCTGCTCGGCGAGAAAACGACTTTAGTCAGGCCGAGTTGTGCATTCAATACTAGGAGGATTGATCCAACGATCCCAGCCGGAGCCAAAATCATTATGGCGATATGATCCTTTTGCTTCACCCGTAAGCTTTCCTCTTGAGACTCGAGTAGAAGCCTCGAGATGGCGATATATACTCAGCCGCCTGCGAAAACTTCTCTGAAATCCATCGGGACATGCTGTCCTGAGCATGTTCGCACAGCTCCGCTGCGCAACAACAACAAGTATCTGTCAGGTACCGTCCATGGTGCTTGCTGCTGTGGTCCGTTTCATTAGCAGCTCAGACTAAGGGGTGCTGAGAAAGGCCGTAGGTGGACCTGCTTCATGGTGCCTTACAGTGGTGTTGATGGGGAGTTTCACGGCTGCGACCACCTGGACAGTGCTAGAGCCTAGAGCCAAGCCTAAGTTCATGCTTCCGGGCAGTGCAGTCACCCATGGACGCACGTGCGTTAGGCGTTTGAGGTACCACCTGGCAGATACCAGGACTGGGAACCCACCTTTCTGTCAGTCTTTGATGACTTCTGCGTCGGAGCAACTGTCGCTCGAGCCTTCCATACTTGTTGTGCGAGCTTCTAGCTCTCATAACTTGATATTCCTGAGGCTTATCAGCTCGATCTCGATGAGCGAGTGTTCGAGCTCGATGTTGTGTGAGAGCATGAAGGACGGCAAAAGGTACAGTACCTAGTAACATGGCGACGCCTACCTAGGTATGCTTTCGGCCCCCGCCTCAACGGCCCCAGGGACGCGGGAACCGGAACCCCAGCCCCGGGCCTGCGGGCTCTGGGCATTCGATCATTGTCGAACCCTTGCTTCGATTCCATTTCCTCGTCAAGGCAGATGGAATTCCATCACCTCAACACATTCCTTTCACCTGTCAATGCGCATGACCTTCGACGTTGAAATATAGGCGCGCAGCGCATCCTTCGCTCTTCGATGTTGATCTCGAAGCTCCAATACCGGGTCATTTTCATCGCAGCCATCCTAGGCTTGATCGCGCTGGGCCTGCTATATCGATCATATCCCGACGTACCATATAGATTCGCCCACGGCTATGGGACCAGCGAGCCCAATGATGGAAGCGCAACTGAAGAGAAGCCGGCGGCACAGAAGTCGTGGCTCTATGCCGGCCCCAAAGCACAGGACAAGGCGGTGATCATGGCACGGATTCACACAGAAGATGTTTTGTGGGCGTACGAGCACCTCTCGGACTGGAAGCTTGGTATATATCACATGGACAACGAGACGGAGAACGGCCTGCATCCACCAAGGAACAAGGGAAGGGAAGCGATGGCATATCTCTCATTCATCATCGATCACTACGAAAACCTTCCAGCATACATGGTCTTTGTGCACCCGCATCTGAAGGGATGGCCTGAAGCGTGGCATACCGACAGCGACGACCATGACCAGGTCAAATCCATCCAATCACTCCGACTCGAATATCTGGATAAGCACGGATACGCGAACATGCGATGCATTCACGACCCAGGCTGCCCAGCTGAAATTCAGGTCGACCGGCAAGACGACCACCGGACAGCTGAGCATGCGATGCGCGAGGCGTGGCCGTACATGTTCGGCGGCAACTACAGCGACATCCCCAAGAAGATTGCGCAACCGTGTTGTTCGCAATTCGCCATCTCCAAAGCTCAAACTCTGGAACGTCCCAAGTCGGACTATGAGCTCTACCAGAAGTGGTTGCTTGAAACACCGCACGACGACGCGACCAGTGGGCGTGTATTCGAGTATCTCTGGCAAGTCATCTTTGGCCAGGGTGCGGTCTATTGCCCAAGTCTACGTCAATGTTGGTGCGAGCAGTTCGGACGATGCTAGACACGACGGTCATGATGGACTCACGACATCCAAACAAGCCTGCATGCAGCATTCCGGCACTGCGGTGCGACTGTGACATCCCCGATCTCGTGTAACGAATGTTGTACAACGTACAAGTCTTCCGACTCAAGGTACCACGCCTGTGATATTGCTGAGGTGTCGTCTGGCTAAAAGAATACGAGATCCCAGTCATTCTTCCCTGTGAATTGGAGGCACGGGACGGCCTTATTGGGGCGTTGCAAGCCTAGCCAGTACGACTTTTGCCTTATTCCCAGCCACAACGGGGTCGGGATGAGCCTCAGATCGCCCAGCAAATTGCAAATGCGTTGGACTAGCAGTTTGGAACGGGCTATGAAAGTAGACGAGTACAACTTTGGCATCAGACAGAGGTGTCCAGCCAATCCTAGGCCCTTTGCCCACGCTCGGGCGTAATTACAGATTGTGACAGGTACCGGCTAGTCTTAGTGCCAGGGGCCATACAGGTGATTATGTACATGGGTTGGTCAATCGACCTCCATAAGGCGGCACGAGCGGTGGACAACATGAAATGCTCCAGGCCTTGTTGCCAGGACTTCGACCGAAACACGCCGACTTCTGCAAGAAGATCTCTTCAGCTGCGGTCCTAATAACTTCCGTCGACGCTCCCTAGAACACGGTTGCTACGTCCTCGACGCGCAATACTCGCTGTTTGCAGCATCGAACACGAGTCTACCCCTCGCTTCCCACGCTCGCTACACAACGCAGACATGGCCGCATTCACATACCCAAAGCCAGCTTCGGCCGGCGATGTCCCAACTGTCTCGATCGGCGCGGCCCTGAAGTTTGAGTGGGAAGGCACCAAAGGCGATGACTACTATACCAACTCGCATTTGTTTCTTATGAAGAACGACGACAACTATACCTGTACGGAGCTGAATTTGGGGAAGGTTTATTGTCTCGACATAACAGGTGGGTTCTGAAGCAAGGTGGTGGTAATCTCACAGGCACTGACAGTCAGCAAGGTAGCTTAAATGCAGAGGATAATTCATTTTTCACCTGGAAGGTCACCACAGGAGAATATCCCGAGTATCCTGAAGATCAAGCTCCATATTTCTATGCGATCATGGCGGGTTTCAATAGCAGCGACGGCACTAGCAGCAACGGCAACGTCCTCGAGAAGTTCTATGCCGACAGATTCGACATCTACCCAGAAGATCAAATCCCAACAACAACGTTTCAAGCACCACCTGCGGCCACAGAAACAAGCAGACCCGCACTCTCGTCCACAACCGATACCCCTACAACGACATCAGCACCGGTATCTGCAACAACGACCCCCGCCTCATCATCAAGCGCAACCGCCACCCCAGCTTCCTCCTCCTCCGGTCTCAGCAGCGGCAGCAAAGCCGCCATTGGCGTCGCTGTCGGCATCGGCGTACCATTGATAATCCTCCTGGCCGTCATCGCGTTCTTCCTTCGCCGCCGGCGCAACAAGCGCAATACTCCTCCAGCATCCGTCTCTGGTCCTTCCGGCGTGGCACCTCCTTACGACGACAAGAACTCGAAGCATTACTCAAGCGGCCCGTCGGAGCTCGCGACACCCAGCCAGCCCAGTGCATGGGCCAGTCCGCAGCAGGGCGCTACAACACACCTTTCGACTGCGACGAATCCGGGAACATATAGCGATCAGAGCTGGCAGGGTCAGCAGAGCCAGCCATTTTTGCATGAGATGAGTGCAGATAATAATGCGCTTTCACCTCGGCGGTAGGGAAAAGTTGTGCTCATAGAGTGATTTTGGGGATTTCTCGAGCATGGCGTTCGGTGCAATTTGGATCAGGACACGTCTTTCGCTCCCTCCTGACGATTAGCAACTTGTAAGGGAGAAATGCATCTGGGTGTGGGCAGTACACGTTGTATATACTTGCATGCCAATTTGGCTTGCACAGGAGCTGATCGAAGTACCAGTAGATCATGAGCACCAGGAACAAAGGGAATATATTAAGATTGACGCCGTCAGCGTCATTCTTTGCTCCATGCTTTGTACTCTTCAAAGACATGTTCAGCCAACATGCCTTGTCTCTCCTCTGTATCAGACTCCGCAAGACTTTCCGTGGATCCGTTGCGAGTTGCAACACGACTCGCGATTGACACCTTCGACATCGTCGCTGCAAGTTCCGCAAATTTCGGCGAGTTGGAATCGCCGCTCTGGTGACGACGCTTCAGCATCTCTTGCCGCTGCTGCTGTTGTCGAGAGGCTGCAACCATGGTCAGCGCATAATCCCTTGCAACTCTTCCCAGGAGGATCGGCCTTGTAGAATTCAATGGAACAAGCTCACCATTTCTTTCGTCCTCTACCATGAACTTGCGTGGAAAGCCACTGAGTGGATAGTCTCGTGTCTGAATTCTGCGGGAGTTCCCCTGCCGCCGGAGGCGCAGGAGAATGTAGACCTGCTCTTCACGGTCACTGGTTTCGATCTGTAGGACGCTGCGTAATTCGAACACTTTGTGGGTCGCCATATATTCAAGCGAGTCGCGGGTTAGATCAATCTGCATTTCACGGCGGGTTACTACAAGCTCATGGTCGTTGGCACATCACATACCTTATTTTCGTCATTGGAAGAAAGCCGGTTCTTTATGACGAAGCTGGGAAGGAAGTTCCCGACAATTTGATTCTTGAGAAATTCGGCAAGGCGCTTAACGTATTGATCTTCGTGGGCGAGCTTGCAACGGATGTGGCCTGGAATGTCAGTGAAGTGGACGATCATAATGGAGGTACTTACCGGCGCAAAGGAAAGTTTGTGTTCCGTCTCTTTTGCAAATCTGCGATTTTTCCTTCTTGAAATAGAAGCAGCTTGCGACTAGCATGTTTGCCACTTCTTCGATATCTCCGGACAAGGGCCACTGTTGCAGCAGCTTGACGACATCGCCCTGCAGTGAATCGACCTTGTGTTTTGCGTCAAGCGCAGGCGGATCGCGTCCTAGATCGGGATTCAAGCGTATGTACCTGGAGCCAAAATCCGAAGCCCAGTGCTCCCCGACTGTGTCACGGTAGAACTCTTGCCAGGCCCATTCGGTGTCGAGAATATTCTCCATTTTATCGGACTAGCACATTGTTAGGAACTGCCACTCTATATCGGGGTTTGATCTGCTTGAGGTAGGCTTTGAGCTACTCACTAGTACGCTGAAGAAGTCTTTGATGCCTCTCAACGATCGAAATCGCTTCCGGCCGTGATTTGAAGCCTGGGCCTTTGCCTTGAGGTGAGCTTCACGAGAGCGTCCTTCGAGGACCTTCAGCCTGGTCTCTAGTGCTCTTGCGTTCTGGCCTGTGCCCAACGATAGGAACACATCCGGATGTCTGGATGCAACATCAGGCCAGAGAAGTCTTCGTTCACGCTTCGCTACCACGACTGGATTGTTGTGATTGAGGGCACCGTCCAGGTAGGTCTTCGTAACATTGCGTCCTACCTGACGTTCGAACGGTTTGAAGTAACTTGGAGCCGCTGATGTAGCTGCCGCAGCTTCCCATATCTTGAACGCCTCGTCCATGCTACGGGATGTTTCCAACGTGTACCCAGGATCTGACATCTGCTGACGGTTGTAGTTCGACAAGATTAATGATCGATTTCCTGTGCGTGAGGTCGAAACAACTGCTACCTTCCCGGCGTGGTTGGCCACGTTGCTGCGGCCACCGAACAAGAGGCCTTCACCGAAGGCCTTCCTGAGAACGTCGTGCAGCGGCGTTGTCTTCCACTTGCTATTGTGTTTGATCGTCACAACCTTCTCAAAGATGGTACCAGCGCCCTCTCTCTCTTGGAAAGCATCCTGACACAATGCTTCAAAAATCGTGATACAAGTACTCACAGGCCACTGCATGGCAACCAGTCCCAGAGCCACGATTCCGCCGGTGCTGCGTATGTAAGCTTGGTGTCTCAATGCAGAATGCAGTCCTTCGTACCTGGTGCCCACAACAAGGTCGAATAGTCTTTGTATAGGTATTCCTCCGGACGGGATGTTAAGATTGATGCGATTCTCGATGGCGCGTAGAATCTCTAGTTCGACTATTCCACGTACACCGCCCCTAGAAAATGAGTCAGACTCGTCCACTTAACGGTTAATCTCAACTTGCCCGTCTAGACACAGGATTCGCAGGCCGGCGAAGTCGGGCTTCTGTGCTATTGCCCAATCCATGTCTCGAAGCTCTGTATGTAAGGGACAGGATCGAACAATAATGGCCAGATCGTCCTTCTCATCGCCAAGATCGCGAATGCATGAGTCGCAGAGGACATGACCGCATTCTAGAGCGTGTTCAGGGGTGGCCATGAGACATCTGAAGCAGCTCACGCAACTGACAAAGTCTTTCGACGATGCGACGTGAGCGAAGAAGTCTGCTAGGACATCGCTGTGCAGCTTCGACATAATCTTGACATCAACGGAGGACGTTGCCTCACCGGCGCTTATTGACGGCGTTTGATGCAAGGGAAATGTCTTTCGGCGCGCGCTGCTGAACTTTTGCTCCTGTGCTTTTAGTTCTTGCTCAATTTTCTCTATCCACCCGGCCTCGAACCGGGAAGGGTCAAGTGAGGAACGATAGTTGCCTAAGACGCGTTTTCCTTTCTCGTTCTGGTGACCCTTATCGTGAGCGGATTTGACATTGCAGCAGACCTGGATCTTCTTGCTGCGAAATTCACAAGGCAGAAAGTCGTTGCAAAACATCTGCAGCGCGGTTTTGCAGAACGGAGAGTATTCCTTTGGGTAGTAATCAAGGACCGATCCTGCTGCAGTCAGTTCTGTGGCAACCCGGCTGCCTCAGCACAGCCTACCTTGTAAGTCGTTCCGTACGTAATCCAGAAGGATACAAGATGCTATGAACGCACATAGACCATTGAATAAGTTCGCAGGACTCAGGCTCAGCCGCTGACCCCGAGTATTCTGTCCCTGGGTAGTTTCGTAGATAGTACTCGCCAACGTCAAGATGTGGTCGCTGAAATCATGAGCAATCAGCTTGTTGCGGGTGTCTACCGCACGGAAGTCGAATGGGCGATCCAGGTCACTTGCGAAATGATCGAAGCCTGCGTGCAGGTATTGTTGAAGGTCATCAACGCTTGCGAGCCGTCGCTTGATTCTCTTCTCATCCAGCGCCCTCTGACAAGCGCGAAGTATCTCACCACGCAGCAACACCAGTTGCGTGTTGATGAGATTATAGGTATCGGCCTTCTTAGCCGGTACACGAATGACGCGGACGGATTTGTAGTAGCATTCAAGGAGCTCTTGTGCGCTCAGCGTGCGTTCGTCGTTCTCGGCAAGGAAGTTCTTCATCAGCTCTTTGAGACTGTCGTCTGTAGTGATACCTTTGACATCACGGAAAAAGTCTTCGGTAGCGCCTTCGATTGTCCATCTCCTCGCGTCCTCGTCCATTTCGGCAGCGTTGATGACGACTACGGCCACCGGCAGAATTGCTTGGTTGACGGACTTTTCAACACTGTGTCTGGCCCAATCGACCAGGTATTTGTACGTGATATGCAGTTGGCTATTTCAAGTTAGTATATTTCATTCTTAGAGGATAGAGCTATCCTGACTTCGGGTTCTTCTGCACAAAGACGAGGACATCCGAGAATGTGTAAAGAAATCGGGGGTATAAGTTCTCAACTGCGAATTGCCTTGTGCCCATCTTCGGATCGTTGGGCTTTGTCCACTCGATGGGGCGCACTCTGCCCTCGAGGCGTCTCCTGAATTTGTTCCCTCCTATGCTATTGCGCCTGCTTGCTTGTGGCGGTTCGGCGGCCGCGAATGGTATCTTTTCTCCGGCGTTCAAGCCCTCACAATCAGCGTAGAGGATGGGCATCGAGCTTTCAAGATACTCGGGATCGGCGTAGAGATGGACTCCCTCGGATGTAGCTGTGCCCTCGTTGGCTCTGGACCCCGGTACAGGGGCCGACATCCCCTCTAGCGAGACATCGGTGTTGTCCCGATTGCCTAGAGAAAGAAGTGCTTTCACGATGGTACTCTTTCCAGCATCTATTCCGTAAGCATCTGTCGCAGAACAGGGGGCTTCACGCACACGTGTCTCCTATGAACGAGACCAGCTTAGGATACCGATCACTCCCTAGTAATGGCCGGCTGTCTGCCATAAGCTCGTCAAAGCGGCCAAAGTCGTGAAATTGTGACTTTGCATGGGGCGTAGACTTGACGACACCAAACCAACGCGAGTCCTGATCCTGCTTATGGAGTTTTCTGACCTCTTCTTCATCGACAGGTGGTTCCATGATGGATTTGATCAACAATATGGTGGCTTTGTCTTCCTTGACGTGCGGGCGATCGAACAGCTTTGCCGTGTTGGCCTTATGTGCTGGCTGCCTGGGCCAGCAATCGTCGCAGAACGACATGCCTGAGCATGCCGTACAAAGAGAGACTCTAACATCCGTGCGGTCGCAAGCAGCACAGGCTTCACCAGCGCATGCTTCGCCCAAGGCCATGCTGGATTCCTGGATACGGAAGATGGTGGGCTTTCACTGAAAGAGAATCAAGCGATGAGGCAAGGCAAGCTGCAGGACATATAACCATTTCGCATTCATCAGGCTGCGAAGCGGGGTCGACACCGGTTTGCGATTTCTCTAGCTGTTGCTGGACCTCAGCCTGACCGACGGGGCGTCGCGGATTTTGTTTCCAGCGAGTGTGAAAGTGGAACATCGATCCACCCATCGCGATCTGCCAGGATTCCGATGGCTGTCACTGTGTCTATCCCATGGCGGACGAGCTTTTTCGTCAGCCATCCGTCGTCCAGCATGATCGCGTTTTGAGGCGTCGACGGTGACGGAGACGTATGAGATTGTGCTTTTTCTCTTCGAGTACAAGTCACTGCTCTGTCTAGCGCAACCCATGGACGAAGCCACCGACCACGTGAATGGATATCTTACCTCGTGATTCCAGAATTAGATCGACGTCCCGAGCCATCGCGCCAGGAGCACGAGGGTCGTGACTCGTGATAGCAGGGGTTTGGACTGCAGCCGCATCACGAGGCAGCTCTGCCCAATGAAAGAGCCGTTGAGAAAGGCCCAAAATCTAGGCCTTCCTGAGATGGTGCTGTAGATACTACCAGTGTTCTGTTCTGGCGGGACACCAAAGCCTAGCAAATATTGGTAGTTGTTGTCTTCGGGGTCAGCGCAGCTTGATCAACCTCAGGGCCATACCTACCCTAGTCTCATCTATTTAGCTACACCGGGCTTGATCGTGACCTCGGGATAATGGCATGAGCTGTACTTCGTACTTGAAGCGGGCCAAGTCCAAACCCTGTTTGAGGAAAGGCAGACTGGCTGGTGATTGCAGATCTAGTTCAGCCTCACCCGTAGCTTAGTGGTTAGTGTGGCCAACTGGTAAAAAGTACCTAGCTGCTGCGAGCTCCTCCTTTCGATGGAAGTAGGCTAGGGATCTCATTCCGAGGGGTAAGAGACACGAGACATAACCGGAAACAATATCACTCTGTGTCTATCCGACTAGAGCGAAGTCTGAGCCAGCCTACACTCACGGTTCCCGTGTTGCGGGCGCGTCGCTCACGTGTGGCAGGGTACATAGGTATCAGAAGGTAAAAGTGAATGTTGTTCTGGATCCGCAGGAAAGAGAGCGCCATGAGTGCCAAGAAGATCCCTGAGAATCCACAGAGCTAGGTGCACATGGACTGCATGTTACTGTCCATTCCGTTACGGTCTTGTGCATTAGCACTTATTCACCTAATTCTATATCAGCGATGCAGTGATGCAGTCGTGACCATCATGAGGTGACATTCCATCTTCTTCTCACACAATGTCTGTATACACAATCTCAAACAGGCAAGGTAAACGCATCGAGCCGAGAGGCGCCGAATAGGCGCAACAAAGCTCCATATCGGCTTGGAAGTGAGTGTGAATGACGCAAAAGACACGTCCGCGCCGAAGCGAGAAACAAGCCAGTCGAGGTCAAAAGGTCAATCAGAGGACTCGAACTCGAGCTGTTGTTGCCTTCACTTGCATCCTCGCAACTTCCTACACATCCACGCGAAAGCACTTGCTAACACTGCAGACTGCGCCTTCCACTAAGAGAAGAACACGCGTCGTCTGGGCACCACAAGCTCGTTGCCCGCAGGCAGCAACAACCCCACCGTGACATGTGTCAAGCCTGCAAGGCCGCATTCATTTGCAACCACAGAAACTGTTGAACACATGTCGCAACCCACCCCAGACCACCTAAAGGAGAATCCTACATCTCCCAACGCCATCCCCAAACGCTCCTCCTCAACGGGCTTTGTGAATGGCGTAAACCATCAACCCTCGAAATCAGTGTTGAAGCCTCTCGCAGAAGACTCGTGGATGTCCTCCTCAAAATACGCGACCCTCATGGCGCCTGCGAGTGAATCACAGCCCGTGGCCGAGCATGCAAACGGCGTGCGGCGAGCACACTCGAGGAAGAAATCAAAACCAGAAGACGAACCGAGACGGCTAGCAGAATGGAACTCGGCGAAAGAAAAGGTCATCATGGGACCATACGACTACCTCATGGCCCATCCAGGCAAGGACATCCGCTCGGCCTTGATCAAGGCCTTCGATGAGTTCCTGCATGTTCCGCCGCTGTCGATGGCGGTTGTCACCAAGGTCGTCGGCATGCTCCACACCTCGTCACTGCTCATCGACGATGTGCAAGATAATTCGCAACTCCGCCGCGGCGTACCCGTCGCACACAACATCTTCGGCACGGCTCAGACCATCAACAGTGCCAACTATGTCTACTTTCTTGCCTTGAAGGAACTACAGAATCTCGAGAACCGGGACGAGGCGATGGAGATATTCACCAACGAGCTACTTAACCTGCACCGCGGGCAAGGCATGGACCTCTACTGGCGCGACACCCTCACATGTCCAACCGAAGACGACTACCTAGAAATGGTACAGAACAAGACAGGCGGCCTGTTCCGCCTCGCTGTGAAACTCATGCAAGCCGAGTCACCCGAAAAGGGCCGCGTCGACTGCGTACCCCTCGTCAACTTGATGGGTCTGGTCTTCCAGATCTGCGACGACTATCTAAACCTCTCCTCAGGACTGTATACACAAAATAAGGGCTTCTGTGAGGATTTGACCGAAGGCAAATTCTCGTTTCCGGTCATCCACTCCATCAGGTCGAATCCAGGCAATCTACAACTGATCAACATTCTGAAGCAAAAGACTACGGACGAAGAAGTGAAAAGGTACGCCGTCAAGTATATGGAGTCCACTGGGAGTTTCGAATATAGCCGGAAGGTGATTCGGGATCTGAAGTTGAAAGCCACGGAGCTGATCAAGGACATGGACGGGGGCACAGGGAAGGGCGATGGCGTTAGGAAGATCTTGGAGAGGATGGACATTGAGCAATGAGCTCTGCCCGAATAAGCGTCAGGAACAGAGTGCCCTTTCTGTGTCATTTCTCCTACGGTTCTGGAATTTATGATACCAATGAGCGAGCGCTAATAGCGATACATATGCTTGGGCGTCCTGCTGGCAAGGTTTGGCCTATTATGTATAATGGATGTGGTAAAGTGTTGAGAGGTATACAGACCGTCGATTGATCGACTCAGGACAAGCAACCACGCGCTGCGTGCCTGCAAGCAAGAATTGCAACCGTTCATTCACAACACCTGCCACGGCCTGTCCATCTCTTCCCAGCTTTTCCGGGCCATGCCACAGATGAGCACTCACAAAGGCACCACCTGCCCCAGAATTCCCTCCACATCCCCCTCATACCACTTCGGCACAACCTTAACCTCACTAACCCGCCAACAATTCCCATCCCACGACCCCTTCCCAGCCCACCTAGCCCTACACTCCCCCTCCTCCATCCTCACGAGCTTATACTCCCCAATGCCCCCATTACTGGTCATCACGACCCCCTTCCCGTCCTCCGCCCGCTTGCACAGATGCGCGATCACATATGCCGTTGCGGTTGCCTCCCTCACTTCTCCTCCTTTATCACCATCATCGGGCACTTCCGTCCCTGGGACCGGCAGGCCATAGACGACGACGGCGCTCATCACGTGCTGCGTGCTCACCATTTTTGAGATGAGTGGACGCCAGGCGTTTTCGACGATGGCTTGTGGGCTTGTGACGGTGGGCTGGTTGGTGGAACTAGGGAACATGGCCGTATAATCTAGCTGGAAGGTGGGGCTGGTGAAGACTTCGGAGGAGGCGAGGCGGGGGAACTGGGCGGTGTCGAGGAGGGTGTAGAGTTTGTGGAGGGTTTGGGTTATGAAGGTGTGGTCGAGGAGGTATTGGGTTGGGGTGTAGGGAGCCATTGGTGGGGGTTGTGATGGTGATGTTAGGTGCTGGGAATACGCTGGCGTTGGGATGTCGTAGGGTGTGGAAGTTAGTTCGCTGTGAATGATGTTTGATGTCTCGGTCGACACAGCCGCAGCGGTAGTGGTTGAGGCGTCACTAATGATCAGTCATCTGTCTCGCCTTGTATAGTACCTGCGTCTTTCATCAAGCTTCATATACTGCTGGTGTCCTGGAAAAGAAGCAGCAGACGATTGGCCACGTCGGCTAACGACAAGCCTTGTTCCTGTGGTGGAAACATCGAAGGTGCCAAGATCCCGCTGAAGGACGAGAATCATCGGCTTCAGCGGACGCCAGCCCTTCAAGGAGCAAGCACTGCGAGTGAATCGGATAGTTGATCATCCATTCTGAGGATCAGAAGCTGTTAAGTCCAGCTAATGTCCGAATAACTTACCCAGGCTTGCAGTGAAAAGCAAGATGTTGTGATCGTTGTACGAGGATGGATGGTACGATGTTGCAACTTCGAAGCTTAAACTGGCAGACTAGCGCCCTTGCTTGTTCGACAGCTGTTGGTATATGGCCAGTCGAATGATCATGCTTCCAACCTGTCGCGAAGGAAACAAAGATGTCGTGATGCATTGCAAGAGAGGAGGCACGTTGCTGTTAAGTCCGGACTCAAAGCAGACGGTGTTGATACTGCAGGCAGCGATGGCATAAAGGTCTCGACATGAGCAGCCAGCCGTGCTACTAACATCTGAGCACCCGCTATATACTTCTTGGGAGACATATTACACGCTTACATCCACTCTATCGACCAATCTGCCATTATGACTATCCTCCTCGTCCCCGGTACTGCCCAGACCTCCCTCGCGATCGCCTCTCACCTGGCCAACCACCCCTCGTCTCCATCCTATGTCCTTGCGGTCCGCAACACTGACAGCTCGCCCTCTGCTGAGATTCACCACCCAACGATCACCCTCTCCCTCTCCGACCCTACCACCTGGCAGCCCGCATTCACCTCTTGCCCTCTCAGACGTGGTTCCGACTTGCGCGATGCAGGCAGCGGAGTCCACACAAGCACAGCGACTGACTGGCAGACACAGAAAGATGATCCAACGAGACAAGTCAGGCTGGACGACAGGATGGGAGGAGGTATACGTCGAAGACAACAAGGTCGTGCCGCTTGAGGACAACATCGCCAGCCTTCGGAGGGCGATGACAGACTCGGAAGTAGGCGTCGATCAAGCATTGTGACTTGTTATCTACAGCTTCACGCTCTTCACAACGTTCATCTTGATCCCGCTTCCTTCTCCGGAATACGCGCCCTTCAACCCGCCCTTGTACACGGGTCGCATACTAGCCAGCTTCTTCTTCTTCTCTTCGAACTTCTTCTTCTTCTTGACTCGGGGATTCCGCACTTCCTTCTTCCGTCTGGGCTGCAGACCCTTGTTCTTCTCGATGGCGTATGTTATCTTCCTCTTCCCGTCTGGACCGACGGTCTCTTCTTCGTAGACTTGGGCACCCTGCTGTGCAGCGAGAGCGTGTGCGTCGGCGCGGGCGAGTTTGTCAGTCTTCTTGGCGGAGGCGGCGGACGTGAGAGCGTTGTAGTATTCGTTGGCGTCGTTGTTCATCTTTGAGGCTAGATCGTTCTCGTCGTAGTCGGCATCGCTGGCGCCGCCGTCGGACATGGCTGCTTGCTCAGCGCGGTCTTGCTCTACCTCGCGCTTGAGACGCTCTTGTCGGTCTCGGATGCGCTCTTTGTAAGGCAGATCATCGTCGCCACCGGCTTGACGCGATGCAAAAGCACGCTTGCCGGCTTTTTGGGCGATCTGGGAGGTGTAGAAGCGTAGGGACTTCTTCTTGCTTGCCTTAGCCGCTGCTTCTTCGGCGGTCAGCGCTACTTCGTCGCCGAAGTCAGACTCGTCGTCTTCGTCTTTGGCCGGGCCGGACTGCGCGAGCAGATTTTCGATGGTGGTTCGTTTCGGCTTGGAGGTACTCGCTGCGGATTTCTTCGGAACACGTGCGTCGGCTATACCGGGCTCTGAGACTGATGCAGACGTGATTGTCTTTGGCTTCTTCGGTTTGATCGTCTTTACTGATGTTGCCGTTGCGTCTGGGCCCCTCTGAGACACTTTGGACGGCTTGTGTATACCATTCGCGATAGTGGTTTTTGGAGGAGGCTGCACAGGCGGTGCTGATGTAGGCTGGGCTGCTTCGGCCTCTTTCTCACTCTTCAGATCCTTGGTCCTCTCCCAGGCTTGCCTTGCGCGTAGTAGGCTCGTCATGATTGGATGCTGTCGTAGCTCGGCCGGAGGAAGGGCAATACCGTCTTTCGTCGACGTAAGAACGGCCAGGTACATTGCAATCGCAGCCATGTACGCCGAGACTGCCCACAGGCGAACTTGCTTGGATGAAGCCTGGCTCTTCGACTGCTTCTTCGCCACCGCCTTCAACTCCTCATACTCGGCATTGCAGGCAAGCAAGTCGCTCGACAGAGGCTCGAACTCAGGGTATCGGGTGTTCAGGATTTGCAGGCGCTCTTCGTCTGTGGCAGTCTCGGAGATTCGAACTGGCGGCAGCTTTTCGGTGGTGCTCGTGGTGGTTTGTTGTCCCTCAGCCTGCGCCCAGGCGATCTCATCAAAGCCAAAGTCTGCGTCGGTCATGTTCTGGAGCTGCTTCTGCTGCAGTCGCCGCGCCTCGGCCTCTTCGTCAAGTGCATCCTGCTCGTCTTCGATCTCATCGGCACCGTAGTAGTCCCCTCGCTTGTCGCCCCAGTATCGTTCGTCTTCTTCCTCATCCGCGGCCTCGCCGGCGTCGTCATCGGGTTCATCTAGTAGGTCTTCGGCGTCGTCGTCGTCGTCGGAGACAAGGCCATCGCCAAAGACTTCTTCATCGGAGGGCAACAGCTCCGCATCCTCCTCCTCGAGTCTTCGCCGTCGTTTCGCCGCAGGGCCTTCATCGAGCAGGATCTTCTCGCGACCCGTAACGAAATCATCTTCCGAGTCATTGAAGGTGTCGTTTTGCTCGACAGCGCTATTCAAATGTCCGATCGGCGCCCTCGCCTTCCGCTTCTTGCCCATGTTGCGTGTACTGGCAACATCGTGAGCATCAGATTTCCGACGATCAAGAATCTCGTCGCCGAAAAATAGTTGGAGAGACCGACAGCTTGGCATTGGATTTCACTGCCTGATCACGTCTCGATCGCGTCAACCGCTCTCAGGCGACCACTCTGTACCTTTGTCCCATCACAGAAATTGGCAAATACGAGGCCGACCGTTGCCGCACTCCGCTACCGCCAAATACAGTCTTCCAACTACGAGATCCGGGCAATCCTGCGAAATCACAAAGTCCGTCAGCGTCGCTAAAAGGAGATCATCAACATCGATAAGAAGCGGACGACAAGTTCTGCCACGACGTGCTCCTCTCCCCCATGGCGACGCAGCGAGCCACAGCATGACCGTCATTGAATCACCCTTTCGCAACAATTATCTACTGACATCCGCCGCAATCCTGGTCCCTCTCTTGCTGGTCGCAGTCATGTCTCTCTTCCGGCGCAAGTCCGCCTTCAATGTCTCTGGCCGCACCGTCCTCATCACCGGCGGCTCTCAGGGCATGGGCCTCTCCGTTGCCCAAAAGCTCTCTGCTCGAGGCGCGAACATTGTCATTGTCGCCCGAGACACCGCCAAACTCGACTCCGCCATCTCCACCATCCAATCCGCCGCCTCCTCTCCTACGAGCCAGCGCTTCCTCAGCCTGAGCTACGACCTCACCGACCCCAAATCTGCACCCGAGATCCTCGCAAGAGTCACAGAATGGAACAATCACACCCCGCCCGACGTCGTCTGGTGCTGTGCTGGCTTCTGCATTCCTAGCTTCTTCGCCGACGCAGACATAAAGACACTGCGCGACCAGATGGACACCCTCTACTGGTCCTGTGCATACATGGCACACGCAACCCTCAACTTATGGAAGAGACCTACCGCCTCCACCACAACAGATTCGGAAGCCAACTCCCTCAAATCCTCCGGAACCCAACGATCAGCCAAAGACGCCCTCCCACGACACCTAATATTCACCTGCTCCTGCCTCGCCTTCTTCCCCACCGCCGGCTACGCACCCTACTCGCCCGCCAAAGCCGCCATGCGCGCTCTTGCCGACACCCTACAACCCGAAATCGCCGTCTGGAACGGCGCCCGCCTCTCAGCAAACCCATCCATCTCCTCCGCCGCACCCTCACACGAGATCCGCCTGTCGACCGTCTTCCCGATGGCATATCCTCACCAAATTTCGAAAAGGAAGAGGCTATGAAGCCATTGTTGACAAAAGACATGGAGAAGACCGACACCCCACAGTCGCCGGACGAGGTCGCTGCAGCTGCGCTGAGGGGGTTGGATGCAGGCGAGATCGCCGTGACGACCAATTTCGTCGGGAACTTGATGCGTGGCTGTGGCATGGGCGGGACGCTGCGGATGGGGGTCATGGATGTTTTCTGGAACTTCCTGGGGAGTATTGTCATATTGTTCTTCAACTGGGACTTTGTGAAGCAGTCGCAAAGATGGGGTCGCGAGAAGGGGGTCAGGGTCGCTGAGCTGCCCGCTAATGAGGCGTGAGTGCGTGGCTGAACAGACGGCGGCAACGATCGGAGGATGAGTATGAATGGCGCTGATGGCGGGCGGAGATCAGATCATGGCGCTGAGCATGCATGCAATGGCTGTCTTCCTAGCGCGGCCTCGCTGGCTGCTGTCGTTGAAGTAGCGTCTCATCTCGTTAGCAAGCGTGCGAAATTGGCATCTGTACATAATGCAGTGGGCTTGATCGAATTTGATACAGATCTGCACCTATTTACGCCCGACGAGCGATCTGGACCATCTCTCCTCAGCTCGTCTCGAAGCAGCACACACCCTCTCGTAGACACCGACTTTCCCAGACATGTCGCCACATCGCCAGCGCTCACCACCCGCTCCTCCCAAGACTCGCACCGTCCAAACCTTACGACCGATGCAGCCGATAAACAGCCTCCTTCCTGAAATAATGCGTAATGTCATTGTCCTCCCCGCAATGGTCACACTGGTGCATCACCTTCGACCCGTTGTACCCCGGTCCGTGGTGGTCGAGACCCTGTGCTGGGTTGCCGAAGAGGCCTTTGACTAGCTGGCCTGTATTGGAGCGGGTGGGGCCGTTGTTTCTATTTCCGTAGCGATTGTCGTTGTTGTTTCCGTAGGAATTGTTGTTGTTGTAGGAGCTGTCGTTGCGGTTATTGTAGTTGTTGTTGCGGTTCCAGTTGTTGGAGTTGCGACCGTAGTTGTCGTCGTGATCGTTGTTGTTGTCGTTGAAGCGATTGCCGAACATGTTGCGGCCCATGGCGGGATTGTTGTAGTTCCCTCCACTGTTGCGGTCGTTGTTGTAGTTTCTGTAGTTGTCATTGTCATTATTATTGTTGTTGCGGCCGAAGTTCTTCCGCAAGTTGTTGTTGAAGCTGTCATTGTCGTTGTCGAAGTTGTTCCGGGTGCGGTCGTTGTTGTTGTAGTTGTCATTGTTGCGGCGGTCATAGTCGCTCCGGTTGCGACCATAGTCGTCGCCATCGCGGCCGAAGTTGTTCGAGTTGGAGTTGTTGACGCCCCAGGTGTTGCGTCCGAAGTTGCTGTTCCGGCGATCATTGTCATTGTTCCACCTGTTGTCGTTGTCGCGGAACGTGGAATCGTTCTGGCGGTTGTAGTCTCGGCCATCACGCGAGTCGCCATAGCCCTGCCGCTCATTGAACGTGGACTTGGGTATCCCGGAAGCTGTGTCGTGGCGAGACTGGTTGCTAAAGTTGTTGTTGTCATTGTCGCCAGATCTGCGGTCGTCGTCGAACCTGCGATCGTTGGCAGCCTTCGGCGCAGGGCCGACCGCAGGGACGATGCTCGGGATATTGGAATCGTACTTGGCGTTGGCGACAGATCTGCCAATACCGTCTTGGCCCGAGCGATTGTAGGGGTTGTTGCTGCTAGTCCCATTATTGCTGCCGACGCTGTTATAGAGCTCGCGCTGAGGGATGTTCGTGCCTGTCGTAGCAGATCCGAGGACTGTGCTCACAGCAGGATCGTCTCGGAGAGTATCGCCGGAGTTGAGATGGCTGTTGCTGTTGCGGTTCGCGTTTCCGTTGCCAACAGCGCGCCGTTGAACAGACGAGCTATTTGCAAGACCCAGCGCACCAGTCGAGCCGGCGATATTGGCATCGCGACTCTCCTGTTCTTTGCTGGTCAAGCCGGCGCCATGCTGGCCGAAGGTGTCGTTGCCAGCGGTATTGCGTTGGTTGTAATCATCGATGCTCTGATGGGAGCCGCTTGTACCGTTTGTGCCGAAGATGGAAGTGGTGTCGTTCCGTCCACTCAGCGTATTGTTGCGCCCTTGCTCGTTTCGGCTCTCATGATCTTTGCGAAGATCATGGATGCTGCCATGCTTGTTGCTGTTGTCCAGGGTATTGGTGTTAGTGCGATTGTGGCTGAATAGTGAATTCGATCCCGTCGTTGAGTCTGTGCCGTGAGCGGTGCCAGCTAGGCCCACGTTAGAGCTCGAGGCTTTCAGGGTGGAGTCTTGTGACTTACTTCGGTCCACCAAGCCACGATTGTCGGGTGTGGTGTTGTAAGTGCCTGTCCGAGAGCCAGAATGGTCTCCAGTCAGAGCCTCTCCGATGCGTTCTCCAGTAGTGCCGTTATTGGCCGGGTTGTGCGCAGCCGCTGTGCTTGGCAAATAGCTGCTTGCTGGGCGGCGATCTGGTACAGCAGGTGCTTCACGACCTGGCAGAGGAGGCGGCTCCGATCTCCCAAAGTTAGACGTGGGATGCTCTGTAGCGCTGGGTGACGTGACTGTTTGGCCTGTGCCGAACCGGTTCGAGCTCGTGGTATCAACCGAATCGTACTCATCGGCAGGAGTGCGTGTCACCTGCGTGGTGGTTCCGGTGGTGGTGACAGTGTCTGTCCCGTAGCCTTGATCATCATGCGGGTGATGAGACAGGCCATGGTGGTTGTCGTAAGGTCTGTGAGTACTGTTTCCGTATCGACCGTCGTTTTCGTCTCCGCGGACGGCGCCTTTGACTTTGTTTAGGAGAGAAGACATCTTGCTGGATAGACAGAAGCAGAGTCCGATGCTGAAGCAAGCGTAGGCGCGTCTTGGACGAGGACATATATGCCGTACTCGCCAGCATAAGCTCTGCCTCGTCATGGTCTTCTGCATTCCAGCCACAAGATGCCGCCACAGGAGCACGAGCATAGCTTCATTGGCTCCGCTGACATCAATCTTGAAAGCACAAACCCTATGATTCGCGGCTTCTTGTGCCATCGTTGGCTCGAAAACCAGTTTCAGGGATCCCTTGCAACATCTGTGCCGCTATACTACGGAAAAGGCACGAGAGTGACGCATGTCAGTCGAACTTACCCTGGATCTGCGGGGAATCAAGACGTCCAGAGATCGAGATCCTAGATCCAGGTGTGGCGTCGACCCCAAAGCGAAGTGCCCAGACCAGCGTTTACGAGCATCATTCTCCGGTCTGGGCGAGCTCGCCAGGAAAAGTTGGCTGCGAAGGTTTGGGATCTTCTCAAATCGTCATGACGTGTGGCGCAGACGGATATCTTTTCCCATCTGTGGCGCATGTTGGAGACGTCTGGCCCAGGGTCGCAATGACCTCCCGGAGAAGCGCAATTCTAAGCTTGGGCGCCTTGGTCTCCTCATAACACACTGCGGGCTGGAGAATCGCAGAACACCGAAAGCGGCCGATGGAACGATTGTCCGATGCCCGCTAAGGCCATGGCGGGTGAGAAAGAAGGTGCGGTCACCCTGCGTATTCTTGTGGTAGCTCTCGACTTTCTGATAGTGCTCAAATACTTGCCCTGGAATGGCCGATCTTCCTCATATCGTGCCGTAGACCAGGACTCGGCGTTTGGGAACGAGCCTCTTCTCAGTTGGCCTCAGCTAATTATTCAGTTCTACACCGGCTCAATCTCGTCACACTGCCGGTTCCGCCTGTCCCACACTATTTCCAGCTCCTCCAGAAACCGCGCTGGCTGCGAGAAGCCCGTTACCTCCGTCCTCAGCATCAGCCCTTGCCTCACTATGTCTTGATCACTCGCTCCTGCCATGAAGAAGCCGCATGTGTACAGCGGCCAGTTACTCGCGTAGAACTTTGCCCACGCATTCTCGCTTTGATGCTGCTCCAGAATGCGGAGCATGCGGACCGCTTGCCACGAGGTGCTGGCTTTCGGTACTTGGACAGACTCGCCGTCCGATGTAGTGTTGATAGCTTGGTCGAGCAACAGGGACGCGATCAGAATGTACAGATACATCGAGTCTTTGTAGAGCTGATAGTGCCCGAGATTGCTCTGTGCAGCAGCGACATCGAGGTCGCCGTTGGTGAGGAGGAGAGCTTCCCATGACGACAGCTCGTCTTTGAGTGTGGCGATGGCATCGTAGTCGGCTGATGGCGGTTCTGATAGTGTGACTTGGCGGTGAGGACGTGGCGAAACAAGCAAAGAGGCTGCCCGAGGACGGGGCTATTGACAATAGCGGAGTGCTCGGGAAAGAGGTCGGAGCACGAGAGTAAATCTTCAGCACTGGACCAGAAAGATGTATCGAGTTGGGGATTGCTGGAGGGCGGATCAACCCAGGAACCAGCGGCTGTGAGGAAGATTTGGTAGAGACTGCTCTCAATGGCGAGGCGGTCGAGGGGTTGACGGACGCCGCCTTTGCCGTTGAAGAGGCGAAGTCGGAGCAGACCGACGGCGGCGTCGAGATGGCGGGGCACATCATCGAAGGTGGCACGGCCCAGGCAGCCATGGAGGTAGAGAAGGATGATGGTAATGAGGAGGCCGTCGTGGTTGGCTACGCTGTCGACATCGAGAAGCTCGGAGACGTGTTTGATGCCGCGATCATAGTACTCAAGAGCTAGTCCGTGAAGTTGGGAGGTACCAGAAAGTGAATGGACCTGGGCGGCGCTGCAAGCTAGCAGGGCGAAATACAGAGACGGGTGCTTCGTCATGAGGTCCTTGATCTCGCCAAGAGAGCCATGATAGAACTGAGGATGGCAGTCGGGCAGCAAGACCATATCGAAGTAGTTGTCGAAAAAGTTGGCGGACACCAGAGGCTCGACGTCACGGCGCATGATCTGGCTAGAGACGCTTTCCGACCGCAGCGATAGCGGAGGTGCTTGCACGACGATTGCCAGTGTCGCCTGTGCTGATGAGTAGTTTCGGGGTGTGGACGAGGTACTACCTGCGGAGGAGGCGCTGCCCCGACGAGCCACATGCCGCCTGTCGAGCAAATCATGCGCACCAGGCCACTCGCATTTTCGCTGCGACGCCGAGCAACGATCGCAAACGGGAATTCTCTCGTCACACTTCTTGCGGCGGGACCGGCCTGTTCATTCTTATCAGTCTCGCCCCTCTCAGTGGGTCTTCGACTTACAGGTCAGACATCCTGTTTTCGTCCTGAGTCGGCCCCCAGAGGTCTGTGGCATACCGCCACTCACGCTTGAGGTTTGTGACAAGCAACATGACCGACTTGCGAAAGGAAAAACAGCAGGGCACGGGAAAGACTGGTGATAGCTGAAGACGAAACAAAAGGCAAACAGACGGGCGGTCTTGAGTTGGAGAAATTCGGCATATTGCGCCTGCCGACCCAATCCGACCTGTATCTTTCTAGAATAGCTCGATCAGCTGGGCACGAATTCATCCTCTTCTTAGCTTTGACGGGCTTATCTAAAATACCCAAGCATTCGATTGCCTATGATATACAGTTGTCCCAGACCAAAAGACTCATGCCGCAAACGAGAGATCAAGTTTTAGTGCACAAATTTACATGAGAAATTCCGAGATGCAAATCTATTGTGAATACTAGGTATTTATGTGGCCTTATCTGAACGGGCTGCGGCTTCTAGAGCATCCTACCATGAGCAAGGTGTCTCGATTTCCGGTGTTACGGTGATTTTCACTCATGCTCCTGCCTTGGCCTTCTTGGCTGCTACGATGGCCCAGTACTTTGCTGCACTTTTGACACGGAACCCTTTACCGAACTTGATCATAATCAAGAACACCGACGAAGCAGCCATGCCGATGAATGCCGCAGAAACGAAGCAGTTTTGATAGCCCAGCGACGTCAACCAAGGAGTGATGCCGTATGAGATTGCGAACGACATCGTGTTGCGAACAAGAATGACGGTGACGATCGCGTCGTCGGAGATGTCGTGGTAACTGTCGATCAAGTAGTTGACCGACAACGTCACGCCCATCACTGATGTGAACGCGAGGGCGCCCATGGCGAAGATGAGCCCGAACCAGTGCACACCGTGAGCTGCGCCGACGCCCCAAAGGATGAGAGACGCAGGCACACCAACTATACATAGAACGAATGGCCACAGCCGGTGCTCGGCTTCCATGATGCCGTTGTTGCGACGGGCAAGCTTGATCGTAAGCCAGTCGCTGACTCGTCCAGAAAGCAGAGCGCCGATAAGAACGCCGATGCAGCAAGATAGGTAGCTCAGACCGACCATGGAAGCCGGGAAGTTGTAAGGAGGGCCACCGAGAATGATGGACGCGGTAGCGTTGAGAACGTTAAACCAGATCAGGTATGAGCCGTAGGAGAAACCGGCATAGAAGATGACGGGCCAGCTCAGATATTTCAAGCTCACCAAAGCGCGAGAGATCATGCTGTTGCCAGGATGTGGGTTCCAAAGAGCCATCTTCTGCGTAAAAGTTTTTTCGGGAGCATATGCTGTTCCTATCCCCGTTGAGGCAGTCGTCTTGGAGGCGGCGAGAGTCTTCTCGGAATCAGGTTCGACGCGCTCTGGTGGCGGAGTCTCGCTTCGAGAGATGATGCCCGTAGTGCTTCGGGTGTAGTTCGTCTCCTCCTGGAACAGAAACAGGAACACGAAGAGAAAGCCCAGGAAGATCGCTGGCCAGTAGAAGACCCACCTCCAGCCCTGGTATTCGGCGATGAATCCGCAGATGACTGGGGCGAAGTAGTTGCTGCCAGCGAGCGTGATGCTGTAGAGGCTCATATATGTGCCGCGTTGGTGGGTGAAGTACACGTCGGTCACGCTGATCTCAGGTAGGGCTTCGATGGGTGCAAACATGAACCCTTGAACAATACACTTGGCGATCCACTCTCCGTCGCTCTTGACATGGGCACTCCAGATAGTGGTTCCGATGGTAGCGAGGACAGAGATGAGATAGGTGAGACGCTTGCCGTAGCGAAGGGCGAACGGCTGCCAAAAGAGCAGGCCCCAACCTAGGAACAGGAACATGTATCCAGTGCCCTCATTTAGAGTCTTGATGCTGACGCCAGATTGTTCAGAAAGCGGGACTAGCACCGAGTAGACAGTAGAGCCAGAGAGACCTGCGAACCACGTATACCTGTGCGTGTCAGTTGGGGAAAACAATTGTTCGTTAGCCGACTGACAAGTTCGTGCAGATGGTGGACATCATCTTTCTGCGTGGTGACCAGTTAAGTGGATCATTGGGATCACTTGAGGGACTTGGGTCGAGAATGATGTCGCCGGTACCAGCGTGCTGCGCGTGCATGGAATGGTCAAGGTCGACCAGGTGGATGGTGCCGGGCACACGGCCTTCGTCTGAGCTTGAGTGCGCCATATCGCCAACAACGTGGTGCTAGGATGACTTGGCCATTGCTCAGATACACGACGACGCGCGACATACTTATATCAGCGCTTCGTGCGACTCTCTTATCTCGGACGTGCCGGTGGGCTTGCGCAGTGCAATCGTCGCCATTGTCCGTGTATCGCAACACAGGGACGGCCGCGCGGAATCGATACGCTACCTGATCCCGCTTCCAGATGTCGGTATCGCTCCTGAATGGGCGCTGCGAAGTTTGGCGCTATGCAGCAGCGAAGATCAAGAGTGTTGATAAACGGCACCCCAAAAGCCGGCGATTTTAGTTGTCTAGGTGGAGCTACCAGTCTGCGCAATTGCTGGGGATTGGCTCCCTGAGAGATAAGGGCAAAATAAAGCCTTCGCCCCTGGAACGTGGGCGACAGATCGCGGAGATAAACGTCTCGAAACCTGGCGCTATCGGCTGTTGGGCTTGCGCAAACGCTTCTCAGTGGACAATGGGTCGCTCCAGCGAGCATGCTGAACTCCGCCCCCGCCATGGCACCGCTTTCTGCGTGTGGACGTTCTTGACTTCCTATCTCATCATGAACGACAAGCACAACCCTCGTCCGCAAGCCGTCCATGCGATGTGTAATCATGGCTACGGAGGCAGTCGTACAGTACCCTAGCTTTCCTGCTGCTAATCGCACTGATACAGATGTAATGTTTAATGGTCGATCGGGAAGCTAACCACATGGGCAGACTTCTACATCGATAAGTATTAAACTGCGCAGGCTTCATCGAAGTACAATATAATCCCGCGCTGGTGTGTCACTGCTCTCTCTGGTTGCTGATATTCTGTCACGACCCGGAAAGCCGCCCTCGCACACATCTCTCGCCATGGATTCAAGATCTCTTCCGATCATTGATGCGAAGCCTATGATAGAAGGCACTGCTGACTACGAAGCCGCACGTCTGCCATTATTCGCCGCCATCTCCTCCAACATCCCCGAGGAGTGGTATCTCCCACAAGAGCTCATCGATAACCCTCCCAAGGATGTGTCCAATATCCCTACCACTTGTGGACTCCTGAGTGCCGAGGAACTCGAGATTACAGAGAAGCACGATGCCACCAGTCTCGCCGAGGCTATTGCTGCCCGCAAGTACTCGGCAGTCACTGTCGTCAAGGCGTTCATCAAGCGTGCTGCCATTGCACACCAGCTGGTGCGCTGTCTCACGCAGTTCTTCCCCAAAGACGCCGTGCAGCAAGCCGCAAAACTCGACGAGCACTTAGCTACCACGGGCGAGACCGTGGGGCCCCTACATGGCGTGCCTGTGAGCATCAAAGAACACATGGCCATTGCTGGACATGACTCCTCATTTGGTGAAATAGCTTCCACCTTCTCCGATGACGAGGACTGCCTGATGGTCGCCATTTGCGCAAAGCCGGCGCTGTGTTCTACTGCAAGACAAATCAGCCTCAAGCCATCATGCACCTTGATTGCAGCTCGCATTTTGGCCGTACACTCAATCCATACAACATTCATTTGACATGTGGTGGATCGTCTGGAGGCGAAGGCGCTCTGATTGCGTTGAAAGGTTCAGTCTTAGGCGTAGGAAGCGACATCGGCGGTTCAATACGGGCACCTGCCGCTTTCTGTGGCATATACGGCTACAAACCAACCTCGAACATCTTACCCATGCAGGGTATGCTGAGAGGAGTCATGCCGGCCGAGTTGAACATTCTAGCAGCCACAGGTCCAATGGGCCGCAGTCTTCGGGACATGGATTTCATGACTCGAGTTGTCACTGAAGCCAAGCCATTCCTCGATGATCCCAAGATGATACCAACAGTCTGGAGAGGACTACAAGAACCAATCAAGAGGCGACTCAAGGTGGGCATCATTGAGAACGACGGCTTCATCGAGCCACAACCTCCGGTCAAGCGAGGTATTGCCTGGGCACGAAAGGTTCTCTCGGACCCAAAGTATAGCCATATTGTCGAGCTGAAGGAGTTCCGTCAGTACAAAGCGGAGGAGGCGTTTCGGAAGGTATCGCGGATGTTTGTTCCTGACGGCGGAGCAGGCGTTATTGCAGCTATTGAGGCCGGCGGCGAGCCGGTCCTACCTCTGACGCGCACCTTTCTGGCCGGGAACTCCAAGATGAGCAATGCCGTCGAGGTCTCAGACATGCGTTTCGAGCGTGACACCTTCCGCACAGAATATGCCAAGGCGTGGAATGCTCAAGACGTCGATGTCGTGCTGGGGCCATGTCACGTCGGACCTGCTGCCGCTCACGACACTGCTCGATTCTGGACTTACACGGGGTTTTGGAACTTCGTGGACTATCCCGGTCTCGTTTTTCCGACCCCAATCAAAGCGGAGCTGGGCGAGAAGTACGCCGAAACTTACAAGCCTCTTTCGGGGGAATGTAAAGCGGTGAAAGAGTTGTGGGATGCTGGGGACTTCGAAGGCGCTCCCGTCAATCTTCAGATCAATGCTCGAAGGTATCACGACAATGAACTGTTTGGCGCGTTGGCATTGTTGAAGGATGCGCTGAGCCTCTCATAGAAGTCACCTCCAATGCCAAATCATGTGAACGGACACCATTCCTTGTGTAGAGTGTGAGCCAACTGCTGAGAGTCAGCGTTGACGCCTGCGCATATCGCACGCCAGGACTACTTCTCATGGCCAAACATAATGTCCTTACCTTTCTCCATTTCTTTGTCGCGGAAGTAACAGCTTGATGCGTGCGTGATGAAGGCCGAAAAATACAATAGGACGACTCCACTTCCAGCTACTCATTTTCCTCGAAACCACAAGCATAAAAGAGAGGTTCGGAAGCAGCGGACAACGCCCGCAAGCAACCAACATGAGCTGAGTCCCACGCCTACGGCTAGCTCTTCCCCGCAACCTCTTCGAAAATTTAAGCTTAAACTAAAGCTTGGTTTCTTCCACGCTGTCAAGCACTCTGGAGAGCATTTCTTCCTACCGTTTGATCAGTCCGTGAAGGCATAATAGCCCCTGTTATGTGTACTTTGCCAGTTATGTTCTCATTCTACACTGTAAACATGCTCCATACAGCGTGTGAGTCAGGCCGCATGCTCTTGCATGGAAATATACGGGATCATCTCAGCAAGGCTGAAATAAACTTCGTCCAGAATTTGACAGCGATGCCGGCGCGTTGACGCAATGCAACTTGCATTTCTTCTTGAAAGTATACTGAATCAACAGGTAAGACACTTGAAGCTATCTTGAGTCGCCAACACTTTCAGGACGGTGCGGTGGGCATGCCTTACCATGAAGATTAGTCGCTTCTGTAGCAGGTCTATTTGCCTGCATGCACATATGGCAGAGCTACGTTGGCTGAGCTCTGACTCTTTCAGGACTCAACTGTCGCCCAAAGAGTCTGTCAAAGCCCACCACTCTACCTGGTTCATGCGGACCGAACAACTCGAAAGCCAGATTCGACATTGCCGATCGAGATCGAGATGCTGATGCTATTCTCAGCCGCATAGCCGCAAGTGTCACCTTCACATACGGATGGAACAGTCAGTCCATGTGTACACATTGCCACGCGTCCGACTCTATCCCCGCACTTGCGAGAGGTCTGATTAACGGCTGATGGGTGTCAACTAAAGCCAATTCATAGCCGGCCTACTTATCCGTCGACCTCTACCAGCCGCTTACACATTTACAGATGCAGACTTTACCCATCGCACGATACCACTCGCAAGGAAGGTGCATCAGCTCGATGTTCTCAGCATGATGGTCGAACTCTGCACGAAAAGTTGTACGGAATCATGACGCGAAGCATTAGAAGAGAGCTCTAACGTTGTGTTCTTTGAGGTATAAGAACCTCTCGTGGCTCGCATCTCGAGTGCTATCAGTCCCTCACGCCCACACCTTGTTCACTCGTTCGCACAGGAGAGTAGCCGCAGCCCGAAAGCAACTTTCGCTCAATCAATCAATATGTTCAAGCTTCTCGCCCTATTTGCCGTCGCGGCCCTCGCCGCCCCTCAGGACTGGCAGAACCAGGAATGCCCAGCATGCCCATCGTGCCCTCCACCGCCTCCACCACCAGCACCAGTCACTCAGACTGTTACAGTTACTACAGCTCAGGTATGTACCACAACACTATACTCTTGACTCGAGCCTCCTTCTGACATAATCTAGTGGGTGGATGTTTACATTACGCCTGCCCCGGTTACCGTTTGGAGCACCGTCTACGAGGCGTGCACTCAGGGATGGGGCGACCATTAATCAGAACGTACCATGATACAGCTGGGCCGCGGCGGGAAAAGTTTGTAGTCGTGGCTCCCATGTCCGACCGTTGAAAGTCGACGTCCATTCTCTCAGCTACATTGTCAAAGACAGGATCTCTGCAGCATCACGAGGAACGCTAGAGAATACAAGCTCTAGACGTTCGGGAGCACTTCAATTCGATCGCTGCGCACGATGATATGGGACTTCAGTGTCTACTGAGATGCAAGACCCGAGTAAAAGTACGATGATATTATCATCCTAATCGTAGTTAAGCAACATGCGTATACTTCACGTTCACTTGCAGTGTCGATTTGTCTTCCGCTTGACCGCCACAATTTGCTTTCCCGGCTGTGGCGCGTGTCAGAATTGCTTGCGGCATGCTCGGACTACCTGCATTCAGGCGTGTCGTGGCTGTCATATTCAATCTGCGTACTTTGTAACAGCCACACTACACTTTGAGAGATTCCAACATCGCCCCTCTTGGCGGCAGAAAGCGACTGAAGTTAATAAGCCTACGAAGACGAGCTCTCTTGGAAGCATGACCCCACACTGGAGCCGGTAACAACAACGCGGGTGACTACGTCGAATTCTGCGAGCTATTAGCGCAGGTCACTTTCCCGTGCTCGACTGAATCAACTTGGCGCGAGCAGAAAAACCCGGAACCGAGAAGCCTCTTGCAACCTTCGATCATGTCATCGACGGCCTTGCCAGACCATCCCAGATCTAGCCTGCACCTGCGCAGCTCCAACTAGTCTGAATTGTTCCGCCTGGTCCGAAAACTTCTATTAGGCCTTCGATAGCGGCCCATGTCCCCATGCCCGACGCGACAAGTCCACCAAAAGCAATCAGTAGAGCTGGAACGCTCCAATACCAGGTATTCCGCAACCCGCGCCAATACCTCCGCATGCCATTATCTGTCCTCGTCGTTCTTCCCGAGTGCGGATCGTATCCTTCGCCCGGAAGTGCTGCACCATATTGTATGATGTATGCTGCGAACATGATAGCAGGAATACTGTAAGTAGAATTGAGCGCCAAAAATGCACCGATCAAGCTCGCCAGTGCGCTGAAATTGGGGATCGACATGCTGAGTGCCCATGCGGCGATCCAGTAGAACGGTCCGATGATCAGCACCACATGTAGCCTTTCTGAGTATGGAGCGGTGGTAGGTTGCACATCGGCTGTGCGAAGTTGACATACACCATATTCATGCCGATGTTGAAATACATAAAGACCGCAATGAAAGAAGTCAACAGTGCGAGAACCATACTAGCGACTTGGACCGAATGGGGCGAGACAACTTGCGTGGTAGAGCCGACAGTGTACTGGCCGAAAAATGTGTAGACCACTGTGCCGAAGACGAGGTATAGCACGATGATGAGCACCTGCGCCAGCAACGCCGCTTTCCAGAAATCCATGGGATGGCGCATCTCAGACAGGAAGGCCACGGAGGCCAACGCGCCCGAATAAGCGTAAACTATACTGTTGATGCCGTTGAATTGGGCTACGAAGAGGTCTGTTGACTGCTGTTGGTACTGTGCAGGAGGTACTCCCCAGAATGTCTTCACCGGCAGGGCGTTTTTAAGCAGTGTGGTCTGCAGTGCGTACTCTGGCCTAGGTCCAAACTTGGCGGCAAAGACCAGAATCATGATGAAATTGGCGACATTGGTCCACACGCAGAACATGGCGAAGATGCCCACGTGTGCTAGCGAGCGCAGCACGCACGAACAGATGCCAATGATGGTGCAGATGATGCCAATGACGATACAGCACAACCGCCCACCGTTGAGCTGCGACATCAGTTGGCAGATGAGCTGGATGTTGACCGCTACGGCGCAGAAGATCTGGAAGTTCTGGGCATGCGAGATAAAAGAGTGCGTCTTGGGACCAAACAGGCGGAAGAATGGGTCGCCAAAGCTGACCATCGGATAGCGAGATGAGTCAAGACCAACAAATGTGCGCCGGATCATCAGAGCTGAGGCCATGGCGGCAAGACCAAACAAGACGAAGATGCCAATAGCGGTATTGTACCCGACGCTAGCAAAAACGAACGGCGTTTGTGCCCAGCCGATCACGTCGGTGGTAATCAAATAGAAAATGGTCGCCCAACCCGCTGTGCACAATGCTCGCGATGCGCGGCGCCATTCGGTGTCGATATGGTGTGTTTGTGGCTGTCCGTTGCTGGCCGATGCAACAGCAGTGTCGTTGCCACTCCATGGTGCGGAGCTCGCAAGGAGTGTAGGGGCAGGAGCATTCGGTACTGCTGCAGCGGCCGGTGAGGCCGTCAGTGCCCTGTACCAAGTCTTGATAGCCTGTCCCACGGACTGTTCACTCTTGACTGCACAACGGAGTCGGTGCTCCTCTGGTTCCGATTGGCGTCAAATGTTGGCCCAGTACGAGTATTCCTGGAATGTAACGTTTGCGTCCATGCGACAGGCAAGGCCCCTTTGCTTTTTGGGAGGCGGAATGGTGCTGGTAAGGCGCGTGGGTCGTGAAGTATGCGGCAAGCAATTAAGATCGTCTGGATTCTGCTTATTGGTAGTGGCAAGCTTCTCCTGATAGGACATACTGAGCTTCTGCTTGTGGGTATACCTGCTACGAAGGTTGAATGAGGCAGGGTAGTAGCCATTATTCTCACACGAGAACACAGAGTGCTTTCGAAATCAGACCTTTCAGCTCCACTCCATCTCGAAATGAGGCTCGTTGCTCTTGTCTTCAGCTTGTATCAGTCAGAACGAAATAGATTCAGCGTAGCAAGGCTTGGGAAAAGTGCCTATTCGAGCGCGAAAGTTTGGGAGATAAAGTGGGCTCAGTCTCGGTCGCCGAGCTTCGAGACATGCGCAGATGGTCACGAGCGGCGAAATTGTGATGCATACGCATAAATTTGTTCTATAACTCCTGTGGCTAGAGGCCGGACTGATGGTAGCGAGACCGAGGATATTGTCGGCAGCCAGCTGTGAACTACATATGACCTGACCACGATTATGCGGAGCAAGGCGAGTGAGGCTCTGCTTCCCGAGAGGTTATTCTCAAAAGCGTGACGGGGTGCTAGCCGGCCCAGGGTCCTTCCCTGTCGCAGCACCGAAGATGATATCAATGACCTTCTCCCTCTCGTCTTCCTCGGCCCAACCCTCGTAGCGAAATTGTTTAAGCATGACCCGACGCATCGGCGACTCCATCTCCACGTACTCGCCCCCACGACTATATATACACTGCCCGTTTCGTCCTTCATCCGTCGCAAACAGCGCAACGCTTCTGGCAACCGCCTCAGGGGGCTGACTAACTACTCCTAACTCGTTGAATTGCTCTACCGATAGCGGCACCTGTCCTGTCCGCGTCCAGCTAGGCGCAACTGCATTGATTCGAAGTGGTAGATTGTGGTTCCGGACATGTGTGTAGGCACCACGGAGCAGACCGATGACGCCATGCTTCGAGGTACATAGTCTGGTGCATCAAACCATTGGTAGGATGTACTGGATGCTGTTAGAATGATTGAACCACCCGCTGGGATTTGTTGGCTGATCATGTAGTGAGAAGCTAATGCGACTTGGTTCGCCAATGCGTGCAGATTGACATGGAAGGTCAATTTCGACGGTTCTGAGAGACTGCCGTCGGGGAGCTGTTGCAAGACCCCAACGAAGTTTGCCTTTGAGTACATGCCTGCGTTGGCGTGAAGGACATCGATGCGCTTGTGTGCAGAATAAACGTCTTGGAAAAGGGCACACAGGTCGGTCCAGGAGGTGACATCGAGAGGCACGAAAGTAAACCTGTCCGTGGTGATGGAGGTCTTGGGCGGTTGTAGGTCGGCGCCATAAACGATCGCGCCTTTGGATAGGAAGAGCTCGACCGTGGCGAGACCAATGCCAGATGATGCTCCTGATGATCTGTAAGTGCTGCTCGAGAGAAATGTCGAGGAAAGTTTTCATGCCTGTAATGATTGCGACTTTTTTCTCCAAGGAGCCAATGTCGTTTTCACTAATTTGGAAGTAGGCCATTGTCACTCTCTCCGCACTGTCCGGAGCCAGTTGAAGTCTTGTCTATCGTTCTGCGCCGACGTAGGCTCAGCAACTAGTCCCGGGTAACGCTGATTGACATCGGTCGTACAAGACTCGTAGCGTCCTGGAATGGGATCTGCTTGTTTATCAGCCCGTATCTGCGCGCATACGTAAGTTATTGCGATTTCCACGTCGGATCGTGTGGCTACCTCCCAACGAACAGAGCTTGATGCCTTCCCACGCTCGTAGCTTGAGCCCTGCTTGTATTCCTTCCACGTTCGGAGTTACGAGATTTGCGAGGAATAAGCTTCCCGAAACACGGCAATCGGAAAATGGGGGTTGGAGCTTTAATACGCCACAGAAAACGGGTACTCGAGGATTTTGAGGTGTGTGTGGTGTCGGTCTAATATCATTTCACATCTGCTGGTGTTAAGGCAGGATAACATATCGGAGTGTAGCGTGCATTGGTAGGAGCACCGTTCATATATACTTCCCTGCCGCGGACGACCAAAGACCAGCCGGAACAGGTCGCACACACAACTTCGACATGGCTGAACAATCAAAGATTGATACATTGATGGCAGGTTGTGTTAGACAATGGCCTGGGACGCTGCTGCGACTTGAAGGAGCTGCTCTCGCCGCTGCATCAATTTGGGCATTTCGGAAGAATGGTGGATCATGGTGGTTCTTCGCCAGCGGCATCCTGGCACCAGATCTCAGCATGGTGGGATATGTTTCTGACCCGGGCACTGGAGCTGCATTTTACAACCTAGGCCACACCGAGACAATACCACTGCTGATCGCCTTAATTGGATTAGGACAAGGACGTCCACGCATGTTCAATGTTGCGATGGTTTGGCTGGCACACATCAACTGTGAGTATATCTGATGTTACGTTTGATGTAAACAGCATACTGACGCCTTCCAAAGTGGATCGCATGATTGGCGCTGGACTCAAGTACGCCAGCGGATTCAGCGATACGCATCTTGGCTTCTGGGACGGGTACACACGGCGGAAAATATGACGACTTCGCAGGTTTTTCTCAGCAAAAGGCTTTCGGAGGCTGCTCGAAGGTGGCCATTCTGAGACTTTCAACATGATATCAACCATCAAAGAATCGTCCTAGGCCGCTCGGGAGATGGTTCAGGGCGGGGCGGGGAAGGCACACGGAAAACCTACGTCATGATTTCCGGCTGCCGTGTCTGGGACTGAGCTGACCAACAACCACACGAGGTCACGGAAGGATCTGCCACAGAGACTTAAACAGGGTATGCGATGACGCGGAGCTCGTGTGGTCGAGTAGACGTAAGAGACATTTGTAAGAGCGCCGAAGGGTGAATAGAATCGTCCCGACGTTTGCAACATGTATTCTGGCCTTTTGCTGTGGGCGCGACGCGGGGCAGACAAACTTTGAAAGTCTCCACGTCCGCACCCCATCGGCTCAACCCCACTTGTAGCTGTTGTGGATCTGACCTCGCACTGGCAGGAGCCATACGCAACGACCAAGACATCTGGCCTCAAATGCTCCCTCGTCCGTGCGTCTAGCTAGACTTACTCCGCGTACTCTGGACATACATCCGTTGACTGTGTAATGGCCACGAAGCAGCAAGCATCTTCGAGCCTTCTATGTCAGGACGACCGAGAACAGCTTGCAAGACCTGCAAGGCTCAGAAAGTAAGCGGCAATGAGCATCCTGTGACTAGCGGCTGAGTCGTACACCCAGATCCGCTGTACAGGCGAGAGGCCGACCTGCAGACGTTGCACCCGTCTTGCCCATGATTGCTCCTATGCCGAGCCCGACACTGTGTCTAGAGCTGCCGAGAGAGAGAAAGCCCGATCAAAATCAGCCCATCACCAGAATGTAGGAGCTTACTCCAATGTTTCCACAGACTTTGGTAGCAAAACCCACGGCAACTATCTTGGAATTCCTGGACAGCTGATTGTTGAGCTGACCGCGATCTACTTCGACAACGTGTCCAATTCTTCTCTGGTTCTACATAAAGCTCGCCTCCTTCATGCTATCGAAGCTGGAACAGCTGCACCCCATGTCGTACTCAGTGTCTGTGCTTGGGGAGCCAAGTAAGTCGCAGTCTTACAGCCTGAGTCTCCCACTAGCTGATTGAAACAGCTTCTACAAGGACAAAAATGACTCAGCATCCCTAAAGACAAACGGCTTTATGACAGAATGGGCGCATCAAGCAGGGCGACTTGCATTCCAGGAGATCGAAAGCTTCAGCAAAGATCTGGTAGCGACCTTACTTAATTTGACACTCTTCTGGCACAGCCAAGGATCTTGGAAGGTCAGCTCGTTATACAAGGGTAGGTAGACTGCGTCCTACGCACAAAACCGATGGGCTGTGCTAATCATTGTAGCCAACGCGTTTCATTATCTGTGCATACACGGAATCGGAGACACAGTGCTCATGCAGGCACAAACACTCGAGGTTGAAGTGCAACGCCGACGGTTTTGGGCATGGTACATTATGCACTGTCACAATAACGAGGGATTAGGTGCATTGGAGCCCGTCGGAGACTTACAGAGCCTGCCCCTACCATGGTCTGAAGAGGACTACGCCGCCGGGTCGTTATCGAGCCACTCAGTAACTCTAGTAGCATCCGACAAGGGCAGCGGTTCAATATTCGCCGAACTTACAAAGATTATGACCATGTGGTAAGCGTTATCATTGGTAGGGTTATATGTCGAAACGCCACTAATTCGTTGCCAGGTCACAAGCTGTCAGTCTTATCAAGACTCCAGAGGCACACCTTACGGCGACTAGGATAACAGCAATATATGAACTGGACGAGAAGGTCTCCCATTGGTGGAAAAATCTACCCGAAGACCTGAAGTTGGAGCCGAAATCCTTCACTGGAGTAGCCAAAACCGACCTTCCCCGAATTCTACTAACAAACCTCGTTTATCATCAGACCTTATGCGTGCTGCATGCCTCCATCGTCCCGTTGTTCTGTTGGACTGCAGGCAACGGCGAATGGTCGTCTGTAAGACAGTTATCTGCGCAGGTTGCATATGAGCATGCTTGTGCCGTGTCGGCACTTATTGGAGCAGTGCTATCTTCCTTCGACCGACTTAGCGCTATGGCCACATTCGTGGCGTACGCAGCATACGGAGCTGTGCCATCTTGATACCTTTCATATGGTGTTCGAATTTGTTAGTTCGTCAGCAAGCACAGCGCAGTGTGCGAACAAATGTTCGCATGATTTCTGCTATGGCTGAGTACTGGAAGTTTGCAGAGTTACTGGTTCGTGCCTCCGCGCAGCTTTCCGTGTTGGACGCTAACATTCACGACTCCAGACTGTTCACGTGACATGTTTATACAATATCCACAAGCGGGACCCACCGTCACTGGAGAATGAGCCAAGGCACGCCAACGTTCGCGGTCTCACAGACTTTAAAGTCGAGGCATTATATGCCCGAGTGTCAATTCTGGAGTTCCTGGGCATACTGCGCAAAGGCCCCAGTAATTTCACCGAACCTGGACAAGAAACCACAGATCTTGGCATCAAAGAAGGTGCCAGTGCCGCAGAAATATCCGTCAATGCGGGTGACGGTCTCTCAGGTGAGTCGCGGAAGTACGTTCGAACTGCAAGCTGACTTCGAGACAGAATCTCTCGATAGTGGGCAACAAATGAATCTCCTTACTAGCAATGCTCGACAGTCATTCTATCCACATAATGTTCTTCCCGATCTGATGCAGTCTCAACAGTGGAATCTAATCCCACCTGGCGGACCTGGTGTAGACATGTTCTCACCGGCTTTTGACCTGTACAACTCAGAGCTTCTGGCAGCCAATGGTTCGGTGGATCTGACCCAGAACGAGATCACGTCTGGCTTTCTGGACATTGATGGATGGGACTTTGGTCCAATGTCGATGGTTTAGTCTCGTCAGTAGCCCGTCTAGACTGGTCAAGCCGTAAATTAAGGATTTTACCGTTTTGTGGGCCGATCGCGGCTGGAAGGGCCATGTGAGAAGCGGGCCTGGGGACTGATCTAAAGCTGTTGTATTTCGGTCGTGCCCTCTTCCTAGTCCTCGCATAATAAGGTCCGTCCTTCGTGTCGATTGCCTGGAACTTCTTCATCGCCTCCCGAGCTCCTCGTGGGGCATGGCGTCCGGCGTAAACGCCGTCTTCGCCTGCCGCAATCCACATTTGCCGTCAACGCCAATGTGTGCTGAGGATGTTGACGAGAAGCAGGTCGGGATGACGGCTGAAAGCAGGTACGTACGGTATCATGAGGTTGTTCAATCAGGGCGAGCCCACAAATCTTGAGTGGAACACATGCAGTGGATGGAGTGACATCAATCCCTCGTGGCGGAAGGTAGCATACTTTCGGCAGCAAAGCCTACATTCTGGAGGAAGACCCGATAAATCACAGCTTATCGAGATCAAGTGGTTTGTTTTATCCTCCAGTCTAATAGTTGATGAAGGCTTATTTTTCTTAAAACATCATCCAGAGGCTATAAAATTATTCGAGGCCAGACATCTCCTCTAACTTATCAATTTCAAAGGTTTAATCTCGGGAATAACTTGAAAGACTTTAGGTGTAGTACACTGACGACCAGCCTTAACCTTCCAGACTAGTATGAAAGCTGCAGATACTTGATCATTATACGTAAACAGCTTGAACATCTACTGAGGGTCATTTCAAGCTAGAGTCAACTAGAAGCGTGGTGATATCTCTTGGAAATGACATACTTGGCGATCTGTGATTCTTTGCCGGAAACATGCTGCCCTGAGGCACGAAATATTGCTTACGCCAACTAAAATTTACAATCAGGACGACAACTGGACACGGGATAACGGAGAATAGAGCTCCATGGCCGAAGAAGACGGAAATTAGTGGAGCAGGCGTTCGGGGCGGGCTTCTGGGGAGAACATCTGGCAGAAAAAGCTCATCGAACTCTTCGGCGAATCTCGTCCGGTCCGGTGCGATAGTATAAGGTTGGAACTAAATTCCACCGCTCCTGAATTCTCCTTGGTTGTCGTTTTACTAATCATAGCTTGTAGTGTCAAGGCAAGTTCTGACAACGTCTTCTGACTGCTGTAATATGACAGAAGAAGAGTCGAAATCACAATTCAAGACGAGTGCCGACCTTATATATCCCAGTGAAATATTGTAACACTGACTGGCCCCACGGAGATCCACTTCCATTGTCTTGATACTCAGGTATAAACGTACCAGGTATCCGCGCTCAGCACACAACCAGAAACTTACGACGGTGTCATCATGAAAGCAGCTCGTTTTCATGGCGCACGAGACATCCGAATTGAACGAGTGCCTATGCCTCACATCACCTCCCCCAAACAAGTCTTGATCGCTATTGAGTGGTGTGGCCTCTGCGGTACGGACCTGCACGAGTATCTCTCAGGACCGGTGCTGATTCCATCACCGGACAAGCCGCACCCGCTGACAAGCGAATCCCTGCCTGTTGTGATGGGTCACGAATTCTGCGGTCGGGTCCGCCAGCTGCCGGAGGATTATGTGGGTAGACTGAGGGTGGGAACGCCCGTCATGGTCGATCCGCGCATCTTCTGTCACAGTTGTGCGACGTGTACGAATATATCGACCAATTTTTGTCCCGACATAGGATATCATGGTTTGACTGGCAATGGGGGTGGACTGAGCGAAATGGTAGCTGTTGAAGTGGAGATGTGTCATATCCTCCCGGAAGATGCGGATTTAAAAATGGCGGCATTGATCGAGCCCTATCGGTGGCGAGGCATGCAGCAAGAGTTTCTGGAATGGGAAGTCTTATCGGCTTGACGGTGCTGATCTTGGGCGCTGGGCCAATTGGTCACGCCGTGGCGCAAGTCTTGAAAGCACGGGGCATCAGACGAATTCTCTTGTCTGAGCCGACAGAGCTGCGCCGAAAGCAGGTCGCGCATCTTGTCGAAGTGGTTGTCGACCCGACATCTCAAGATCTTGTTGCTGAGTGTCGACGTATGACCCACGATTCTGGAGTTGACGTCGTCTTTGACTGTGCTGGGGCTATGCAGGCCATGAACGCCGCATTTCAGGCATTGAGGATCAGAGGAACGTACGTTAACGTTGCCGTCGCATGGTCCTCGCCGGTAAGTGAAGGGCCGAGCCGCGACTTACATTTTGTTGACTTGTGATCTAGCCTGTTATTCCTCTAATACCCTTTATGCTCAAGGAGATCACTATCAAGGCAGCGCTAACGTATGAGGACGAAGATTTTGCAGCTGTAGTTGCCGACTTCTGCGCAGGTCAGTCCAAAGTGCCCCGACTGTGCTGGTCTCTTAGTGCTAATTAGTATGGTACGTAGGCAGATATGAGAGCCTTGAGTCGATGGTGACGGCTCGAATTGGCCTCGATGATGTCGTCGAAGAGGGCTTCAACCAACTGATCCGGCCCGACAATACTCATATTAAGATTCTTGTCAGGCCAGCGGTTGATGAGTAAAGCACTGACAACAGGGGCACAGTAAAGTTAACACACCAACACACCACCAAAGAACGGTTCAGTCGGGCCTCCTCGCTTGAGCCATAGTACAGCAAAACATTATCAGACTGGAGGAGGTCACACCACGATCTCGCAGCACTACTTGATCTCCTGGGACCCGAATTTTTCGTCACCCTCTTGCAGCCATTCGTACCTTGAGATCTCCAATCGTGCGAGAGTCAGAGCCATGGCTGTCCTTTGAGCGGATATCATGTACTTGGCCTCAGACCCCATGTCCATGGTGACATATAAATATGAACTTTACTGCAAATACACGAACTTTGAGTGGAGCGGGAGGACGACTAAGCCCAAGTGCCCTGTCAATGAATCGTGTCTTAAGCAGAACCAACGAGTTTCCTCCGCCTGCCCCACCTTTGAAGCAATTGTGATCGGGGAGTGTATTCATAGCCTATAGTTGTGGCGGACTTATGGGTAGAAAACTACCAGGTACGTCATGTGGAACTTGAGAACTTGCCGATGTATCTCTGCAGAAGGCCTTACCATTGGGCCACAGGCGTGAATGACTGGGATACTTAATAGCATAAATTGACGCGTGATAGCATTGGGCTAGTGCTGTGCTGGATCCCGCAGATATCCGCATAGGACAGTACCGCCGACAATGGTTTATCCGACATCGATCGGGGAACGAGTGTCTGTTGCTGCAAGTGTAGGCGGGCGACGGTGCCGCTACGGATGTGGAGAGGGTCTTGGTAGTGCGCTTCTGTCCTGATGTAGCTGCTCCGGTCTTACTCGAGGTCCGACCAGAGTTTTCAGGTGAGAGGTAAATTATTGTCTATAGAGTTGCCTGCCTACAAGATATTCAATCGAGCTGCGCGAATGAACGGCAGCCCCGCAAGCACGTCAACCAGTGACGCAGCGCTGTGTGCCTCTAGCTTTTCGTGGCCTCATTCAGCAGGTCTGTTGGGCTCGAACCATCACCTCAAGGCCCGTCTGACGCAGCAACACGGTAGTCCTACCATGTGTAGGCTGCGGGACTGGTCGAGCCAATCAGTACTTCGGCTCAGCTTCTCGAGAGCATGGGATTTTGCCTAGTTTCCCCGTCTCCAAGATCTCGCATCAATCCTGATTGTACAAACCGTATTTCTTGACCGTCCACTGGCTGATTCTGGCCCCATACCAATACAGCGGCACCGCCGTGGCAAATGTGACGCCCTCGATGAGCGTCATGTATCCTGACATCTTGACAAATCCTGAGTTGACCGTCCATGGGGTCACTGCAAAGCTGACTGCGAACGCAAACACACCCCGGAAAACTTGCAGAATTGTGATGACATCCGCGCTCAGCGGCTTGTACGTATCGACCATGTACGTGATACAGATCGTCGCGACAGCGCAGACGACACCATAGGACACGCCTGTGCCAGTGATCGCGACATAAGGGTCGAGTTGATAGCCCAAGCCGCATCCCCAGAGTAAGAGGCCGATTGGGCCGCAGATAAAAGGTCCAATAAGCGACCACAGGCGATACTCTGCTTCGAATTGACCACGGTGACGGACAGACAGCCAACGGACGATATAGTCCGAGCCGGGGCCACCGTAGAGACAGCCTATGATGCCGCCAATGAGAGCCTAGTGAAGATAGAGTCACATTAGGAATGGGCGTGAAAAAGGTGGTTGGGAAAACCCGCTTGAGAGGGACGGGAACATACTGCGATGTTGATGTTGCCCACGCCAATAGTGGAGAAGTTGTAGATCTCGGAAAACGCTGTTGAGTTGGCGGTGGCTTGAATCACAACCCAGCCAAGTGTCAGGCCGTAGTTCACCGATGCAAACAACACGACTGGGAGAGGCAAGAGTAGGATTGGGCGGATGAAAAACTTCCACAGAGACGTCTCGCTGTATAACAAGTCCTTCGTCAGTCTTTTGCTCTGATGATAAGTGGGGAGAACCATTCCACAACGAGAGCCGAGGTCGAACATACCGATCATACCACCGCGTCAAACTCAGTGCCGCTTGGGGACCCAGATTGATCGACCTGCGCAACTGCTCGAACTCAGTGGGTGTCATGCCAGCTTTGTTGTCCGCAATGGGTCGTCGGAAATTGGTCTCGGGAATCAAGAAAAAGACCGTGAGCATGCAAATGCCGCTCGGAATTGCTGTCATCCAAAACACCCATCGCCATTGGGGTGTGGCGTGTGCGACCAGACCGCCAAAAACGGAGCCTAATGCTGGTCCAGCACCTTGCATGAACGCGTAGAGACCGACCATGGTGCCTCGTTCGTGCAGGAAATACATGTCAGATGCCTATTAGCCCCAATAAGTACTTTGCTGGACATCGTTGTTCTTGTGCAAGGGAACTTACAATGGCAACACCGAGAACCTCACACGCAGCAGCAGCTAAACCGCTGATCGTGCGGGCTCCGAGCAAGGATGAATAGCTAGTGGCTACAGCACACCACACTGCTGTTGAACTGTAAGAGGATAGATCTTGCAGTTCTGAGGGAAGGTAACTGACCACTGCCAAAGAAAAGCATCGAACAGGCGATGAAAGTCGGTCTCCTGCCAAATTTCTGAGCAAGGGGAATCCAGAACAGGTTCTGTACGAAATCAGCGCCAGTGTAGGCTTATACCTTGAGCGACTCACGCCGACGCCGGTAGCTAGAATATTTAAAGTAATAAGACGTGTCGCCTGCGCGACACTTATCTGAAAGTCGATGAGAATAGGCACGATGATTGGCGTGATACTGCCGTTGGCGAATTGCGACATGAAGACGAAAAAACACGTCGACACCATGGCGACGTGCTTTCGCCATTGGTGCCAGACCTGCCGCAAGTTGTAGTCAGCGCAATGCTCGAGCTATGTACAGTATGATCGTGTCAGAGGTACATACCAGTGGATCTGCCGGATCAGCAGACGGACACGGAACGAGGTAGCGCTCGATAACTTCCCCATTAGTATTCTCTGTTTGCAGGAAAGTTTCACCATCAGTATCGCTGTTCCGAACTGTGTCAGAGACACAGTGACATGACATCGTTACCTTTGTACAGATACGTGGCGTTGTCGTTAGTATTCGTTCGTGCAGTGCTGAGAGTCTCCTGTTCTTCGACACCCATGTCGTGCAATGGAATCTCGCGTTTGTGTGCGAAGCTGCTCTGTTCGTTTGTCTCGGAAGACATCACAAGTCGTAGTGCGGAAAGTGCTGCTCTGCTTGTGTGTGCGATAGGAGTTAAGCAGACTGATGTCTATCCCTTAGGATCTATATACTGCTTGCCCAAGGACAGCGGTGCAACGGCCCTTGACCTTTTGACCTAGGGATCTAGACGACCCTAGGCACTCCCCGCGGGGAAGGCTTGCACGAGCGGAGAAGGCAGAGGTGAACTGTACAGAATGAGGTTCAGATGGGACGGAAAATGGGCAGCTTTGATTTTCCGTGATGAAATGCCGTCTGTGCAAAACCCCAACAAGCCAACTCTCACATCTGCGGCCTGAAAGGAGACCTTTCTCCTTCAGGAACGTCGACGGTGAACGAACTAGAGCATCAAGTCCGACATGTTCTCGTGTCCACAGGAAAAGCAATCATCGCTGGAATACTTTAGTTCTTTCTCGCCATATGATGCGGCAGGAACTTGATCAACCGAGGCGCTTGTCGAGAATGTCAAACGGCGCCTATTTACCAAACTTCGTAATTGTCCAGGCCAAGAAAGTACCTCATCTGCAGCCGACTACTCTTACTGATGCTGCGACGCCAGTGGCATTCGGGTTATCCTGAGAGAGGCAGGAGGAACCTTGGACCCATAGTTGCGCCTGGTCAAGCTATCTCGACTCTCCGTGAATAGAGCCTCGACTATGAAGTTTGACTATGTTGCGAAAGCCACGACGATCTATACCAGCTACCCCTTCGTCTGTTCGCGCCATCAGTGCCACTTGAGCGACAGGCTCATACGATCACCACGTCCGTTTCTGGAATGACTGGAATTGTAAGGTAGTTATGTGCACCTGGTGCGAAGTGAATGTTGTTCTTGCCACCAAATACACCTTGCTTCCTGTAAAAGGCACTCGTTAGTCATCGACGGTGCAAAGACTAACTCAATGAGCGTCACGCCTCACCTATCTTGTGGGTCATTGTGTTTGAAAACATCTGTGTGGTCCGGATCACTGGACCCGATCTCGAGGACCAGTCTTCCGCCTTTGCTGATCACAACATTTGTAGGCATAATTTCGATATCAACATCGTAGATTTCGTTGAGAACCACGGGTTGGACATCTGACGATAGATAAGATCGGTAAGGCTGCCAAACTCGGTGGTAACGATGGCTTGTATCCACTTTGCGATGACTGACTCTCAAGGAGCCGACAGTGACAGCAACAGGCTGACCAGTTGTTCCTGTGTAAAACACTTGCTCGCCATCCGCTGTGAAGTGCCGCAGAGTGGCAAAGATATCGATGTCAGCTGGACAAGGATTCTGGAGCACCCCAGAGACAGAGACTCGCAGGTGTAGAACGCTGTGGCCTGTAATTTCGATTTCGTTGTCAAAGGGGGCAGTACTGAACGAGACCGAATGACCTGCAGTGGTCCAATCCAGCGCTGGATACGTCACTTTCGTCGTTATATTGGAGGGTACGTCGAACGACAGCTGTAAATCAGAGGTCAAGTAGAGCTTCTTGTACTGTGTTCTGGCGATTGGCCACTCGAATTCTTCTCGCCGGAAAAAGCTCGCGGCTTCTGCCGCGATGTCATTGTGCCCTGGATTGCCCTTGCGAAGCAGAAGGCTGACTGGTGGTAATTTGCCCTTCTGTGACCAGCCTTCTCGATCTTCACCCTTCAAGAATGCATCCAAGAAGCTCCTCTGAGTCTCGACCTCATCAGGAAGAAAGAATGGAAGATCGTGTCGACCACTGATAAAGCGTAGATATTTAAACTCCGAGGCAGAATGTGTGTATGCGAAAATGTTGCCCCGCAAGTGCAAGCCTGTGCCACCAAAGTTACCGACGCTAAGAAGTGGAACAGTAATATCGTCGAAGTTGATGTTCATTGAGGCAAACATGGGATGATCTGCATAGGGGGCGTTCTTGGCTTCCTCGCCAATATTTGTCAGAGTCGTGACAAGCTCCTCTTCGGAAAGATCCCCTTCAATAGTGTCTGGACCCCAGTTGCGACCTGCCTTTCCTGATCGGCCGTACTGATTGGATTTGACTTGACGATCGAACCAAACACTGAAGAAGAAGTTGTTCAAGATACCGCCGTGGCGAATGAAATCACGGTAGAGATCTGAGAAGCCCTCCCATGGAACGATCGCGGCAAGTCCTTTTGGACTCTGTGCAGCAGCATACCACTGAGTTGTAGCATAGTAGCTAATGCCGAGCAATCCCACTTTGCCCGTAGACCAGCTTTGCTCACTTGACCACTCTATGACCGTTGGAAAGGCGTGAAGCATACGTGGAGAGAAGACACTCAATATACCGGGACTCTGGCCTGATCCAATCTCGTCTGCGCGTACAACCACATAGCCATGGGATGTCCAGTACAATGGAGTGGGTAATTCAAAGCCAGAGTCGTCCGTCTTTTGCTCATCTGGTACTTGTGCAAAGCTTGCTGGGTGAAATCTAGCTTGCGGTCAGTAGGATCGGATGCTAAGCCATGGAATAGTCGGACTGACTGCTGATAGTGGACGTCTTTGCCATATGGGCCGTAGGTCGCAATCACAGGGTATTTGCAGCCCGTCCGGGCCCCCAGCGGCATATAAACGTTACATCGAACGACGCCGCCGTCCGCCAACGGCACAGAAACGTTTCGTTCGACGATGTATGGGGAGGAGCCTTGATACTCAGAGCGGATATCTCGCAACTTGTTAGGCATGGCTTCAACATGTGACAATTAGCAATTGGAGACGGATGACGAGACGATATTTTGGCGGATTCTCAAGCTCACCTTACACTTATAAAAGGATTGCGAGTAACCCCAATGCGCTAGAACTTCTCCATTCACACGTTCTAGGAGACAAGTTGTTGAGGCTTTGATCACTGCGTTTCACTCCGCAATTCTCCGGTTATGACCGGAATGACTTTTCCGACCGAGATAATCTGGACAACGGCGTGAAAAGGGAGAAGACTGCTTGAGGTGAATCTCGGCATTATTCGGTGCTAGCGTTGTTTCGCACAGGCGTAACTCCGGGCTCTTGGTAATGCCGGCAATTTGTCACGGTAGACTCCGAAGCCAAGATCGTTGTTGCTGATGTTGCTCAGAGCTTCCACGTCATTCATGACTGGACAAGCTGTTATTCGTCCTGTGCGTGCCTCAATTTAATGCTACACTCCACGTGTCTACGTTTTCCACAAGCAGTCTCGTGTGCTCTGCGACCCTGGCAATTGTCGCACCGTCTAAAACGCGGTGATCAGCGCTCCAAGTCATGCAGAGCTGATCGCGTTTAACAATATGCTCAACGCCGGTCGCGTCCGTTTGAAACACAGGCACGTGCCTCGCCCTCCCGATCGCCACGATAGCCACCATCGGGGGCACAATGATTGGTGCCACAACGTTTCCACCGATGCTGCCAATGTTGCTGACTGTGAATGTCGCTCCCTCTAAGTTTTCCGGTACCAAGCGTCCTTCCCGTGCGAGCAATCCTAACCTCTTCACCTCCGACGCAATTGTGGCAACAGAAAGAGACTGTACATCTTTGATCACTGGCACGACCAGCCCGTGCGGCGAGTCGACCGCGATGCCAAAGTTGTGGCGCGATCGAATGATGACTTGTGGCGGGCTTACTGAAGTGTCCAGGTGAGCATTTATCCTGCGATCTATCAGAAACGCCTGTGACAATGCTTTGATAACAAATGGGAGAGGTGATAGCGTTGTACTGGGTGCGCTTGCTGCCGCTGATGCTTTACAGCTAGATCTAACATCGTTGAGCACTGTCAAGTCAACCTCATGGCTGTACATGAAATGAGGTATTGTCAGCGCTTGAGTCATGCTTCTGAACATTGCGAGACCACCGCGACTGATAGTTGATGCGACGTCGTCGTTCTCCTTCTGCGGACTAGCCTTGACTGCTGTCGATGGCGTTGATGTCCGTTGGATCGGCTGGTTATCTGTGCTTTCCGCCTGACTGGACACTCGCAATTGGAGGATGCGGTCGACGTCTTCTTTCGTTATCCGACCATTCTTGCCGGTTCCGGTCACATCAGCGGCCTCAATATGGTTCTGTTTCAGGAGATGACGCAGTGTTGGCATTATTGGAGCAGAGTTCAAGGTCCGACGGTGCGTTCTCTCATTCACTGGCTCGGACACAACGTCGTTCTCCGAAGACTGGCCGGCGCCATGTGTTATATCTTCAATCCCGGAAGCAGGAATTGTCGGTTTGGCGTCGACGGGTGAATTGTTTGAGCTGCCCATTGCCTCCACCACCGACTCCGCGTCGTCGGCAACATCAATATCAAGGAGTGGCTACCCCAGAATTAGTTCGTCGTCTACGCGCCACATCAATAGTCTCGCACCTCACCAACAGCGGCTACAGCGTCCTGGTCGTAATGGAGGACTTTGATAACTCCTTCATAGCGTGAGGTGACCTGTTCGCATAGATCAGCCGTGAAGGACTAGCTTTGAAGACGGTGTTACCTCAACGGATGCTTTATCGGACTGCACCTCGCAGATAGGATCAAACTGTTGAACATGATCTCCCGGCTTTACGAACCAGGCATTAATCTGACATTCGGTTATCCCTAAGCAAGTCGAGACGTCAGTGTGATTTTATCAAGAACCTGATTCGAATGAGGTCTGCCTACCTTCACCAATGTCCGCAAGAAGAAGAGGCCTGAGTAACCGGAGCGTCGAAGAGTCTGAGAATGCCCTTCGCTTTGTTGCGATACTGTTTCTGCCTAAGACATGGCGAAATTCAGATTTATTGCAAAGGGACTTTGAGGCCACATTCGTGAGATTTCTAAGCGAAGTAGTCAAAAGTGTTCGCATTTTGCTCGTTTGCATTACATGTAACTTGATCTTTCATGCATTGCTGAACACGGATGTAGCGTTTAAAGCCTGCAGTTGAATACGTTACGGCTATGTATTTTACCCAGAAGACGTCTGGTAAACTACAGTTCAAGACCTTTTTCCGTGAATGTGCGGAGCCGCTGCCAATTTCCCGTCCAGTGCGGTCCTTCGCTGGCAACTTCGACTACCGACAACCTCCGGGGATCGCGAACTCCAGAAGATCGCGAACTCCAGAAATTTCAAAATCCACGCCGCCTGTAGCCGAAGGTCACGGAGTCATGCTCAGACCTCCCAAACTCCGAGGCCTGTATGATACAAACGTTATTCATTTGCACCACGCTCGGATCTCGATGGAAGTCTTGAATTGTCGACGTTGAGATGTTTCGCGGCACGGTCTCACGCGTCCACATGCTGTCAGGAGTGCCAGTCTCGTCAGTATGGAAGCGCAGATGTCAGAGGTGGAAATCCCTCGTAACCTTGGGCGACATATCGGCATCGTGAGCGATACCCTTGAGCTGACCGTGGTTTCCATCGGTTCAGATGCTTTGCAAAGCTACGATCTAATCATGATACAGACCACGCTTCCCAGGAGCATCAACAAGTCCTGTAGTCCCTTCGATGACATTTCTGAAGCCTCAAGAGCTTCCGCCAATTGCGACGTACCGAGTCTATGGCATGAATGCTGAACTGCAAGACACGGGACGTCAACCACCAGATGTCACAGAGGAACAGGCTCTTCAATGGTACAGAAATATGCTGACGGGTATAATCTGAGTCCCATACGTATGGCTTCTCCCAGGATTACTGACATGCTTGCCAGTCAACATTCTTGATACAATCATGACAGAAGCGCAGCGACAAGGACGGCTTAGCTTCTATATGGTAGGCAACCTACAGATCATTAAGCTGTTAGCATTCTAACATTGCTGGCTGAGGTATCCACAGGCGAGGAGGGCATCATGGTAGGATCTGCCGCTGCTCTATGTACCGACGACATTATCACAGTTCAGTATCGCGAGACTGGCGTCTTCTTACAACGTGGCTACACGTTGAAAGACTTCATGAGTCAGCTTATCCATACAAAAAGTGACCCTGGAAAAGGCCGTAATATGCCCTGTCATTACAGCGGCAGATTGAAGACTGGAGTGGTAAGCTACATCTGTGAAGACCTGCCTGAAACCCTAGACTGGGTTAGGGTTAGGGTTAGGGTTAGGGTTAGGGTTAGGGTTAGGGTTAGGGTTAGGGTTAGGGTTAGGGTTAGGGTTAGGGTTAGGGTTAGGGTTAGGGTTAGGGTTAGGGTTA